TAATAAAATAAGTAATAAAATAAATAAATAAGGGTCTTTGTTTACCAGAATTATTTATCTATCCAATATAAAATATATTATTCATTAAAGTAATTTTTCTAGTTCCTCCTTTAAAATGCCAGGTTTTCCACGGTTTAGAGACACAAAAAGTGGTACTTTAAACACAGGCGCGCAAGGCCGTGACTAAAATACTATAGTCACGGGTTTCATTCACGCATTTGCCTGATGTATGTATTTGTCCCCGATTGACTTCAAAACTTAAAGGGTGTTGCATAAGTTTTTAACATTGTTTAAATGTTCAATTATAAGCCCGAATAGATTGCATTTTTTGATATATAGTTGTTTATATATTTGGGAAATAAATAAAACAGAAAAATTCACATATCTTTGTTATTTATAGTTGTAATTATAATGCGTTACAGTTTTTATTTATTGTGTTTACTAAGTAAACAGTAGAGTTCAATAACGATGCAAGAACAAACATAAAAACTCCTTTATTACATGATACACGTATCAAATTACGCATTGCACAATTGCCGTCTTTGCCAAACTACATTCAAAATGAAAATGACCTAAAAAAAATTATTTGTAAAGACATGTTTCACGCATATAGAATTTATAAACTGAAACATGTTTATCAATTTTATCGTGGTAATGATTGCTCTTGCAAGTACAACAGCAAACATGCCACTTTCAACAGTGTTCGATAATCTATTTCAATATAAACAATGCATATATTTAATAGCCTCGAATGAAAAAGAAATCAAAACTATTTGGAAAGAATTTCATATGTTTCCGGTTTACTTGGTGACCAATGAAGTATTTCGCAAAGATCGATTTAATGAAGAATATAAATGCACTGAAACTGGTTACATTGTTTTCATCAATAATTCTGATGAAATGTTTACAAATTTTACAATTTTTCTACCGCATACAAGAGCTGTGTTTATTTATCCACAGAAACACGATAAATTAATGAAAGAAGCATTGATTGGTGGATTGTATCAAGCATTGAACATAATTCTAATACCATTATTATCATCTTACGACTCTCCAGAATTAATGGAACTTACCGAAGACACATTAAATATATCTACTATTGAATGGTTTAATAATAATATAACCATAGATATGGATAACATAAATAACTTGTCTTTTAGGCAAGTAAAACTCTGTTTTAATGAAACAATCCAAGTTTTATACTTTGACATTCCTCCTTTTATCACCAACACAAATTCATCATTAGTTGGATTGGAATATCGTGTCACTGAATTGTTGACAAGGAAGTGGCCAATTGAATACGTGCAATATTCACCGTTTGCCTGGGATGAAATGCGACAAGATTTAGAAAACAAAAGAGGTGATATTGTAATAGCTGCTAATTATTTAACAAGCATCATTAAGTCTAAAGTTGATATTATATCATACATGGAATTGAGGTCGACGTTTTTCATCCCAGATGCTCAACTTTTACCGCTAGAATCCTACGTATTTCAATCTTTATCTGACGACGCATGGATTGCTATTTTATGTATTTTTATAATAATGGTTATACTTATCCGATTGGTGTCTAAATACCATGAAGGGAAAACTAGTAATAATTCGTTTCTCATAGCGCTTAGTTATTTGGCAATCAATTCCACTACTCGCCATGCAAAGAAATATCTTCTCAGAGGAGTTTTGTTAATGTGGTCAATTACTTGCCTTCTATTTAGCACTTCCTACAGCGCTGGCTTCACATCCATTGAAAACGTACCAAGAACTACGAAACCTATTCGCACATTCAAAGATATGCTCGAAAGCAAAACAACTTGTTTTATTTTCGACGATTTTCTTAATGCTATTATGCGAACATCAGAGGATGAATACAAAATGAAATTAGCGGATAAACTTAAAATACCTTCGCTTACAAGTTGGGGTGAACAACCTGTACCCAGCAAGTGCATAAGTACGGATGTATTGATCAACAGATATATCTTCACACCATATAAAATAAACAGGGATAATATGTTGGATATGAAGTTATTGAGAGAAAACTTTCAAATTACTAATATTGCGATTGGTATCACATTACGATCACCATTATTTAAGCCATTACAAATTGAAGTTAGTAAATTGCTGGAACATAGTCTTGTAGAGTATTTATTACGGACTGCTAAAGATTTGGATCTTTGTACTGTGGAATCGTTTAGTCGAAATCGATGGTCACTCAGAGAATATGAAGCGGTACCGGTGAATTTAGCAGAAATACAGGGAGTTTTTATTTTACTGGGTACTGGAATTTGTCTTGCGTTCTTTGTATTTTTGTCTGAGATATTTGTGGTTAAAATGATTATACATTTGAAAATATAACAGACCTTTATAAAGTAATTGTGTATATAAGTACTTGTAAAATATTAAAATATAATCAACATTTATTTGGTTTTTAGTGTTATTTTAATATGTCTTACATTGATTCCTATTCTTAATATATTTTCCACAACTACAAATTTATATTAATAAATTATGTATTCCTACGAGTAGAAAAACAATTGATGGTTTTGTAAAATTACAAAGTTATCCATTGATATAAATTATTCATTTAGCTTTTATTTTATCGTAATTTCATTGTTGCATGCTTTGTATAATTTATTTTAATATTCAGAATGTGCATAAAGTCTAAATAAAACTAGCAGTTACTATATAGTTTTTACAAGTATCAACATAATTATGAACCTGTAGAAATTGGGTTGTAAAATAAAGAATTGTGTTGACATCATCTTTAATTCTAGTGCATTTGCTACACTAACAAGGTGATTTGTTTATAATGTCATTATGAACAAAAGTAAAACTCATTAATGCCGCAACCATATAATTTCTTTTATAGGAAAACACGAAATTACCGGTTTACTTTGCATATTTGTCATGTATTGGACGATCCTGAATGTGCTTGAACGCAATAAATGATTAATTGTATTTGATAAAACAGTATATTTCATATCAAATTGCTATAACATGCCTTTTATTTCAATATAATTTTAGTTACAATTATCATGTGCTGTAATCATTATTTAATGTATTTATCTGATAAGCATTCAGGTAAAGGTAAAAGGAATTGAATTAATAATTACTGTTTTTGATTGTGTGTGAACCAAGAGTAGAAATAATAAAAATTACTACATAAGAATGATGTAACCCGTTTAATACTGGTAATGACATAGTTCTTCTTACACAATAGCAGCACGCCCGAAACCACATTCATAGCTTTCAAAAAAAAATCTCCCTAAAAAGAATATATTTACAACTTGAAAACCATAAATTGAAATATGATTATCAGTCTTATTGTGATGATTGTAATTGAAAGTTCAACAGCACATACTTCACTTTCAACAGTACTTAATCATCTATTTCAGCATAAACAATGTATTTACATAATTACACCAAACGATACACAATTAGAAATTACATGGAAACAGTTAAATACATTTCCGGTTTATTTGGTGACAAGCGAAGAATTTCGTAAAGATAGATTTAATAAACATTACAACTGCACTGAAACCGGTTACATTCTAATAATAGACAATCCAGATGAAATGTTTACGAATTTTACAATTTTCTTACCTCATACAAGAGCTGTATTTATATACGAAGAAGTATACCATCCATTGATGAAGGACGCTTTGGTTGGTGGACTCTACCAAGCTTTGGATATGATTCTAATTCCTATTAAACGATCATACTACGCACCGATATTATTAAACCGAGTAGAAGATACCACATTAAATATTGCAACTATTGAATGGTTTAATCGCAACATCACAATTGCTACAAATAATATGAAAAAAATATTTTTCAAACAAGTGGCACTTGTCTTCAATAAAACAGTCTCAATCATGTATTTTGATATTCTTCCTTATATATCACAAACTAATACATCTTTAAAAGGATTGGAGTACCATATACTTACAATGTTGACAAAGAACTGGCCAATCGAATACGTGCGGTATCCTCCATTTAGTTGGGACATCATGTTAAGCGATTTAGAAAACAAAAAGGGTGACATTGGGATCTCCGCTCATTATCAATCAAATATTATACTAAATCAAGTCCACTTTATACCATACCTGGAGTTGGTATCAACTTTTTTTGTCCCGGACGCTCAACTTTTACCTCGACAAACTTACGTATTCCAGTCTTTATCAAACAACACATGGATATTAATATCAAGCCTCGTTATAATAATGGGAACACTAATTCGCTTGGTGTCTAAATATCATGAAGGTAAAACAAGTGCTAATTCATTCCTCCTAGCGCTTAGTTATTTGGCAATCAATTCCACAACTCGCCATGCGAAGAAATATCTACTCAGAGGGGTTTTATTAAGCTGGTCCATTACTTGCCTTCTACTTAGCACTGCATACAGTGCTGGGTTAACATCCATCGAAAACGTACCACGAACTACAAAACCTATACGAACATTTGAAGATATGCTCGAAACTAAAACAGTGTGTTATATTTACGACAAATTTCCAATTTCTGTTTTGAAATCATCCGGAGAACCTTATAAAATACGTCTAGCCGATACACTTCACGTTAGTTTGATCTCAAATTGGGCAACAGATCCCATGCCTGGTTCTTGTGTAAATACAGATATCTTGTACAACAAATACATTTCTGTCTCTTATAAAATGAGCGCGACTGATATGATTGATGTTAAATTATTAAAGGAATATTATCAGATTACAAACATTGCAATGAGCGTCACATTACGGTCGCCATATTATAAACCGTTGCAGTATGGAGTTGATGAAATATTGGAACATGGTCTTCTGGAGTATTTAATAACATCGGCTAATGATTTAGATTTATACAATCTGAAATCTTTTAATCAAAATAGATGGACACTTAGCAAGAATAAAGCTTCACCATTGGTTCTTCAGAAACTACAAGGGGCATTTAATTTACTAGGAATTGGACTGTGTTCTGCTTTAATTGTGTTTTTAGTTGAAAATGCTTGTAAATTGTTTAGATCAGAGAAAAAAATATTTAATTAAAAATCATTCCTAATTTTATTATAAATTAAATTATTAAAGCTTTAACAATTGCATCAATTGAAATAGCTGTCACTTCTTTAATTTGCTGTACCATCGCTGTGGGTATCTGCCGCCTTTTTTCGGAAACATGTCATTTTCAAAAATGAAACACCTAGTAATAAAAAATCATTAGGATGATTCAGGTGTGAAGGGTGTAATGATCAATGACACATTAGAAATGTACTGTGCGTAACTATTTATTAGAAACATGTATTAGAATTCTTTTCAATAAAATACAAAAATAAAAAAAAATAAAAATAACTTAACAATAGCTACTAAAATAAATCAACCAACAATGTATTATTGCAAATGCTTCAGGAATGTTAGTTAGTATGGTAACTGTGCAGGCGTTATTTGCAGGACAAGTAAGCAGATCAGACATTCAGTCGAAGTCTGGAATAAATCGGAGGTAAACGTTACACACAAGCGTTAGTATAAGAACGGGCGATTGGTGGTTAATGGAAGCTACCTAGAGAGCTGTTGCAGATTAATGGCTTCCTCGGACGGGGTCTCTTTGAAGAGCGTCGTGGATAAATCAATCGCCACATACAAACCGCAGAGTACTAATGGACCTATTATGGCACCTTCTAAGCCAAGGCAGAATATTCCACCGGCAATCGCTAGGCCAGTTAAATATGGGTGTCCCCTGCGTCAGTTTTAAATATTAATCTATTAAAGAAAAATTTAAAACTTGTTATAAATACCCTTCATTTCTGCATAAATAGTTGCATCAACTACAGACATGGGTAAAAATTGAACAGCTGCAAAGAGAATAGCATAAAATCCTTTATCTTGTGCTAGCCACAAATCAAAGATAGCGGGTATACAAGCCCAATAAGATCCCAAGAATGGGGCAGCACCTAGAATAGCTGCGATAGCTGTAAAAACAAATAAAAACATAAAAGCAATATGGCTTAAGTAGATTTTAGTATATATGCTTACCTGACGGTAAGTAAACAATTTTACACCAAATAAATTGTGAATAAACCATGTCCACAAGCCATAGAAGGTAGCCATTTTAAAAGAGGCAGCGAACACGCCATTAATCGCGTCACCCAAAGCTAATCCAAAACGACTTCCATTAGTTGAAAACTGAGTCATTATTTCAACCGGTTTATATAGTGCTCCGCTAGAACTTAACAGATAGAACAACGTAGTTAAGAAAATCACCTGGAAATACGTTAATCAAATTTTCAATGTCTTTCAATAAATTATTTGTAATTACAAACCGTGTTTAGGATAAAGTTTAAAACCGCTGTGCCTCCACCTAACAACACTGAAACAAACGCACTAAAACTACCCAGAAGTAAACTAATATTCCCCTTCACAATAGACCACACCGAATCCAGCAGCGATAATAATGTGCCAACATTCTGATTGATAAAAGACATGATACCAGATAAATTCAACATTTCTGTAAGTAAAACATACAGAATTTTAAAACGGCATATTTTACTTTTTTTATATAATGTTACCTGGGGATTTCTGCAAGTCATCAATAAAAGTATTCCATGAGTCCTCAATTGCATCTTGAGTAACTTTAGGCCCATGTTCAGCATTGTCCGAAGACATCCAGGTTTGGTAAATACGATCAAACAATTCCAATACTTGATTTTCCAATTTTGCTGATTTAGTAGGATCTACATCGCTCATAACACTCTTCACAGCTTTCGATATACCTTCACGGCCGTACTGATAGGCATTATCCAAGAGTGAATCGATTGTGCTCTCAAACGTTGGAGGTAGTAATTGTCGAAGCTCAGGATTGTGCACAACAGTTTGATTTATGACGTTACTGGACATTTGTACTAACATTATAGCTTCAGCGTACACCTATAGACAACAGTATTATTTATATCTAAAGAATTTGATTTAGTTTACTAATACCTGAATAAATATAAAAATGGACGCACAAATGGCGAATATAATTAATCCAAATATCACCATGCAGCTAGCAACAGTATCAATACTCTCTTTGACACTTTGTTTAAGCCATTCATTCATCCTCGAAACCAACTTGTACAAGCCGCGTATTGGCACTGGTACAATTGCATCATGTCGTTCAGACAACCAACTTGTGACATTGTCACACACCAAGTTTAATTTCTGATTTACCCAACCCCAAATGCCTAGATAATGGCCGATGTGTTTGGCAGTAAAGATCAAAACGGGCACAAGTAAAATCGGTACAAACATCAAGTTACGCCAAAAGAAAATAATCCCACAACCCCATAACAATGCATAGATATAAAACTCGCTTCCATAATCGTCGTTGTTCAATTTTAAATTACGACTTGAGTCACGACGCCATGTTAGAATGCCGGTTTTGTTTTTAAAGAGAAGCCCGCCAACGGTAGGTTGTGATAGTGAGCGGCGGACTTTGGGCATGTGATCGCTAGGTGCCTGTTTGATTATGTGAACTTTACCCTTATCTGTGATGAGCAGACTGGCATTCCGCTGGACTTTCGGTTTATCATCAAACAGTTCCAGGGTCCATGGATTGCGTCGTTCTTCTTTTGGCACTTCAGTGGAGGTTTCAGAATGCGACTTTTTCTCTGCTTTCAGGCTATTATCAGTGTTTTCCTCTTCAGATGTGAGTTCTTCAGGTGGAACAGATGCATCTGTTTCCGGATGTTTTGTACTACCGTTTGTTGTTGTATCCTGAAGCAATTCAGAACGTTCCTTGCCTTGTAAAGCAAACTTTAATGATTCTGCTAGTGTATAGCCTATAAATATTTAATGAAAATAAATTTACGTAATATACATGATTATTTAATAAAAATGTTACCTTTTAGGCCTTGTTGAATATCAATAACTTCAGAGATGAATCCACCCAACAAAATAATTTGCAACACAAGAAAAATCGGTATTTGTAATGAACCAAATAATTTAGCAATCAGACATGACAAAAGTAGCCACATCATCATGGAAGCATAATGAAACATTCTATTATTGTTAGGATTCCACTTAAATACCATCAATGTAACATATCCAAGTAGTAAAGCACATACCTAATACCAAATAATTTTTCTATATCAATTATTTCTTTAAATTTAAAGCATATTATCAACTTACAAGTGATGCTGACACATTATCAATCAGAAACTGAATAATACAGTGGAGACAGGCCCAAGAACTGCATACTATATTAATAAATATCTTTGGTATGTAAAAGTAGAACACCTGCAGGCCCATGAATCCCAAAACTCCACATGTGATGTACTTCCAGTGCTTTTCCAACATGTTGCCAATTCCTTCAGAAAAATCATCAGAGATTTTAATTGGTATCAGAAACACCCCAATAAAAATAGGGGTGTGAGATTCTTCTAAGTGGTCAAACCATTGCCGAAATTTTTGTGCCAGAGAATATTTGAATGGGTGCAGCACTGAACCCACCAGCAGTGCCCACATTAAAGGTTTGAAGAATGGTTCTAGAATTAAGTATAGTGCCCATAATGCTGCACAGCAGACAAATAGAAGAAATAGAGCTAGAGCGTTGTAGACGGCGTGTTTTACGGGTTTGTCATGGCCCTGGGGAAGGCCTCCAATGATGTTAAATATGTTCTCAAGTGGTGATCGATGGTCCATGTTTTCACCGTAAATTCACCGCTTTTTATTTAACACTGGGCGCTCTACTTTGGTATTTTACTTCGGCGTGAGTTTAAAACTTGAATCATCGTTTAAAAATAGACTGACAATTAATAAACATATTGATAACTGAAGTTATGTGAATGAAGTTTATTTGTTGTGACACTCAACCCCACTAGGCCAAAAACAAACCTAGAAAAGGTGATGCAATGTTGGCGCGTTTCCTAGTGCATTTTAAAAATTAATGCAATTTGAATTTCCTCTACAAAATCAGAAGAAAAAGTGGATAAAGTTGACAACCAGGTAATTTAAACTTATATTTACATAACATTTCAAAGCTTACTCAGCGAAATAACATGCGTAGATAGAATGTTTAAAAGAGGAGGGAGTAAATCGGACTCATTCGAGAACATTCGCAAAATCCCGCATGTCAAAATCAGATGTTTTGGTGTTTGCCATTTGTATCCGTTTGCGTTAGCCAGGTGCTACTGTTTTTCAGAACATTGATTACTAACAACGTTAACAACAAATTTATTTAAGTACAATGGGTTGTGATGGTGGAACTATTCCTAGAAGGGACGAATTAGTTCGCGTAAAGAAGAAGCCTGAAACTGTAAGTTTAAAGAACGTCATACTCAGTAAAATTGGTTATAATTGTTATTTATATTATTTCTTATAGAAAGACAAGGATTCCGCTCTTGCATTCCAATGGCGTTGTTGTGCAATAACACAGCAAACACTTCAAGAACCGATTGTCGTCGATGGCTTAGGCCGCCTCTACAGCAAAGTCTCCCTTATTGAAGCCCTCCTCAACAAAGAAACAATGCCTGAATCAGCAAAACATATAAAAACTTAAAGGATGTTAAAAATTTGAATCTTACACCAAATCCAGTACATAATACTGCTGACAAGAAAGGTGGTGCAACTGAAACAAGCAGTGCACCATACATTTGCCCTGTAATTGGGCTGGAAATGTCTGGAAAGTTCAGATTTGTTGCTATTTGGAGTTGTGGATGCGTGTTTTCCGAGCGTGCATTAAAGGAAGTACCAACTATAACCTGTCACAAATGCCAGAAAGCATTTACAACTGACGATGTTGTCATTATTAATGGAAATGAAGAGGATGTGATAGTGATGAAGACTAGGATGGAATTAAGGCAAGCACAGAATAAGAAGAATAAGAAAAAGATTAAAACTGAACCTGTAGAAGAAACTATAACTTCAAATACTACTACAACTACCTCTGTTGAAACAAAGAGTGAGGTTGTATTAAGAAACAAGGCTGTTGCTAGTGGCAGCAATGATAAAAATGTAAAAGTGCAGCCATTGTTGCCGTCTAAGCGACTGGGTGCGTTGGTTTCTAAGGTAAATGACGAGAAAGCTAAAAAGGCGAAGATGGATTACAGCGTCGCAAAAGATCCAAACGCGTCAGATGTTTATAAATCATTATTTACCACTCACAAATCTGAACAGGAACAAGGCAGAGCTCATTGGATAACATATAATCCATTTTATAATTAAAATAAGCTATTAACATTTATGTTTAGTTAGAACTATACAAACAACAGAAGCACAAATTTAAGTAGTGTGATTTTGTAGTTTTTAAATAAGACTTATATTCCTTGATACCGAAAAACCTTTGTAACATGACCTTTCAATGTGTACAAATAAACAAATCCAATAAACATGTGAGACAAGCTTTCTATAACTATAAATTCACACCACTTAAATACCTACACAAAATTTATTTTTTAGATAAAAGGAAAATTTATCTTTATCATAAAATACGTAATTCATAGTATTGTACTTATTCAAAATTGTACGTGAATTGAATTTCATTTGTTTCGAGCGAATACTCGAACAATTTTAAACAAATGTAAAGAAAATGTTCAGTTGCCGATTATACAAAGCATGTCAAATATAATATAATTTGTAACAAAACATGGTATGTATTTAAAAATGGAAATAAATATGTCAATTGATATTCTGATTATGTGAACACAGTACAAACCAAATGTAATCATTAAAATTTATGATTGATGAACTTGAGGAATTTTTAAAATAATTGTTTAATTGGTATCAATACTTTGCAAATATTACCTTTTCTGCTTCTAGAATAACATAGTAATAATAATAATAACATAATTATAATAAGAATAATGGTACTATGAATGAATTTTTAAACTAAAAGATTATCTTATTTGAGGTAAACGGCCAGTTTTTGATAAGTTTTAAACTGAATTAAATGCATGAAATTAAATTAAACATCGTTAAAATAATGTGAATAAGTAATTAAACAAAACAATGAATCATAAATATTTAGTTTGTGTGAATTATAATAGCTGTAAGCACAAGAAATATTTGAAAGTAATTCGCCGAAATTAAAAAAATGCTTTCAAGCTTCACTAAAATTACAACTTTACGCTGCTCTGATTCGGCCACACGGCGTCGATGCATTTTAAAACGTGGCGCTTTCTTGTCACTCACTCACCGGCGCGATCACACTATTGAAATTCCCGGAGAGCAACAGAGAAAGTTGGGTGCTCAGTTGGTGACTTGGCCGTTTGCTTTCCGCACTTTCCGATACAACCCAGCGTAGTTCATTTGGAAACTCAACGTGACAGCGTTGACGTAGTTGTGGTTAAATTAAAAGTCGGCTTTTCGTAAACTTTTAGTTAAAACTTACGTTTATTTATTAATATTGCTTAAATTTCGTATAAATTGTTCATTGCTACAATGTCTGGTCAATGGGAAGTTGTCGGCAAGAAGAAGGAGAAAAATGGGAAAAACAACAAGCAAGCTGCTATCAAAGAGCAGCAACAGCAAAAACTCATTAATGGTGTTACAGTTGAAGAAGTTTGTAAGTACAAATAAGCACAAACCTTCATCTATACTATATTTTTTACATCTAAAATTTGTAGTGCCAATGTCTCAATTGAAGAACTTGTATGGTGTGAAAAACAAAGAGAACCATAAGCCAACTCAGGAGAAAAATGCAAAGAAAGAGGCAAATGGTAAAGAAAAACCAGTTCAAAAACAAGCCACCAAGAAGCCTCAGGTGGACAATAAAGTTAATCAATTCAAATCCATTGATAATGCCTTTCATTCTGTAAGTTATTCTTTTCTACATGAATTACTAACTGAACTGTTTATTAAATTAAATTATATTTTGCAGATTAAAGTAGAAGAACTGAGTGCAGTTTATGACAAAAACAAAGTTGTTTATCCATCTACACCAATTGTGTGGCTAAGAGAACTAGCACAATTTCTTAATACAAATATTGTAGTGGATACTCCAGATGTAACATTTTCTAGCAAACCAGATTATTATCCATTATGTGCAATGCCAACAGCCCAGTGTGCAATCCTAGAAAAGGGATTGAAACAAGCTGGTGCTGAAAACTGTGCTCTCTTTTATGATATTTGCCTCACAAGTATGGCCAATGACATGAATAAAAATCTTGCAGCAATTGGTCATAAGGTTTTTATACAATTATTATCTCAGCAGTATCCAAAGTTAGCTGGTGGCAATGTTGCAAAATATGTGACATTAAGGAACTCATATCAGAATAGGCCGAATATTGGCATGTCTATTCTATGGGCTCTAGGACAAGGTGGCCTTAAAGATTTGAATGTTGGTTTAAAAGGTATGTTAAGCTAAAACGACAACTAATTATTGAATTTTTATTAAACACATTTTACCATTTTTAGTTTTCAAAGAAATCATGTATCCATTATTAGATATGAAAAATTATACGCGTGATGTACTAAAGTATTTAATAACACTATTGAAGAAACACTCTACGTCTTCCACATCGGCGTTGACTATTGACCAATATTTGTTTCTGGTCGATTTGATATACGCAAATAAAAAGAACATGACATCGGATCTGAGCAAAGAGTTAACTGACTTGATGCCGATTTGCAATGAATTGCTGATGGCCGGCAACGGGCCGTTTGTTAGTTACGTGGAACCGCTTCTGCGTAAACTAGGCCAGACGGCCAATAAAGCCTGCAAAAATTATTTAAGTTCTGTGCTAGCGAAATGCATGCAAAAAGAGGCGCCTTGTCTTAAAATATGGGAAAATCTCTACGTTAAGAATCTATCTGCGAGTGCATCTCTTCTTATTTACATCGGTAATATTCAACTTAATTTATAACTTTCTAATGTAACGCGACAAAAAATATGTGTACATTCCAGAGCAACATTGGCGAAGCATATCTAACAAAATTAATGTCAAAGTTCTCAAAGAATTGTTAAAAACATTCACGGGGATTAACGAAGACCTTGAGAAAACGCCGAAAAAGAATATTGATGGCTTAGCGGAATGCATTAATGGAATTAAGGTGAGTTTATTTTATTATTTGCTAATTTTATGGTTTGCGATGATTCCTAATTTCTAACGGATGTGTCAAGTTATAAAACGGATTTACGCGAGGATTTCCGATGATTCTTTTTATCGATTTGAACGACCTGACAAAGAACCGGTTTGGAATGTAAAGACTAATGCACACGATCAATATTAAAATATTTTATCAAACTAAAAATAACTAATTTCTTATCAGCAGATTGTTTGAGGCACGGTTCTATTTAAATATTTAATGTTATGTTGCTCATAGTCGTTGTTTTTTAGTAATAATATTAGATTTACTGGGTGTGTTGAGTGATGTTAGTGTACATCCGCCTTTAGAATGTAGTTGCGTTTGTTTAGTGGGGATGTGTTAAAGTAGACCGCAAGACCTTTGCACCGAAGAAGTTAATTATTTGATGATGCACAATCATGGCATACGTTTAAAATATTGGAGTGATACGTGTTGATTTCGCGTCGTCGTCAGAAAATTTGCATAGACATTCGTGTGTGAGTGCGCTGTGTGCACAGGGGTATCAAACAGTTATCGGTCATGCGCGCTTGAGTACGTAGCGTAACCACCGACTGCACTAACCGATCACTAACTAATTCGGTGTCTATTCATGGGGTTGTCGGCGTTTTAACGGTCGAAATTCACGACCAATTCGTGTGAGTTGAGTGAAAACGTGGCGCATCCTGATTGCAAGTTGGTCAAAATTCAGTTCCACGTATCTTCCACTCGCGCAAATAACATTTGAACTTCAGCTAGCGAGCTCAACACGCAACGACATTGCTTGATAAGATAATATTCAAGTAAGCTGCGAATTACGTTGATTTGACATTTGCATTTAGTCGTCGTCCAATTAACAGTCGCTTGTTCGTTTACAAGTTTTTACCGGCATTTAAAGTTTTATTTTTATGTTTAGCGGCTGAACAATAAAATGGCCGGCGGCAAGAAAAAAGGAAGATCAAGCTGTAGATTCTTCTCTTATACAGCATTGCTTCTGATTGGTACATTTATTTTTATTGATGTGAAGCAAAATGGTGGCTGGAGCAGTAAGTTACCTTTATAATTTTCTAATAATTAGAAATTAAACTATATGCTTATTTGTAGACTCTTGTACATCTAAAGCTTTGAACAGAACTGGTGTATATGATTACACACACAAAGCTTACGATTGTGCATCAGAGTGTACACATTGGGTTCACAACCACATTGAGGAGACATTCCCTGGGATCACTGAAAGTACCATTAAGCATACTACTCCTTATGTTGAGTTAGGGCGTGATCTTGGTATTATTGGTATGAATGTTTTTAACAATGCAAAGGAAGCAGCTGCATCAAGATTGCCAATTGTGGTGGACACTGTAAGTTAATACTAATTGCAATGATGTGTTATTATGATTAAATATTTTGAATCTAGATTGAGTCTTATGCTCCTGGTTTGATTGGGAAAACTCAAGAAGTTGCTAAAACTGCATGGGCTACTTCAGTAACTTATTTTGAGAATGGCAGAGAATATCTTCTGACTAAAGTTTTTGTGTAAGTATATAAACTTTTTCTCTTGATATTCAAGATTTAATTTTTTAATTTTATTATAGTGGTAAGCTTGCACCTGAGGAAATCCTGAAAACTATCACCGCCACCGTGCAACTGGGCACCGAGAAAGCACAGGAATATTATAGCTGGCTCTATAACAAAATCATGACTGCTATCAAGTGATTTAAAACTAAGGTTTAGGTAGCATTTACATACTATTATATACATAAATATTTTATACTTCTTTCGTCTGTGACTTCACTTATTTGTAATAATATCATATGCGCCTGATTCGTTGAATTATGTGTTATCAATTGTTTTTATCTTCGTCGATCATTCCAACGCCATTTATTTGTGTACGAAAGTATTTGTTGTTACAATAGAATTATTTTATACTGGGACCGATATTAATTTTAATCTCGTTGTACCAATATTGATTATCACGCAGAGAAGAATAAATCTTGGGTGTTTCTATGAATCTGCGCTGCGAGCTCGTCGGGGTTTTGATTTTTCACTGCGGCTATCACGTCGAGTACATGGCTGGAGATAATATTGATGATTATTGTTTCGAATGTATATGTGTATTATTGAAAAACATGAAATAGGTTTACCTTATGTTAGCTGGTTCATTTCTGCCTTTCACCATTGAGGTAGAATTCCATTTTTCTTTTTTAACGCTTTCGTGAAAGCTACTTTTTGAAATGAGGGAATATCCTGCATGACTTGGTCTTATCTCACACCATGGACAATCAGTTTCTATTAAGAGCTTCTCAACAGGAAGTAATTTAACTGTTTCTAGATTTTCTTTAGTTTTTAGTGAACTGTAAATAGAATAAGAGTAGAAAAATGTAAATATGCTAAGAATGTATATTTGCATATTTGCATTTTTCTCAGATATTATTACCAGCCATTAATGCCAATATAGTATCCCAAGTCAATAAACTTGTCAGCTTCCTCTTTGGTGCCATCAAATGAATGCACGACACCTTTCAAACCCGAATATTTCTGGAGAATCGTAATTAAATCTTCAGCCGCGTTTCGACAGTGTAAAAACAAAGGCAGTTTAGTTTCATCTCCAAGTTTCAACTGCATTTCAAAATATCTATGGGATTCTTAATTAATACTCCTAGTTCAATTAAGGAAATAAATATATGTACCTACTTTTTTTGAACATCAATGGGGCAAAACTGTACTCTGTCATAATCTAAACCACATTCTCCCACAGCAACTATTTTACCAATGTTGCTTTTAATTAAATTCCTCAACTTGTCCAAATAGTTCTCAGGAGTCTCACCTTCTGCCTCAAACTCTAAACATCTTGTTGGATGACAACCTGCTGTGCTAAATAAACTATCTTTTTTAAATTTAAAATATATTAATAACTCAATTTCCTTGATTATATTGTTATATTTAATTTCTGTTACCATTAGTGGTTGACATCTCCAAAGCTTTCCTACTTTCTTCATAATTGCCTCCTGTTATTATAAGTTTATCTAAACCAGCATCAAAACTACGTGTTAAGACAGCTGCTAAATCTTCTTCATGTTTCTTGCTACCATTATAAATACCAGTGTACATTAAATCTGTAAGATTTGCTCCAATATCTGAAAGTTATTAAGACATTTTTAAGATCAGTAAAATAACTAATGTGTACATTTTATTATTACCTATATATTTCCTTTTTGATACCATCTTGTTTAGTAAATTATTAACAAGTTTCAACGTATTGACGTGTTTCACAAAATAAGTTTGTGAACTGTATTTGTGAAGTAAACTCCAGTAACTCGTCTAGATTGTTAACCTATAAAACATTTACTTATTACATATTGTAAGAGGAAAGGAAGTTATTTTTTATTAAGACCTATTTACTAAATAGTATTTAGTACTATCTCTTAGTCTCATATTAATTGAAAATTCTTATTTTATTATATGAAACAATTATTTTTACAATTTTAGTAATAAAGTTTATAAAACTTTGATAAATGTTGAATACAATTAAACCTTTGTTTACAAATAAAACTTTCTAGATATTTGTAAAATTATTTTTTTTAAATGATTGCTTAATTATTAATCCCTAAATATGTTTTAAAATTTGTACATAAGTTTAGAAGCTGTCACATAACATGTAGCACCTATTAATAAATATTCCTAGGGAGAGCAAATGCTTCTGAAAGTCCTGGTACACAATGTCAGCCTATTTATACATATACATATTCAATATATTTGATGCGAATCGAAATTAAAAGTTTTCCCGGTGTAAAAGATGTAGATCAAGGTTACCAAAAACAGACGAAGATGACGGCCAAACGGCGAGCATCCAGGTTCTCAGTTATGCAACCTGTACAACGCTTTATTTGTGTTCACCTCTATAACCAAGTCAGTCAAGATGAGGGAAGATTGTTTTCAATGTTTTTAACATTTTTAGTATCAATTCCATGTTAAATGTTTGTTGTTTTTGGTTGTTACGTTGCAAGTGTTTAAAAGTTGTGTTCAGAATTTTAAATAGCTTTAAAAGTGCTTGTTTAATATGAGCAGTTGGAAAATATTCTGTGATTTATTAATAATGCAATGAAAATAATGGGATAATATGAAAATCATGGTGAAAAAGTGCAGATTCTTCTTCTTTATTCTATCACTTCTATCAGTGATTACCATATCATTGCATTACTATTTAAGTAATTTGGCAAAATCTGCAGTGGTTACCAGTTCAGCCCAATCAAAGTATGAGGAGATTATTTTACAGCATTTATCAGAACTGGGGCCTGAATATTATAAGCGAAAGTCAAAGAAAGTATTTTTTAATAACAGTTTCTTTGATGTGGTGCATTTTGATGGTACTCATGATTTAAAGCATATTTGGAATTATGCTAATAGTGCAATTGCTAAGTCAAGGTTGTATAAAAGAGATAATTTATCACTAATCATTCATGCTATGAAGACAGCTAAAATAACCAAAGCTGACTATTATACTAAGGGAACACAATTTAAGTTAAATCTAACTTTAGAGGTATGTGTATATATATTATTACAAACATTAAATTCAACTTAAAATACGTTTTAGGGTGATCAGAGTGTGGTTTTTAAACCAAGATGGTATAAATTAGATAGAATATTTAATGGTGCTGTTTACTCTGGGCGCGATCGTTTCCAAGCTGAGATATTATCGTTTTATCTCTCCGCCTTATTGGACAAGCCCATGGTGCCCATTTCCGTAGAACGCACAATTCTCTTCGACGAAATCCTCCAGGTTGCAACGCCGATTGTACACCAAACTACCGTGCAGAAAAACAGTACACTATGTTTGTACGGACATTGCTTGTACTGCGTAAAGAACGATCCAATTTGTCCAGAGAATGGCAAACTTCAAGGTGCTGTGATATTCAATATGAATGATATTCAATTAAAACGCTACGCATCTCCGTGGAAGCGGGTGTATAATAAAAACCAGAAAGCTAAGTGGGAACAGGATGACAATTACTGTGAAAGTGTGAAGAAAAAGGTAACTAAACGTTTGTTACATGAAATGGTAGACATCGCCATCTTTGATTTCCTCTTGCAAAATGGCGATAGACATACGTACGAGTTGTATCACCAAGAAATTGTGTGGCTCGATAATGGAAAAGGACTGGGTAATCCATACACGCATCACATTGACATTTTAGCTCCATTATATCAGTGCTGCAGGTTAGTACGTTAGTTAAATACATTTTCAAGTTAATAAAAATTATTTTTTGTGTTTAGTTACAGACCTGATTTAATTAACCGACTGAAAGAACTGTCTGGTGGTGCATTAACTGAAAATTTAAAGAAAATTTTAGAATTACGACAGCTTATAACTGAAGAGCATTTTAACGCGCTGGAAAATCGTCTTTTGCTCATTTTTGCCACACTTGAATACTGTAAATATAAAACAAAAATAAAACATTGACAAAGTATATTTCTTACAAAACAGGTATGAACTTTATTATTGTTTGATTGCATTAGCATTATCACAGCTTTGGTAAATTTTTGACGATCTTGGTTTGAAATAGTCTTGGATTTCTTGTAAACTGCGATTCTTTGTTTCTGGCAGCACGAAATATAATCCTACTGTTCCTAAGATTACTAACACTCCATAAAGTGCAAATGTCCCGTGTGTTCCTAGTACATCGAATAAAAATGGACTTGTTTTTACCACGACAAAAAATGCGATGAAATTAACAGCGCATGCAGTTCCACCTCCGATGCCTTTTGTTGTAGATGGTAAAATCTCTCCACACACTGTCCACGGCAATGGAACAAGACCAATTGATATAAATAAAATGTAAGTCATCAGAAAGACAAGAGGCACTGTTGTAAACACTTTGTTGTCGGGATACGTTTGTCCCATGTACACAAATCCACTCAACGCGAACAAGGACAGAACACAGCCGATGGAACTTGTAAAAAGTAATTCTCTCACTCGGTACCGCTTGGTCAAAACACTTGCGACGATCGACATCACTACACGTGCAACATCCACAATCATCATGGCGGCGTATCTATCTAGTGATGGCACCGTGATTTGCATCAGTTGTACCGAATAAAAAGTAACTACATTGGTGCCGGTCACTTGAGTGGTAACAAAAAACAAAAACAGGATCATCAGTGGATGGTAAAATTCTTGTTTTTTGCATTCAGCGAGTGTTTCGGATAGTGACTTTTTGGGTCCAGCGGATTTTTCCATCATTTGATTGAATTCTTTTTGTTCTACATCGCTGTGACCACGGAAACCATTCGAATGATTTACGCGCTTCTTCTACTTTATTGCAGTTGAGGTACCAGACGTGGGTTTCTGGTAAATATATAAGTAATGCTATTACGATGAATGGTAACACCATTGTCACCAAAGCAGTGGTTTGCCAGGTGAGGTAAGTGCCCAAGAAATGAACTACTAAAACGCCGCCAGCTATACCGAGTGCTACAAGCGACAAAGCCACTCCACGATATTTTGTTGAGCAAATTTCAGCCAAGTATGCCGTTGAAGACATTCCTGACAATCCCACGTAGAGTCCGCATATTACACGACCGATGAGAAGTGTTTCTAAGGATTTACTGAAGTAAATGATGCCCCAACCAATAATGGCGAGGAATGCACAAGCGATGTTGCTTCGTTTTCTTCCATATTTATCCATTGTCCATGTGCTGAAGATGCAACCGATAGACATTTGCAACGGCGCCATTGCGGCTAAAATTAACATAGAAGTCAATATAAACCAAGTTCTTGTATTATATTCATTACCTATCCATGATTCTTCTTCTTGTGAAAGTTTTATGATGCTGTCATCTGCTTTTAATTGTGGTAATAATATTCCCGAATAACCGGCAACCATTGATCCCAAGATGACGGCTAAAAGAATAGCGAAACAACCTAAAATCTTAAGTTAAACATAACATATAAAACTTCCAAAATAAACAAATGCCACTTACTTGTCGCCTTAAATAAATGCGTGGATTTTCCGGTGGTTCAACGTCAAGAATAACAATTTTCTTTTCATTTTCACTTAAAAATGGTTCATCAGCTTCCATTTTAATACTCTCTCACTAAACGCGCACGAGTTTTGCCAATATTGCAATGAATGCAATGTTTTTATGGTTTAATTAATCCGCCATTTGATTAATATCTACCAATCAATTGAGATAGATAGATGAGTTTCAATTGCTACATTACGAGTATAAATTGTGAGTTGTACACGAAATAAATAAAACGTGCTATATTGTTGGGTTGAAATAATCATCACATACATTCCATTTCAATCACAACAATTTTATTATGCAACATCATTCAAAGGTTGAATTTTGCAACATCGAGCGATTAAAAACGAGTTTGATATTGCGACGTCATTTTCAACTACTGGTCGAATGAGTGTTCACTTTACAACACACCATACCATACAATATGTTATCATAAATATGTACATTTTGATTACGTTATAGTTTACGTTGAAAAATATGCTAAAAAAACCTACTTGAAACTACTTTGAATTTCCTCCAAAGTTTTATTTTTAGTCTCCGGTAAAACCATGTATAATATCATAGAAAAAATAGATGTAATTGTGGCGTAAATTGTAAATGTTCCCGCGGTGCCAAACTGCGCAAATAAATCAGGACCTGTTTTTATAGCCACAAAGAATGCGATAAAATTAAGTGCAGTCGAAATCCCACCACCTACTCCTTTGTTTTGAGGTGGTAATAGTTCCCCACTTAAAGACCAAGGCAAAGGCACTATTCCAATAGACATAAACACAATATAACTAATAAAAAACGCAAGCGGTACCGTTGTAAACCACGTATTTGTTGGATACAAATCAGACAGATACACAAATGTAGCGAGGAGGAATAACGATGCTATCGTCCCCGCTGCACTCACAAAGGTTAACACACGTGTTTTATAACGACGTGTTAGTATACACGCAATTACTGACATAACGAAACGTATTCCATCAATAATTAGCATTGATGCGTATTCATTTAACGTGGGCACGGTTTTCTGCATTACGCCAACAGAATAAAACACAACCACATTGTTACCAGAAAATTGTGCCGTGACAAAAAATAAATTCATTATCATAACCGGCTTGATAAAGTCTTTTTGTGTGAAAATTTTACAACTCCACTTCTTATGCGTGCGTTTGGTTTGTTGCTCGTATTCATCTATAATTATGATTGCATCACGATCTGAGTACCACTCGAGAGCTAGCCGTGCCTCCCGAAATTTACCTTTGCTAAGCAACCACACGTGAGATTCTGGTACTGGTATCATTATGAAGAAAACAATGATTGGCCCTGCGCAAATTATAAGAGCCACTGTTCGCCAGTCGAGAAAAGTTCCTAGTAGATGTGCAACTAGAAGACCTGCAGCAATGCCTAAGGAGATTCCCGCTAAGAAAAATCCTCGATATTTTGGTGTAGAAATTTCACTGATGTAACAACTTCCGGTTGGACCAAGATATCCAACACTAAAGCCGGTTATCAGTCGACCAACCAGCAGACTGCTTATTGTTTTACTTAGGTAGATGAGTATCCAACCAATAAAGAATATGATTGTGCACAGGCGTAATGTTTTCTTGCGACCGAAATATTCCATGGACCAACCACTTATTATACAGCCGAGTGCCATTGAAAGTGGTGCCATAGAAGCTAAAAAATAAATTAATATTAAATTAAAGTGCTGCGAAATACAATAGAACACTAGCTGCCAAAATTTATTTTAATTTTACTTACCAATCCATGATTGTTGACTAGGTGTTGCCGTTGCCACTATTGTACTATTTTTGTTATCTAACTGTGGTAGTAATATGGCTGAGTAACCCGATACTGTGCCTGCTATTATGTTTAGAATGAGACATACTGAGAATCCCCACAGCTACAAATACATATTTACAGCAAAAATATTATACCTTTACTTACTTAACTAGGTATATATTTAAAAACTTACTTGTCGTAGAAAAATATTTTTGTGTTCGATGTTTACATACACGCAGTTTTCTTTATTGACAGCTGTTGTAAACGTTGTTATCTCTGTACATTTTTCTTCGGGTAACTCTTTATTAGTGCTCATTTCTATCTCACTGCTTGTTTATAAATAAACTTTACACATAGTTTTCAATAGTTTTAGATGTGATCGTAAATAAATCCAACACTCGTATGTGTAACTCGTGTGTAACTATGCGTGAATCACATGTTGAATTCAGGTTTAACTAATAACGACATTTTAATTTTAGCTTAGTTTCAACGTAAATGATTAATGTTCTTTTGAATGTTGTAATAAATAAAATATTGTTAAGTCTAAAATGAGTTTATGTTGTGAAGGTTTTAGAAATAATATAAAACTCATACTAAAATGTTTAAACTCCATGCGATTCACATACTTATCACTTGGCATGTACTTGATATCAATGAAATCATTGCTTTATTTTTGATAAGTGCTATATTTTGTATATTGAAGTTTATTTTCCTTATCTATACAACTGTCCGTTTATTCAAATATCTGTAAGATACTGTATTGAACAAACAATATTTGTGATTTGCAAATGGCGGCGTATTGGTACCCTTTCAAAGATGGCGTTAGTTAGTTCCCATTACCATTTTTCTACCCTCTATGTCCGCACCGAATACAACTCCGCTGGGAGCATTCGCCTACTCACCTGCTGGTTTCCATGACAACCCAAACAAACGTTCACTAATCGCACAGATGATGACAATATAAATGTGCATGTGACATTTATTTTATTTGATTTTTAATGATTTAACATTCATTGTGATGGGGGGTGACGGGACCAGTGCATTATTATCATTTTGGCAACCTCAATTTTAAGTTCAATCAACTCATACCATATTCGACGATTGTGCGTTGATCCTCAGACATTTCCATCGAAATCATTCGTGAAGCGCGGTTTGACTCATGCGTGTAAATGCGATAATGTCGCTTCAGTGTGGTGCTCTATTTGTTCATTAATTATTTACATCAAGACCACGGAAAATATGGATCAAGGGTGTTTTAATCAGCCACGTTGAGTGATACCCGTTGACTTTTCAGTTTACATTATTCTACATTGGTGAAGATGTTGGAAATATACTAATTTTTACAACGTTTTACGGAATCTCTAAACTTGTGTTGTATCATTAGTGCTTGTGAGAGAAGATTTGCGAACGAAATTCTTGCGCCAAAATGTCGAAGGATAAAATGTCTGAGATCGACGAACATATTTCGAAAAGATTTGATATTCACAAGAGATTAGGTAAAGGTGCTTATGGAATAGTCTGGAAGGCAGTGGATAAAAAGAGCAAAGAAATTGTAGCAGTGAAAAAAATTTTTGATGCGTTTCGGAATCAAACAGACGCTCAAAGAACATTCAGAGAAATCATGATATTACAATCCTTCAAGTCTCATCCGAATATTATTAAATTGCATAGCATTCACAGGCAAGAATTCCAACTATTTTTAACAATCAACTAATTTTATTGTAATACATTGTTTTGTAGGGCTACAAATAACCGCGACATTTATTTAGGATTTGAATATATGGAAACCGATCTGCATAATGTAATAAAACGCGGAAATGTATTAAAAGATGTGCATAAGAGATACATTATGTATCAACTACTCAAAGCCACCAAGTATATTCATTCCGGAAATGTGATACATCGTGATCAAAAACCTAGCAACATATTGTTGGACACTTTATGCCGTTGTAAAATTGCTGATTTTGGCTTGGCACGATCATTGTCTCAATGTGGAGATGGGAGTCCCGATGCAGATCCCACTTTGACTGATTACGTCGCTACTCGATGGTATCGTGCTCCTGAAATTCTCATCGCAAACCGCCATTATACGAAAGGCATCGATATGTGGAGTCTGGGTTGTATTATTGGTGAAATGATTGCTGGAAAACCAATATTTCCAGGAAGCAGTACAGTGAATCAAATTGAAAGGATAATGGCAACCATACCGTGTCCTTCAAATGAAGGTAATAACATAACCTATAGGTACTAATTTCTTTCCATACTTACTTTTTATTTGATTTACAGAAATAAATGCGGTTTGTGTATCTGGTGTTGGAATATCCATGATTAAAAACGCATGTTCTGCACCGCGTATAGCATTCCGATCTCTCCTAGGACCGGAAGTAGCTAGTGATGCTGCCGATCTCATCAACAAACTGCTGGTTTTCAATCCCAGTAAACGTCTTACTGCAGAACAGGCCATTAAACATCCTTATGTTGCAAAGTTTCGTGAGCCACATCAAGAAATCGTTATGCAATCGGATGTGGTAATTCCGTTTAATGATGATGTGCGTTTGTCGGTGGATGACTATCGTAATAAGTTGTATGAAATGATGGCATCTTCTGCCACCTCAAAACTAAAACCGTTGAGAAATACTAAGACTGTTATCAAAGTAGAGCCCGAGTTTCAGGAACCCAAATTGAGGCCCGGCATCTACAAACCTGAGAAACCTCTTAAGAGTAACAAGAGTTATGTGACACAATCAGAACCAAAACTGCGACAAGTATATCGTCCGCGAAATACTAATCCTATTAAATCGGATCCCAAACTGCCACCGCGAGAACTCAACAAAAGTTCAAATTCATGGAAACAGGACATGTCGAAAAAATGTAATAACAAAGTCGCTAATATTGATCATGGTGTTCGTCGGTTGAATAGTAACAGCAACGTGTATATGTCTTATAATAGTTATAATCCGAGTCATGGGATTATCACACAGAACGCATTGATGGAGCTGCGTGCAGCTGGATTACGATAGAGAAGTGTCGGAATTGAATTGGAATTGCTCACTGTTTGTGGATAGAATTAGATGTTAGATTTTTTAGGTCGGTTTTTGCGACAAATTTTAGAAATGTTTTATACGTCTGTGGAAGAAGTCTTTTGTATTATACAATTGTGAGTGGCTGGCTCGCAGATCACTTTACGATCACTTTCTATGACTGGCTGATGACAGTATTATGATATTACAATTGATTGAAGCAATATATTTTTGCACACACGTGTGATTAACAGTTTTTGCAAATATATCCTAAAATATTAAATTGATGGTTCTAAATCCTCCTCATACCTTCATCAATAAATATAGTTTTAAATTAGTTATTTATTACTTAAACTTAATTCAATATTGCCATTAAAATATATGAATACTCTCCTTAAAATGTTTGAAATTTATTTAACACTTAAATAGATAAGAAACATTAAAGCACAAAATGCTGTAGATTTTCTCAAACGTAACAACTTTAACTCAATTTCTTATCTACTTTAACTTCCTGCTTTAATTTTCCAATGTTTTAAGAGTTATTCTGCTGTTCGGATTTAATAACTCATTGCTTCTGAAGTAGTTATCTTTAGATGATAGACATATAACTATCATTACATTGATTTGTAGACATTTTTAAGATGTCTAATTTTGTGGTACATTATTTTGATCTACTCGTATTTCTAACTGGTTTAACCAGCGATTGAAATCTGTGCGTACGAAAATATCTTTTTTACAAAATTTTGAAATTTTGTTTAATACTACTATATGTAAGTATTACCGATATAATCTCTCATCTTAAATTACTTCGTCAATTGAGGCCATCTGCTTTAAAATCCATTGCGTAGTTTGAAACTATGGCGACGGGATGGCCCGAAGGGACTTTGATTTACACTATGTATAAAGATTATTTCATATATTCTTATTGCAATTTATCTTATGATTTTTTCCAATTAATTTAAGCCGTTCTTGAGTTCTAGCAAAACAAACATACAGTAATTCATTTTGATTGTTTTTGAATGTTTCGTCAGTATATTAATTTTTTAAATATGAACATATAACCACTTTTTTCTTTGGAAAGTTTACGATATTCTAACATATTAATAGTTAATGACCAATTTCAACTTTATTCAAATGAATGAATTAATAAGCATCAACAATTTTATGAAGTTTCGGTAATATTGAATAGAATAGCAATTATTCATAATAGTAGAAAATAGATAAAAACCTTTTCCAATTGTCTATGATGCAGTCTTGTTTCCATCATGGAATCAACGACATTATCCAACATTTTAGACGCAATTAATTTACAAAAGAGGATGTTACTTGTAACTGGATGTTGGCCAGTCCGAAATCCTTCATTTGCATATCGCTGCAAATATTTCTTGTCCTGGTCGATTGATATATCTTTTCAGTTCTTTCTCTTCGGCGAACTGTATAAAAACTTCACTACAGGTGAATACAAAGAAATGACAGAATTGTTGTCATTTATGGCGTCTGAGGTTCCATACTTGTTCAAGCATTTATTCTTCGACTGGAATAGGAACAGATTTATGGATGCCTTGGACAAACTAAACAAGCCGATGTTTAATGACTATCCAAAAGTGTGCGACGTCTATGTCCAAGAGACTATAAAATATGCACGTATATTTATGCGTTTTTATCAATTTACGGTGATAAACCTAGTGCTGTTGTATTTTCTCAAACCATTTTTTTCACAACAAATGGCTATTCGCTTTTCGGTATTTGACTTTGGATCGTTTTGGTGGTTCTTTCATGTGTATCAGGTAATGTGCATTGGCATTGCTTGTTACAACAATTCTACGTTTGATATTCTTGCCTTGGGGATTATTTCAATTGGGAGTGCGCAATTCGAGATTCTTCGAGATAAATTAATCAATGCTACAAAATGGGCAGATTTGAAGAATGCTGATATTGACAACGGCAGTGTTAATGTAGAACTTGAAATGGATGAAGTTTTGGATAAGAAAATTAATCGCTATTTAGGCCAGTGTGTCAAACATCATTTGGGTATCTTGGAGTACGCAGCTGAGATTGAGTATACTTATACGTATTACTTTCTTGTGCAATTTGTGGATAGTGTTCTGGCTATTTGCAATACATGGTTTCAGTTTTTGGTATTTTAATAAAGAAATAATAGCGTAAGAAACTTTATAATATGTTAGTATTTTAGCTGGAAGATCAATTAATCAAAATTATGTTTTTAACATTTTACACTTGTACACTTTTGATGCAATTGGGCATGTACTGCATTTATGGTAATAATTTAATGTTAAAGGTACGTTAAACTATATTTCTACAAGAACTTCTCAATATTATAATGAGCAAAATTGGTTTTTACTAGAGCGAAGAGATACGCGATGCCTGTTATTCGTCAAATTGGTATCAGTCAGGTACAAAAGTCCGTAAAAGTTTAATGCTAATTATGGAAAGATCAAAACGACCAACAGTTTTGACGGCAGGAAAATTTTCTGTGTTAAATTTAGCAACATACGCAGGAGTAAGCAAAATAACTTATACAAATTAACATATAGAAATTGTTTTTTTTCTTATAGCTTATTAAAATGTCCTATTCATATTTTGCACTTATGAATCGATTATATGGTGATTAAAACAGGGATGTCCATTTTTAATTATTCAATGTGTAGCACCAATATTAATGTGGTTATTGTTTTCGGAAAACTAATAATTGTAGAGGTGAGTAGTGAAATTTAAAAAATCAAATTAATTAACCTTCTTTATCTTACTTCATAATTTGTTAAGTCTTACGTAAATTTACTATTTATAACACATTTATATTATTAAACAAAAGAATAAGATCGCCGTATAAATAAACAAGCAGTAAGTAGACCGCTTTGCTAATTGTACAATATTGTTCTATATCCAAACTATTCCCACAGAATTCTTTGGGGTAACTATAATTACGCAAATGCGCAAAATGCAAACAATATAAATTTAATAATTTAGACACAAGATGCGATGTGTTTACTTTATTAATTATAGAGTTAATAATTGGTTATTACCCCACAAACATTTAACTCCATAATTGCCAGTTACAACATGCATATAAACCCTTTTCCTATCTTCATTTTCCTAGTCACTAATTCAAGATGAAGTCGAAGTTATCAAATATTTTAGACGCGATAAAGTTGCAGAGAGATATGTTACTTAAAACCGGATGCTGGCCAGTCCGAAATCCATCATTTGGGTATCGCTGCAAATATTACCTGGCTTGGACGATTGATTTATCATTTCAAATCTTTCTCTTCAGTGAACTATACAAAAACTTCACACAAGGCGAATACAAAGCCATGACTGAATTGTTGTCGTTTATGGCGTCTGAAGTTCCGTATTTATTCAAACATCTATTATTCGACTTGAATAAGAACAGATTTATGACTGCATTGGACAAACTGAATCATCCGATGTTTAATGAATATCCAAAGGTGTGCGATAAATACGTCCAAACGACAATCAAAGTTGCCCGATTTATTATGCGTTTCTATCAATTTACTGTTATAAATTTAGTGCTTTTGTATCTTTTCAAACCAATATTTTCGGAACAAATGGCAATTCGCTTTTCTGTGATTGATTTGGGACGGTATAAGTGGGTATTCCACATATATCAGGTGATTTCTATCGGAAGTGGATGTTACAACAATTCGACTTTTGATATTCTTGCATTGGGAATTATGTCAATTGCTAGCGCACAATTTGAGATTCTTCGAGATAAATTAATCAATATCACAAAGTGGGCTGGCTTAAAAAATGAAGAGATTGACAACGGCGGGGTTAATGATGATGTTGAGATTAACGATGTTTCTGATACTGTGTTCAATCAGTATTTGAGCGAGTGTGTCAAGCATCATTTGGGTATTCTCGAATATGTTTCAGATATAGAATATACGTATACATATTACGTTCTGGTTCAGTTCGTTGATAGTGTTCTAGCTATCTGCAATACGTGGTTTCAGTTTATGGTACACATTAAAAGCAAATATTGGAAATAACTTTCCATATTGTGCGTAATATTTAATATTTTTTAGCTCGAAGATAAACTAATTAAAATAATGTTTTTAATTTTTTACACCTGCACTTTGCTAACGCAATTGGGAATGTATTGTATTTATGGCAATACATTGATGTTAAATGTAAATCAACAAATGCATTTTGACATTTATTTGAATTTATTAACATTGTGAATTTAGAGCGAGGAAATACGTGATGCGTGTTATTCATCGAATTGGTTGCAAACAGGTACGAAGGTACGAAAAAGTTTAATGCTGATTATGGAGAGATCGAAGCGCCCAACTGTTTTGACAGCAGGAAAGTTTTCAGTGTTAAATTTAGCGACCTACGGTGGGGTAAGCAGAATTTAAGATATTAAAAATTATGTCGATCTAAATTTTATCATTTTAGCTAATTAAAATGTCCTATTCATATTTTGCTCTTATGAATCACTTATATGGCAAGTAAAAAATATAACGATTAAAATTTCTTTTCGTTATTATATCTTTTCAAATTGAAGGCAAACAACCAAAATCATCAAAAGCACAAAAACAACGACATGCACACAATACAATTATAAACAGTAAAACCACTATGATATACCTATCATTTAATAACACATACCACGGCACACATAGCAAAATTATTGAAAAGCAAAAATATAAAATAGCATACAAAACCAATCTCTGAACATCAAACAAGTAAAAAACAATGACCAAACCCACAAACGCATCAATAGAGGAATTTTCAAATGGACATACTAGGAAAGCAATGTAATGTCCACCTAAAATTAAAACAAATAAAAACTTTAATATTTGATGTAAAGAAACGCTATAAAATACAACCAATAACGCAACAAAAAAATAACCACTCACAAAAAAATCACCACTCACAAACCTACCATATACACACTAAAACAATTAATTAAAACATCTCAAAAATTAGTCAATTGCTGACGATATTTGACGAGGGGAATATGATTAATTCGAAGGGGACAATTTTAAAAGTGTGAAAACTCGTTACCGACAAACAATATAATATTAATAATTAGAATAAATAGTTATATATTTTTTATAAGTTATATTCTTTATAATAATTATGAATGTGCTAGCAATCCCATTAATTTGTTAATTTCTTGAGATAATCCTTCACTCTCCGATGCTAATTTAGATACTACATACTTAGTCTTGGACATATCCTGTGATTTGCCCTTTTCAGAAATTCTTGTTTCCACTTTTCGTATTAAACTGTTAACTGCCGCCAGACCCGTCACTACATTCAATTGCTTTAAATATTCTTTACTTGGAATTTCCATTCTTGCTTGAGCCTAAAATCATATGATAAACATTAATTAACACTATTTATCATATTTACCACAAAGACAAATTAACCTTATTTATTTCATCCGATATTTCCTTATAACTTTTCTTTAATTGCACAGAATCTAATGATACATCTTCATCAATAAGTCCTTCAATTTGTATCTTATACTTTAATAAATTTGTGTAGTGTTCCAAAAGATCTTCTTCGATTCGACTAAACTCCCGTTTGCTATCATACTTATCATTCTTGGTTTGTTTTTTATTGCTCACTATATTTTGAAACACTTGCGGCGTACTTTTCTTGAGTTCTTCTTCATTTTTCACTGCTTGGGATATTAAAGCTTTCAAACGTTTGCGTTCCACTCTAACATTATTCTGTTCTTCTTCTAATTTATCACTGTAAAGTTTATTTAATTGTGCATGTCTGAAGAACTCTTCACTGGACCGTTCTAATTCCTTCAAGTGTTGTAGCTCTTGTACTTTAGTGTTCATACACTGTTCCTCTTGTTTTAAACTATTTACTTCTGTCCGTAAGTTATTAATACTTTGGCAAACTTCCAAACAATTTTTTGGAAACTGATCAAATACAGGATATTCGCCATTGTGGAATGGAATCAAGGGTTTCAAAAACAAACGTGGGTGATTTTCAATTGTTTTGTTGTTAAGTAACTTATAACAACGCGCTATAAATCGTTTGAAATTAAAGGTGCTGTTAGTCCGGAAGAAACATTCAAAGTCGTCAATGTTTTCTAATGCCATTAGCGAAGATTTGTTGGCAAGGGAATAGGCAGCAACTGCTACCGTCAGGAACACAGCATCGTTTGCAATCAAATGATCACAAAACACTAACCATTGTGATGATGATAAAACCTCCGAAAACATTGATTGCAAAATGAACCAAGCGTACGTCTTTGATGTGACTTCATTTTTATAGAAGTGTTCCATTAATGCAGGATCTTCTTGCATAATAATAGATTCGACTAATCCCAGTATATTTAACGGTGGTACTGGATGATATTCAAACCAATACTGACAGTAATTAACTAAAATAATTATAATATCAATCAATCGCCTTAAATAACTGTATTTTTCGCTTACCAATTATTGTCATCAATGTTTCAAAACATAATACTGGCTCAGTTTGTAAGAATTTAACAAAAGGAAATATCAACACGGGTAAATAGCTTACTACGGAAAGAAATGGACACCATGAAATTAAATTTTCGTAAAATTGCTTCAAACTTTTCATATCCTGTTTAACCACCAATGGATAATGCTTCTCAAACTCGTTGAATGCATTTTCATAGTTATTACTTAAAATGGCCGCGTATTGCTCTTCATCGTTTGGAAGCTGTAAAAGATTTCTCCAAATTACTTTTCTGTATAAACTCGGATACTCTCCAAATTCTTTCAATATTGCCCTCAGTTTTTCGGTATCAAGTACATCAGACAACTAAAACAAAATAAATAATTACAATAATTTTGATACTTATTTAATAAACTAAGATCTCACTTGTTTCTTTAAAACATCATTTAATAGTTTCTTGTTGGTTTTCTGTTTGGTTTTATAGTTGTTTCTTCTTGAAATAATTTTCAAGTTTCTTTCTCGATTAATCCTTGGTAACACGTGTGCCATTGAGTGAATTTGAATGAGTCCACACCGACTGATAGTAGCAATATGATTTGATGATGGATCCACGGCATACTTCCAAACTTCTTCGTCCATGTTTATTTTACTGATAAACTCCTCCGATTGCATGTCGTAGAAATATAACACGCCACTGCTGGTTAGAAACGATAGGATTTTGTTCACGCCGTCATCAAATGGATTTGGAAGAAACTGAGCCTTTTTTACAGAAAGGTGTAAATGTATAAAGCTGACCTCCTTTATCAGCTGCAAAGTCTCGATACTGAAGACGTAAATTGATGGAGCATGACCAACTACCACCATTAGTTTTCCATTACTGAAATAATTAATTAAAAAAGTAATATTTGTATTATAAATATTTTCATTATTACCTGGTAAAAGCAATTGATCGTATTGTTAACTTATTGAATGATCCTCCTGTATTTGTTCCGATTTGCTTTATTGGATCATATGTTTTTGCTTTCCATATTTGAACAGTTTCATCATTGAAACAAGCAAGAACATCATTACTAACTGGTACAAACATGACCTGTTAAGAATTAATGTGTTAATATTAATTGTTATTAAGTGATAACGACGTACAAATTTTAAAATAGTTCCTTCTTCCAAATGTAACACGTGTAATTTTGTGAATGTTTTCATATTCCACAGTATTGCTTCATTGGTCGCAAGTGTAACGCAATCGTCAGTTTCAGAAAATGAAATATCGTTTACCGGATTTTTGTGGCCCAATAAATTTGCTATATTTTCACAGGTGTACGAATTATAAATCTGAATATCACCAGTAGTTGCGCCCACAAAAAGTGCATCTCTTGGAACGGTATTAATTTTTCTCATAAACTTTATAATGGAACAATTAACATGCACCAAGAACCAATATTTCTTCACAGTTAAATCAAAAACGTATACGTTTCCCAAGTGGTTTGACGCCGCTAGTGCTGATCCTGTGCAGTTGAATGATGCGTGTAAATATCGAACACGTTGGCTGGTACCTTGACCCACAATTAAGGTATGGTGCACAGACAAAACTATTCCATCTGAATTTGCAGGTGCCAAGTTAAATGATCGTCGTTGACATGCGACTTTCGAACTACTTTCGGTATTTATGCTCATTCTGATACAAATAATGCTTGTTCTTGCATTTATTTAATGATTTGATAAGAGTCGACGAACGAATGACGCGTAAATGTCACACAGAAGATTTGTTTCTAAATTAATTTAGATTTTATGCCATGGATATACATTTGTTATTTAATTTTGATTAAATGAAACTTAAAGAAACAATCGGGAATACAAACACAGACTTTTGAATGTTTTAGGTTGGAAGCGTAAACATAAAGTTTTGTTTTGTGTCACCTGGCAACTAGTAAATACAAACATTGACAGAAAATGTACATATGAACATAATGCAGATGTTATATAAGCTTTATTTTTAATCATCATGAAATCATGGCCGCCTCCAACAATAATTTTTTTAACACCTATTGCAAAAACACGATGAATTCTTTTTTTATATATTTTGTATTTTCGCGTTAAACTTGCTGACGATTTTGAAATTTGAATAATGATATAACTGAATTATTTTGGTCTAAGAAAATAAGGTGATAACAAAATGTTACTAAAATAAATAATCCTAAATTCGGTGCTTCCGTTGTTTCTTTTTTTGTTAGTTTTGAAACATTAGAAATGTTACTGATGCTGTAATTTTAGTTCTTTCGATGATGTATTGCACGTTTCTAATTTGGAATATATATTATATTCCAATACTTACTGTTTTCGACAAAACCCTACACAATATACTGTTTTGCGTGCATAATTTTCGTGTAATAAGTATACCTAAATATTGTTCCTGCAGTTTTTTGTATCGGAATTTTTTCAAATTAAGCCTTAACAGCTCAAATGATCTCAAATTTCAAGAGAACCTTTAATAAATCAACATTAAACCTAGTGAAAAACTGTTACTAGAACGGATAATGTAAATTCTCACTTACATTTGTCTAATTCATATTCCATATAAATATTTGTACAATACTCTTGCAAAATTGATCTGATTTAAAATAAATTAGGTTTAAGATAATTGCGTGTTTTTGTTTAGATAATTCTCAAATCTTGCAGCTCTTGTGCCTTAATCATTCTTTTAACGATACCCTCGAGGCAAACCATTCGTAATATTCAAATTCGTAAAATGCAAAAAAGTTTATTCATTCAGATGCTACCACAGCTCAACCCAATTTGTTTGTGCATCTATGACACGGTGTAAATCGGTTGAACGGGGTTTTAAAATCACAGATCATATAGAGAAAAAGAAACGAACTGATTTTATATAAAAACATATCTTATGATCCTAACCCTAAAGTTTTGGGAAGGCATTCGGAAAGCACCAGTTTAATTAGTTTTGAAATAAGGAAATATATAATGTCGACTTTAAAAAGAGTCCAGGTAATTAAATATACTGAATAATTACGAGATTATTACTTGCTGTGTTTCAGCAATGGGCGACATTTGCAAGAATTTGGCATGTCTATGATGCTGCCTGGCAAAACCCTTTTGATTCTGCTAAACTGCTTACAAAATATTTAATGGGATCAAATAAACCAATCTACCATCCAATGAGTATGTTCTTAAATTTACAATTTATGTATTTATTTCATATTGCTATATTTTACTTAAATATTTTTAGATGATTGTGGTGATCATGTTGTTATAATAAACAGCAAAGACATTGCCTTACCAGGAAATGAATGGATTAAGAGGGTGTACTTCCATCATACAGGATATCCACGTGGTGCAAGTTGGACACTTGCCCATGATATGCACAAAAAGGATCCAAGATTAATTATCAAAAAAGCCATTTACAATCATATGGATGGTAACATACAAAGGAGATACACCATGGAAAGACTACATATTTATCCTGACTCAAATGTACCTGCAGATATTATGAAGAATGTATCTAATCAGATTAGACAATTGAGGCCAGTACCTAAAAGATTGGATCATTATGATTCTAAAGAAGTGGAAGAGTTTCCTAAAATTATGGAATATCCTAAAGATTATATCCTTCGATAAAGGTGGAATTACTTATTGTAATTTGTAGTCAGTAAATTTTACAGAGCTAGAATATAATAACTGAATAAATATCTAAAATAAAACCGGCCTGTCCTTATTTTTTCATATATGATCATACATGTGTTGTTACCAGGAAAACAGAGGTTATGTTACATTTGTTGTTCACTTAAATCTGATTTCATTCTACATTTGAACAGATCTATTCATTTAACATGAAATTAACGCAAATTCTGTTCCGCCAACACATTGGTCGACACCTAAAGAAACATTGGATGATACAAGGTAAAAAAGTAGCGCGTGAAACAGCAGCTTTCAAATACCTTGCTGAAAATAACATACCGGTATATGATGCAAATGATATCATTAAAGAAGAAAGAACTATTGAACCGTGAGTATGATCTTCACCAAATAAATTTAATCTACTAAGTTTCATTTAATTCAAGTGTGGAGATCATTGGGTTTGAACCAAAGCCTCAACTCCTTGACAAAACACATCCCAACTGGCATGATAAAATTTGTCTCACATACAAAGACAATAATGTTTTACTAGAAGGATTTAAACAGGCTCAAAGGATAACCAAAACTGTAGAAATTCAAGATGGGCTACCTGAATCTTATATTATCAAGAACTCATCAAAAGAATTGGATGCAAGAGTAAGAAATATTATTTTGAACTCACACATCCTAGATGCTCAACAGGAAAAGTTAGAAAAGATTAAAGACCCTCTGAGACCAGCATTCAACTTTCCAAGGGTGTATGGTGTTTCACCTGATAGGAGAATGTATTTTTTATCCTGTATGCTTTGATTTCCACATTAAATATGAATTTATTTTAGGAAATTGTTAACATCCAAACTGATGCAGTTAATTGAGTCAATGGCAGGTCCACAATTATCCAACGCTCGTTATTTATTAAATGATGTTCAATTTAGATTTAATTTTGAAAAGGCAAGTGATTTGATGCAGTTTGACCTCACTGCTGAGACATTTCTAACAGCAAACAGTGCATTGAGGATGTTAACACAAGATAAAGGTTTAGAGATCACATTTCCTGATCTTCACCCAATCAGTGATACAATCACTCTTAATTTGGATAATATTTACGACACGTCCAATCTTTACCGTAAATATTTGAAAATACTTTCAAATGCTATTCAAACTATCCTTGTGTTTTGTAGCCATCAGTAAAAATGTAACCAAACGCCACCCACACACGATTTTCATCGATTTTAATCATGAGAAAGTCGGTAATGTCTTTGAAGAACAAGTCACTGAAGAGCAAATTATTGGAAGGAGTCTATTGAAGACATTTACCGCTGCCGCAAGTTATGCTCGACAAGAATTCGGTGTAAGTACCACGTTATTGCATTCGTACCAGTAAAAATAACATACTTTTTGCAGGATAAAGTAAAAGAACTGCCACAACCGGTGACTGTACAATGTGTGCATTCTGACGGACGACTTTTCCACTTTGGCGTTTTGCAATTGAACACTCTCGACTTAGAAAATCATGACGGTGTGCGAAACATTTGGTATCAAACACCTCGACTCCAAATGTTTAATGTGTGTGCCTATGTGAAAGGTAAACCAACTTTGGAGGGGTATAACAGCGATGTGATCAAACATTTGATAAGTTTTTACGATAGCGTTTGAATTGACAAATGATGTAGGGAATGCTTTTGCTAATTAAATTATTTAGAGAGAACGTACAACTACATAGTTTACTTTATTTTTATCAATATAAAAGTGAAAATTTCAGCTTGCAACTTGCATTAATTAAAGCTAAATTAACCAGGTTCGTAATAGACTTGGGCATGGGTGCGGGGTGGTTGTATAGGAAATTGCTCAGGAGTATGTCGAGGAACAAACCATTTTTTTTTATTTTGCTTTAGTCGCGTCAGTTTGCAATTTACCGCCCTTACCAGTCCATTCCTCCTTCAGCTCAACGTCACACTCGAGGTCCCTAAGGGCAGCCTTAATATCATACTCACAGTTTTTATACTTAAGTAAAGCCGTTTTTAGTAATGCCTCAGCATCCAACCTGAGAAATTCCTTGTTCTGTTGCCGGCTGCGCGAGACCATGTTCCGAATAGCCCAGCTCGCATTTTTCTAGCACAATCGCATCAATTGTAAAAAAAGAATCATAAAAATGTATTCCATACAATCAACGAATAACTAAACTGATTGCCTACCTGCACAGATTCACTCTCAGGGTGTATCTTCATGGTTTCGATTATAACCAAAGGTGCACCGGCGATGTATAATGCTTCCGAGTTTTCAGTGCTGCGTAGAGTTAAAGATGCAATGCATGCTAACCCAAGAGAGGCGGTAGCTGCAGATTGTTTGTTCTGGTTCAATGTCGAAACAAGGACGGGTGCGGCGCCCATTTTGATAATCTTTGTTTTACACTCGTCGTTTCCAGCGAGAGCTTTCAGTACTTTGAAACATTGTCTCACTAATTTCTATATAACAAAAAAATCTCATCATGAATTATATTAATTCAAAATTGTCACTTACATCGTTATTACTAAATTCTTGCAAAGCTTTCTGGATGATTGTCAATGCGCCGGCGTCATCCACCTTTTTGCAAAATTCAGTGCGCACCAACAACGCGGAAAGAGTCAACAGAAGTTCGTTCATGACAGCTGCATCATTCTTAAACTCTAACCAACGATATTGTTAATACTAAACAAAAAACAAAATATTATACTTACTTTCGAGAAGATTCGTGATTGAGGCCAATGTGTCACTAGCAATTGCTCTCGCATGCTCGTGAGACCTCCCAAATTCTACGCGAATATCGTCATCCAGCACCAAAGCTCTCAAAACGCCCAAAACAGCGCATAAAAGATCAGATCCTGCGTCGTTTAAGAGAGGTTTTAGATGTTCCAAAATACCAGCATCAAAAATATGTTGTCTATTAACGAAATTTCATTATGTAATTTAATTTCACAGGAGATTTCAAAATATATCTTACCTATTGTATTCATGCAATACACAACACTCTTTCACCCACTTCAGAAGACTTGTAATAATCTCCTGATTTTTTGTTTCATCCAAAGTCTTAATAATATACTTCAAACCTTGCTCATCCAAGAGATCTGGTTGTTTTGTCATGAGTGCAATCAATGTCTTCAAGCACTCTAGTATACTTTCATCAGGAACACCAGTCTTCTCCAATACATCTAAGATGATCTTGTATGTGCCATCCTTACCTGCCAACACTTGATAAGTAAGCCCTCTTTTGCACTCAGTCTGAATGCAGGTGAGCACAGGTTTAATTGCCTGGATGTCTACACTGCTACCTGCAGTATAAGACTTCAAGGCATTAACAGCTTCATGCAGCTTCTCACAGTCAATGTTCACAGCCATCAAGTCCACAATAATATGACTTAAATCCACACCCTGAAGCACAATTGCAATGATATACAAGCATGTTTTTTTTTTCATTTGTCATGAAAACAATCAATCATAATAAACATGGCTATAGTTGATTGCTGGTTAAAATTAATAAATTGTTGGAATTAAATACCTGTGCCTCATATTCCTTGATGGTGTCTTTTATTGCATCAGTCAGCGACAAATCAAATTCTTGCATGTTTTCTTTTACAGTATTATCGAATGCATCCTGAGTTATTTGCAGCACCATTTTGATTGCTGACTCTGGAAAATGGGATTATGTTAGCAGGTGTGTTGAATATATGATAATACACAGATTGAAACCTAGCAGTCTAGAGACTGGAATGACTGGAATAAGAAAAGTGGAAAGTACCTTATTTGGTGTGCTGAGTAATTTGTGTTGCTCTGATTGGAATGCAACAATAGAACTTTCTAATGACGTCTTTGTTTCTCCTCTATCACATAGACCACTTGGTTTTTTTAATAGAAATTATAGACTGAGTATTTACGTAGTTTGTTTAAATAATTATTTAAAGTGTATTCAGGATTGTTTACGCGCAGAATGAATGCGACGAAACGTGATCAGCTGCGATGCAACAGCAGACTAACGATGATTCATGCTAAACACAGTCATGAAAATACTTACACATGGACATCAAATACTCAGTATGGGGCTGTTATAAATTAATTGTTTATAACTACTTTTCTACCTTCTCACTAGTCTTTCGGCCAAGGCACAACAATTAAACATTCACAAACCAGCACGTGTTCACGTGTAATAATAATCACGGCACGTACACGAACCAACGTACATCGATTCAAGTGATTCAAGCGCAGCCAGTGGCAGAAAAGAGAACTATTAGCTTTGTATATAATTGTGAACCATGACTACGACGAAAAAGCCTATACCGTTCGGACTCCTTATATCTATACTTCGTGGGTTAAGAGTACGGCACGTACTTAATACTACCCTGCAGACTTGCACGTAACAATAAAGCCGACCCTGCACTCGTAAAACACTACCGTAACATCCTGTACATAACCTTGAAAAAAAGACACTACGAGTCCGACGGCTGTACTAGCGCCAAAAACTGTAGACAAACATAATAATATTGTAGACCGATATTTTTCAAATTTTAGATATTTTTTAAATGTTAGCTAAGAGCTCCCGCAGACCACAAGTTTTTAATCGGCCGATAGTTGGGTCGGGCTTATAATCAGTATGAAGATGTATGCAAGTCCGCATACTACAACGATTTTGTATCGGCCGATAAATAAGTTTGATAGGCTACTCAACTGCGTTCAAACTAAACTATCGGAAAATTATCGGCCGACTGCAATATCAGTATGGAGTTCCTCGCAAGCGCGCACACCGACCTGCACCGACCGATTGTTTAGTCGGCCGACTCGATCAATTCAGTTCGCTCCGAGTTTTGGTACTGGGTGCTTGTGCATTTTGTTTTCATTATGTCGCTGCCCAATTCTACTGCATCGCTGGTTGTAGAAATGTGCATCGTAAATTTAATTGAAGAAATTGAAAAAAGACCCGCACTTTATAAAAAACAATTAAAAGAGTATTCTGATGTAAACGTAAAGAAAAAGTTGTGGGAAGAGGTTTGTGAAGCGGTTGTTCCTAGTTGGAATGAACTTAGTGCCGAAGACAAAACGAAAGAAGGTACGTAACTATTTATTATGTACATATACCTAACACAATAATCTTGCTTTGAAAACAAAGTTTATTTTAATATTTATAGTACAGTCATTTGGTGCTAAAAAACGTGGTTGCTTGGAAAATAGTGCGGGATTGTTGAAAATTGGTATTCATATAGATTTCGATGTGCTCTTTACGAATTTATACTTTGCCACCTCGTATATTGTTCGCTCGCGCCATCATCTTGGAAAAATGGTGCCTAGGAACAGTTTTTTGACCATATCTCCTTTCCGACTCATTTTTCGATAAACATATCTATATAATAAATTAAACTAGAGAAAATTCCTATAATTTATGTTAGTACCTTTTTCTTGTAAAATTAGTAGTTTTAGCGTACGGGCGCCGCAAAGTCTACTTCAACATTCGTTTTTATCAAAAACTCATTTCCAGGTCATCATGACTGCTATTTTTGCTTGCTATGATTTGAGGGTGCTCCTGCTTCTCCTTGCTTGTTTGAAAGTTTCGCCGGCCGAGTTTACTTTTGTTTTATTATTTCTTCTTTGAGTCATTATTACGTATTTATCGTTCTGAATAGTCGTGTTGTTTGCAGTTTTTAAGTCATGGCTGATAACGTAAATTGTTTTATTTGTAAAACTCCGTTGCAAGATAGTGAAGTGATTGAAGTGAAAGAAAAAGGATTGGAGACCTTTCGTAAGTCAAGCGTTAAAAGAAAGGATAATAAGGGAAAACTTTTAGAGGGATTGAGATCGGTAGTTATTCACGAGATATGTCGGAAACGATATAATAATGAGAAATTAATCATTGCGAATAAAAAAGGAAGTGTTGTCACGACTTCTCAACCTCAACTGCGATCCACGGGCCCAACATTCTCATTTAAAGATCATTGTTTTTTGTGCGCTGCTGAAATAACAGCAGAATTTATAGCGAAACAAAAACGGATACGTTTGAGTGATCGAAATATTGTGTATAGCGTACATAAATTATCGATGAAAAACACTATTTCAGAACGTCCTAAAGCACGTAATGATGATTGGGGTAGAGCGATTGTTGAATGTCTCAAGCGTGTTTATGATTTGGTCGCAGCCAATGCACAGTATCACAATTCGTGCATGTTATCGGCGAAGATGTAGATCTTCTTATTCTTTTAACGGCGCTATCAATGTGTTCAAACATATATTTGCTAAAACCAGAAAAAGGAAAAATTTTGCAACAGATCTATTCAACCAAAAGCATAATCGATCAAACAGCGGCAGATCACATATTATTCTTACACGCTTTTAGTGGCTGTGATACAACATCTGCACTCTTTCATCAAGGAAAATTAAAATTTATTAATGTACTCCGCAAAAATCCAGATTTAAACGAAGTTATCCAGGTATTTAAAAACCCAAAGGCTGGCTTCCTTCTTAAATTATACAGTTACAGTGATGTAAAATATGTCTTTAAACATCTATAGATGTTTGCTGGCATTTCACAAAATCAGCATACAAAAACAAATTTAATATTGCATCGCTACCACCAACAGAAGCCGCAGCCCGACAACATTCGTTCAGAACTTATCACCAAGTTCAGCAGTGGTATGGGAATGAACTAAATGCAGAACAATGGGGATGGAAAAAAAGCAAGAATGGGCTAATTCCTGTCACCACACTTGAGCCCCCAGCTCCCGAAACATTGTTAAAACTAATATCTTGCAAATGTAAAAAGGGATGTCAGAAAGCTTGCGGCTGCAGAAAGGCTGGATTGCAGTGCTCCGTTATCTGCACAAATTGCAGTGGTACCTGTTTCTCAAGTTCCATCACAAGATAGCGATGAAGAGGAAGAAACGATTACCGTTTTGAGTACACGTACGATGAACTCGAGAACCAAGATAGTATTGAAAACGATTATTCCATCGCGGATAGTATGGCAGAAAATTTTACCTGTGATATTTCGATCGGTCCTGAAAACAATTAATGCACAACACCTGGTCCATCGCGAAGAGCGAATCGGAAGATAATCCATTAAATTTTGGAATAAGGCGTGTGGATTAGGCCTACTGGGGATACCACGATAAAAAGACGCGCCACGTGCTCTACCTCATGGTGGTGTGGAAATGAGTTTTTGACAAAAACGAATGTTGAAGTAGACTTTGCGGCGCCCGTAAGCTAAAACTATTAATTTTACAAGAAAAAGGTACATTCATAAATTATAGGAAATTTTCTCTAGTTTAATTTATTATATTGAAATGTTTATCGTAAAATGAGTCAGAAAGGAGATATGGTCGCGAGCGTACAAGATACGAGGTGGCAAAGTTTAAATTCGTAAAGAGCACATCGAAATCTATATGAATACCAATTTTCAACAGTCCCACACTATTTTCTAGGCAAAACTACCAAATGACGGGGCTATTAGGTATACATTTTTATTTATTTACTTACATAAAAATTGTTACACTTTGTTATATTGACACGGAATGGAGCCTGCAGGAGAAATAAAGTATGATGACATATACTGCCGCACGTTATTCATATCATTTCTACCTCGGTTGTTTTCATTTATCGTTAAGTTGTTCATGGGACAACTGTGAAGAGTGTCTGTGAATTTTATTCCATTTTTGATTCGTACAAAATTATGTAGGACATAAAATACGCCATTTGTTGGCGAGAATGCCGAAAGAACATTCAATGTTCTTTTCATGTTCATTCATGCGTCAAGCTCTTGTATGTCTATAGTTGAAAATTCGCTTAAATTTCTTTTTGCATATTGACTTAATATGTGATTTGCAAGTCCAAATGCTTCATCGCCCACGACAGAGAATGGCATAACGTGTTCATCATCATCATTGGGCAAATGCCTGCCGGAGGGAATATTTCATCGGTTCTCGGAAAGTCGTTTACCCACTTCAGATGTTTTAAATATTTCTGAATCACTAGCCGTTCCATAATTTATAATCTGCGTCGGTCCAAGCCATTAACACACAAGAAAAGAACTTTTTGTAGTTAAAATATGACGGTTCGGAATGTTCTGGCTGTATTATCCGTATGTGCTTGCCATCTATTGCCCCAATAATATTTGGAAAATTTGTACGACTATAGAACTCGTCCGCAATTTTAATCCAGTCACCATGTTGTTTTATGGGCATATACAGCGGTTGGAGTATGTTCCATATTTGCTCACATGTAGTTTTAGTAATATCTCGAATTGTCGAAGCTCCCATTAGATAAATAATCAAAGGACAACGTATTGAAACTTGCTCCAGTGGCCAAATATCTGTACAATAATAAATAAATAATAAATATATAACATCACACATCACTTCTCTATGTGGTTGCAATAAAGTGTATTGTATTTTTTTTTTCAGGTCGAGAGGTGCAAAAGAGATGGGCTAATTTACGGACTTGTTTTCGCCGAGAGTTGAATGCACAAAAGAACACAAAGTCGGGGCAAGCTGCGATAAAGAGGCGTAGATATGTCTACTATAAGCAATTACTATTTTTACTTCCATGCATAGAAAATAGAGACCCGGAAAGTAACCTGAAAGAGGATAATTCTCAAGAAATTGACGAAGATGATGACGAAGCTGGTCCATCTACTTCTACACCTATCCCTAAGCGGAAGAAGAGGGCTAATTTACCTAAGCATACGGATTTAGATGAACCATTATTGAAAGCCCTAAATGAACCGAATGTTGACGAAGATACAAACTTCGCTTTATCTCTTATCCCTTCATTACAGAATTTAACCGCAGACGAAAAACTCGATGCTAAGATTGGTATTCTTAACGTTTTTAAGCAGATAAGAATAGCCAGGCAATCTACTTCTCAGTCATCATGTAACTACAATTAATTGTTTAAACACTTTGTGATTTTGTAATTTTAATAAATAGTTAAATAAACAAATAGTGGTTTAACTTACCGAATAGTGACGCTCAATCTCTCCTCCACCGGTATAGAAAGTCTTAAATTTGTATCCTCCTTAGCTATGGTTGGCCCAATTAACTTGACAAGTTCATTGAAGCTAGTTATGGTCATTCGATAAAATGCGAAAAACTTTTTCGGGTAATCTAGTAGTTTTGAATGCATCGTGTAAAATTTTACATTTAATAATCTATCACTGTGAATGGGATGCACCCAATACCTACTTTCGGACTCTCTTCTTGATTTTTCTCCTCCGTTGTATCAGAGCAATTATAATATTTCTGGACAATATTGTACTACTAGTAACTTTCATTATGCGACCGCTCTCTTCAACGGTAGCTTACAAAGTAAAAATAGTCGGCCGACTGTTGTCTAGTCGGCGTACTCACGACACACCCAACTGTTTAGTTGGCGTATTGTGCGCGCTAACAGCCCAACGCGATCAAACTATCGGCCAATAAAAAGTTTGTGGTCAGCGGGTGCTCTAAATGGCTGACTTTATCTAAAAGTCAAAAACAAAAAGGATTCCCATACCGGGAATCGAACCCGAGCCTCCTGGGTGAAAGCCAGGTATCCTAGCCACTAGACCATATGGGATATATAAGCTTTTGTGTTTTATGCAGTTATATGTTATAAAGATTTTAATTGCTTTTTAATTCTTAAAAATATTTCCACATCAAATTAGCCGAGAATGTCACAAAATAAAATAAATTAAACCATTTTGTTTCATCAGTCAGATCCTTTTGAATTCGCATATCTATCACCCGAAAAGAATCCCATCAAAAAACCTTGAAATTTATGTAAGCAATAATTAATTTAACACCAAATTGAAAATGGCCAATTGTATTCCACGTGGACAAGGTAAATATAAACAAATATTTGGCAATTCGTATTCTAAAATGTGAGTAAAACTGTTAGGGCCTGGACCAGGAGCGTATTATTTACCGCCGATGGTCGGATTTCCCAAACATGACCCATCAAAGTATCGTAACCCGCAATATAGCATGAGACCAGCTTGCCAAGGTGCGCTGCGCAACGTTGGACCTGGTCCATCCTACGACATCAGTAATATGACCCGTGTGGGCAAAACAGGCGCACCAGCATATTCTCTTATTTCAAAAAAGAAAGAAACTTGTAAGGTAGCACAATAATAAAATGAAGAATTCAACAAAATTATTGATTTATAGCTAAATTTTCAACCCCTGGGCCGGGGGCATACACTATCTACGAAAAGATGAAGAACCCAGCATATACAATGTCTTCGAGGCAATTAGGAGGATTAAGAAGTGCTAGTCCCGGGCCTAATCAATATAACCAACCAACTTCTTTGGGACCAAAAGTGCCACATTTGATAGCTGCACCAGCCTACAGCATGTAACTATAACTAATATTATATTGCAAGTAAAATTTACTGAAAAGATCTTTTTTTCCCAAAGAATTGGAAAAAATGGCATTTTAATGAAAGGACTATCACCAGGTCCGGCAAATTATCCAGGTGTGCCTACCGAAAACTATCGCACTAAAGCACCAAGGTACACAGTTCCGGGTAAACTTCCCCCGGCCTTAAAGTCAGCAACACCTGGACCCGCAGCATATCTTCCCAACCCCCCGAAAGTATGCAATGCTGGCTACTCATTCGGTTTAAAAGTCTGCGCAGCCCCTTACATCACAGCTGATGATGAGCTACCTTGTATCGTGCGGTAACATCAATCGACCATGATCACCCATTACTCATTATCAAATCCAAATTGAAGAAATACGTAACTTAGAAAATACACCACACGTAAGACATTGTCGTATTGTATTTAATTGTGTGAGAGTTTATTTGTCTTTAGAACTCAATGTAAACACATATGTCTAAAATCCTCAATCAATGCCATTCATCGTTACGTTGACAAAATAATGTGAGAAGGGTGCATTGATAACAGTGCGCATTTCGTTGTCAACGACATGAAATCATTTTGCATGTTTACAAGTAGGTGTTATAATATGATCTCAAATAACTTAACTAGTTAACAGTAGAAACACAGATTAACTAAATTTGTACAACTGTAAAAATTCTTAAGTCACATGTACTGCAATGTTTTTTGTCTTAATTAAATCGTGGATATAAATAACTTGTTTCATTCCTTTAAAAATAATTTGGTAATAGATCCCATATTGGTGTTCAATGTTGAATGTTTGCAATAAAAGTTCAAATTTCGAATAGAAACACTACCGATATGAGTTCTTATCACTAAATATACACAAAATACAATGATTAAAGATATGCAAAAAGTTTCGAAAGGCTCTACAGTTCACAAGAGGTGATAGAAAAGACTAAGAGTAGAAAACTTTGTAAAAGATCATCATCATATCGCTTTTTGCCTAATGTTGAAAATATGAATATTAAAATTGTCTTTATTCGTTTAGTATCTATGTCTACAACCTATAAGATATTCAGATAGGTCGATTCCCGAAGGGAAAAGTCTCAAAAAGTGTTTGCGTAAGGTGTATCTGTGTTTGTGTGTTGGTTTCAGTTTGATTATGTTTATAATGTAGGACACTCACATTTGTTTACTTCGTAAAATACTTCACAATTATAGACAGTTGTATTTCGTTACAATTTACAACAATCACGTGTACATACTTGTAGATACTTGTGTGTAAGATATTGCCATCGACGTAAGAATAAATTTCTGCATTTAAGTACATACTTTTGATATATTTATATATGTATAGAATTTGAAGACGTGAACAATCAACATATATCATATTTGGTTTCGACTTGAGCATCGGCTAATAAACACCCTATTAGTTAATAAATATATCTCTTGGTTTTGTGTATTTGTGTGTGTATATATATAACTAGTTATCGTTTGCTTTTGTTTAATTAAATGTAGATTAATTAAACTTGTGTTTACTTGTCGCTTTGTAAATATTATACGTTCGATTTCTTTGAAAAAGGCTCGCACTTTCGTGATTGTACATTCAATTCTCTAACATTACATTCTCAACTAGATCTGATTGATATAAAAATTGTTTAGGCTAACTTACGTGGGTAACTTAAGTTGATTGAGTGAATAAATATGTGTGCACAGATCATTATAAACAAAACAGATATGACTAGTAGTAAATATTGTCAATGTGTAGGTCGGTAATTTTGAATTGGTTGCATTGATCATTGTTTAGAAATTATCACAATGGTAAATACAAAATTATTTTTCTTACAGAATAAAATGTTAATTGCTGAATTTTGCAAAATAATGATCAATGATCAATACTGACTGACTGACTGACTGACTGACACGTTGGTTTAGTTGGTAATTAATTAATTTCGTGAACATTTATTTTGATCTCGTTCGTTCGGACGCTTCGTTTGGTGTATGATTCGTTGGATGGCGTTCGGTGCCCTCTCATCAATTAATCAACACATCGTCTCTGATTGCATGTGCAAACTAGTTCTGCTATCAGCCTTTCGGGGTTGTTCCTGTGCAATGGGTAGCTGGGACGAATCCACAATAATAGTGGGGCGTTGAATCGATGGTGGCATCAATGGAGCTTGATCTGTACTGTCTTCAGAACCTTGCCTTTCTGTAAATTCTAAGCATATCATCATTAGAGATGTAACTATGCAACTTGTCAGACAATAAATTTGGTTAGTTAACTCACTGAAAACCGATGAACTCGATGTTGGAGTGACGTCGTCTTCAATGGCGGTGGCGCGGCGTAATAAGCGATTGTTGCGGAATTCACGCGATTCCTGCACTACATGGAGCAAAGCTGGATTGTGTGAGACACTGGAATTGGACTGTGACTGTTCCTCTTCCTCATCGTACTTTCTTTGGATGAGGTCTTCCATGAGTTTGTAATCGTTCTCTTCGGCGTTGCGTAGATGTTGTTTCTCCATGAAAACGGCAAACTCAGGATTGGACATCTCAGAAGCGCAGCGCCGGCGATGTGCTATAAAAAGAACAGTCTTCAAGTCGTTGCAACTACGAAGAGTCATCTGTTCGATTTTAAGCTTTTGTAACATGAAAGAAAGTAATATTTATGGTGTTAGTCAAATAGTGGTGTTAGAAATATTTAAGAGCATCGGCAGGCCAGATCAAAGATGGTGCGGTTGAGTTGAAGTTGAAAGCTTGAAATCATGCCCCAAAGAATGACAAACACCAAATTGAAACCACACATTCATTTATACATGCATCTCCGAGTATAAAAAGACCAAAGTGGGTAAGAGGTAAAAGCAAAGGAAATATATCCTCAATCCCAGAAATGTGCCCCATCAACCCATATATCGTGTGTCGTAGAAGAAGAAAACAGCTAGAACAGCCAGAATGTGTAAGAGCAATCAAGATTGAAGAACTTGTCGGGGTACATTGCCAAAAAATGAAACAAAGTTTGGCATTCCTTTTCCAAAATCGTGTCGGAAAATATTGCAAAAAAGTGTTGAGTTTTGTTGCGATTTTTAGACGGTGTCCAAGTTCATTGGTTGCTGTAGTTTTTTAGTTGGTTCTACTAACGATTATGAATGGGCGGCGGTGCGGACTGTCCGGGCCGAGGCGGTGACAGTAGACGGGGCGTGCGCGGCGGGCTCAACAAGCCACACACCGACTCCAACTCGTCTGTGATGCTTGTATACTCGGTGTGCATCGACATGAGCATCGCGCGAGGATTATGGGCGTGTGCACTCGTCGTGGGTGCGGTAGACACACCACTGGGTGCGCCTCCACCGCTTGAGGGCGGGATCACGTTGATTTGTGGTTCGGCGAACTTCACGCTGCGCCCAGTCGGGAGATGCGCGAGCGGATCGGAATTATCGGGTTCGGATTGCGTTTGGGATAGTTGTCGACGCGACAGGCTGCGCTTGCTACTCGAAATCGACTCATCTCCTGCAGGAAGACACAATTTGGAACACACCAGATACGAGCGCATTATGTTTAGGTTAAAGAAACGGACTAATAAAAAAAACTAAAGTGGAAAAATAGCCATAAATAAAATCAACAGAACATTTTCAGAACCACTGAACGATAAACACAAATAGACAACATAAACTCGAATGTTTCTCATGTTAATATTTTTTTTGCCAGAAGTTGGTTAATTGAAGAAGTGGCGAAAATGTTAAAACAATAATTCGATGAAAGTAACAAAGTTTTGAGAGAATTTAATATTAAATAACATTGAAGAATACACATGAGACGACCAGCCAATATTTCAGTTCTAGTTTAAACTTATATGACTAGAATGCGTGTTTAAACTAGAACTATTGCCTTCAATAGCTTTTATGTCAAGAATTTGAACTAGTACCACTTACCATATCCGCCTTCGGAGTTCCTCCGCCCTCCGAACGAATCCCGTCGTCGATTTGCATACCTATATTTCAGAGGATCCAACGTCAACGCCCCAGCTGAAAGTTTATCGTGTTCTTCATCGGCTTCGATTCCCCGTTCGCTTTCTAGCGATGTTTTAGACTCGTAGCTCCTTTGCCGCTCGTCAAGAAGATGCAACTCCATACGACTCTCCGCCGCAGACATAACATCCATGTCCATGTGTTCGTCATCCTCCTCCGCCACTGTCCTGACTTCAAAGTGCGCCCCGTCATCAAATATATACGCATCGGGACGCACCTCCGTTAGGGATCGCGTGGGCTTACGCCGCAGAGTTGGTTGTAACGTAGACATATGCGACTCATCCGACATTGCCGCCTCGGAACGTTCACTGGCATGCCGTAACCGCTCCACCTGAATGGGCGGTGGGGGCGGCTCGTCGCTCATCTGGCGTGTCGCCATAAACCGATGGATGACACCCAGGTGGCTCATAATATCCGTCGCCACTTCTTCCACTTTCCTTAAACGGAATTCTAGAGATTGTAAAGAGGTTGCCTGCGTGTTTTCTTTGGTATTAATATCATCCACTTTCTACATTAATAATCGAAAAAAGGAATAAATACGGAATTAAAATACCCGGAGAAATTGTTACCTGACAAAGGCTCTCAATACGTTCGGTAGTAACCTTGATACGATCCTCCATGCTCTGCTGTACCTTCATTTCTTGCTCAGTGAAGTATCCCTCTACACAATCCTCTTCAAAATCATATAACCTTTCCATGTCCTCCGGTTCCAAGAAAAGTTTCAACCCGTTGTCATAAGTTTCGCGCACACCTTTCAATTTTCGCTTACAGTATTTAAACAGAAGGTACATGTGACATATGAGAATAAAAGGTGGTGGTAAAATTGGCTTTTGTTCGTATTCCATGACGACCGTAAATCTCTGGAACATCCACACTTGATGAGCGACTGCATTGACCTCGTTGAAGATGTTATTAAACACCGCGATCAACAGATTAATCAATAAGATATTAGCGATCAAGAGATAGATAGCCATCACAGCAGGAGTTATCCACCTGCCTGTTAAACATTCGGTTTCCTCTCCTTCCCCACACGGTGGATCTATTGAATCGGCAAATACCTCACCGTACAACATGAAGTACGGTTCAAAGAAGACATCACGTGCGATTCGCCAACTAGGTTCTTTGTTTGGATACAGAATAGCTTGTCTACACACTCCAAAACTCATCAATACAACCAGTAAAAGCACCACGAAGTAAATCATGTTCTTCACCATCTTGCCCATCATCGTCACCAGTGGTCCTGCAATTATCGACATATGACCATCAACACTCATATCAAACAATCATCAAGCGCGATATGACATACCCAAGTATTTATTTACACCTAAAATATTTAAAATTCTAAGGTACCAGTATATGCTGTCGACACAGTATATAACACGGCCGACCTCCATAGTAGACGGACGGACGCGCAGCGCCACTCCGATTAGGAAGAAGATGATCGCAATAGCGTCACACGGATTCCACATGTTCCACGCCCACACTGCAAACTTGTGACTGACCGCCACGGGTTCCGAGGATATAATTTCGCGTATTTTTTCAAAGCCCAGAGAGCAGATATACGCAATCGAAAGGTATTCCTGCCAGCTGGGAGTCGGTTGCATTTTTACTAGTACTGTGTAGCTGAAGATGATTAGGAAGAGCAGATATGAAATCTAGAAAGTCACAAGGTCAGCGCAAAGTATTAAAAAGTAAATTTGACAGTCATTACGGAGTTGGCCCAAAATTTGGTGATTGGTGCCGTGAAGAACTCGTAGATCTTCTTTTTTAATTTAAGAGGACGCGTACGCTTGTCAGGATGGTATTTGGCGCTCTCATCGAAGGAGAAATGATATTTAGTTTCGTCCATGTCGGGCACAACTTTTCCGTTTTCTTGAACGATCGTCTCACGAGCGATAAAACTATCCGACAGCAATGCCTATAGAAATAACCATCAAGATTAGCAATATAAAGTTAGCGAACAATTTCTTAGATTACACTTTCAGAATTCATCAAATTCCGCTCAAACTTTGTAAAGGTTTAAAAGGTCTGCGTCTTTGATAATTCCTGAATGTCAATTTAAGCGTTGAAATGTTATCCGATGTTAGATAAAACATATTATGCATTATTGGCACGATGAAAATTAAGGTAAGAGGTGGTTCTCATTTGCAAAATGGCTAACTACCTGATCCTGCATCGGCAAATGTGAAAAAGGAGGATTTATACTGCCGGAACTTCCCCGCTAAAAGTACGAAATAGATATACAAAATAAAAGGAAAATTAAACAACAAAAAATAACCAAAACAAAAATGAAACGAACCTCGGAGTCACAACCAGCTTCAGAATCAAGACTTTGACTCTTTTCGGATTGTGAGCGGTCATCATCATCGTCATTTTCCCAATGTTCTTCCTCAGTCTGCGGCATCAATTGCAACTCTTCTACAGTCTTAAACTCTAGGTTGCAAATGTATGGTGGAAATAAAAGACTCAAGATAACCTTTTTTTAATAAAAAATAAATTAAGTTTTAAAAAATTAGAGCAAATAAAGAATATGTGAGTGTTGCTGATGATAACTCACCTTTAAATTTGTATTCTTCCTCGTTCTCAATCCTCCCATCCAGAGATCAGCCAAAATAATCTGTGAACAAGGATGCGCCAGTAAAGCCCGATGATTGGCCGCTACCGCGAGGCTAAGACACGTCTGCCCCGACCAATTGGTGAGTTCGCATGTCAAAAGCTGTTGAGCCATATCATCATCCTGCCGGTAGCAGTAATCCAATAGATCCAAGGCAATACTCTCAAACTCCTTGCCGTAACTGCGCAACTCTTCATACACCTCTGTTTCCATATCATCTTCGGCTGCCTCGTGTGCCATAGCTTTGTAAAGCTTGCAAGCGACCAGCGCTTTTGCTAAAGCCTCCTCGCCGTGCACCCACATAAGCGACGCCATCTTCTGACGTTTCATCAACACCGCCCAGATCAACAATTCATTAAAAGGATAATCAAACAAGCACAGATTCTCATTCTGTGGAATAGTCGCCGCTAGCAAACTCATTGCATTGCCGGAATATCTCACAAACGATGATGAATTACGATGAATCTGTGGTGTTTTATTCATCACCTTAGCGTAAATCGGTCTGAATTTCCTACGTGTGTAAAAAGCTCGATATGCTCCACCCATTAATTTATTTATAACCAACCCAATGTCGTGAAGGGTATAGATGTATCCACGAGGAATATGTGGCCTCACATCACGAAGAATGTAGCCTAAAGTGTTACTAGGACCCTGTTTAGTGTTGTAGAGTTCTTCTAAACGTGGAATAGTCAAAAACTTTCGCATATTCACACCATTTTCAAGCAAAAGTTTGACGAAATCAATGCGGTCGTGTTCCAGCGCTTGCATCATAGCCTCTTCCAAAGCTCCTTTAGGCCATTCCTGGCCGTATACAAAAATCTCTGACCTGGCTATATCCACACGATTCCACGTCAACGCAAGCGAAAGTTGTTCGGAAGGCGTAAGATGCTGTGATTTGAACAAGGCAGTCAAAATAGTTTGATCTAATTCTTGGGCACGAGAATCAAGTCGATCCGAAATTCTAAACACTGTTATCTATTCGTGTTGATGGTAAATAACATTAATATTAATTCAACGAATTTGATAATATTAGTACGTACTAGATTTTTTCTTTTGGTGCATTGCAATAACTCTCCATAGAGACATTCTGCTTTATCAATGTCCACTTCGAAAGAGCGCTGAATTAACGATAGAATATAATCCTTCATATTGTCCATCACCGGCGTGTCGGTATCGGAAGCGTATCTGTAAACAACGTGCTTTGATGGTAGATAATGTTCCGCTAAGCGATAAAGAATGAGGTGATTATAAAACGTACTTGTGCATGAAAGCAATTAGGTCAGCGGCGCGTCCGGAGCCGTCGCACACCACCACCGGCACTGGTGGGTCATCGGTGACGTATTCTAACACAGCCCTTATCGTATTCGTCCCACCTTCTATCACAAGACATACCACGGGTGTTGTACTATACGTATCTGCAAATTTAATTTGTAAAGTTACATCATAATAATTTTCAGCAGGATGCGAAGAACATAAAACGTGTATTGACCCAAAGATTATTTGGGTTTATCCCAAGCGGTGCTTCCAGTAAGTTAATATACGCATTAAGGATAAATTATGTATTCCCGATTTCGTTTTAGATTTTAGATTTCATACTTCAAATTATTCCAAGCTTTATACAATATTAAAGTCACATTAGGCTGATCATTTAAACTGTACTTAGATTATACCCAATGTACATTATAAACTAATTAATTTAAAGCAGAACCTTATATATAAGTAAAGAAAAAATATAAAAGTAAAGTTTCAAAAGTTCTCAACTTAATCTGAGGATAATCTGCATCTACCTGAATATGCCAGATAATAAAATAAAAGTTATGAATAGAAGTCTGACAGTTTTACGGGGTCTATGCTTTCTACAAAAAGAAGTAGAAGTACTATTATTCTACGAAGAAGTGTGAAGTGGATTAAAGTGCATAACTTTCCAGCAAAAGTTTCTGAGACAGGAAGACTTACATTCGGTGCCTTCGAGCTGCCGCTTTTGCGCGAGGCTAACACCTTGAGCTGATTCACAGATCACATTATATTGTTTAGTAAAATATGATATATTTATTTCTAATTTAAAACAAAATTACTTACATGGATGAAGTTTCAGCTGAGAAATAAACTTTTCCAATTTCTTCCTCATCACGATCTCCGCACCATACATTCCCTGAGTGCCATTATCAACTAATAGAAAATATGAGTGTCTATTGTTTAACACAGCTAATTTCGACCTGAAACAAACGAAAACTAGTTTGAAATGTCAATAATGATGGACGTTTCCGTTTGACAGTTGCAAATCACGATAACGGATGGAAGTAAATTTGTAAATTCGCCCGTGCAAGCAAGTCATGGCTTGCACCCGTTCAAAATTCTCGTAACATGCTCAATTTTCGCGCCCTACGTGTAGGTGGCCAGGTTCTGAAGGAAATACTATCAAAACATGTGTCGCTTCCAATCTTGCCACATGGATACTATCCATTTTCAGTCACCCCAAAACGTGGGGCAATACCACCTGGAACCAGTGGACACACACCTGGAAAACCACCGGTACCACCAAAAAAGTTCCCGGAACTACTCTATTTTCCAAAATTCTTTCGTTGGCTGGGCATGAAGATAAGACTTAAGTATTTGAAACGAGTATGGGATCCAGAATTCAGCGAAGGTGCCTTCATCTATGGCTCCACGCAAGCAATATGTCGTATTTCAGAAATCGTTCACTTCGATAAACCAAACGAATTGAGAAGTCTACTTACAGATCAAGCTGAGAAACAATTACGAGCAGATATGTTAGGTAAATTAACACATATACAGAGAAAAGTAATATTGCTCAAACCAACCGATATCAAACTGCTGGTGCCTATCAAGGTGCAACTGATAACAGACAAAGAAAATCGTAAATTATGCCTAGTTATGCTGAAAAGTCTATCAATGAAGTGGTATCAAGAGAATCAAAATCTCAAGTTGGTGTTGATTGTAATCGACACAGAATTTACCAGAGAATACACGCAGGGCAACAAGTCGGAGTGGTTTGTCAGTTTGTTCAAGATTGTACAATGCGCGTTGATTAATGGAAGTGCGGGCCCTCCAAAACCACAAGCATAAATACATACATAACACCTGAAAATAACCTGAATATAAAAATAAATTACCTTGGAGAAGCTATTGAATGATATTGAACATCCCTGTTTATTCCAATGAGTTCCTGATTGTTTTCGATGATGCCCCAAGGTGCAATGCCCAAAGAAATGATTTTACCGCTGCGTTGAGATCTTTCAGTCAGGAGTGCGTCTCCGACTTGTCGTGTAACACCTGAAAAAACATAAAACATTGAAAATTAGAACTTTTTGCTTGTTTTTTTTTTCTTGTTGAAACTTTAAGGTAACTTTAAGCTGTGTTCCAAACTTGTACGTTTAGAATTATTACTTTGAAACTTAAATCTTGGGTGGAAAGGTTAGAAGCTCTTTAAGATGTAATTTATTTCACCTGTATTGGTTCCACTGGTAAAAATCCATGCGCCGGTGGTCTTGGCGGCTTTGAGCAATCCCTTTCTCAGCACCTTCTTTAATTTCGGCTGCAGTTCAAAGTTGGCCTTGCCTCCCTGCACGGTGATAAGCAGTTTCGGCGGCTCGAGATTCCACTCCCGCGTGAACAATTGCAGAATCAGTTCCGGGCGCGTGTCGTGCGATAGACGAACGTACTGCAAACAAACAAGACATCATTATTTGCACATCTCAGTGCGTCAGAGTAAGTTTCTACAAATTGACTAACGCAAGTTACAATTCACAAGTCAGAAGATAAACTTGCCTCGAAACAATTCGAAGAAGTTTGCTGCGCAACCCACAAAGTTACTAATTTGTTTGCATTATTAATGCCTCTATGTTTTGCCCTGTTCAAGTGAGCAGCCGTTACGTTGCGAAAATGGCTTTATGGTACATTAAATAATTAGTTTCAATTTGTATAAGATGCGTTGGGGATTAATTTTAAGAAAATTAAATTTTCTTCATCTTCACTTAATTTCTTTTGTACGTAAATATTAAATAATAATCAATCTACACGCGCCATTCATTAAACCCCGCAATTACAATTACTAATATAAAGTTGAACATTGACGCGTCTTTCTAATTGGCAGATTGCCGCTTTTCTGTGTACTAACAAGCCTTTTGTTCACCATCGCCGCTGTAATTATACGCAGTGTCTAAGAAAATAAAGTTGGAATGAATTGACTCGAAAAACAAAATAGAATCTACGGTCTAGTCATCGATGGAGTGCGCAAGTTTATGAATACGACGTCAGTCATTCGATTTGAATGCGAATTGTCTCCTGTAATGTTTTATGTAAATTTGTCAGCGATGCTCTTATTCTAATGACAGTGGAGTGCTTACCAACAAGGAACAAGGGCAGATGTGACAATGGAAATGTGTCATGACAATACAAAGGTAAAAAGATATAGTGTCAAATGTTTGTTACATTCATCTTTCACTAAAAATAAACAAAATAAATGTTTATACTGTTACGCAGAATGCCTGTCCACGTCTGTTTATATAATATTCTCTTTCATATTTAATAGGTCCACTTCAATTTATCTTGTTGTGGAGAAGTTTATTGCGAGAAACGTCTACGCGATTTATATTCAATGTTAGGCAAACCAATAAACAATTTTTTTTTAGGTTACGTAATATAGGTTATCATACAATTTAATTTTGAGGTTATGAGTGGAAATCTAGTATTACGTAAAGTAAAGAAAGAAAATATAAAGAAAGCAGTAATATCACAGAACATAACGCGTGATTTATTCACGCAATCCAACGATTGACCTTTGCCACAAAAGCCACCGGTCGACGAGGGGCGAGCAAAACCCCTGGAAATCCATAAATTAGCAGCGCTAACGTGAGCCGCGACGTACTGACCCACACACCTGTCGGCCTTTTTCAACCACTGCCACCCTCTCCCACCCCAAACGCTCACTTGTTGTGCGTTTGCGTTGTTTTTATTTTATTTTTCATATAATGCTACTGTACATACACATATGGAAATGTCAGGTTACACGTGCCACTTTACGAGTACACGTGGCAAGTAATAAATTTCTTTTAAAACTGGACACAGATATGAATACCCACGAAAAAATTACGGTAAAACATTTAGTAATTATTTGACTGTGATTTTAGAGTTATTTTACGTATGCAGCTGCAAATATGCAAGTCCAAACTAAATTGCCAATCTCGCCAAAAAGAATTCGTAATTGCGGTGCTTTTTGCGTCCCTCTCTTTAGATGAAAAACCTTTTGCAGAAATGCTGAATTATCACGATGAAACGAATGGACAAACGCATTTTGTAACTTTCATAAAAAAAGCTTTTAATAATCGCACTCACCACTCAATCTAGACTCATTTTTTAATTTTTTTTTTTGGGTAATATTACCTTTTATCAACACAAGGAAAAATGTGATAGTGATAGTTATATATTTTGTGCAAAGTGAACGTGCCATGGAAGACCCACTCCAACTATATCAAGCATTTATTGCCTGAGTGACCTAATTTGATTTCACCACTCCGGGTGAAAACCGTTTTCGTTAGAAACGTAATTTTCTTTTCGCGAACATTTTTCGTTTCTATTTCGACAAGATGTATGATACTGGTGAGTATCATGACTGAATCAATTATGATGTTATTACGATTCCTCTACAAAGACTGAGTAGAGGAAATTTTAAAATGATTGCTGGAAGGTTTCAGCATATTTCATAAAAATATTTTTAAAAATATTACGTATTGTAAAACTTAGTTGCTTACAGTTAAAAAATGCAGTTCCTAAACATAAACCTTAATTTTAATAAAGCACATTCAAAGTTAAAAAAGTATTTTTAGTTTTATAATATTCATGATATTTTATAAACTGCAAAAGAACATGCAAAATGTTAGAAAGTTCATGAACAACAACACAAACTTGAAATGAACAGTATCGATTTTCAGTGTATTGTTGGTCGGAAAGACTCAAGAGGGGAATAACAAGAAAGAGAATAACAAATAAGAAATTCTGCTCTTACTTCGCGCGAATCCTTTGAAAAAGTCATAAAAAACTAAATTATTAAGAGTCTAATTTTATATAATCCTGATTTACTCTTAATAATTTATTTTCTGTCTGGAATATATAATAAATAAAAAAAATAATAGCAGACATAATTTAGTAGGTACTTTTAAGTACTTAAAATAATTTGTATTAAGACGTACGTGAAACCATTAACGTCAAGCGATGTAATGAAATTATTCTCTTATAATTAATTAATTAACAATTAAAGTACACAAAGTTTGATGGTGTGGTTTACCTGAGCTTTGGTCGAATGCGCCCCGCCCTGGAAATCGAGGGTGCCGAAGGCGTCCGTAGATGAGGTGCGGGTGTTCTTCGACGGCAGCCACATGCCGTCGACGTGTAGAGGATGAGGCGGTTGGAGGCCATGGTAGCCCACGGCACGACCGCAACAACATCTGAAATAAATGAAATCACAATTAAGGAAACTATTAAGTGATCCAAATCTTTTGTCTTTGTGTTTACGAAATGTTGTGAAATTATAATATATTTTATTTTTTATTTCAACTTTTAAAATTAAAAACAGTTAATTAAAAGATAACTCTGGGGAGCAGACTTTTAAAATCTTTTTAAGCTTGAGCGTTCTTTTCTTTGCTTCAAAGCGAAAGCGTTCCAGTTAATTAGAAAAACTTGACAAACTTATTTTTGTTTAATCTTTGCATAGATTAAACTTAAAAAACGGAGAACAATGCATATCAAAAAGTCAATTTTGCTTCCAGTACTTTAGAGTTTGCGTTGAAAATAGGTACTAACTAATATCCATGTGATATGAGAGAAAGTTCGATATATTTCGTCAATATCTTAAAAATTCTAAGCTAAGTTTGGAATTTAATAAGTGAACCAATAACGCTCCCAAAATTACCACCACTTGGAGTTTGGAATGTCAATACTCTCAATACCCAGACCTTGGGGAGCAAGATGAAAGAAATATTTGTCTGATGAAATGTCATCGATAGTTATTTAGAATTTTACCAACATACAATTCACGCGCCAAGAGCATATTGAACACTGAACACTGATATGGTAGTAGTAAATAAAAAAAAAACACGTGGTAGCCAGTCTGATTGGAATTGATAAGTGACCTAGAGTAGTGACCCACCCCGTAGTCGAGATGTTCCAGTCTCCATGCAAGTATGCGATGCAGGGATACAAAACCTTCTTAGAGAAGACAAAAAGAACAATTACAAAAAGAATTCCGGCTAGGTATGACATTTTTATACTTTGGTGCCTTCATTCTTTGGGGAATCATGGGGAGTCATGGTTGTATTCCTGTATAATCCCGAAGAATGTGGGTGAGAAATGCAACTGAATTGGTTTGGCAAACGACATGCTCCAGAACATTCTATACAGATGTAAACCAAGTGCTTACGAGTATGTGGATAATGAAGTGCCGCGTATTGCCGGCCGTGATGATTTTATCTCATGCTCGTTCACAATGTAGATATGAAATATGTCATGAGGACGCAAAATTTCATACACTAAAAGTTAAGTATATTTTGAAATTATTCTACTAACTTAAAGTATATTTATTTGTTATTTTTTGATGAAACTATTATTTCACTAAAACAAGACGTTTTAATCTGCCGATGAAAATTGTATCAATATTCAGTAACAAAGAAAAAAGTGTTTATTCACGGCGTAAATTGTGCAGCGGTATCATTACTAACCAATTTATAATAATGTATGATTTCAACGATTTTATTTGGAAGCAATAGAAATATTTGTGACTAAAAAGTAAAATAACAACCATTTCTTTTCACACATGAATTTACACCGAACGTATGCAAATAAGATTTGCCTCTCGACTACCTTCATGCATATATGCATAACGAGTGTCGGAGATACGATAGGATTTTCCTCGATTGCATGAAAATGGAAACTCTGAACTGCCAACAATACAGGCTGTGACTCGACAGTACAAAGAGTACAAAAAATCGATATTCCTCCAGGAAGTAATTAAATATTAACTAACCAACATGTTTTAAAATTTTATTCGCACTGAATTAAAAACAGTACACTATTTGAAAACAGAAATTTTAATTTATTTTTTTCGAAATAAATTGTATGCTATAGTACACAATAGTAGAGATTTTGAGTGACAAAACAGTGGATATAAAAGTAATTCAACGAAAATTACTTTTAAAACAGCATTAAATTTTGTGTATGTAGAAATTTCGATTTTATTTCATGCTAAACAGGACTTTCAGTTTCCGCAATACAAAGTATGCAAATGGAACAATTAAACCTCTCTTATAATGTAAATTTCTGCGCCGTTTAACGTTCGTCCGCCAACAGTTACACGTGTCCCTATAGTGGTTGTGCTCCTGCCTGCTTCTGAAGTTTGATCCTTTTTTGCGCGACTACCTGACATTTTTTCGTCATCCCGTCCATTTGCCTGCCCCATTTCCCGAGTGCAATAAATGCGCAAAATGGGCACGTGTTGCTTCGCCCGGTTGCTTTTACGAGCCCAACAAGAGAAAGAAAAACTCAAGCAGTGAACCCACAACCTTCAAGATATGAAAGCAAAAAATGAAGAAGAATGTATGGAATAACAGAAAGCCTAAAAAATAACTCAGTTTGCCATTCCGTGCATCGCAGGTTTTCTAGTTTTCAATTACGTTCGAACGATGTTCTGATATTTGAAGAGGATGCATAGCGCACAAAATGCCTCTACCCACACAGCATATTACTGAAAATTCCGAGTGAGATTGGAATATCACACATGAGTAGCTCTTTTCGAATGTATACCTATTGATTCACTGAAGAGACGAAGCAGAAATTCTTACTTTGATAAATAAATAAACTTGTAGATATATTTTTAATATTGCGCAAGCAAATAAACTGCTTTCTTTCTCTGGATATTCGTTGAAACGGAACGCAAGTGTAACTTATAAAACATTGAAAAATTGCAATTTTTATGTGGCGTGACTACGGAGAAGTAGACAAATGTCCTGAGAAAGGGAAAGAAAATGTGTTACGTGCCAGGAGGATAAAAATCCTCCGAGGATTATCGCCCTGTCAGAGGCATGCTACTTTTTCTTACGTTCCGTCTATTTTCGACACTACACCTTGTCAATAACCATCCATGTTTTCTGCCAAACACATTATCAAAAAAAATCAGGAATGTTGTAATTTTGTGATAATTTCAAAATTTTCTCATAAAATCATCAGGAGAGAAAAGATTCACATGTATAACAAATAATTTAATGAATTAATTGCAAGTCTCGCTAAAACTCAACAATGAATATACCTATTTTTATAGAAGTCTAAAGAAAGTTTGAAAAGTGAGAAAATATGAACAACTAGCCTTTGCCCGCGACTTCGTACCGGTAGTGTTTAATAAAATGTAATTATAGCGCGCCATCTCGGATTCAACTATTTAACTATAACTAAGATTGAATCTCAATGCCAACTTTTATTCTATAAAAAAGGGCAGTCTTTAGGGTTTTCCCGGCAATTATTCGATTTTTCTCGCTACAAACACCATCCTTGAATTTTAACTAACATTTAAAAAAAGAATTGGCCAAATTAGTTTAGGCAATGTTGAGTTATGCGCTTACAAACAGATTTTGCGACTTAATTTTTAAACGAAAATTGGGAAATCAATTTAGTTACTGTCCAGTTACTTTACATTGCAAAAGTATACCTTGAAAAGTGTAAAATAATGAATGAAGATTATTATATAGATTCCATCATTATATAGCTAACTTAACTAACTTATGATGCAAAATTAGCTTTCTTCATTAAAATTAAAATTTGCGAAGTAGCCATACACCTAATATATCAAAGAAACAAGAAAAATATTTATTTTTTACTAAAATTTATTCAAACAAAGCCGCTGTCAAAAGCTACTCAACTATAAGAAACCAGTCTATAATATTCTCAATCCGGTAACAAACACACAAGCGCATTGCGAATACCTCCCCTTGTTATCGATTTCTGCGGTAGCCAAGAGCAACGTGTTGTATAAATTTGGAATCCTATGTCGCTATGACAACAAGCAATAATTGTAATTATTGCAAAGTTTGCAACGAAAATGTTTACTTTCACTTACATCTTACTCTATGTGTTTAACAACCTGCAAACATTATCCTTTTGGGTGTTTGAAATATTAATATTTCATACAAGTCCTCCAGACTTGGAGAAACCGCAGAAGGCACCAAGGGTTGAATTAGAAGATACTCGGAAGATGTGTGAGGCGTAATTAAAGACAAGCCAGACTTACAGAAACTGAGTAATACTCACAAAGAGTCCCAATGTGTCTTCCAAAATTAAATTAAATCCAAGCGTGGTAGATTTCAAACTAAATTAAAAGTGAAATCTTCTCAGGAAATTGGTAGATGTAATAACAATTCAAAAATTTAATTTCAACTAAAGTAGGCTTTAATAATTTACCTAGACTTTTTTCTTGAGCGGAGAGTTGAACGAAACTAGATGAAACGCCTGAGCACCATGGAGATTTAGCAAATTGTATGTAATAAGAGCGGTAAACTCGGTTTCCAGCGGAAATAAAGCTTCCAAGCATATGAAAAAACATTGCTTCTCTGCTTAAGGTGTAATTTGTTTGTTCAAGGACCAACAACTAATATAAAAAAGAGGTAATATTTTAGCACACAATTTTTTTTCAAAAATGACATTAAAAATAAGTACCATTTGAAGCATAGAATATCAGTACAAACTTCAAATCATCTTAATAAACAAAACTTGAAGTGTAAAGTAGAAGAAATCTACAATTGTAGAAGTGAAATGTCACCTATTATTGATAATGGTACCAAAATGCAGTTCAAGAGTCAGTTGCGTGTTGAACACCAAACTAGAAACACATTGGACAACATGGCAGTAGCAAATAAAAAAAGAAACACGTGGTCGCCGCTTCTACGGGCAATCGAATGTCCAGCCTGTTTAGAGTTGTTGACTGGTAATATTCAAATCTGTCGCAATGGACATAGTCTGTGCAGTAAATGTCGAAATGCTGTGCAATTTTGTCCCTTGTGCCGAGGCCTCTTCACCAAAATGCGCAACTATACTCTGGAAGCACTAGTGGCGCTGTTTGAGTATCCATGCAAGTATGCGGAGGAAGGATGCGAGACCTACTTAAAGAAGGCAGAAATAGCTGATCACCAACGGAATTGTGTGTACGTATTAATCAATTTTAGTAAAGTGGTCTTTTATTTATTAGCAAATAACTCAGTTATAGGACGTATCGCTGTATGATCTTGAAAAACGATGGTGGAAAATGCAACTGGATAGGTTTAACGAAAGACATGCACGAGCACGCGTTAAGTGTGCATCCTGAACGCGCATGGATGCAAGAAGACAATTTAGACAGATGGAAACCAGGTACCGATGCTGATGATGAGGTGAATCTGGTCGCTGCATTTGATAATCTATTTTATCTCACACGACTGGTTCACAATGAAGTTATGTACTGGTGTCTTAATTTAATTGGACCTGAAGATGACGCAAAATTTTATTCATTGCAAGTATGTATATTCGAAAATTACATTTCAAATTAGATTGCTATTAAAATTACAAACTTAATTCAAATTAATTTGTGTTGTTTTTAGATGGAATTTTTGACCAGACCAAACTCGCCGAGATCCATTGCTTGGTCTGATATATGCCAGACAATAGATACTTCACCCATGAGTTTGATTTCAAAAGGACTGTCTTTTGGATTACCGAAAACGGTTATACGAACATTCAAGTACGAAGCAAACGGTGTTTGGTTTAAGGTGCAAATTGTGAAGTCGAATCAACTTCAGGAAACACTCGTTAGTACCTCAATTAATCACAGTGAAGACTAAATTAGTGACTATTTACTTGATTTTAAAAATAATCTTAAGTTATTATTAATACGTGATATAATCACTTTTTATAACCATGAATCAATTCAATATGTAAGTTTATTTTAAATTAAACGAAATATTTATGACTTTTTGCAAACTAAAATTTTTCGTTTCATTCATATACTTACACCGAGTGTATGCAAATAAGATATGCCCGACGACTACCGTCATGCATATATGCATAGCGAGTGTTGGAGATACGTTGGGATTTTCCTCGATTGCAAAAGAATGAAAACTGAATTGCTAAGACTACTGCTAGTGAATCTGTCAGCTTGCCAGTTTCTGTCAGCAGTTTCGTCCACGTAGATTTTGATAAAAAAGTAACTAGTGTATGTTTCGATTAAAAAGAAAGAGAAATTCTCTTCTATTATACATATTTGCATTAATTTTAGGCTATTAATGCACTTTAATCCAATTCTAAAATATAATTCGTTACTATTTTAGGAAAATAAGAAATTTTATGCAAATAAGTTCATCTAAGCACCAATTAATCATGATAAGAATGAAAGATGAAGATAAGAACTAAATAAGGTTGAAACGAATATCGCTCAGAAGTCAACAAGTCCTGCATCAATTCGCAATGTTTTAAGGACCCAACCGGACTTTTCATAATTGAACGGATCTTAGCAAAGCAAGAGTAGACTACTAGTAAATCAATATTTTTTAAATTTAGGTTGATATTATGTAAGAGTCAGTAGGCTGCTTTAAATTATTATTTTTATTTGTTTTGTATTTATCGACAATGACATTTTAAAGTAACAAAAAAAAACTTCACCGTCCGAAATTATTTAAGTTGCAATGCATTATAACAAAAGACTATGTGCTGAATACCACAAACTATGGCAAAACCTCCAGCTCGACAATGGCGACAACGACGAAGAGAACGTAACTTCCCATTTGAAAATCTCAAGGAATCCCTTCATCAACTTCTACCGGTCTTATGAACTGACACATCCTAGCCAAACCATCATGTCCCTAGCATCGCACGTGGCCAAACTGTGGGCCAAAATGAACATGCACGAAAAGAAACGCTTCACCCACAAAGCGATAATGAAACTACGACTTAAACAAGACAACAACCAAAGCAGGCCACCTCTATTAGATACCTGTTCGTTGCCGTACGGAAAAACAGAATTTTCTACAAAAGAAACATCTTCGGATATGCAAATGAGTACTAATAGTGCACCTCCAGAAATTGAGAATCTCAGCAAAAACCCTATTCAAGCAGGTATACTGGAAAGCTGTGTACAACAAGGAGATCAACAAAACCAAATTTTTATCAAACCAGAATTATGTGCAGATACTCTCTGCAATTTAAACACAGACGAATGTTTCCAACAATGTGATCCATTAACGTATGACGCTGCGATGCAAGTGGCTTTTGCAACACCAGAACACTCGAGAAATTCTGTCACAATGAAGGACAACTGGAACCAACCATCTAAAATTTCATTATCACATTTTACAAAACCAAAGAGGAAAGAAGAAACAATTTCTTGTTCCAATTCACCAAACAGCTCAGTTGAATTTATTGGAGTAATCAGAGGGCCATCTTTTAATTTGAATGATTCCTCAACTGATGAAGAAGAGGAGTATCAACCAGAGGGAACATCATCAGGTCGTACTATCTATAAACGTATTGCAAAAACCAATGCCATGAAATTCCAAAAAAATATAATACACAAACCAAATACGAGTCCAATAAAGAACAGTAGGAATCTGAAACGTAAACGAAGTTCCGAAAGCAGTGGTGTGCAAAGGAAACGGAGATACGAGTATAACGGTAGTAAATCACCAAATACAAACACTGCTAAAAGACGTCATACGAAGGATACTAGTGACGTAGTAAGAAAAAATACACGCACTATGAACAAAACAAAACATCCAATAGACAGACATATAAGCCGAAGATCACACCTTGGTGGGAGGTCATATAGAGATATCATAGTTCAATTGGGGAAAGATATTCGTGCGTTAAAAGAACAACGCCGAATGTATGATAATCTTTCTAAGTTATACGACGATTCAGGCAGAACTAAGCAAAAGAAGAAACCTTCCCATGATAGAAATCAAAAACGAAGAAACCGAAATTAAATGTGAAGTAAAAAATAAGTTAAATTCTAATAGAAATGTACTACGGCATTGATTATTTTGGGCGTAATTAAAGTTTATTTAGAATAAAACAATGTAAAAATTATATAAGTGTCTACTATTCTTCTTGCCATCTATCAAAATTCCATCCATCTAACTAAAATTAAAACAAAGTCAACAAAAATAATTTATAATCAGGAACAGATTTTAATAATATTTGATTTGTAGAACCTATCTCCTTAAATTGAGAAGGCATTGAGATTTCTTAATAATATTAAGTAAGGTAATGTTATCCCAAAATCCCAAGAATGAAGAAGCCTTCTATCACGCAACCATTAATGTTGGGGTAGTTTCCGAAGCATGCAGATAAAATCCTAACTAACATTATAAATTCAAACCGAGGAAAAACAAGTAGGCTACTGTTGTTACAAAACTAATACTTGAAAGGTAAAATTTACTATGCGGATTATACCTACCAATTCGATACAATAAAGCGTGCCGCCTCGAGCAGTACATGAATTTCAAGCTTATGAAAATAGTATCAAAAATAGTATCAAGTGGCTAAACGGAACCTTTCGTCAGGTATAATCAATCGTGTGTTTATTTTTTCTATTTCCATCATAAAAGTTTTGTATTCGAACTTTTGTATTTTAAATCTTCGAAATACGCACACTACTGGGAAATAATGTAATTATAAATGCCATGCCGTGTGCTGGGCCATGTAGCGCAGCGCCAACACAGCAGGAGGAGAGCATTTTTGACTTCTTTGACGGCACATGGCATTTCACAGTCTTGGGCTGTACCGTAGGCAAATACGCAGGCGCAAGCTCCGTCCCGAGACAAAAGTTACTTTAGTCACGACTTTGACCGTTCGTGTTTAAAGTACCACTGTTTGTGTCTCAAAACATTGAAAAACAGCGCTTTAAAGTTAAGTAAATAATTCAAAACATTTTTCGATTAGACTGTGCCAAGTTCGTCAAAAACAACTACATAGTAAAAATAAATCAAATCGCCCATTTTTCTTTTGTTATTTACATTTCTATGTTACAATAAACATTCAAATAATTCAGTTTCGGTATTTCAAAATTATCAGTCCGCATTCACCATCAAAATTAGCAAAAATATTCAAAATTATCAATCATCAAAATGAAAGTAGCCAATCCACAACCACCAGCCGCCTCTGGAGAAGAAGATAATATTGCATCCGACTGGGGAGGAACTGAAGAAGTCGCACCCAGCGATGGAGCTTGTAAACCGAAGAAAAAAGCATGCAAACCAAAGAGGAAAAGGAAAGCCAAATGTAAAGGTGTATCAAAAAAAGCAAGGCGCAAGCCTAGCACTAAAGGAATGAAAGACATACTGAAATCCGGCGAAGTGTGTGGACAGCCTTTAAATAAAGTGATTGCTAAACTGGATAAAGAAATTTGTGATTTGAAGAATAAGCGTAAAATGTATAAATTTCTCTACCAACGCCGGAAGAAGCAGTTGAAGAAGTCATGCAAAAAGCAGGCTAAACGTGACGGGGAGAAGAAAAGTGATTGCAGTAAGAAATCCTAATAATAACGACATGTAACTAAGAAAATATTGAATATTTTTGTCATTGAATTTTTGGAAATACATTAATATAAAATATTTTTGCGTAATATTTTTAAATTATAATAATGACATTGTCAAAATCCAATTATCTACGAACTACACTGATTTTTTTAGTCGGATTTAAATTGAATATTTTTTATTGTTACAAAACTAACCTCTGTTCATCTGTGGCCGACGGGATAAAGGTGTTGCATTCCCTTTTCTGAAAATTCGATTCGATCCAGGTTCGCGCAGGCGGCTGAAAGAAGAGCAAAATGAACATCAGAAAAAAGTCGACAGGTTTTTTAAATTATGCGATTTATATTTAAGCATTTTTTCATATTACGTAATTCAACGTCGCATAACAATATAGAAATATAATGTTTGTTTAACAATGAAACAATACGGGCCCCTAAAAGGTACGTAAAAAGTAGATTGGAAAGTAAAAAATTTGAAATTGTGTTTTTAGGCGCATAAGGCATAGCAGGTAACATTAAATGTGCATGTACCGGCTGCTGTAGCAAAATGTGCATGTGAAATGCATCGACAGTTTCACAACGACGTCATTTGCCTTCTCATTAAACTTTTACGGCAAGTGCACGCGCCCTGTACTAATTGCGCGTCGTTAATTGAGCCATGAACACAACCGGAAACCATGAGTATGAATGTCTACGCCATATTGTTTATTTAAACATTGTTTAGTAAATAAATTTGGTGTAACGCAAAGGAAACCTCGGGATCATAAGTTCAAATCATATTTGATCCTTTATCACTGATATCCTTCCGTTTTCCGCCTTCCGTATCCGTAAGTATGAGATTATCACAACGCCTTTGTGTGCCTTTATATCTCGCGCCCTTTGTGTCTGTAAAGCTTCATTCGCAACTTGCGTGCAATTTCCAAAATTCGCTCGCAAAGTTTCGCGCACACTGCGCCCATGAATGCGTAATCCGGAATCCCCGCACATGCGGCGCGAGACCCGGCGACTGCACCAAAACATCATGCTCCGTTTTCCATCTCCACATCTCCGGGAACCTCCCGTTCGACCCAGTAACCCAAATTGCCAACGGTAGACACTCGCGCGTATCCCACAAGCCAGGCTGCTACGCCGAGACTAAAGTAGTCTACGAAAATGTAATTTTCCTCATGGCAATAAGGAAACGCATGGAAAGCTCTCGGAAATGTTACCTCTCTAGCGTGTAAACAGCATACGAATTTCCGGAAGGTTTTAGTAAGAGTTTAGTGAGAGCATCCGTCGACATGACACGAAACTTGTTTCTAATCAAAATAAAGAATTAGGTTGGTAAATTGCACTACCTTAACTAACATCCTAACTAAAAATGTTATTATGAATTGTATGTTTATTGGAAACGCTTTCGTGAACGGAGCCTCCCCTCAATTAATTTCGATATATTTTGATATAAAGATGTTTCTAGCAAGGAAAAACAAGTAGGCTACTTTATGTCGCAAACATAATTTGAATAAAATAAGTTGAAAAGGTGTATCATTCATAATTATGGTTATATGATCCAAATTAAGATGGCGTTGCAGTGCGATTGTCGGAGATGCACTGCTGTATTTCAAATCTCCGTTTTAAAATTAAAATTGCGAATCTGGTTAGCTGTATCGGTATACAATGGGTGTAGAGAACATGAAGGTAATTAGCTAAGTAAAGTTAAGTAAACACTTACTGTACGCTACCATTGTATTTCAATGAAGGTAATTAGTTAGGTTACATTTTACTAGAATATACGCGAACGCAGTGGCAAGCAAAAGCTACATTTAAATAAATATGAATCGTATTTTTATCCATTACATTGCTTCATTCAAGAATTGCACTGATAGCCGGGAATTGCTCGATGTCACAATAATATATCAAGCGGAGAGACACAATGTCTGCGAATGTTTGCTTACATCGCGTTTTGATTTATTAATGTTTGAAGAGCGTCTCATCGAAACAAACTGCAATGACTTTAACTTTGCACTAACAAGTTGCGAAAGTTTCAATAAATAAAGCGTTATTAAGCACAAAATGGGAAAATAACTTCATAACAACCAATTGTCACTTATTCCTAGTGATAGTTTAACTTTTTCATAAATGATAAGAGAAAGACGATTATAGTATATTAAGTACCAAGTGGCTTTATTAACAACGTTCAGCCACATACTGCCTACGCGATTTTTCCTACTTCCACTCTCTTTCCTGGTTGAGGTTTTTATATTTGAACTTTTGTATCTAAAACCTTGGATATTCGCTCGCAAAATACTGATAATTGTAAAGTTATAAACGCCGTGCCGCGCGCCAGATCAGGTCGAGTCGCGCTGACACGACGAACATCAGCGCATGCTTTGACTTGTTTGACGGACGACTCATGAAATTTCATGTGGTGTTGTGCTGCATCGTAAGCAAATGCGCAGGCGTAAGCACTACCATTGACTAAGGCCCGTAACTAAAGTACTTTAATCACAATCTTTGTGCCTCTTTTCAAGTCTTGAAACTGTGAAAAAAGTGGCGCTTTAAAGGTGGAAGTAGACGAATTTATTTATTTCTTAATTCTTAATCTTGCATTATAGAACTTAAATTGTTTATAGCTGTAGGTGTAATCATCTAATAAATGATATCTTCGCACAAAAATATGCAGTATTTAATAAAGATTTAACTTTTATAATAATTATAATAATATTATGAATAATTTTCCAATAAATGACAAAAACAGAAAATAAATACCTTGGTAATTTTCCTTTCATATCGAGCAAATGATTCTGTAGATTCAAACCTTACAGTTTTCGACATATTTCACTTTAATTAAACTAATCATCCATCATTTAATCACATAATCACTGTATCAGATACACACCCACACATTAAAACTTAAATTAAAACCTGTGTCTAGAGTTATTTATCATTAAATTGGTGCGTAATTTGTGTCATTTAAAATCATGCCGAACCGGTAATAGAATCATTAATTAATTCGTGCTGCGGCTGTTTGCTGTCGTGCACTCACTGCCGCACGCCGGAATGTTCACTAGAGTGTACCTGTGCTTGTGTGGTGACTGTTATCAAAACGATGTTTAGAGAGATAATTTTTAAATACACACACCGTCTGCCTTTGGATAGAGTGGGATCAGACGGGCAATTTATTTTACCACAGTAGACAATTATTCTTAATTGAGTGTTCAAAATTGGACTTTTAAACAACAGATTTGTAAGTGATTTTGTTGTTTTTTTTTTAGTGGAAAAACTAAAAAGGGAAAAATGTAATGAAAAAAGATCAAATTTAATTGGCTGAAGTTTCAATGGGAAAAATTATCAAAATTACGACATTCTGTATATCCGACCTTACAAAAACCAGAAATGCGAAGAGAGAGATAGGTATCTAGATAACAGCGAATGCATCAGAAAGACGCAGGCATGACTGAGCACAGTGATCGCACGCGCCTGCTATTTTATACTTGTGCCCGACCCGCCTAATGAAGTGGGAGAATGTACATTAGTTACATGACTAGCTGCGCGCTAACAAGTAAGCGATCAGAAAACTGTGTATAGTGTGTTAGGAGTAAGGAAAGAGGAAATAAAAAGAAAGAAAGATCAAAAATTAAGTGTTTTGTAAAAAAATTAAAGATAAAATATCAGGACCTTAAATCAATAGATATTTAGATAGAATTATTTGACCGTAAACAAAGTTAAAGATTACTCTACTAAGTCAGTATAAGTCAGTATATGTGCTAAATATGAAGTAACCGGGCTAATATCTTCATTTCACCAACATAGTTGGTTCTATCTACGAGTAGAGGTACTTGTTATCCATTCAGATTCCACAATCACATCACTAACCGCGCAAAATACCATTGCAAATAGAACCACTGCACAATTACTGAATGTGCATCTAGTTTATGTGAGCAATCGTTGTAGATAAGCTTAATTAATAAATTTATATATTGATTCCAGATAATCCTCATAATACACAACTGAACAGTAACACATTGTAATAATGCAGCTATGTATACAATAAGTTACTTAATTAAACCAAGTTATTATAGTCTGCAATACGAAAATAACTAAAACCTACGTAACTTTAGTTATTGAAATCTCGGGAAACCTCACAGATGTTACAATACCGAATTAAATTGTGCAAATGTCAGTGAATGAATTAAGCTCGCCTGAACTTTATAAACTAGTATAAACCATTATAAACTACAACCCATTAACTTTCATTATTAAAACTTTCTGCTTTGTTTCACACGACTTTTTAAACTTAAATAATTCCTTTGTTTCACGAGATAAATTTCCGGTTCCATTTGCAGATCGGTTAAACGGACTGGACTGCAATGATTAATTCAAGCAACTTTCAGGCGTCAGCCGGTCGTCAGTTGTCAAAGGACTCCGGATGCATCCATGCGGAAAACCGTTCCGAATTCAACGCCATGCATAATTGATTAAATCTTTATTCATCGCGACATCTCTCTGAAGCGCTTTCAAAGTGAATATGATTTGAATATAAATTAATTAAACTCTGCATGTATACTAGGATCATGCAATGATACTGTAACAAAGTTGATGTAATACATTCATCACATGAATAAAATATGCATAAGTAAGTACGAATATCAATAATGATGATATATTCAGGTCGAGTTTTCCTTCGATACACTTTGCAGCTTACTCTTTGCATTGTACTGCGGAACATGTGACTGAAATTTTATCCTTGCAGGAAACATGACAGCTTGAAAGCCTCTTCAATTCCTGTTCCTTGAACACCGGATGATAAAGTTTACATAAGCTAATGATATATGTTTGGGTAAAATTTTATTTTGTTGCAGAGTTATTTCATGCTTGTTATTTTTATTTTTCAATTGCTTTTGATATTTATACTGAAATATCTTGCAGAACTTAAAATCCAATTATAATTAATTAAATTTAGCCTAAAGCGATAATTAATGCCACAAAAATTCAATTCATAATTAATCAGAGCATTTATCCGCAAAAAAAGCTTATAAACGAATTGCTTTGTTTAATATTATTTATCGGGCGATAAAAAAATAACCAGAAAATTCCATGTTTTATGCTATAATTCGTCTAATTGAATAAAATCCTGTCTAAAGGCATTACAAATACTCGTAGGATGTTTGTATATCTTATCAAAGTTCAATTCACTTTCACACAATTTCATGGAATTTGTTGAGTGCATCGTTTACTTTGTAATAATAATAATATAATTAAACAATGTAATAATATAGGATTAAGTCTATTTTCTAATCTACAATATTATGGATAATAAAATATGTAATAGTTTATAATTAAAACATGCACTGTGTACATGTGCAAATGATTTAAAACGTAATATGTATTGACTATATTACGCTAGAAACAAAATTGTAACCTCAATATTTAACTATCTTTGGTTATATATAAGAGAAAAATTCACTGGCGACTGTTAAAAATGCATTTTTAATTATCTTCTCGCTTATTTGTAAATGCATGTAAACGCGTGTACGCAATAAAATTAAATAATTACTTACAATGTATGATGAACAATGATAAAGCCAGTCGGCGCAAACGAATGACATAAAATAGCGTGATAATGTGATGAAAACGCGGAAAGCACCAGCACACGTTGCGAATCAACATGGAAAGCTTTAATTAAGGATTAAGGATTAAAGCGACGCGCAAAATTAATAAAAGGCGCTAACATATTATCCCGACACGAAATTTTCGCATTTTTACACCACGAAATAAATTTTAATTAAAATAATATTCATTGTTTTTTGTTTTCGTCTCATTGTAAAATATTAAAGAAATATTTTGATTTGTTTCTTTACCTTATGATAATGCTTTCGAAGCAATTTCAACGCGTCTAGTTCCTGTATACTGTTCGAAAATCGCTTCTTCTTCTTCGCGAAGGTCATCTTTGTGTCCAACCGGAGCCCCACCATTAAGCCAATCAATATTACTTGATCTATTACCTCTCTATCTATAACGAATACTTCCTTCCGATTCGCGAACCTTTGATGGCGCACGAAACTCGCGATTGTTACATCGCTTCAATAAACAAACACACTGCGTCGAACACGAGCGTGTCTATTTCGCGCAGATCGGACCAAAGATAATCGAAACGGTCAGCACGACGGCCATCTTTGCGTAGGACATTAGTGATCCTGCTCCTGTTCAACCGCGACACTGGTGAAACCAGCACTGATAATCCGGCCGCGATTTAAAATCCATGTGTAACGAATAATACTTATCGGTTTGAACTTATTTTTTAAATTCAATACTTTGATTATGCACGTTTAATTGGCTATTAAGGTGATGCTGATAAGTGCACGTTGGTGGCGTGCACTCGTCGAGCACTCGGATACTCACTTTGAAGTGTGCGAGGCGTGCTGATACCGTGACTAGACATCGTGCGCACCGCACACACACGTAACTGATAAAGTATTATTTCTTATCGATAAACAAAAGGCTGGTGCGAGGCGGTCAAGAATGGTATGTTAGATATTTCAATGTGCATTAATATCAGTTTGAAGTTTTAATAGTGGCCTTAGCGTATTGAACCACTTATATTATGATAATTAACGCAAACATGCGGATACAAACAATTTTAATAACTAGGTAATATTGATTGCCTATATGTTCGGTATTTATACCGCTACTCAAATATTAAAACTTTAATGCTTGCTTCTAACATTCATCTGCTATTTAATCTATTTAAGGTAATTCCTGCAAACATTGCACAATAATTAGCGGTCCTAAGCAACAGTTCGTAGTTTTTGCAGACGGTGCATGTGATTACCACTAAATGCACTTTTTTGTACCGCTCTAATTACTAAATGCTCATGATGAGAATTACGTGGCTTGTGTGATGTGAGCGTCGGGGAATCGCAGAGAGTGTCGAATGCCACATGAAAACGAGTGCAATTTGAACAGTAGTCCGGAGTCACCCAACTCTAGCAACTCGGATTACCTCATTAATATCAAATTATAAGTTAATGTTCAGTAATTAACGCAAAATAGCAAAATATGCATAAAACTTTTATTATCTTAATATTTTTATAATAATAATAACAAACAAAATTATTATTGCATAGCTAATATTATAAATGGAAATGTGAATTTATATGTTTATTTGTGACACAATCACGCAAAAACCACAGTATCAATATTAATAAATTTTGGGATAGACAGGTATATCTTTTACTAAGAAAATAAGACATGAAAGTTAGTTTGGAAATTCAGTCATAGTTAAAGTTATATAATTCAAATTGAAATGTCGCAGAAAGGCACTATAAGAAGTTTCAATTCCCCCAAATTGAAAATCGTATTGGCAGAGTCGGCACAAATTGGCTCAAGAAATAAGAAAGCAATTATCCTAGTTAGACTACTTTTTATTACACGAACGAAGTCGCTAGCAAAAGCTGTAAAGTAATATAAAAAAGAAATTCCTTTTCGCGTATGTCTCCCCTAGGAGCAATATACCCTTTCTAATTTTATAGTCTCATTTTAAAAAATGTATGGACAAATCAATTAACTTAAACAAAACAATAAAACAAACCATAGATTCATGTTAAAAAATGTTGGATTTTATAGCTAAGTTAATTTATTGCCGCACGCGCAAGATTCTATACCAGTGGGTCATTACCAAGTGACAAGGCAGTTAGTTTAATAGATCGGTCCATATACATCTCCGACCAATACGTAATGCAATTAAACAGCACATCAGCTCTGCGACACGAGAAACTGTGTAGCATTAGTGTGTTATGTAATGACATTCATTTCATCTTATGGGGACACAGTTTAATTCCTGATCTTGAGCTCAATGTCAATACAATGAAAGGTTAAAAAGTAGTGTTATGTTAATTATGGTTGCCTACAGATATTATAAAAGTTAAAATGAATTTTCTTAGATGCAAAGAATCCTTAACCCTTTTCATAGGTCATAGAAGGTTACGTCTTGTTATTCGCTGGTTGTTTTCCTTCCTGTGCGCGATCATTAATAAAATTTCTCACGCGAAAGTAAACACAAAGTTCAAGCGAGAAATTCGGTATTTATTGATTTTTGGCGCGCGAAGTGAAATGCGAAATAAACAAATAGCACAAATATACAAGAAATAAACCTACAAAAAAAAGAAACGAATAAAAAGGTATCATTGTTAAAGAAATGTATTTCTCTCAAATCTAACTTTAAAAGTTAATTACCTATTTCAAAGTAGCAAATTTAATTGTAGTGTTAACAGTTATCATATAATTAATGAAGTATGACACGCGCACTACTATTTAACCAATAATCTATTTTATCAATAGACGTATGACCAATTAATATTAATTCATAGTTGTTACAGAATGTCTATTGTCATAGTAAATATTTGTAGAACGCAATAGTAACAATCGATGCGTAGCCGCACATGTTGATCAATCCCGCCAAAAAATCAGCAAAATCAACAATCATAAAAAATACAAATACGAAGCAAAACCATTATAATTTGAGCCGCTTATTTTGAAAGTGGCCTAACTCCATTTATCTTCAAATCGAGATATTGAAAGTTTTGCGTTTCAATGAATTTAAAAATATACGTATAAGATACAAAGGAGTCATACTGCTTAAGCGTATCTTAGGATGTTAAATTTACTGTTCCTGTTAAAGTAGTGGCAATTATTAAGTAAATAACGTGCGTTTCCTTATCAAGAATGGAGTTGGGCCACTTTCAAAATTAACAGCCAGATTCATTATAAAATTTGAAGATGCCCAAGTCCATTCAACATAATTTAAGATGTTTCAAATTGAAGAAAAAAAAAACGTCTTCGTTTCACAGGCAGCTTCGTGAAGTAATACATTTTGTTTGTTAAAATCTGCCAAACCCCAAAACTTCTCAAAAATATTCTTTCTTTCTTCTTCATTATAATTTTTTGTGCACGCATTCCGACAACCACAATCTTTGGTTCGAAATTTTTTTCATGAACAATACTTCCGGTTTAACTGCAATATCTTTTTCCTGAATTCCGTTTTATCTTTCGCACTTTTTGGATATATGGTGCATCAATCTTTTCTCCATTGTTATTTGAATCTTCATCCTCTGACGAGGAATATTATTTTATAACTCTTTTTCTTATTCGCTTTTTTTAAATTATTAATTACTATTTATTTTTCACTATCTGAACTAAGTGGTCTTCTTCGGTTCTTCCTCATGCTTACAATAATTTCTATAATTTAATATTAAATTTTAAGTTTTATATTAATTAAACGTACAGGTTAATTAACTAACGCATTTGTCCCGAAAATGAGGTGGACTTGTAAATACTAATTAATTGAAATTACCTTCATCGCTGCTTTCCGACATTATCAATAGTAAATACCTTGATGTAACTATAAATGGAGTTAGGCCACTTTCAAACCACACGGGTCAGTTATTCAATTAATTCGGAAAACCTATGTGTAAAAAATGTACCGTATTTTCTCTGAATATAAGCAATCTGAAGTGCGTCACTGATAAATAACATGAAGTTGTACATGTAACCATGGTAACCGGCAAAAAATTGAAAAACGGAGTTAGGTCACTTTCAAAATAAGCGGCTCATTTAGTTTAGTCTGCTTTAGAAGGATAATAAATTGATAACAAAGCAACGTGATTGATGCAGGACCCAATAGACCAGTAACATGAAAGCAAACACAACCATGCAAATGGAATCTATTACATTCACCCGCAGGGGTGCAAGGTTGCAAAGTGCAAGCGCTAGTGCGCACGCGCGTATGAGTATCCTTGTGTTTCGCAATTTCCGATAATCCGTTCACTGTGTGACATGCAATGGGCAATTTATAATCCCATCACGCAAAATCACACTCGCATTCAAATCATAAAATTTGAATATTTCCACCACAAGTAATATGATATATAATTTCCTAAATCTATTATGAAATATAATAAACTACTCATATAAAAATAAATGTTTTTATTATATTTTATTTTTAATTTTATTTTTAATTTAATCTTCAAAAAATTGTAATTCATTAAATGTTAAAAATAATGAAAATATAAAAAAAATAAAAACCTGAATTACGCATATGTAAAAGAAGATAAATTTAAAACTTAATTAATTAAGTAAAAATAACTTACGGTCTTGGTGTGCGATTTCGACTTCATGCTGGCTGCGCGTGATTTCACTGGACACCACTTCTTTCATCGTTTGTCTGACCACCATGTGAGTAGGATTCTGTAACAAGGAAACGACACATATAAATCACCTCGCCCGAAACTGAAATCAAATAGTTTCGCAATCGTTTAGATTGATTTGTTTGCGCGATCGCCAGGCGCTTGCAATCAACATACGTAAATATTGTCACTACTGTTACGATCTGGTCTGGGAATTTGTCGTCGCGACATTCAGCCGCCCGAATGTTTCATCAAAGCAAACAATTTCCGAAAATCAAGTGGATCAGGTTACGATCAAAATGCAAGCAATTTGATAGTCTTGCAAACTTATGCAACCAATTTACCACACAGCAATTTGCATAGATGTGCAAAATTTAATTATAATTGAATGTTGTTGATTTAATTACGAGAACGAGTAATATTTATTAATGTTTCGTGTAATAAATGAAATCAAATAATATTAGTGATATAGAAATGAACAATTAGCACTTGTAAAAGGTTAAAATGTCTACAAACTGTGTGAAATTATACTTTTAATTGAATTTTCAATTATATCCACCTGGAAATTCCCATATTCAGCTTTCAAGGTTTCAATTTTGCACCTATAATGATTTCGGATATAGAAGCTGCACTTTAATTTAATTTTCAATTTATATTTCAATACATTGTGAGTAAAACACTGATGAAAAGTATACAATACCGGAGAGTCTTTAGTTATTAAATAAAAATACGCTACTTTCTTTGTGAAAGAAAAATTTAATTTTTAAATTATATTTGTAACGCGTTCACATATTTTTATACTATGTTGTTTTTCATTAATAACATGTTGTGAAACTTTTACTATTATCTTTGAGTTGCGAAAGTTTCGCTCATGAGGAATCGTCAGTAACAGTAACGGGCGTCAAAGAAAATAAAAAAGTTTCACCATACGTAACGAACAAACAAAAAAAAACACAAAATAAAATTATTGGAATTTAAAAATTTGCAAATTACTTCACAAGGAATAAAACTAAAATAGAATCTATTGGATGATATTTAACCGGTTATAACTGGCTCATGACACATACAAATCGCAAACTAAGTGAATTTTCATTCGTCGCACGTGTATGCAAATCCAGACAGAATTGTATAATAATTATATTTGTACATAATCAGCACAATAAGAACGCATAATAATGCATAAATCATTTACATCTAATCAATAATCAGTTAATATACCTGTTATATTTCTCACCCGAGTAAAAAATATCATTCCATCTAGAATCAACAAGCATGTTAAAGATAAGTGTTTGTTGTTAAAGTGTGAAGTAGCGTTTATTCATTGTGATGCATTGTCTAGCTCCACTAATGTGTTTATTACGATAAGCACCACATTTTTGAATGTTTAATAACAACAAACATTGTTATTATTCACTCAACGCTTCTATCTAAGTAAAAAATCAAATTGCTCGCTGTTTTTGAACACATTTCAATGTATGATTGGCGTAGGAACTTCAAAAATTACGAAAGAAGAATTTCTACGGCCATTACTAACATTGTTTATCTTGAATTCGATTGTTTAATTAAAACGTTACCATGTATTCAATAATATAATAGCTGTTTATGTTATCTTCATGTTAATTAACACTCGTACATATTGTTTGTTTGGTTCACTTCGTACCAGCAGCATTGCCTACATTACCCACATATGGCATTATTATCTCGTTTCTAATTCGCACGTTTGAAGGTATGTGCCTAATATTAACTTTGCGCGAAATGCTCAAAGCACTTCGTAATTCGTGTCATTTCCGGGCGTGTTTTACGATTGTGAATTGTGAATAGTAAATTACTCACGTTGTATTAGAGTCTGTCTGATATTAATTTCGACTGACTACCCTATGATAACATACACAATAGTTTTAAGCACCATACAGCCTAAGTAATAAAAACTTTACTGTTAATTTCGCGATAACACAACCGTTGAATTTAGATTAGAACTATTGTTTTGAACTAAAATTGTTTTGCCAAAAAAATATTTTTGTTTCTGCAATTTCGTATAGGTCATGCTCAAAGCAAAACATATTCGTAGCCGAGTTTCCAGTTGAGTTATTAGCTATTTTAATGTTGTGGTCGGATGCATGCATAAACTTCCAACGCTCGATTGCATTACAAAGCCTATAAATTCCTACGCAATGTAATTCCGTCACTTTTTTTATGTTGCTACGTAATTTTTATGAGTGAAAATATCGCTGCGATAAAACGGCAAGTAATTTTATAACAATACAACATCATCACATCCGGTATTCGACTAAATATATAATATAAAAGTTGAAGGAATTCAATTGTAACAATTACAATCACGAGTGCCAGTTAAAAAAAGTAACGCTTGGAAGTCGAATTAAACCAGTTACGACAGATATTGCACGTTTTACGCACGATAATGGGCAAAACGTGACTGCGAACTTGAAGAAAATCTTGCGCTTATAACTGTTATGACTTGAAATAAGCACTAAGCACATACTGAAATAACTACCATAAGCTTTGGTCTTCATAATAATAAAAAAGTAGTAAAAGTTGTAAATGTAAAGTTGGTTGCGTATGTTTTATTTTTTACTCTCATATTGAGTGTACGTGTAAATCCGGTAACCTAGATTTTTAATGTAACCGATGACACTAATGAAAAAGCATTCGTCTGTGCAAATATTGTATTGTAGAACGAATGCTCGCACAATAATCGCGTGCGGTGCGCAGAAAGGACGAAAATAGGAGAAACAGAGTAAACAATATTCCCCACAGCAAGTACACACGTTCTTATTCCCTTTTCCCTTTGTAATAACCAGCCAGCTATGAAGCCACAGGCCCAGCGGTTGATGGTTGATGGCGTGGATATAATTGATTGCGCTAAGCAATGTGCCACAGTGGCACAATATCAATATACGAGATCGCGATCAGCATTCTACAATCCACACAATCGCAATTTTAACAACATAAAAATGTTTAATTAACCGCCAGTTCAAAGCTAACGATTTAAATTAAATTTAGCTTTATGTTTTATTTTTATTTGATATTCACAGTTAAATATAAATTTAATATTCATATTTTCAGCGGGATATAAATAAAATCCACTTGTCAAATATTAACCGCTAAAATAAATGTGGTAAAACGCCAACAGGTTAACAGTTAATATTCATACTCCGAAATAAATTCATTCGCGTCAATTTCGATTGCTGTATTTTTTATATCAATATACTACGAGTATATGCATATCTCTTCACGGTATATTAAACATGGAAAAAAAATCATTTTTTATATCAATTACTTTGCATATTTATGGAAAAATTCAATTTAAATGTACAATGTACCATTTTATGTGATACACTCTGCTCCAATTAAATATTTCATGTATATATTTGAACATGCCTTCCGGGCATGCAAAAATGGGGTGGAAAACGTAACGGAAACGTAAATTTCCGTTCGGCAAAGTTTAACAAATAATATTTATTAAGTTTCTTGTAATAAAAAAAATAATACAAACGTTTTTAATAATATGTAAACAATATTAAAAGCGTAATTATTTAATTATAAATTTTATAATGATAAACCAATTTATCGCGAAAGAAAATTATTTTTTTAAATAAAATTAACTGTAGCTACTTTATTACAATTGTATAATTAAATTCAGAATATATTTTCAAAAAATTTAAGTTACAAAAAACGTTTTTTTAATATTTTTTAAAATAATAAAAATTTCGATCATAAAAGTCCATTTTCTCAGTTATATAAATAACATTTTCCGCAAAATTGCACTACAATGTTAGGTATAATAACGAATACCAAATATAATTGGTTTTATTCAAATATTAAATGTAAATAAAAATAAAATTTCCATTAAAATTAATATTTCCATTAGCCGCATCTATAAATCGAATTTTATGATTATATTTAGTCCCGAACGCGTCGCATAATGGAATAGTGTGCCCCACAAGCGAGGGAATTGCAATTTAGATTCTTAATTAATATTAAATGCTGAATAACCATCGCCATGGGATGCTGATTCTAAATGCTTTGCTACCTGCGTTGATTGCATTCCCCGCGCAAACTTCCCTCCGCCTTTGATTACTATAAACTATGAGAGAAATGTGAATCATTCGCATTTCAGGCATAAATTCCTAAGCTTGAAGTGTTTAAAATGTCTCCTTAGAAATTGTCAACTGTCAACTTAATTACCAAGATACCAGGAGAAAATTCAAACCAAGGTTACAAGTATCAGCAAATTAAATACTTTACTAGTTTAATGTGTTCAAAGAAAAACCAGTTCCGCAGTAAGTACATTATTTAATTAGAATAATTAAATGTTATCTTTCACCTAACTACTTCCAAAGTGGCACTATTCATTAATTTCGATAATGTTTGCACAATTATTCAACCATCTGAATCAAATGAATTTTAAGTCCATTTGTCGAATCACATGACTAATAATTATTTAATATGCATGCTAAAAACCAGTATGAAAATATTTTAAATAATTAACTAACACTACAAACACATAGCCAACACATCTCAACGATCAATAACATTTTGAGTCGAGTTAAGCCCAGCAGCGACTCCTTTTTAAATTATTCATACCCACACACATGTTGCGCTCGGTTTTAAAAATTCCACGCTAAACATACGCTATTTGTTTTTGTTTTGAAATTTCCAATGAAGTGATATTGATTCAACATTGAGTCATTGGGCATGTGTGAGTAATCTACTGGTAAGTCAACTTATTTATACAAATTGACCAAAATACAATCTCGGACCATTCATTGAATATTAATTTTATTATTTATCATGATAATAATAATTTATATTCATGTTTCAAGTTAGTTTTCTCATTTCAAAACGGTTGTAATAGAATACGCATGTTTCTATTGGTAATATAACCTCTAAATTGCTTAAGTTAAGTAAAGAAAAGTAAACGTGATAAAACTGATTGTATACACATAAAACATCAAAGGTTGTGTTGCTAGAAGCAACAATTATAACAGTGAAATGTAATGTTGTGATCGTTTCGGTTTCAGTGTTCTGTAATTCGATATGATAACCACAATATTAGCACATGTTGAGGAACATGTTGCGATAAAGCGTGATACAATTTTAGTGTAAACTTTGACTGGGAAAGTGATGACTTACTGTTGCATCAGTTGCTGAAAATTAATCCAGAATCAAAGTGCGCCCAAAGAAGACACAAACACTTATCACACAATCAATCACAAAATCACCTCTGACCACTCACACAAACACGAAATAAATTATTTAATACAACGAGAAATGAAAGTAATAGAAATAAAAGTTACAAATGTAAATAATTGATTTGGGGACTTTGCACTGGTGTCGCGATATTGAATATATTTGTTCCGGCGTATTAGCGTTTATAATGCTTAGAAGAATGTTAGTGTCTAGGTAGCGCGGTGTTGCGCCGTGCGACGGTGCGACGTTATTGACACTGACATCACCACCGAGTACAGACGCCACCGACTCCGACACCGCTCGCCAAGCCAACACACACGCTTCGCCGATGTTCGTGGAGGCGATTTTGTACGCGGCTGACGCGCGGCACGACGGACTGCGGCGGGCAGACTGTGCGCCCCGTGTGTCCTGTCTCCTGTGTGCGGTGGTAGTCCTCGACCGCGCGACGGTTGGTGGTTGCGCGAGCAGTCGAAGTAGTTGGTAGTTGGGGTAGTTGGGGTAAATTCGGTCGGAATGGAACCTTTCAACAGGTAAAACGTCTGCGTCTGGCGCGAAACGCCAACTCGACCGTGAATATCAACTTGTGCGGTAGAAGAATTTCAGCAAATTCAATTTTGAATAAACATTTGTTGGTGGATGATGATAAAAATTGCCATTTTGGTAGCGAATTAAGATACTTAATGTCTTTTTGTATTATTTTTTTTACTCTAGACTAGAAATTCAAACAAGTTTTATGAATAATTCTGTTTGAATAAATATTTGACGAAAATGCTCAAGTTTAGAAAGAAATTTTTGGGTTAGTTGAGTAAACTGTGTTGGAGTCACGCATTTATAGTTGACACAAGTGTATTTTGAGGTTAGTTAACGCTGTACAATAAAAAATTATTTTCTTTTGTAATTTAAGCTTTAGTCTACATTATAATCTATAGAAAATTACTTCTAAATTAAATTTTTTTATCCATTCCTAAATAAATTAATGAAATATTTTTTATTTATTCTCTGATTTCTAAATTTCTCTGATGACGAAATTACCCATTACTAAAATAATCTAAAATTAATATTTGCCAATATGTTAAATCGTAATTTCCTAAATTTCCACTATATATTAAGAGGATTTCACTTGTACATGTCACACATATACCTATGTACCTAAACACTAAATACGAACAGCGCGCCGCTGCAAATCCATTTTGTCTCCGCACTTAGGTAATGCGAGGTAATGCCTAATGCCGTAATGCGAAATGAAAACATTTATCAGCCGGAATCTCGGCATGTCGACGTGTCTACAAGTCGCAACAACGCTAAAGGGGTTTACGTTGTTTACGCTCCCAGCGGGTTTCATTACGTTTCGCTCACGTCTCAACGACTTTCAGGCTATCAGGGAGAAAGCGAGAAATCATAGAGAGCTAACTAAGTAACGCTTAAATTGCAGCAACAAGTAGCACACACCAATCACACAATATATTGTTTATGTACTTATATTGTTAGTGGATTTGGAAAATTTACTTTGCGTATGAGTTGAATAACATGTTATCAGGGAACCTCAAGACCAAGTTGCAAATGTTGATGCTATCAGTCATTCAAAGATACTTCACAGCAAAACAACTTATATTAATAATTTCTTTAAAAAATATTTTTAATATTTAATTCTGAATGCACCTAATTATAAAAATAAAATTATGAAAAATTAACTGATAATAAAACTATGTAAAAACATAGTTGCATTTTTCCAAATTAATTTTAATAACTCATAATTTTTTGTGCAATCAACCAATCAACCATCTTTAAATTTATTTCCGAAACTATTTTCGTGAAAAACACTAAATAATTTAAAGTTAATAAATAAGAATGCAAGAAATGCAATCTAGATAAGTGAAATGTACTTACATGGTGCGACCGTATACACATATCTCATGTATGTACTTTTACACGTATACTACAATAAGATAACTTTAATTTACATTCAGATAATGATAAAAACAAACATCGCATTGACAAGCCTTAAAAACAAATGACGCCCATTGATTCACCATCTATCCGCAAGTATAATACTGTATACAGTATTAATTACTTCTCGAACGTTCGTTTTGACTGTTGCAACACGCAATTACAAATATTATGGTCACTTGGTCAGTATCAGTCGTTGAAATTACGAGAGCGGGCCAAAGGCGAGGTCATAATCGTTTGACGACACGACTTGTTTTCGACTTAAAAGCGAAAAGAAATCACCAAAAGTTTCAGTTGCCATCGAATAACAATCAATCGAAGACGTCACGAATTCCATTCAAAGTAATAATACATAAATATAATTTTTATTGGTTTTTTATGATTATCGATTTATTCGATTTTCACATTTCTGATTTATTATAGTATGTCAACGGACATGAGTGCGATACAGCAAAGTAAGGCGCTTCTGCGCAAGCAGATCAAGGAAAACATCGGGAAAATTCCAATGGCTGATCGTGAGCGTCAATCAGACTTTGTTTACCGGCAGGTAAGTCAAACAAACACAAGTTATCGATAAATAAGTGTTAATGCCTTAATATTGACGATATTGAGTGCATTTCACGAATGAAAAATTTTCCATTCATTCCGACTCTATATTGACTTTATTATTGTAGTCACATGCCACAGCAATTAATTATTATTTAATTTATAGCACTAGTTATATCTGGATACATTTAATGAAACTTAATTGTTTGCCAATTACAGTTGATTAATCTACCAGCGTTCAAAAATAGTCAGCGGATTTCGGTGTATCTGAGCACAGCGGACGAAATCAGCACCGATGCGTTCGTGAGGAAGAGCTTCGAATTGAACAAGCAAATATTTGTGCCAAGGTATTGACATAGCACTTTATTCAGGAGTTAAACGCGTTATGGCGTGTTGCACTATCGTTAGCATCATGAATCATGTCCTGATTAAGTGCATGTTGAGTGCAAACATGACAAACTAAGTTAATTGAATTGTTGGATATTAATTGAGTTTATGTGGCAGGTATCGCGGCAATGTGATGCAGATGGTGAAGTTGGAATCGCTGCAGGACTGGGAAACTTTACCGCTAACCAAGTGGCTTATTAGGCAACCGAGTGTGCACGATGTACGTGATGATGCGATGGAAACCGGTAAGTGCATCATTTTACAACTCATTTTGTGAATCATGGTAAAATTATTCATTTTGTAAACAACAAAGTTAGCGAACATTAGTAGATAAAGACTTGCTCAACTTACTTTCACTTGTAGTGGAAAATATTTCGTCATTATCACTCAATAAAATTTCACGATCGATTGAATTTAACGCGACAAACAACTTTTGTTTTTACTCGCTCGAAACTGCCTCGACGCGCCATCTAGCAGCAGATAGACGTAGTTGTCTTATACCAAACAAATGAATTTTTGCTTAAATTTTGTTGAATAACATGTCCTAAATGATTTTTCAGGGGTTTAGATTTGGTTGTAGCTCCTGGGGTTGGTTTTACCAAAGATGGTTGGCGAATGGGCCACGGTAAAGGATACTACGATTCTTTTCTTACCAAACTGATAGCATCACAACCAAAACGACCAAACATTGTAGCTGTCTGCTTCAAAGAGCAGCTTGTTGAAAACCTACCGAGACACGATCACGACGTACACATCGATCAAGTCATTTATTCAGAACATTGAATCATTCCACTTTATACGAAGTTATAAAATACCAAATAAATGAAAATATACAAATCAGTTCTATAGCATTTCATTCGATTGTCAATCATGTTTAATTACCGACAAAAAGATGTATACAGTGATTTTTTCGGGACACGCTAAATACTTACCAAACTGAACATTTCAAGGTACAAAGTTTTCACCAAAGTTACATCAGCAACGTCGGTGCTGGTTTCTTCCCAGGCCAAGCTTCCTTCGCGTACTTTTTCTTCTTAGGTTCTAAACTATCTGTTGGTGTTTGTTGTGGCTGTGCAAAGGCGACTTGCGGCACATAGTTTGGTTCCATTTCAACATCGGGCGCTGGATTTGGTAGATTCATACCAAGTCTTGTGCCCAATGAACTATAAATATTCGAATTTGTCGTTGTGGATGAATTTGTTTCAGGAGGTAAATCTTGGTACAACTGCGGAATTGTAGTGTGAATAGGTTTGGGAAGTTTAAAGTCATTATGTGATGAGATGCCAATAGATTCGCTCAATTTTTGGCGCTTATGCGCTGTAGGCATGACGGTGCTCTGAATAAGGTTTCGGAAACGACCAACAGTAGGATCAATGTCTTCAGGGTTGATAATTTCTTCATCTTCATTGAAGGACACGCCGCGTCGTTTACGTTTACGATTCGTAGTGCGTTTTTCCGTGTCATCAGTGATGCCAAGCATTGAAATTCGACGATTATGAGCTGTGTTGAATTCTGTTAAATTCTAAAAAATTAAACCACTTTAAAACTGGTTCACAAATTATATCTTTTCACTTACATCTAATTCTGTTTCAGTTTCAGGTAAACCAAGCAATCCACCTTCAGTTTCCTCCCCTGCCTTTTCAATCTCATCAATAATAGGCCTTATTCCAGCCTGTGGCCTCTCTCTGATGATGTAATTTCTTGTTGAGGCTCCAAAATGAAAACTTGAGTCAATTGGCAATTGTGTAGGCTTGTTGGATTCTAATCTCATCGAACCAATAAAAGTTCCATGTGCTGTTAAACAAATTCAAATTTTTGTTAATTATGATAGTAATAAGTATATAGGTAGGAATTAGTTCACTTACTGCTTCCCAAGTCAACTAAAAACGCTCTATCCAAATGTTTGTGATAAACCAGTGCAGAATGCACTCTTGAACATGATGCATGATCAATGCAGAAATCATTCATTTGCGCATTTCTCCCGAAAAGGTAGCACTTCTTTTCGTCAATCATTAATTTTTGTATAAGTTTGTCTCCCTTGAGAACATCCAGATGCAGTCCTACCGATGGTTTGCCCGCCCTGAATTGATTAAGAAACATTTATAACCTTGATATAATGCATTTGAAACTATTTTAGTGGATAAACATACCAAGATGGGACTTCGTAATGGTTTGCCATTGTGGCCGAAAGTATCAACTCATCGATAAGCCAGAGAATGTATTTTTTTCAATGGTTTTATTCATAATAACTTGTAAATGTAGTGCATTTTTGGATTTTCGGAGATGCAGGCGATTTAAACACGGTAAACACAATTAACCTACAAAACTCTCGGGGTCTAGGGATATTTTGACGTCGTCTGACAAAATTTTTGAAATGGAAGATAGAAAATACGCTGTGATAGAAAAGACTAGCAACAAGACATGAAGTGTGTAAAATCTACCAAAACAGTGTGCGTTGGGCATGTTATTGAGCTGAATCGAGCAAAATTGGAACGAAATTGAGCAGAATCAAGTTGATTGTTAAGTAATACTGTAGAAAATATTCACACATACTCCTCAATATGAGTTCTGGATTTGTGACTGAGTCTGAGGCTGTGGATATCAGGAAAAAGAGGCAGGAAGAATGGGAGAAAGTCCGGACTGCTGCTGATCCAATTGGTTTGTTCAATTTCTATGATATATACCTTATTGAATATTGTTGATGTCATTTCATTTTGATTTATAGAACGGCCGGAAGAACCTTATGACAATCGTAGTTTGTTTGATAGACTACAGGAACAGAAACAAAAGAAAGATCTGGAGTATGAAGAAGCTCACAAACTCAGTAAGTGTTTACTTGTGTTTCTTACATGTAAATCATTTTTACCAGGTTTGAAGTTTGTGGAATCATTTAATTAGGCACAAAAGGCAATTTAATTTTTTGCTGCTTTTCTATTTACATTTGATAGATTTATTCTTATTTCTGCTGACTGCTGCAACTAAACATTTGTTTACTTCTAGAAAACATGATAAAGGGTCTGGATGATGATGAAATCGACTTCTTAGACCTTGTGGACCGAACGAAACTTGCCGCTGATCGCATCAAAACCCAGGAGGAGGAAAAGGAGCTTAATGATTATCGCAACCGCGTTGCTACACTTCAGGAAAAGGAACTAGATCAAAAGTTGGCCACTGGTGCATCCCTCGCCAAACCAAAAGTCGCGCAGGCACCAAAACGCTCACAACTAACTCTACTGCAAGGCGCAGTTGTGAAAAAATCACCTAACGAGAAGAAACGCAAACTAGATGATAATGATTCAGTGGATCCCCAAGGACAAAATGGATGCGTCAATCAGAAGGAAACGCATCAATCTACAGCAGAGGCAGCGCAGTGCGCTAATGTGATCACCATTCCCAAGACTAGGGTGAATACCGGCCTGAAGTGTGTTGGCATCCTGCCAGGACTGGGACACTACGACAACTCCAGTACGGACACGTCCGATTCGGATTCGGAACCCGAGGACAACTGTTGTAAAGTAAAAAGGGACTTGCTCGGGCGGGCGATTGTTACGAAGGAAGAGAATGATTAGTTTTCAAACTCCTATAACTCAAATAATAATAGTTCTATAAGTTAAGCGCAAAAAATGATATTACAAGTTGCAGCAAACTGTTGTAATGTTTGTTATGCGAAGTTTCTTATTGATGAATAGGCGAATAGTCAAGACTATAATTTACAATTAAAATCTTGTATATTGCATTTGCATGGATTATTTAATGTATATTTATTTATTCATTTGTTTGACTTAGATATACAGTTAAAATAATTGTATCATAGAGCTGTTCCAGTCACGTGAGATAAAACAACGGAAAACAAAGCAGTTTATCAGATTATCTCACGTTACATGGAAAAACTGATAAACAAAATGAATAACGTGTTCCATATAGGCGTTAGTAACTGTTTGCCTTATAAAAAATGAGAAACGAAGTAAAAACCGTCGTCAAAAAGTGTAACTCTAAGCCACATAGTTTTAATCAAAGTGAAATGATACCTTTTTGAAGTTGTATTCATTGTAAAATGTTCGAATGCAACTATTGAATAGTCAATAAAATAGGTCAAGACATATTGTTCTTATACTTAATGTTATATTAACGTAATCGAAATAATTTAATTTTAGAATTTTGAAACATTGGAATATGAATTTGCATACTCTACTCTACTATCTATTTTATGGCAATTAGCATCTCTAATCTTCGCCGTAAAACGCGCACAGCGTCAGATTTGAATTGCAAATTTGGCGAGTGTATGTGGAATGTGAGTGGATGAGTGATATGGGGATAATGCGAATAATTGGAATGATTTCACCCAGAGCACATGCGTGAGGCACGACCACGGTCTTTCTGAGTTTGTGACTTGGCAAGTTTTAAGTAATTAAAAGCTTCATGGTCAATAGGAAATACGGACACATCACAAAACTTGAATATCCGGAGTGAAACACCATAACTAGTTTTTAAAAGTTATGAGGTTGACGTATTCACTTGTTTGGCATTTAATTGATCTCAATTGTTTAATAAAAAATGTCCGGTCACATTTATTTTCATATATAAATTTGGTTTTGTTAACCTAACTAAAAGAGTCAGTTTATAAACACATAAAACACGTTAATATGGAATCATTTTAATATCATAACCATTGGTTTTGCTACTAAAAGCACATTTGTTTATATTTTTAATCAGTCAGTTGCCAATAACGTACCTGACTTGTCGTGTTTTTATGATAACTAAATTATAGTTAAATATTTTTTTTAAACTTGGGAATAGATATAATTATAGGTTACGTATTTTACAAAACGTTGAAATTTATTAAAATTGGAAATTTATAACATCTGCACGATGATGACTTAAAATCTACAACGTTTAGAACAATAAACATGACATCCAATGACATTTTTAATTGTTGTGATGCAATGCTCCATTAATTTCATCTAAAATTATTATGATCGTAATTTAACAGTAAGTACTTATTAAAATATAATCTATAGGTCCTATATTTATTAATTACATCAATTTCATCATGTACGTTTTACGCATACTTCCATTCCCCAATTATTAGAGTATTATCAACGAATGAAGTTATGATTATTTTCGGTATGTTTGGATAGGTGTACAATGATAGTAACATGTATCATTCCTAGAGTCTTTACTTTAATATTATCTGTACATGGAGTGTAAGTATGTGGTAAACATTTTCCAGATGCCCACGGGAATAATTTGACATTTATCTATGGGGAAATTGCCTGACAACTATTTTTGTCGTTTTACTTGAATTTTATGGTCATGTGAGGTGTTATTATTATATTTTGATATAAATGATTTCGATGATTAGCTTGGATCAAGATTTGAGATCAAAATTATAAATACTCGCAGTTTTTTTCGTTTCAAAGACTCTTAATATACATTAAAACAAACAATTACCAAAGACGTCAGCTTGAATAATATCATGCAAATATATGCCAATATAATTTGAGTATATAACTATATTTAACTAGCAGCCTGACTCGGTTTCGCAAGGGAATAGTCTCTTTATAATTTAAAACAAATGCGATCCATTTTCATATTTTGAAATCTTGAATTATCTGCAAAGATATTAATTTTTATGATATAATTGGCAATTTTGATATTCCTACCATATACCATAATATAGCAGATATTTTTAGAAGACTCTTATAACACAAATTATAATAGTTATAATTATAATAGTAAAATTACAAGTTGCAATAAACTGATGCATGTTTTATGATGAATGTTTGCTATGAAAAGTTCTCAAAACTATAATTTACAATTAAAATCTTGTATATTGCGTTTACATGGAAAAATGTTTATAATTAATTTTTATTTTATTAATGGAAAGTTAGCACTAACTTTTTAACTACAAATACTCGAGTACAATAATAATGTTGTCTCGTGAGTGTTGTAAACTTTCCAGACCCGATCTTAACTCAAATTACACATAATAACCTTGTTAACACTTTTAATTAAGACAATTACGAAATTAAATTTAAAAAAATTTGTATAAAAACAAGAGTAAAATGCGAATATTTATAATTTTGATTGGATTCAAACTTAGGTCCTGTTTTTTTTGTTCTTCTTTCCTCCGGAGACTTGAACCACTTAATTTTTAGTTATGTGTTGTAGTAAAAGCATTTTCTTGATGTCATCTTCACTTTCGTTCGCTTTTAGGTCTATTCAATATATATTTTTATCTTTTTGTATTGATACGTCTATTCTCGTGGTGGTACTCATCGCCCACAACCAAACAAAAAGGGTGATTTACTACAATCTGCACTTGCACTAAGCCCACAGAGTTTCATTTTACTTCAGTTGCTTCAGTGTTCACGCCATTCACCACGCTTCACTTTAGTTTAAGAGAATGAAGTATGTAGTGACACAGTCATGCGATAAGTGGCTATAAATATTACTTAAGTGAGCAAAATATCAGGGGCAGCATTTTCTCACACCTATATGATTCACTCATAAAGTTTATAAAAAAATACGAAATATAGGAAACAATAAAATAGCACTGAAAACAAAAGACATTTTTATGACGTTAGAAAATATTGTTGCTTTTAGTGTAAGTTTAGTAACGAAATAAACCAAATTGATTTGAGCATTAGTTAAGTATAGATATTTATATGTTATCCTGGTTGCCATCCACTCCATCACCGATGTTCGCCAATATTGGACAGTTTCAATCGAGCATAGGAGCAATCCAATATTTCTATACACACTGTATAATTTAAGCTCGTAAAACCACTCCGTTTTATGCACAATTACTTTTATCAAATGTGAAATAATAAAACGGCTGTCTTTATTACACTTAACAGTCTTTTGCCTCCGGACTCCTAGCTTTTCTGAAAATCTCATTATACGAACCTTTAATACCCTTTAGTTGGCTTGTTTTGTTTTTAATAATTAAATTTAAACCGCACATGTTTTCGTCGTCTTCTGACTGGATTGTAGTCGACTAAGCGTCATGTGCAGCTGGACATGTATCGGCGGTCCGGTGTTCATCCTTTGCAGGCATCCGCGCTGCATGCTGCCAGAGCTGTCGGCCCACTGCAAAAGAAAAGCAGAAAAACGACCAGATCGATTTGATTCCTTTTGTGTCGAATCGTGTGCTTACTAAAAACTAGCGATGTGCGTCAGTGAACACTCATCCAATGAAACAGGAAAGAGTAGCACTTCCGGCAGGAAATGACAGCAACCAAATTAACTACTGTGCAACAAAGCGCATTTCAGCTAAATATCACTTAATTGGGTTTTTGAATATACTTTTTTGGCATAAATGGAAAGATCATACACACGATTTATAACAAAACTTTTTTTTTCGTCTTCCGTTTTTGAACCGTCCTTTTTCCACGGTTTCAAAACACGAAAAGTGGCACTTAAATCACGGATGGTCAAGGCCTTGACTTTAGTACTTTTAAAGTACTACAGCCCCGTGGTGCATGCGCTTGCACATTTGCCTATGGTGCAGTGCAAGGCCATATGAAATGTCATATAACCCTAAATTTTCTAGTAGGAAGCTCGAAGTTTTAAAATACAAAAAATCAAATACAAAAACTTAAGCTTGGAAATAGAGTGGAAGTAAAAAAAATAGCGCAAGCATCACTTTGCTAAACGTTGTTTATTTAAAGTGTCGCTTAGCTCATTTGATACTTAATACACCATTATTTGCAATTGAAAGTTATTAAAAAGGTTTTTTTTTATCAAAAATAAACTTTTTAACTTTGCTCATTTCGAAAATGTCAATATTTAATTTTAATCGAAGCAAATTCCTAAAACATCTTGGAGCCGATAACGCTGCTACACTACACTTCTTTTAACTTTATATTGTAGGAAACTAACACGGCGTGTTTGTAGTCACTTGATTCTTTGTATAACTATTTATAGCACTTTTAACAAAGTTTCAATATGCACAAAATATTGATAGTTTATCAGCGAAAAATCGAAAAACAACATTTCTGCTTTATTTGTGTTTATTGCAATTAAGTGCTAATCCAATCAAAAAATAAGTATACAAAAACAAGAAATATAACTGGCGTCATCGCGCCTTGCTAATAATAAAGAAGTTTTTATTGAATGTTTGCGAATCTGCTAAAAAAATATTTGTAAATAAACGCCGCAAATCGAAATATAGTCATTTATTCAAGCATTCAGAATATTCGTCACTGAGGATGATCAAACAAGTCTACTTGAACAAGTACTATCATTATATTCTCATACGTATTATATTGTATTATATCATTGTAAATTACTAAATTATAATCGTCTGCTTTCAGGCATTCAATCGTCAAACACCACTCACCAATAATAATATAATTGCACAGGTTCATATTCTATAAACTTGTATTAAATCGAATATAATTTGAGAGCTTGATGTGGCGGCTGGAGTGCGAAGTTTTGTCTTCATATTAAGTATTTAGTCTTGAGTCCCTCAACGTTTCTCTGCGTTTATTTGCGAGGGTAGAAGTGAGAGAGTGAGTGATTGCGTAATGTGAAGATGTCGAGCACATAGAGCTCAATTTGCGCTCAGGGCGCAAACAAAACGTTTTTTTTCCTTGGCCCAACAAATTTCGAAATTAATTTAACTTTGCTCAAATAACACATGCTCCAGTGACATTTTGTTGAAAGTTATTTATTGTCTAGCTGATGAAAATATAGACATAAAGGATCTTATTATTTTTTTGTTGTAATTGACCGCAATTTGCGTATAAAATGACTTTCTACACAATAGATGTGATTTATATTCATAAAACTTAAGTAATCTAGGGTCGTCAAAGCATTAAATTTAATTATGATCCATAATTTAGATTAATTATATTATACCACAATATTATATAATAATATTATAAATGAGAATGTTACTTTGTATGTTTATTTGTTACGTTTTTACGCTAGAATCCCTTAACCAATTTAATAAATTTTTTTATTAAATAACTTTTGAATGCAAAAATATAAGTTTCACTTGTTTCTGTGCAACGTTGTGGAGGTGGAAGTAGAAAAATATCTTTTTCTTCTATGACAGTTTTACAGTTTTAGACACAAAAAGTTGTACTTTATATACGGACGGCCAAGCCGTGAGTAATATCCATTATCAACGGGCATTATTTAAGGCACGGAGCTTGCGTCTGCGCATTTGCCTACGGAGCAGCACAAGACCGTATGAAATGCCATGCGACGTCAGTCAAACACGTGGAACAGGCGCTGCTGCTGCTTATGCCAGAGCAGCACAATGTGGTCCGGCACGGAGTATGATATTTATAACCTTACAGTTTTAGTAATATGCGAGCAAATTTCTATGATTTAAAATACAAAAGTTAAATTATAAAAAAAAACTGAACGTGCGACTATAGTGGAAAATAGCATATGCATCACGTGGCTAAACGTTGTTAAACAGTTGCTCTCAATCAATCGCGTGAGTAAAGTTTCCGTTAAGCCACTTGATCCTTAATATACAATTTTAACTAAGTAAAATCAAGTCGTAAACACATAACGTAAAGAGGGCAAAATAAAAAATAATGGTCTAAATGAAAATTCAATCTTGGTATAGTTATATAATATCAAGATGTCGTTAAACTGAATTATTAGTATTTTTTATTATTTTTTCACTCTAAAAACAAAAAAGAATTAGTTATGCTCCTTTTTGTTAATATCCACGCAGACAAACTTGCAGGCAAAGTTAGTATTACGAAATAAATGCAAATAAATGCAAGTAAATGCAAATTATATGCAAATACTCGTAATATATTATTAATTGTCATGTAACTTATAGCATTGTGTACACAATATTATATTACCTGACGTGTTTGATTGAACTGAATTATGACAATAGTTATAGTTATAGATGTAATTATATGCATTGTTAGCGATTGAACATGCACAATTGATCAATTCCCCGATAAATTAACAGCCTGCCAGCGCTCACGAGTGGAAAGGCAACGCCGCAATGGCGTCGTTATTCCGGTTATTACCATTACAGGACTAACCAAGCGTAATGATGATAAACTACATTTATTGCCCATTGCTCTGCCAGGCATACATGAAGTATGTACTTAAGTGCTCTAAATTTTGAACAATGTAGGCGTAACTTTAAATAATCAGCTTATTGTTGCTCGTTAAATTTTTATTTTTCTTCTCATGTTTTCAACTCATTGGCATTATCGATTTATTTTTTATAAGAATTGTAAGATTAAGGATTCAAAATGATGAATAACCGAGCACCGCGCAGTTTTAGCTACACAGAGAGTGTCATTAGGTCTTGTTACCAATACCGAGCCGACTCCTTCATCAGTCATCGCTAACCCGTACGCGTAACCTTAATCGCTATTTGCAAGAAAGTCCTACCTTCGAATACGATTACAGTCATAATAATCGGAGTCGAGGTTGGTACTACCAGTACCAGCAGGCGTTTAATGGTCTCCTTGGTTTCTGGTTTTCAGTGGGTAATAAATCCACGTTGCGCATATTCTCGCAGGCAGGAAATCTTTCAACTTTCCTTACTTCGGCCAAACGGCATGCTTCATCATGAGGCGCATTATTGCAATTAGCATAAAATAAAGTGGTTGAAATCCGGCACTTCAAAGATTTTCAAATTTTGATTTAGTTGCAATGATAAATTATAATTGCTAAGAAACTCGTTTTTGGATGTTATTAATCTTATGATAGCAGAAATTATTTATTCTAAATATACATCTGAATATACATATTCATGTCATTGAAGTTGTTGATACTTACTTATAATAATCCTCAGAATTTAAAAATAAAACTGTTTTCCAACTGAATAAAAATATCCAGCAGGATTATTATTAAGCGTGAGTGCGCTTTTATTAAGTCTCGACATGGTATTACCATTTTATAAATAGCTGCTGCTTATTGATATCTACTGATATCAACCTATCAGATTTACGTAGATTTATTTAATATGCACGTTTAACATAAAATGACTCAGTTATAATAAATTTAACAAATAAAAATTTTGTTGGATTGAAACAAAGTTTATAAATCTGCTGAAAATGGTGCATTTCATTATTAAAGTTAGCGGTGGATGATGTTTCCAAAACAAAAAAATTAAAACGAAATAACTCAACACCCACGACAAATTTCCGATCGAGTGTAGTTGGACAACTCGAATCAATTTTGTTTAGATTGAGTTTTGTCTTCACAGATTAGAATCAATGAAAAAGTTTCCGGTTTGACGACATAAGCACAACCTAACGATTGGACACAATTTTAAGCGATAAAAAGTAAAATAATTTTTCAAAACAATTTCCAAACGTTATTCATAAACAGTCATCATGTCCATTGAACCTGATTAATATTTCCTTTTCTTCGATTTGTAAGTAAGTATATAAATACCTAAACCCGCTTTTCTATTTCATGCATTCAATCTTTTTACTACTTGATGTTTACGAGGTTGAGCTTTAAAGCTTTGTTGTTTATCATTTAGAAAATAAAGCTGTAATATGATATGACATATGATTAAAATTGCAGAAAATAAAATTGTGTCTAAAATAAAAATAAAAATATAAACATTTCTGATTTTCCTTTTGCTAAAATTATGTTATGCATACTTTCTTATAATTATGTTAAAAAATACGTTTTTAATCAATACTCAACGCATTTCTAAAAAAATACAAAATTGTAAATGACTGAAACATTCTTTTCAGAATTTTATTCTGTAGCAAGTTTGTTCTAAATGTCGGTGGGTTTAAACACGACTGTCTTTAGGGAATTGCAGACTCGGTCCGTCGAAAGACCCAACAAGAATTATACGAAGAGTACAAAACGAGTAAAAGAGTACTTATGAGGAATTTAATTTCAGAAATAGAATAGCTTAACTTGTGTATGAGAAATATAAATGAAATATTTTGATACGTATTTATTAATGAATTTTTAAATTCTTAATTTATCTTAATTTATATTTTTATGTTTTATGCGTAGCAAAAATGGGCAACCTTTTACTTTTGGTAGCAGCTGTGTCTTTTTGTAAGCTTGAATCTTTAGGGAACTGAAATAATATCCCATGAGACAAGTTGTTCAAGCGTGACTTAAATTTTCAATTAAGAAAAAAATGCGTGTTCAGGCGACGTGTGTAGTAGTACGTGTGACGTATGTGTAGATATTGCAACATTGTTGGCATGTGTGAGTCACTCATATATCAAAATTTGTATCATCGATCGATGATTGACGATAGTGCTTGGTGATATCAAAGACGAGCTGTCGCGCGTGAAGGTACTAGTTTAGTTAGTGCTCCTTTGTAGTGCAGAGCTTAGCGTACATTCAGTAAAGTGCACTTATTTCACTAACTGCAAAAAGTGTACATTTTGGGGAAACTAATAGTTCCTCGTATACGACAATCATCAGTGACAATTTTTCATGTGCTCGTATGCAATGTTGCACCGAATTCGACACGCCAGGCATCCTATACTTGCTAAACACATTTCATAGGTAACAAATATATTGAGAATCAGTCAGTGGCATATCTACCATGTACGAGCGTATTAAATCTATGCAATACGTTGGGTATCATGAGCAAAATAAGCTCTATATCGCGGAAAATTTGGTAATTAATCTCCCAAACCCATCTTCATAACTACACGCATTAGGTAGGTAATGCCACCACAAATAAAAACTCTCCACAACAGTGAAGATGGTTTAGGCGAGAAGCAGGACAAGCTATTCAGGCGTCGGCGAGAAAGAAGAAAATATCGGTGGAACTGCACTCCCTAGTGGTGACGAACCGAGACAAAAATACTGGGACAATAAGCGCATAACAATTACTTTTATTCTTACCACAATCTAAATGATAATGAATAGCAGATTCTTGCGTTTTCTGCGAGTATGTATATTATATAGTCATCATGTTTGTTGGGCTACTATTCATGATAATGGGTACGGTCGCAGTTTCTAAAAATTTAAATTATTCGCCACTGGGATCTGTGAAACTAACGGTGCACTGTGAAAAAAATGCCTATGATGTATCGATGATTGATGATCGTGCTCGAATTCGTTAATCTGAAACTACCGCACATAAAACTTTTGTCCATGCAAATCGGAGTAAGTGACTGATAAATTTAAAACTGTCAGCAAAAAAGTCTGCCATTCAAAGAAATAATTTTAATGGTATAAAATTGCAGCGAAAATTAAAGTTGGGTAAACTTTATAAGATCATTTTGTATGTTATAATGTTAATTAAAAGTTATAACAAGCAAACATACTTCATTCGTGTATTTTTCGAGTTTGGGCGGCGGGAAAAAATAATTGTAAATAAACATTGTTGCATACATGTAATAATAATAACTTCTGTGTCTGTTATGTGAACGAAATTTAATTAGCAAAAGTTAGAAATGAATGACATTGCGTAGTGGGCATGTGGCGAGACGATGACATCTCACAACCGTAAAACATAATTTCAACGCTCACCGATGCGAAGATTTCAATTAATTCGCGCTGCGTTCAACCGCTCGAAGTGACTTGCCCGCATTCGTTGCCACCACTGACATGTGCAGAATAGTCTAATACGTTAACACCTATCTGAATTCCTCAAAATACATTATGATTTGTATTATTCCTTTGGTACGGGGAATTTCTAATTTAAATTTCTCGCCCAGAAGTAAAAACAAAATTGCTAATATTCCGAGAAATTATTATATATTTCGTTAGTATTGCAATTTGATGTACAAAAGTTCACTGTTCACCAACTACTAGTTGAACTGTTAACAATTCAGCATTTTAATTGAAAATACACACGCTAAAAGTCTGCTAATGCTCTTGGGTACTTGTGCCCCTGTGAAATCAACCGAAATTTATCCACTATGTTAACTTCTGATTAAAACATGTACATAATGTTAAAATAAGATCATAGGTGAAAATATAAATCTTTATCTATATAACAAAGTTGGGTAGATACATCATTTAAAACTCAAGAATGCCGGTACAGATTTTGATGATTGGTTGGCTTTGTCTCCGCCAGCAGCATAACTATCAAATTATCAAAAATTATGACTTAGAGGGTATAAAATTAGAAATGCCAATTGGTATAAATTCAATTATAGTTATATATCGATAATTCTATATTGAACTCGCTACTTAAAATAAATATAGATTGTGTTTCTGATGGGCCAACACAAGGACAAGTAAAACTGTCATTACACTATTTGTTATGTGTATTGTTGATTTAGACCAACCTCTGTCCCCAACCCGAACAGACAGCTAGCAGAGAAAAGAAATAAAAAACCTGCGACTTTTCTACTTAATCCCTTCGGCACGAGTAAGCACAGGACCGGTCGGTGCAATCTGCTCGTTAACAGCTGCGGAATACCCGCATAAATAGGATATGTCATATTTTAGATATCGACTTGTTTTGAATAAAAAAGTCGCATAATTACCAATGGTAACTGAAATTAACATTTTAATTTAAAACTGATAGCGTGTAAGAATTGAACTAAATTGGATATCATTTGTGTGAAAAACAGAAATACCCATTTGGAAACAATTGTAAATTATTGCTTAATTTAATTGTTCAATGCTTTAAAATGCATTTAAATTATTTTCAATTTCAACAGTATTCATATCAATATGTTAAAATTGAAAACGAATAAATCACTTCCCAATTCGCAAAGATAGGCCCTTTGTGAATACTTCAAAGTAGCGAGCACGAACTATATATTTAATCGCTAGCAGATGACAAATAGCTCGTAGAAATCGATTAACTAAGTTGATGATAAATTTTTTCAGTTCATTTCTTTTCAGAAAATTAAAGTGCGTTTTGGGTGTGGTGCAATTGTCAATATGTAAATTAAACTGTATAAATCACTAAAAATATGTTTTGCTTTTAATGACCAGAAAACTGGAATTTAAGTTTTCATCGGATTTGATTTTATAACGATTTAATTACATATTCTCCTTCTTGGTGAATTAATTCATTATAAGTTAATTTATTAAGTTATTATATAACAAAACCTACTATTAATGGTCACTCCTTTTATTCCTAGTTTCTTCATAATGTTCCTTTGTCAAGCCGTGAAAATTTATACCCGGATCATGTTTTGCAATTATAGAGATCAAACTAACTCGACCAATTCGCCAACATTTGCACGCACCCGAAATTACAAGGCGATGAAATAAGTACTTGTATATATACATTGCACGAATGAAGACAAAGACTGAATATGTTAAATATGTTAATAAGAAAGTTGTAGATACTCGTACAAAGTGAGCTTTCTTTGAACAAATAATTGTATACGTAATTGTCCAATTTGCATTCATTTGTGGATTGTCATACTCGCTACTGGAATTTTATTAACATTTCATTTACAATTTTAATTTTTGATTGTTTAATGTATCTTTATGATAGCAGATAGCAATGATCAAATATTGATTGCTTTATTACTGTTTGTATTGAAACTCGATGCTAATGAAAACCGGCGATAATATCAATATGTAATTATTGAGTTTCTAATAAAAGTTCGCTGAATGGAAATATGAATTTTGATGATTAATGACGAGATAATGTAATAAACGAATAAATATTTGTCTTTGAAATGAATGAAAGCGTTCAATACTTTCATTGAATTTAATTTACTTTTATGTCAAACATGAGTTCAACTTATACAATTAAAACCTTTATACTTAAAAGTAAAAGTAAGTAATTGAATTTCGTTGGAATGTTATCTCCGAATTGAAATCGTCAGGCAATTATTTGTAAATCACATTAATCCACGTTACTCGCCCACAACAAATGCATTCGGCCATCATTAATACCCTCAATTATTCGCGTCAGTTGCTACACATCAACATTTCCTAGAAGCTCCTCAAATCGACTTGGATTTAAGAAGAAAATGATACTACAAACGTCCTGTCGACTTTATTTCATCCCGCATTTTCCTATACTCGTATTCTCCGTCTGAATTTTGAATGTTATATTCCTTAACATGCTTTGCAAGTCTATCAATTTGATTTTTTCTATTTCATTCCATTTCATTCGCATGCAGGAGAAAAAAATTCCAATACATAACCGCAACAATGCAATGTCATTTAGTATGTATATTGTAGGCAGCACACAACGCAAGTTGACACCATTATAGGAGGTGCCCAGCGAAGCGGCAAAACGCCAACGTTGTCGCATAAAAATACGCCATGATACTCAAAAAAGAAGATAATGATACGCAATGATACGCAATATGCGGTTGAGAGAACACATCAATCAAACTTACGCTGGTTCCGCTCGACACCACCACACCCTCGGTCCTTTCGCTCACTATGTACACGCACAGAAACAACACCGAACAGACCAAAAACAGAAGAATATTACACGACATTCATACACATCAAATTTATGATTATCAACAAGTGACTACGACTACGTATCTCGCAACAATTAAATAAGACAGTAATAACGTAATAAAACGAGTAATAATGAAGAAATAAACGTGAAATATAAAACGAGATAATAAGCAACCCAAATTACAGTTTGCAATTACACAGGTGGTGTTGTGTGTGTTGCGGTACTTTGCTACGTGAATGAAACTTTATTCCCGGGAGGATTTGACGCGTTTATGCTTTTAAGTATTTTTATAACACAACATTTTCCTATATAAATCCACCCGAGCCTTGAGAATGCTTAAAATATAACACATACTTTATAGGCGTGAATAAAACAAAAGAAGTGTTTGATAAAACACCACGAAACATCAACGTATATTGGCTGTAATGAGTGTAATAACAACATAATTGGCTACATTCATATAAGCGGCGCGTGCGTATGAAATAAAACACTGAAAAAATTAAAATCACGAAACCACACATCACTACTGGATCAATAATTCCTAAAACGACCAGATAAATAATTTAAGGGTTTAATAAGATGGCAAAAATCTTCTACCTGTACTTGCAGACGTCGATTGCGGCCATTATGGTAGTTGATCGGTGAGGTGCACAGCAGTTGACGCAGCGACGTACGGAAGTTTTTCGACATCACACAGTATATTATTGGATTCAGTGCGGAGTTCATGTGTCCAAGTAGAAGTGTATACTGATCGTAAGAAATGCCCCACGCAACATTTTGAAAATCCAATAGCAGACGAGCTGTGTTGTATGGTAACCAGCAGGACGCAAAAATCACCACCAGGAGAAGTAATATCCATGCAACTCGTTTCCTCTCGCGTACAATGCGATAATTCTAAACAAAATAAAATAAATTATTCAGACTACAGTCAATTTTTATTTACGTTGTAATAAACTTTCAATTTTACAAATCTGTTGAATGACCGATAGGCAACAAACCAACTACCGCGTAATATCCGCCCCATTATACATTACGACCGGCTGAACACTGCGAATTGCGTGGGCGTGCGTCGACGAGACGGTTTCTTTGACATGCAAATTCTGAGCGTCATCATGTGATCCACCATCGACACACGACATCACTAGAGTTAGAGTGACGCATTCAATTTGCAAGTGTGAGACTGTGGGAAGGGTGAGGAAGACTAAAAACATGACGACGCAATTAATAGAAAACGGTGGCGATGTCGCCGACTTGCACACTTGACAGCAACGCGGTTACGCGAAGGAACGTGTAACAAGAGAATCACACTCCCAGTTGTACTACTTGTCATAAACAGATGCGCGTGGAGGGTGAGAAGATGTGGGGAGACACAAACTTAGCGATTACATTGTTTAATTTAATAATCCCGCAGTGTATTCGAATTATTTCTGCTAAAGATAAAGCAATTATTTATGCGCATGCGTATTCCATATTTTGGTAGACATATTTCTTGTCAGTAAACATGCCAAATAAAACTTCTTTATTTTTGTGCCTTTTACGTTTCTATTATTTCGTATTTCCCAAATCATCAATTTCTGCTTGACCAGCTTGTTAGTAAAACAATATATTATGTAATGCGGATTTGTGGTTGGCTTGTGAAGGTTGGATCCAATCTTGAACGCTCGCGTTTGATTGTTTATATGCCTTTGTTTGAAAGTTTGATCGGTTCCGCGGCAACAAACACGAAGCTAAAGATAATGGGAGATAACCTCGGACAAATCAAGATATTCGACAAATACTTCAACTATGAGTGTTTTCTCAGAGTTGCAGTCCTTCATTATTTAATGACATCTACAAAAAAGTAATGACGAAGTTGTGGATGGAATACGTGAAGCAGAGTTTCTATATTTTATAATAAAAGTATACAAATATTGAACATGTGCATTATGCTTTGCTTTTACAGCTGTCAAAATCAGATGTCACAACTTGTTGACGTGATGTGAATGCAACCACAGCCCACAACCCACGTCCACTCATATTCGCATCAATGAACTTCTGACTGATTCATAGATGGTGAAACTATACCCGATTTATATATCAGAAAATATTTTCGATTTTATTTCATACGGTTACGAAAAATAAAAGAGTTTTGTTTTATTTTCCCGTGTGGATCTATCATTATAACGTATTGTGTATCTTATTACTTTTAATGGCTTTGTTTACCTATAAACATCCCTATTATTACATCATTATAATCATACTCTACGTCCTATCCGCTGTTAATGTGGGGATGTCGGGCTTTTTAGCCGGGCGAGTAAAGTGTATCATGGTTTATTGGTTTCGGTTGAAGCAATATGTGCACAACGGCACATTAAACGCTTTAAAAAAATTCGCCCCACATCGCTGGCTAGAATGGCCAGCATAGCGCTGATCATATATCAATTAAATTGACGCTGTGTTGATGATGTAGTTCGCTCAGATTTCCTCATTATGAACGTATTTCAACACGAAAACAAAAATAAACCATAACCTCAAAATCAAAATGAAAAGTAGTTGAAGTTGGGTTATACAAAAAGAGTCTATAGACTAAGAACAACTTATATGAAATTAAGATAAAAAAGTTATGAGGGTACCTGTTGAGTGCTGAAACTATTGTTGTCATCTGAAGGCGGCCGATCCGAGCACAACTTCTTACCCATCATAGCATAAGCCAGAAAGATGATGACTCCTAGAAGCAATAAAGCCGACCATCTTACAAAGTTTGCACAAAGTTTTACAACATGACAACTTCACTACGTCATATTTTCATAGTCTTATAGTATTAACGTCAACTTTTCATTTACAACCACTAAACCTCTTTTCGACTTAGAAAATAAGCAGATTTTGACTTCAACACTTGACTTTAACTAAAAAATAATCTTGTGTGTTTACCTGGTATAGCAAACATAACCAAAAAGAAAATGGTGCTAAACACGTTTTTTGTCAGGTAACTCCCGACATGATCCCAGTCTTCTCCACAGAAGACATACTCTGACTCGGCGCAGAGTGGTTCTAATGGATAAGTTTCCATGTTCGTTACAATGAGCAGTGGTGAGAAGATAATCATAGGAACGGCCCATAGCAACATGATGATTGTGATGGTGGAGCGCCGCGTTGCTGGCCCAAATGCGAAAGGTTGATTGATGGCGATGTAGCGGTCCAATGCCATCGCTGTTATTGTAAAGACGCTGGATGCTACTGATATACCTAAACAAACACAAAAACACAAACAGATAATGAACATTAATCATTTCAGGCTGTTTTTAATAAGTGCATTATTAAATGCGCAATTTAATTAAATGCGCTGTAAAGTTTATATTTATAAAGCGAGATTTTGAAATGAAAATGCTTTACATAAAGTATAGGATATAATTTGTGCAGCGCTGCAGATGACAATCTAATTAATTCGTATTGAACTAGTAGAATATTTTTATTCTTTGGTGTTATTTTTAATTCAGTTATACAACTAAAAAATATGATTTCTAAGAGGAAAATTTGTTAAATAATGAACTAAGATAAAATAGATTTCTATTCATACATATATAATGTGATAACATAAAAGAAAGACGACAAAGAGAACAAAGATAGCGAATGCGCAGAATATCCCAGAACAGGATATGAATGCCAACGACAGCGATAATAAAACACAATGCGCACGAGAAGCGTAAGACGGTAAAACGTTGAGACATTCATGAAAAACTATTCTTCAAGTTGAAAACTTCCACTTGCTTCCGCAAGGCGTTGAAATACTACATGTCGGAATGCTACCAAGTACTAGGGTAGCGCAGGAAGTTAGAAGTATACAACGAACACAACAAAACTGAATACCAAACGAAATACGAAGAAGAAAGTAGAAAAGTAACGAATATAGACGCACACGATGACAAGCAGAAAATATTGCTGCGATTGAAATATGTTGGAACGATGTGAGCAAGTTTGAAAAATGAATTGCTAACTTATAATTATTTATAATAGCTCATTTGTTAGGAGGTACATGTAATATCTACTTAAATATTAAATTTCAAAGGGCGTTACTCGTTATAACTTTGTTCAACAACGTCAATTACACTTGACTATCGCAAAGTTTGATTTTGATTTTAATCAATTATGTTGATGCTGTCATCTTGAATTACAAATGCATTTAAGTTTTGGGAAGTAAATTAAAGTTTTATTATATTGACATTTTTAATCGACGATTTTTATAATGAAAGTGGAGGATAAACTAAATGTAATATATTTAAAAATGTATTTTGTGTTGCCTACATTAAAGTGAGCATAGTCACAATGCATAACCTTAAAAATAAAAGCGAAGTAAATAATTTTCTTAGTTTTATTAAACAAGCCATCAAATTGACTAGAGTATATCTAATTAACCCTGTCTGGGATTTGCACCAATTTAATTATGTTATACGAGTAACCTATTCCTTCTTCCTGCATCATAATATCTAAAATTTAATATTAAACTAATTGAATTTTAATGAATCATAAATTATTAAGTTTGAGCCATAAATAAATGAAAATACGAATAATATAACAATCAATATATTCTAGTTTTAGCTCATAATGATCCTTGGCACTCACAAGGATGATGGTTATACTCACAAAGGAATGAGACCCCAACTTAAGTTAATTAATTTACCTATATTGTTAGCCTTCGCTTGCACATTGCTTCAATGTAGTGGTTTCAGCGTAATCCTCGCTCGAAAACAAACATTCTTAGGTACAATATTAGTTCGTCCTAATTAACACACAGGACGCGCCAAGAACAAGGTACGAACATCATTTTCTTTGGACAACAACTACATCATCAATATTGACAAATACGAAACGTAACGATAAGACACGCAGCTATTTGTTTACGGTAAGTACTTACATTGCATGTAATTGAGTAGCTTGCAGGGATATTGACCGAATTTCCATGACATTGTGTAGGCCGACCATGCGCCCATCGGCATGCAGACGATCGTCACCAGCAGATCAGCGATTGATAAATTTACGAGGAAATAATTTGTTATGCTGAAAAAAAATTCATAAATTTTAGAAATTAGGAAAGAAGTACGAGTAAATATACACCAAAAATAATGATCAACATATATTGTAAATAGATATTTAGTAGATATTTACTGTCACATATTTCACATTATCCTAATGGAATAAAATATGTGAAATAGAATATGTCATAACAGGCAAAATGAAAGTAATAAAAGTCTACCGGCTTCACGTCAGGTTAGCATCTGCTAGGACGATATAATCTAAAGATATGGAAGTAAACGGTCAACTTTTTACTATTCATAGACTTAATATTGAGTAATTATATATTCAGGAAATTAAACCAAAGAAAATCTTTTTGAAAAGTTTTTAAGTTAAAAACTTTTTTAAATTAAGAATTACGTCTTGAATTCTAAATTGATGATACCAATACTTTTTCTTTGATATTGATAGTAAAAATTTCATTTTAACACTAAGCCACTAAACAAGAAATTATTTAAATTCAAAAATATTGTCAATTAGCTTTTACTCGCGCCTTTCGTCCCGGTGTTTAATAAAAATGGAATTCGTTTTTACTCTCTTGTTTTAGACATAGTATGTGTCAATTATATCAATAAGATTCGCAATTTTATTTTAAAGAAATTAATTATATAAATAATTGCTAATAATGCACTTCAGCGCGCCATCTCGGATTCAACTATTTAACTATAACTATGATTGAATCTCAGTGCCAACCTTCATAGAAAAGAACAGTCTTTATGGTTTTCCCGGCAATTATTCAAAATTTTCTAGCCGTAATAACCATCCTTGGACTTCATCAAACATTAAAAAAAAGAATTGGCCAAATTGGTTTAGGCGTTGTTGAATTATGCGCTTACCAACAGATTTTGCGATTCATATTTATATTATAGATTGTACATTTTCAATCAAATTAATACCTCACTTCACAAAACCTCACTGATTGTCTATCCCTATGTGCAATTAACGCTCAAGTGTTAATTAAATGTTTTATCACTGTAGCGGCGGCGCTGTGCATTTTTTCCACCGGAAATGCGTTTAAAATTTCCGCTCGCTTCAAGTACGCGAAGTGCACATTCGTGTCGCGCAATCAAATTACGAGTAGACTTTTTTCTGCGTACCGACTCTACAAAGCCCTAGGTTTCATTTTTCTCTCAATTCCCGTTTTTAATATTTAAATACAAAAAATACTTAGTAGAGAAAAACATTTTTAATCAATATTTTCGTCTTTTATATAAATATTATTTATATATATTTTCGGATAACCAGAAAGTTCACTTTCAGCTTTTCAAAGCTTTTAATTTCGATGATTCCGACACGCTTTGCGTTTAAATTTGAGTTGGAATTCTGCATCGTGTGAGACGCAAAGTTTATTGCTCATATGCTCATATTGCTCATACTTTGATGATGAAAGCGATGAAAATGTTTGAGAGAAAATTGCCCAAAATGTAAATGGAATAATTGAATTTTTACGACTTTTTTCCTCAACTCGTACAATATTGGTAGCATAAAATACAAAAATTCTAAAAAGTTGTAAATGTTTATATTTCATATTCGACTCAAACTCAATTATATTTGAAAACATTACATTTTATATGCTAGTGAATAAAATACTCGTATAGATAGAGAATTTATCTCGTCAATAATTCTCGGAAATGTTGTTATAAAAATCAATTTGACGATTTCTTAGAAATGTTTCTATTGGAAGCATAGACACTGTTTGGATTCTTAATAATATTTTTAGTGTATCACAGAAAAAATAATATTTTCCTGTTTCCTGCTTCGGAAGAAGGATGTCCACAGTGTTGGCACCGGTCGGTAACTTAATTACCGCCGTGAAACATCCCGAAAGGCCATTTCGAACGTTTCTGGCGCACACTTTATGTAAGTGCAGAATTTCCGACGCCTTAGTCGGCACAAACGACTCTCCCGATGTTTCACTTTATCCCGGATCGGAAACTCGTTACGCCCAAGTGCCCACGTCTTTGGCATTTTGGCAGATGTAAATTGTGTATTATGTTTCAATGTAGGAGTAAAATGAAATCAACTGCAACGATTATTTTTCACTCGTAGTTAACACCATATTATTTCGGTCACTAGCAACACTCACAACTTTGTTTTTATAGGTTTTAGTATACAAAATTACTAGCATTATTAGCATTATGAACTAATTGTTTTCATGTTCCTTTTATCAAATTTCCGATTTTATGTTAAAGAAATGGAAAATAAATTATATTACGATAGTAATTATTATGTGTCAATATCAACTTTAATTTCTTATTTTCACCCTTCAAGTTATGTTTTTGCAACATAAAGCAGCCAGAGCAAACAAATTGATAACTGAATTTCTCTTAATAAATTGAGTCGCAAAATTAATTTCCTAATGTACCCTGTTTGACCAAGATGATCATTTTATGTGGGAAAAATATTTTCATTATTTTCTCTTCAATACTTCATATTCTTTTACTTTTTGAACTTTGATTAAATTTCTACAAATACTTCCAACACAAAATTGGCCAAATCAATCTAGCGGTTATGTAGTTTTAGGGAGCTTAACAGACATCAATTCATTTTTATATATTTACATAAATTGACAAACCGGCGTCAGGCATTTCCTCTGCTTTAGTTGTCAACAAGTTAAATTAAATTCAGAAAACATAATAAGCAAATAAATAAGACTACATTGTACTCTTGAAATGAGATATTCAGACAAAACACTGATTTGAATCATTTTTGTTTATTACTTTCATAAAACACTTACTGGTCGTCAATGGTAAACAACGTCAATGACGGAAAATTCGTCTTAACTTTTACTAATAAACGCAGCGATGTGAAATATTCGCCGCGTTTGAGATTTTTACTCCCGAACAAAGTATTTCTGCTATTCTGTCAAATATGGCAATGCTGTAATATTTATATGTGATGGTGTGTTACGTGATATCACCGCTTCCCGCCTGTGGTTTACTTCAGCAAATTGTTATTTGCGACTTCTTTTGTCTTTGAATTTCCACCGCTGCTATATAAATGAAATTTGAACGTATTCTGCACTTCCACGTAGTGCTTTTCGAAAATTTGCAAACAATGTGTGGCACAGTTTCAATTCTAAAGGATGTTCGACGCAGAAAATTCTCCTTCATTGTGAGACGTTTAAACTAGAAATAGACTTATTTTTAATATTGGAGATATTGGGAAATCTACGTATGTTGAATGAAATATTGGCAACAACTGCAATTTTTGTAGAATTGAGTTCTGCACAATTTGTGATTTTCCGGAAAATATTGGAAACGACTAAATCGATTCGTAAACTCGACAGATGGAAAATGGATAATTGTGTTTTACGCCATGCACAGTTACCTTCAACATTCGCACCTTTAGATTTTTTTTCTGAAATTTGATATTTTTGATTGAAATTCCCACATCGTCAAAATTTTAGCCAAAATGATTTTTATATTGAAATCCATTTTTGTATACGTTTACTCTATTCTAACATAACATTAAGTTTAATAGTTTATAACAGTTTTCTTTGTTTTTGTTTTTATTTAATTTTCATTAATTTGCAATGTTTTGTTTAATTTTAGTTGGTTTTCTTCAATCTTCTTCGGTCCCGTCCGGTTTTATTTAGCAGTGTCCGTTTTTCGTGCTGTGGTTCAATGTTGTTTGTTTGCAACAAGCTGGGGGATGCTTCAATAAAACTTGTACGTAAAGTGCGAGTAACTCGCTTAACTTTAAAAGGTGCGAGGCCTTTGAGGAAATAAATCACTTTGTACAACTTTCAGCCGTTAACCAACAACTGTGTGTTTTGCATTTGCAGCAACGTTGATTTATCGGAAAAGAAAGAAGATTAATGATTACATTTATTTCCTTATGTGTGATGTAATCTGTGTTTATAACCAGTTATTTATTATACCTAAATTTAATTATTATATTTTACTGACCTACATTATAATTATTCGAAGTAATTTTAATTTAGTGAATGAATTTGAAACAAAAAAATGTATAAATATAAATAATTCTTGTGTAAATTTATCCAAAAATTTCGCAAATTGCAAAAAAATGCGCAAAAAAGATCTGATCGAAAAGAATATACCTAGCAAATTGTAATTTGATTAATCGTCCGCTCGACGAAAATGTAATTAAGTATCTCTCGATTCCATTCCAATCGACTCCATTCAATTTTATTCTCTTCCATTCGATACGAATCGACAAAAGAACAGTTTTTATACGCGCATACGGACTTAATGCTAGAATGCCTTTTCAGATGATCACACAAATCGAAAAATATACGTACTATAAACAAATCAATAACATAAAATACCAAAAAATACTAATGTGAATAATGAAAAAAAACTAAAACGAAAAAATAGAGTCAGACTTTTTGGGGAGCAGAAAATGTCCTTGGGCAACAATATGGCGCTCAATTATAGTGATTCCACAAATTTATCACAATCGTTGATAGTATTGCCATGAAAACTTCTAAACTAACTGTTTTTTTTATGCTACGAGTATATTTTGTAGATAACATTACTTTTTATTAAGATATTCAACTACAATGTTATTAGTACCAAAAATAATAAAGTTTTCTCAATAAAAATATATCATATAAAGCAGGAAAATGCAGTAGTAACATTAGTAATGTTGTAATAATATTAATTCAACTTGTTCTGAAGTGTTCTAATTATTCCTGCAACTTCTCATTAAAACATTCTTCACTTCTACGCAAATAATAATTTAATTCTTCAGTAATTTTCAACTTCTCACATGATTCATCACTTCATTCATTGCCGTACAAAGTAAACACGGTACATACATTAAGATAAACTCCTAATTCTGTTTGTAGACAACATAATAATAAGGTACGCATCAAATGTACTTAATTAATCATGAAATTTGTCAAACAGAGTACCAACCGTTTCGTGTAAAGTGCTGAACGTTCCAACTGTTTACGCTCAAGTTTTCGACTTGACAAACAAAAGCGCTGATTAATATTTTGCCGCTTGACTGTGCGTTTTATTTCGCAGGGAAGTAAACAAGGGTGGCCATCAAAGAGCACGCCCAATCAGCTCTCAACCTGGCAGGTATCGGGTAAACAGTTACAGCTTTCATATCATTCGACAAGCTGTAGAGGAAAATAGAATTTGGTCCAAAATACCACAACAACGTTGATTACTAACGCATGTTGCCTGCCTAAACATGCCATCAGTCATCATCCATTATTTGTTCAGGTATTGCATGTAACGTGACTCGTAAAACATTAAAAAAACGGCTAAAATGTGAAATTTAATCATTTTCATGACACAAAATAAAAATATAATAAAAACGTAAACGTGTCTATTTTCATTTAATTTTGTTATAAAAGCAGGTTTAAATAATACAACGCAGAATAAATACGATATGATACGTGTCAATAGAGATTTGTATTTTATATTTGTTAAGCTTCGCTGAGCAGTCATTTTATAACTGTTTTTGTGTTCGCAGGCAATGAAAAACGCCAATAAAAATGTTAATCTTCACCATGCAGAGTAAATTCAATGCGTTTTTGTGGGAGTTATCTTATTTGCGGTGTGTTGAAAAGTTTTTATTTAATAAATTGCAATAATAATAAATTCTGCGACGATTTAATGAAGAACTAACAAAAAAGAAAGAATGACAAATGAGATTTTCCACATATCTGGTTTGATTAATAATAAATTTTTATATTTGATTAGAATTTTTAGTAACAACCCTTCCTGTTGTAATAAATAAGTTGATTTTATTTTTATCTTTTTTCATTCTTTTAAAAACTTTGTATTTTGCTTTCTGCTTCTCTAATGCTAGTTTTCTTCTACTTTACGAAAAGAAACTAATGATTCTCATTTATAATAAACATGATTGCGCCACTCCACACAGACGCATTTATACTGTTCACTATTCCTGCTATTCGTCGTGCTAACAACTTGGAACGACTTGTTTTTCGCTCATTTCCCGCGCGATGGCCACCATTTTATATAACGTACAATGAAGGAGTTTTGTATTAAAAGATAAACATGATAAACATCCAGCTGTTCACTTTTATTGTTCAATATTACTGTGCACTCAGGGATTCAGTATAAACTACAAAGCGTTTAATTTCTGGACTAAACTGCATTGTTCATAGTACGTGAATAAGCTTAATTTATATCACAACTTGAGTACCTGCGCAATTTCATAGTTTCATGGGTTGATTGTTTGGTGCAAAAAAAACTGTCAAATTTTATCTAGCATTTCAATATTTCTAGTTTTCGTAAAATTCGTAAAAGTGATTGATGTGTAAGTTATTAACGTGAGTATTTAATACGCAATTGAATGGGCCTTGCGTGAAGTTGCGTTTGCGATGCGGTCGACCAAATCGCACGAAAATAGAACGTGTTTACGACAAGGCGCGCTCGTGCAAACACACGCGAAGGAATAACAAATAATGTCCACCTTATTATCGCCGAATTGGTGCGCAATAAACTCACGCCCAAATAAAATCGTGTGAAATAAAGTTTATCCAGTCATAAACGTAAATTAAATTGCTTTTTTCGACTTTATATACAAAACACTGAAGTATTTAAGAAAGTAATAAAAATAATCAAATAAAAATACAAAACAATCATTTTCACTCAAAAAGCTTAAAAATTGGCTCAAAATTTTTAAAACATTGTAGGTACTATTGAATAGAATTTGTTGATTGAATATTCGACATGTTCAAATTGAAATCAATTGAATATTTTAAAGCCTGCGTTCAAATATGCAAATTCAATTTGTTCATATTGAATGTAGCTTAACCAAGTTCTGAAATGCTAAAGCGCTGAACTTACATCGTTGTTTCTTTAACTGAATCTTGCAATTTCAAGCGTCGTGCAAGCAAAGCTTCTTCATGAAGGTAGATATTTCTTATTTAATGCAGTCAGTTTGCAAAACTAATTATTTAACCAGATTAAAACCCAAAGGAGACTTGAAAGTCGCACGAATTTAATATGTTCAACCTATGGCGACACATTGCCACCACGCATTAAAATTCAACGTGTATAATATGTACATTATATACTGGAACCACTTTATAATCTGTGATCTCCGTATTGCGTTCGTTTGTTAATTATGTCATCTTGCTAACGCTACCATAACTTAATAAACCATACGCGTAGAGTAGTGTATAAATTTGGTGGCGTACTTTATAACTTATTTAGTGCGCAAGGTAGATTGTGTATGCGTGTAAAATTAGGAAAACGCTGAGCCAGATAGAAAAGCAACTTTAATAAATCAATCTGCGTCAGCGTCACTGTCACACCATCGCGGAAAATAGCAAAATTGCGGCGACAAGGTCGCCGGAAATTCGCTGGCTTAGAAGAAAACCTAATAACGGTTGACAATTAGTGCGTTAATGCATAATTTTTGATTAATTGCGTTTGCGATTTTCAATGGCACAACACCCCACGGACTGTCATAAAAAGTAACACAATATAGTGGATTTTTAAAGGCTTTTAAAAGTTTTATACACGCTTTAAAAAGCTTTAAATTAGTTTACATTAGACGCACGACTAAATAGTCGTTAATTTCAGTTAATTTAATGGTGCTATGAAATGCATTACAACCATTTAATCCCATAAATAAATTAAAATGATTTGTACGCAAATATTTGATTGCAAATAAATTATGGTAGCTATTAAAATAATTACTGAAATAAATGTGTTTGATTCGGATGAGATTTAATAGTTTTATTTTAGTTTCCATTAAATTACTCAGCAATTATTTTTAGTACGCTTACAATAACAACGTTCGGCAATGTTTTCATTAGTTGGTTTAAATTTGGATTCTACAGCAAACTTTTATTGACCATATTTAGTTATATAAACTGATGTTCACGCTATAGAAAATTTTTGTTTTTGTTGTAAATAATATCTTTTTATATTCTTAAAATTCCAAGGATAGGATTGAGAATGAAATATTATTTAATACAGAATATTTATCAATATTGTGTATTAAATATTTTCAAATATCTAGTTTTATTATGTTTTTTAATCAAAAACGTTCGCATTTTACAAAAAAGCTTATTGCACAGTTTTAAAGTTTCTGTAAAATTCATGCTGGAAATTAGATTGTCTACTTATGCATGATTTTATTTAAAATCACCACGGCAGAAGCGGCAAACAGAATTTATTATGAGATATAATCTGTAGTTGGATGCTTATACCTCAACTCAAATATGTTTCATTTGTACCATAATTTAATTTAAAATATAGTTCTGTGAAAGTTTAAAATTTCTCGTCTTGTATTTAAAATTTTAAAGGCTTATATATGCAAAATATTTTTTGCGTGGGCGTCCATTGTAGAAAAAGTATACATAAAGTCTTTGAGAACCTTGCCACAAAAGATGCACAACTTTTTCCCGAGTTGTTTGATGCTGAACATGTTTTTATATTAAATTTTTGCCTTTACCACAGTTACAGCAATATAAAACTTAATTTCCAAGATGGTGCCTAAGTATAATCACACTTTTCAAAAAACTTATTTCATGTTATGTTCTTCCATAAAAACACATTTTTTTAATAGCAAAGTTATAAAATAAATAAAATTTTGTTACTAATTAAAAGAAAACATTAATATCATGATAACGAATCGAAATTATTGCATTAAGATATTATATCCACATTTGAACCTCTTAATCTTAATCATTTTCATAATTTCGACGCCACAAACAACTCATTAGCGTTAATTACAATAATAATTACAATCGTTTCTTATATTTTCCCTTTCGCTAATTTGTGCTTTTAGAAAATGAATTTTTGATTAATACAAAAGCCACAACTTCTCACAATGCAAAGAAATTGCAAAGAAAGAGAAAAGTTGAGGCTATATTACTTCTCAGTTCAAGATTTGCATTTATTCTCCAATTATAATTACACATTTCAGCCATGATTATAAGATTTTCGTACTTTCCTGGTTTCCTTTCATCAGCGGTTATTATCAATATTTGAAATCTTTCGGACGTCAAGTTTTGTTTGTTGAAAAATTAAACTTTTGATTAAAACGACGCAATAATTGAGATTGAAACTTTTTGCAAAAGCGTTAAACATTAAAGGTTTCCTACAGGAAGGTAGCCGAACACCTATAAAGAAATTTTGTTTGCTTTCACCGATTCTTATTTTTAGAATTAATAAAAAGGGAGCTGTTCATTTTGTCGCAGGTGTTATTTTGCTTATTTCCGTGATTCGTTTTTTGGTATACAATAAAAATAAAAATAAAAATAAAAATATCTTAACAGGTATTTTATATTTTGAGAAAATCATTGTGTTTTATATTTATGCATTATTCATTGAACAATATCTTGCTCTGGCTTGACGTGCTTCCTGAATACCAATTATTCACTGAATCAGAAGTAATATGCTACCACTTTTTGATTTTTTGTTGTTGTGCGGAAACGCTGCTAATATAGCGTGAACAACGATTTGAACGCAAGGATAAACATGGATTTAGGAGAATCTGATTTACTGCGAATGCATGATTCATATTATGAACAATGTTTCAAAACCGACATCAACAACAATTATATTTCATCTGAATTTCAATTATTTTTTAATGCTACTTTACTTCAATTTGTTTAGGTTGGCGTTGAAATTAATTGTGAATTAATTAATTAATTAACACCAAGTGCAAAATTTAAAAAAAATGTTTTTTACTGTTTTATATCAAAACCAGGTTTAATATTATTTTCTCCAAATGTATAGATTGAATTTAATTTGAATAATAATTTATACCAGTTAGTTATAAATTTACTTACTTTCTCATGTAGTGAAATTTGACAACCACCGTAATAACTAGAACGTTTGCGATGAGCGCAATCAAACCCACAGGAACATACAGTCCAATGACCACATAATTAGTGTGGTCAAAATTGCACGGAATTGTGATATTTGTTGATATAATAGTCTCGTTCACAAACTCCATTTTAACGCGTTAATATCGTTATCACGTAACAAATAAAATTAAAAATTATTTTAATTCCGACGAATTTAATTAAATCAGTTGCGTTGATTGGCGGTTTTGGAGGTTTTCCACGCATGAACACGCACGAAAACTCGTGAAAAGCGCGCGTGGGCTTTCCAAGCGGTGGCCGTTTCAGTGGCGAGTGCCAGAGATGTTCGTCGACTGACGAGCATAGCGGCGGCGGCAACGCCGTTGGTGGCGGTGGCGGCAGCGCTCAAGAAACGGCGGAGGCGCTTACAAAGCAGGAAAGCACGATTGCGCGTTTGATGCCGCCACAAATTCTACCAATTTCTATTTAATTACACTGTCATAATTTAATATTAAAGGCAATGCGAATATTTTACGAAATATTAGTTTAGAGCCTAAATTGCAATTTTTGATGAGATTTTTGGGCGTTGCTAATGTTGTTGCTAACAAAAATAGCTTCTGTCTAAAGAACATTAATAATATTATGTTTTAAATTTATTTGGTTTTATAAATACGTTTTAAATACTTCAAAATACGAAAAATTAACGAAATAATTGTAATTTTATTGTAACTTATATTACAATAGTAGGTATATTAAGTATCAAGTAGTTAGATGGAAGTTTCTGTCACAAGATTGATTGAGAGCAAGCGTTTAATCAATCGAGTGTTTAACAACGTTTAGCCATGTGGTGCTTATGCTATTTTTTCTATTTCTACTTTATTACCTCGTGCCGGAATATGTGACTGTTGTGACTTTTTGACTGACGGTACACGGCATTTCATATGGTCTTGTGCTGCACCGCAGGGAATTGCGCAGGCGCAAGCTTCACACCGTGACTAAAGCCCGTGACTAAATTAAAGTAATTTAATTATAGCCTTGGCCGTCTGTGTTAAAAGTACCACTTTTTGTGTCACAAAAACGTAAAAAAACTGGCGCATTAAAGGTGGATGTAGAAAAATGTAAAACATGTAAATGTTGATGTAAACATAACGTGAAGGAGGTAAAATAAGGGACGAAAGTTGGAATGATGATTCAATCATAGTTATAGTTATATAATTCGAACTAAGATGACACTAAAGTGCATTATTAACAATTTTCATTCCGTTAAAAGAAAATGGAGAATCTTAATGTGGAGCTCGGTACATAATAGGTTCAAGAAAAAGCAATTAGGCTACTTTTTATTAAAACCTACGCAAACCAAGTCATAGGCAAAAGCTTATCTTTCACAAATTGTTGTCACAATTAAAACAAAAAAATGCTAATTGCATACGTTTTTCACTGTTTATCAAACTGAAATGCAGTTTTGCTGTTTCATCGAATTACCTATTTCCGTGTAAGCTTCATAAATCATAAAAATGCGTATAAATAAACATAAGCAATTTCAGTCAATGTCATTTTTGCAGAGCTATATATCACACATCGCGTGTGCCTCAGGTGCACCACTCAATTATTCAAACAGCTTTCGCTCATTCACTCGTTTATAAACATACCTTGTAACATTTTATTTGTTAAATATAAATTTAATACAAAATAAAAGAAATTGTGTGTAAAGCGTGAATAAAGCTCCAAGTTCATTTACTGCTTTGTGTAATCTTGCCAATCAAAGCTTAAATAAACGTCCCTTCGTCCTCTTCTTCCGAGGACGGATGCTAAAACAAATGAAGGGAATACAACAGAACAGAATGTAATCAGAGAACAAAAGCATTTGATTTTCTTTTGCATTTTTCATGCCCACTCACCACTTCGTCAATTAGACACCTATGTACGCACTTGTACGACATGTTCTTGCGCTTTGAATCAGTGCGCGGATTAAAACATTTTCTGTAAAGCTTCAGTTGAGGATCAAGTGGGCCCCATTCATCGGTGGAGCGTAATAAAGTTAACAATCGCTGTAAGAGAAAGAGAAAAAGTTTCATCAAACAAACGCGGCGCAGCGAATCACGTAAAACAGCAAAGAAATTAGCTGGAGAAGTATATTTGACATAAAACATTTTTTTATTACCTTTTGATAAATTTTCTGAACGACCGTAATTGTTAGAAAGATCATGTAGGGGCTGTAAAAAACCCCAAGGGTAATCAGGCGATACGTGTAGAATATATACGTAGAGTCAAAAAGATACACTGGTAGACAAATCTGAAATAAAATGAAAGTGAAATGGCACCGCATGTTTAATGTCATATGAGAATATATCTAACAATAACAACGAGTGGTGATATCACCCAAACGAACGACCAAAACTTGGCTGGTTCCTGACCAGTCATGAAATGCACATCATCACAAAACTTCGATACGCCGTAGATGTAAAATACGATTACAGTGATGATGATGATGTTGAACTGATCACAGAATTCAAGTATAACACGTTGGATGTCAAATCGGAATGCATACGCTTCCTAAAAAGACATTTATTATAAACAATGTTTTTTGTATGGTTAAGAATAAACTTACTTTACTGTCAAGTAAAAGACTTACGCCAAATCCAAAAAAGCAAAACAACGGTTTAATGTACACACCATAAATTTCCAGACCAGGATATTTTTGATACATAGATAATTGCAAGAAGGAATAATTCAACATGGCATGAAACAAAAGCACCATAAAGCGGTGCAGAAAGTACAAATAATTAAAACAGTTTGTTGCCACTAAAAAATTTGCTTAAATAGGTAAAAATTTAATTTTTTAAGTGGTAGTCTTATACGTGTTTGAGTATATAACACAGGCATTACACCGAGCTCGTGTTGTATATTCTCAGGACGAAAGAGTAAATATCGTTTTTCCACCGGAAGTTTTGCCACTTCACACAGCCAATACGTGCCGCCGCTGATCACAATGTGATCCATTACGGTTAGAAAGAAACTGGCGAAACCACAAAACCACATCAAACCGCCAGTCTTCCTTGTTCTTTTCGATAGGATTCCAAACATGATATAAGAGAAATCTCCCAAACCCATTCCGACGGTGACCTTTAAAATTGCTTGTTTCCATGCCTTCATACAACGACAAGACAACAATGCAATAGAATTTAATTGAGGTTGGGTTGATTCATAGATTACCTCAAGATTGACAAGAGATCCCATGTGAAGTTCAATCATCCTTGGTAGATAGAGAATATATTTGAGCCAAAATACAAGTACTGCGAATTGTACCAATCTGTACCCAATCACGATCAAGAATGCGTTTTTAATGAGCTGAAAATTTCAGTGGGTACAATAAAGTTTTTGGGTTTTAGACGACAGATGGTGACGACAAATGTTATTTAGAAGTTTAGTAATGAATGATGGAACTTACTTTTTTGGTGCGTGTAAAGTTTAATGTCATCGTCCACCAGACAATAGTCCACGTCATCATCAAGGGAAAAGCGCGATGGATCGGCAACAAGCCGAGATCAGCATCCTCTGGTGCACAAATGCCTTTCATGTAAATCTTACTGCAAGGCGAGAAATGAGCTTGTTAAACTTGTCGCTAACTAGTAAGTCACACCACAACCACAATTATTGAATTGGTCACTAATGCAAGTGTCTAATTGGGAAACTGATTGAATTGACTTTGAAACCATAATCAAACTTGTTAAAATTACACTTACTCCCAAAATACATACGTTGACAAATGCCTTGTTTCATTTATACAAGGCTCATCTCCTTCGCAAGGGCTTTGGGGGTTGTAGCAAATGTCACTGTAGTTCTTAGGACATTCCAACCAAGGTAATCCTTGTCCATGCAGACTACGTGCACCAATGATCATCGCATAGTTTAGATATTGCGTCATCAGAATGGTGCTGAGTGTAGTGGTCGCAAGAACCTGCAGGATGAAAGTATAGCTCATACCTTGAGCGATTGGCATCAGGTGTTTGATGTGAAATACTCCCATATTGGTGTATTGTCCAAGGACAATTTCCATGTATCCGATTGGTATACCCACAATAAGATATGCGATCAATACTTGAAAAATGTTAAGAGCTTCAGAAGGGTTTTCATATTTATAAAGCGAATAATTCTCGATTGAATAATGTCTTGAGAGATTCACAAAAATAAATTCGGATGTTGTTAACCATTTATCACCTTCCTAGAATTTTTATACGTACTTACAAAATAATTATGTTATTAAAACTTACTTCTGCTTCTGGTACATCAATACTTTCAACTTCTTCGCTTTCTTTCCCCATTTCCTCGTTTTCTTTGAGTTCTTTTCAAAGTTTAAGTTCAAATATTCTTGGTATACGTAAACCTGTAAATTTTACGGATCAAAAGAATTTATGAGAAACGAAGTTAGTTTTTGATTTGCACTTCAATCAAATATGATTCGGTGGAATTTTATTTCCGTTGCAAGTTCCGAAATCTCGACGAAGTCTATAAATTGACAAACGACTCTAATAACTACTTGACATATGTCTTGAAAACACCTTTCGGAACAATTTTATTACAATTTTCTTAAACCCTATCCGGACTTTTTTGAACTCACGCTCCACTGCAGCAAGATTTAATTAAACAATTAACACACAGCTGGCACACACTAATTGTAAATTAAAAAGTTAAAAAATTGTTTCCCAACTTGCCTGGCACAGCTTAATGAAAACTTATTATGCAATTTATTATTCAGTTTCTATTTACTAAAAAATCATAATTGGCAGATGTTGATTGTTTACATAACAATATAATAATATAATAAAATATCATAGAGCACTATTAATTTAATGGTGAATAATCTATTTACATTCAAATTTAATTAGAAATTAATTTAATTCTATCGTGTCGTATGCATCTAAAATTCTTGTTTTTATTTGCTTAAAATAGATATTTAGCAACTTTTAAATTTAGTCTCATCCAACACTACCAATGTACTCACAGATGCAATGAATAAACCTACTCTTTTTACGTTTTTCAATTCATTATGGCGAGTGATCAAAGCTGCACACTAATGCAACTGTATTCGTAATAAACTCGAACAAAAATCGGAATATTGATTTTTGTTTAGGTTCCAACGCTCGACACCTACTCTGCGCTGTGCAAATGTTTCACTTTGTTTTGATGTAGATAGAAAACGGAGGAAATTATTCATGGAACACGCATTTGTTTCTGTAGAAATCTGAGAATGTTTTTCATGTCAAATTTTTTGACCACAAGTTTGAGGGGAACGGAAAGTTTAGTGCGCATTATAAAAATAGGATTGTTATGTTCAAAGCTCCATAAATCATTTTCACTAAACATAACACAAATGGCGTTTATAGTTGATGAGTAATTATTTATTGCATAGTTGTGCGATTCGTAATGTTTTGGAATTTGACTATAAAAGAAAATCATTTTGTGTTTGTTTTATATTGGCTTCCGCATGTTGCTCAAATAAGATATAATCTTGTTATAAAGTTGTTATGAAATTGTTAGAATGACTTGTAAAACGTTAATTTTATGGAAAAAACGTAAAGTTATAATGGGTTTTTACATTACGGCCTTTACAAACTTTTCCCAGATTGGAATTCTAAGCGCAATAAAGTAGAATAATTCCCGGTATATTTTATTTATTCGACGACAAGGTTAATGTTGTCGGTGTGACTTGTATAATGAGATGCGACTATTAAACACGGCGCATAAACAAATTTACTTCAATGTCTATGTAAATAATGTCGATGTTGAAAAAAATTGTAAGCAATGCACGGGTGCCTTCTAACTAATGTTTTCAAATTCTCATCTACATATATAAAATGGATGTATGCAATGGTTTTAATGAAATTTTTGGGCAATCGTCCAATACACCCAGTAGGCTATCCGGCGAAGTTTGGTAGCGAAATTATAACTCGTAAGGTGTTAAATAATGGTTAAGGATTGTACTGAAAATTCAATCGTATTATTATTATATTATTCGAAATAAGATTGCACCAAGAGGCACAATAATTATGATTACACCCTGAACAGCGCTAACTTGACTTTAAACCTTAGTCAAGTATTTCAGTGCAAAGCAGGGATAGATTGTTAGTTTCCTTTAAAAACTGATTCAGTAGATTTTTTAGATTTTATTCAAACTAAAAAAAACTATATAAATTCTCGTGTTAAATACCCTCCAAAATTACTATTAAAAAAAATTGAATTTCGCTGCTTAAATAGCTTCTATCAATAAGAACATTAAGACAATATACCAGCGATAATGACAAATGACTATAACAATCATAACAACAAAAAAAAATTAATTTCAATAAAGAATTACAATCCTGGTTAAATTTTAATCATGGACACATAAGAAATGCGTCTACACGAAGTCGTAAATAAATCAATGACTTGTTGAAGTTGAAGACAGTGTTGCAACTACATATAACTAGCATGTGAGTAGATAGAAGAACTCTAACTCGTCAATATAAAAAGCCAGTCTAATATTTGTATAATCACAACGCTCAAGGTGTGTAAATGAAAATTGTTTACATAGGAAATTTCTAGTCACTTGAACGGAATGGCCAACAAACACAAAACATTTCATCAGTTCATTTATATGTATCCAGTTGATTTATAAATAAATCGATGAGTCACCCTGAATTTTCGGAAAGGAGGAATAAGATAAATAATGAGATTGTATTTTTTACTTCATTCATCAACAATCGCGAATACGTAAACAAGCTGCAGACATTTTTGTAACCTTGTTGGAACCGAAAGTACATTATAACCCTCAGAAATGAAAGTTTGAGTTATTTGGAGTTTAATGATCTGATCAATTATTTACCGCAATTTATTATGAACTTGACCAAAATAAATTTTATTGTTTTAATTAATTTCAATAGGTTGTAAGCAATCAAAATGATTGTTTTGTTATTTTGCAATAGACTGTGCCAAATAAATTTGTTACTCAACTCTGGGTATTATTCGATCAATTTAATCAATTAGTCCACAATCGAATTTCCTATGGTCATCTGTTCAGAATGACCTTCTAATGCCCTAAAATGAGTGTTAGCAATTTGTACTTTGCATAAAATAGTCAAAAGACCCTTCAAAACCTACACACCGTTCCACCCTTTAAAACGAAGAGAAATATTTTATAATATGCACCAAAAAATGCAATTTTTCTAAAATATACTAAACCCAAATTATTGAACTCTGTATGGATTAAAAAAAAGCCCTAAAATTTACTGTTTAAAAATATATATATTCTGTACCAACAAAGCAATCAAGCACTTTTTTAGGTAAGACATTAATGCATTTGTAATGCAATAAAACCTTAAGAAGTGCCCCAAATTAATTATATACAAAAATTTGTCCCTGTCATGCGGCATACCTAAAATTTAAACATTCATTTATTTCCTTTAATTGGAAATGAACAAATTGGGGCCCCTTAATTAGGATTTAGGGCATAGAAATGCTATACAAGTTGTAAAGGGTCTCTTATTCTGTAATCTGACTAAGAAACCCAAAATTGAATCCCAGGATAAAGAAGATGAAGATTGATTCCCATTTAGATTCCACAGATTGAACAAAAAAGTAATTTTAGGAAGAGTAATTGTTTAAATACCAATCACAATATTTAGTTACAATTTAAAATACCAGCTCAAATTGTCAGTTAAACATATATTAATAGAATAATACTTACCAGATCATAAAACCCTTACAACTTGAAACTCTCTATTCTCTACAGGTTGAGAGCAATTGAAAAATAAATTAAATCATCCATCAATATACTACATACAATATTAAAACACAACAGATATGTTACAAATGGTCAATTACTACAGGTCAATACACCATTAATACCTTGGATTGTTGTTTAATAAAGGCAACGTTTAAAAATATTGCAATAATTATAGACTATTTGTATGACGCATAACGTTCTAGCCTAGTAACAGTATATAGTTAACAGTAAGAACATTTCACTTCCAAATGAAAAATTAAAACAAATGGAAACTAAACATCTACAAAAGTTAATAACACTAGTATAAACACATCAAATGCAATTCAGCAAATAAAACACAACGGGAACACCTGCCATTATCTTCTGACACACTTGACTTAAACTTTGGTATCGCAATCATTGTTATACTTAATAAGACTATATATTTTACGATTTTGCATGTGTTCGATATTTTAGCTAATATTTCAATTAAATAAATCCGGACTTAGGTATTCAATAATTACAAGTAAACTATGTGCTAAATTGATTAAATTTGACATCTAAACACGTAAAAATTTTGTTGATTGGATTCTTGTACCTAACGATATAAATAATTACAGTTGGATTGTGATAAACTTCATCAATAACTTGTTCATGCAACTAGGTACAAAATTTACTACCGAGTAAATGTAGAACAACATAAGTTGATTGCATTCCAAGTAATTAATTAATTTAAGTCGGGTGATAAACGTGAGAGGCAATTTGTTAACAAATAGTTGCAAAGTTAAAATAGTGATTGAAACATTTTCATTCTTAGCGTCATTGTGTAACATTAAATTAGTTAGTATTTAATATATCATGAAGTTATAGTTATAATTAATATTAGTTATTTAATTGATCCTATTTACAGAAATATATTAAATCTGTTTTGGTTTTGTTGCTGGAACATGTAATTATTCATTTTGGGAGGCGGTTTTGCTGTTGTGTTTCGTATTGATTATTCTGGTTTCACGTAGATAAGTACACTTTAAGTACCGTTTTGCGTTCCTCACGTCAATTATCTTCTCATCAATTTCACCAAAACCAATAATGAACTGATGTATGATGATATTACGTTGTCGCGATTAAAATCGACAAATTTGCGAATTGTTATTTGTTTCCGGCAACATGCTCCTACGACTAATAATAGCTTAAACTGTTGTTATGTCAATTTCATTCGCAGTATGGCGTGCGTGTGAGGATTTACTGCCGATGTCTTAGGTTGGAGGAGTCTTTGCCGTGATCAGGAGTGTTTTTCCTACAAAAATACAAATATGTAATTTAATTAGCACCACCTTAAACTAGTATGGGTAAAATGTTATGTTAATAAATTTAATAGTCACGGCGCCCAAACTTGTTATTTATAATTACTATAAAGTTATTATTTTCTACTATAAAGTTATTTACGCCACAATTGAAAACTGATTTGCAACTTCTGGGTCCCCATAAATTCTGGACTACATTAACACATGTTATGGATGGTCGCCGGGACCAAAGGAAAAATAACAAACTAAACCGGTATTTAGATCAGGAAAACAAAACAAAAACATCAAAACCAAGTATGGATTAGTGTACCTACTTTCAACTTGCGATTTAAACTTGTGGCAATCTACTAATCGGTTAATGTTTCCTTAAAATAAAACAAGAATAGAACCATATTAGCGCTAACGTAACTATTGTATTCGTTTGTGTGTGTTTAGTATTGTTGAAAATCTATTAGCACTCGAGACGAACGTCATAAGACGCGTTTTTGCGTGTGTGGGTAAACATGTGATCAGATCACTTACTGGTCTGGACTTTGGTCAGTGTCGCTTTCTTCCAGCTCGGTCTTGTTACGCTTCTTCTCATAGATGAGAATGATTGCACAAAGAACGAAGACTTCGGCGCAAATTCCCAGGAAAGGCCACAAAGCGGCGTACTTATCTGGAAACAAACATAATCAGTCGTAATAAGGCATAAACCAGTGTTATTAAGTGCTATTAACGTCAACCAATATAATTTGCACTGAGCATTTAGTGTAAACAAAATGATTATGAATATTTACCCTTAATGCGAACCATAGTCGTTCCATCGGCTGTGTCACCGTATGCATTAGTAGCCATGCATTTGTATTCCGTTCGGTCGCTCATCTGTGCTTCCTTGATAACAAGCATAGTGTTCTCTACATTGCTTTCGGGATCCTTCTCCAATAGGACTCGATCGCGACTTTCATCATAGGTTTCATTACCTATTAAACAGAAATCGAAACTGTTAACTTGGATAACTTATAATCAAGTAAATTAAACCATGAAAAATATCAGCATTTCGTTTGTAAACCTAACAAGACCAATTCACAACTCCACTTGTTCTGAATATATAATAAATCAAGATGACAATCGTGATAAATTTACAATCGCTGCTGATAAGCGTTGTTTCGTAACAACGATAACACCTACCAACCATCCAGGTGACGGTTGGACTGCCAACCACCTGGCACACCATCTTGATGGCTTCGCCTTCAACAAAGTTAAGATTGGCGACCATCTTCACGTAAACCTTGCTGACCAAGGTGATATTGGCGCGCTTTACTTCACTGTCGTCCTTAAAAACAACGCACTCGTAGTTGCCGGCATCCTCTTCAGTGGCATGCTTCACGTTCAAAGAGAAGACGGTACCCTGCTTCGAGGTAGAGACTCGCTCAGAAGGTTTTACCTCTGTGCTACCCTTGTGCCATTTAGCGTCCACACTGTCATCACCCGTCACGGAGCATTTGATTTGGAAGTGCGATTTGACATCGAACCTTTTACTCTGTTGAGCTCGCAGATCCTCGTCATAATTGAGGTCAACGTTAACTAAAGACAAGAAATACATCATGAAATAAAGTTGTTTTTGTTTAGTAATTTAATATGCAATTCGACGGAATGCCGAGTACAAAGGATATTTCACCATGTGTGCCTGAAATAACTGCAATAACGCGTTTGTACACTGCTCAGTTATTAATGGAATCAATGAGCAGTGCCTAAATGATTAAAGGCGCGCTACGCAGCAAGGTTGACGACTGTTTATCGTTAATTAATAGACTATTCAGACGCACATCGTTCAGTTATTGCTAGAAAACGTTTATAACGATCGAAATACATACACCACGCCCTCGACAATGAATAAATGCATCAACAAAGCTATAAGATCGCCTGACAATCACATGACAATGAAATCAAGCGCACTTACTTTCGCTGAGGACAGCTGGTGTGAGCAATAAAAGGCTCAGGATGATTTTCAACGACGGCCGCTGCATGGTGCTATAATTAACTAAAACACTAGCCAGGAGGAACACTCGCGAACGAACACGGTGGACTGACGTACAGCCAAAACTCGTGAACGATTTGAGAAGCCCGAGAACGAAAAATGATCAGGCGGTGCGCGAGGGGGAGAACCGCGGTGTAATATAATTACTAGGAGACACAGCTACACGACTTGAACTGTGCTGCGAGCACTGCAATACGCGCTCTGCCAACAACCTCGGATCGCGCTTGACTAAACCGGACTGAGTCACTTTGTGACTTTACAGTCACTAGCTGACGTCGGGCTAGTCGTTCTTGTATTTGTGGGCAACTCTTTCAAGCGAATAGTAAAATTGGAGCAAGGCGCCCGACCCGATTTTACGTAACGAAAAATTCAATAATGACCTTGGTTTGATGTCGAACGGACATAGCAAAACGACAGCAGCGACCTTGCACAATATTAATACAGAAAACCGCTCATAGATGTCGTAATATGTATTGACAGTTGAATTAGATTTGCGAATAGCTACGATTAGCGTTTTTTTTTGCTGCAAAACCTTGAAATGTGAAAATTGTGGTTTGTATTGAAGCTATTTAATCATCGTTATTACTTTTTGTACGCATTACAATCATTTATGAAGTAAGTCGTAGTTGCTGGGAGTATTATTACGCTGATAGTTAATACTTTTATGCCTTGTTGAAAATACAAGCAATAAGGAAAGTATTTAATGAATTATTCAGTGTTCTGTAGAAGATAAAATGAATTCACCAAAGTTTTAATATTATACATGTCATATATTGTCGGCAAAAAAGTAACATACCATGGTAATGGTTTCAATAATAATATCATTACATTCCTATAATAATAAAAATTTGTTTTTCATTCTAGCAATAACAATCTACTAGATATACACCATTAACAATCTTAATATTCTCTGTATCTTGTTAAAATTTAATGTTTATTTTAATGTTATATAATTTAATTGATTAATTTTTACTTAATATTTTTCATCATGTTGGTTGCTCATATCATTTTTCTTCATTTTGTTTTGCTGGTGGTGGTATATGCCTATGATGCGCAAAAGTACAATCAAACGTATGCTTCATATAACATTACAACGCGCGCGGAACGACATACATACAAAAACTTAAACTTTATTTATCTGTACATTCAGCGAAACTCAAACAACCTAACTGGATCGCGAGCGTGATGGTGTGGAAAGTCGGCAAATCTCTCAAATTTTCGCACGCCGCTAGCAATTATATCTTAATTAAATATACACTAGTTATGCCCTTCCTATAAAATTACAATGCGTTTGTACATAATGCCAAACGTCCATTAAATGACAACGAAATTTTTACAATGAGACCCGCGTTTCGCCCGTTTCTCTCTCTCAACATTATACAACAATATTATAACAACAATCAGATATGTTAAGTCAAAATGTGTGGAACGCAAAACGATCAACATCGTCATACAAACCAAACTTAAACTGAAGACAAAAACTTTAATATTCCTTGCGTCATGGGCTAAAGTCAATGAAATGAAATCGATAGCTTTGTCTGTTTGTAAGACTGTAAGTATATATCTACAATTATATTACAGTTTGAAGTTTGGTTAAGTCCTTGTCCAATTTAAGGTTAGATTTTATTTCTAGCGTTGTTTTAGATTTCTGAACACGAAATGAAGTGAATACATACACAGAGAGGCTTCGCGCACGCGCAGGATAAGATTCAAAACAAATAGATAAAATTAACATAATTGTATGTTTAGTTTTGCGTTCATTGTCAACAATCATTAGTTTAGTTCAGATTAATTTTCAATTGGCTGATAAGTATAGATAAGTATATTGATAGATAGAAGTCTTGACAATAGAGAACAAGATTTAAGTATGTAGTCAATATAGGTAAGTAGAGTTGTTGTTTTTTTTTTTTTGGAAACTTCATTAACAAACCGTAAAATCTCAAATCTCAAAGTTGCTCATCTGTTTATCATTCGTGTGTGTTATTTATTTACTCACTTTAATTTTTAGTTTTTATAACTTGTTTATTATTGTGGAATAATAGCAGGTAAGCCGGTATGATTTGTATATTTTGACAACAGATGTCAGCACCATGTTGGTCATAATAATTATCATACCCGCACGAAATGTTTACGTTTATGTGATGCGAATAATAAGTTTGATAAAACTGACAGAGACACAAGACTAGTAATGTATGCTACCTATCACTCGATTGAAATGGCGTGTGTGTTAGAGTGTGTTTGTGTCTAAAATTTAAAACCCGCTTCATAATACAATAATTGATATGCCCTAAAACTACTGGACTCGTTTTCATCATTTATAGTTTAATTAATGTTTAATGCGTCAACCTGTCGTTCGCCAAGTTGAGTATTAGTGTTGAATGTGTGTTATATATGCCGCATCACGTACTCGCAAATATTACTTATCGATAGTTTTAATATTTATTCATTTAAATTTAAGTATATGAATAGCTACGTGTTTTTTTTTTCTTCATCATCTTATTTTTTATGTTCATCATCGACCGCCGATCTAGCATCGGCGATTTAATTTATAATTTGTAGTAGTTTCATTTAAGTTTTAAGTATAGAAAAACATCGATTTGGAAGTGCGTCTTTGGTGAATATAGTTTTAATATTCGCTTTTTATCTAATCATCTCATTTGCTCGCTTGGGTTATGGCATCGCTTGCATTTTTATAGAGAATATCCCTCTTGTTTACACCACCTCGTCATTAATCTTTATATATATTCTTGTTTCTATAGTTTTGCAAACGACATCAAAGATTTTTAGGTTAGATTTACTCTGATTACAATAGGTAATGTGATTTAGGTGCAAGATTACCTATGAATAACTCTCTAATAGCTTTTTGTTTGTTTTTGTCGTAATTTTTAATTTCTTTCGTGAGAATGATGAGTAATCGTTCGAAATCAATCAATAAACAACAATTTAGTCACAAAATTTGGTTAGGTTATGTTTTGATTTAATATTTATAATGTAACAAGATTGATTGGCTGCTTATTTTTGTACTATATGTGTCCATTTCACTTTGTTTGCATTCAATTCAAAAGCAGGTACTCGAGGAGAGGGATGGAAAAGAAATCATTGAAACAATTTATCACATATGGAACATGGTGTCTGAGTAATGTTAGATTTGATAGATAGAAGAGAAACACAACGAATAGGCACTTACAGAAAGTGAGTGTTTTGTATGTGTGTAAGTGTATTGTTCAAACCCGAAACACCCTGTGTATGTATCTATGTCGTCAAGTTAAGTTTAAAGTTAATGTTTAGTATACGCGTACGCTTAGAAGAATGATTAGGCCTGATAACCTGTCAACTGATGATTCAACGGTAAAATGGCAAAACTGTAACACGACCAAATGGTAAAAAGGTAAAGCTTTGACATGTTCGATGTTTTGTTCTCTTGTAACTCAAAGTGAAACAAACCGAAATAATCGAAATCAACAAAACTGGTAACTGGTACAACTTTCAAAGCCTGTTCATAACGTTTCTTTGGTATGTACGCTATTGTCCTACAGGTGTCGCTAGTATGAATGCATTAGTCGGATGATAATATTTTACACGCACAAGCATCTCGCTGTGTACCATACCTCGTAATCGTAAGTCATTAATGTGTAACACGGCTAATTAATAAATTTAAAATCGGGAAGTTGTTCCATATCTCCACTCATATGTACGTTTGTAATTCTTCTTTTTTTGTGTGTGTTTCTATATTTATATATTAATATTTGAATATTTGCGTGTGTATGTGTGAGTGTGTTTGGTGTGTTCTACTGCATTATCACTTCGTTTTCGTTCACATTCACGCACAAATTTCTTTGAAATATATTAATAGCGTGGTGAGAATGTGTCACTTGAATGCCTACAAATTTCAGCTGCTGTTTGCTACACACCCAATAGTAAACGTTAAACACGTTATAAGGTACAATTAATTCTGCGTTTAGTTTAAATTTTTTTGCTTGCTTTTAGTTTTTATATAATGTACAATTGTTCATTTAATTATTACCCCTGCTTGCTGCGAAACAAATTTGTGAATCCGTTAATCGCTACGAACAACAATATTGTTTCATCGATATAAAAACAGCGCTTTTGTTATGTGTTCTTCTTGTTATTTTGGATGTGATTGTGTGTTGTGTTTTTATTGTGTGTGTGTATGGTGTTGCTCTACATAATTTCCATCATCTTAATTATGTGTATAAGTATTATAATTCTAAAAATGTCTAGTTTCATGCGCTTTTCGTGTAGTTCGAAAAAAGTCATCTCGTGATAAAAAACCAAACGTCTATCGCATCATATGAAATCAGCTGTCAACTTAAACATATATATATCATATCATTATAATATATTTATATATGTATATAATTAAGTTATGTATTTATGTATAATATCTACATTTAAAAGGACTCGTTAGTACTCATACTCATACTATTTGTTAGTTTATCATTTATCATCTCATTTATGTTTTTTTGTGTGTGTTTTTACTATACCAGTTTTTAAAACTGTTAATTTCTGTATTCATCGAGGTGTTAATACAAATATTTTTTGGGCTTTTTGTTTAATATATATTTTGTCATATCTCCTCTCGGGTAAATCTCTTTCTCAATATATATGACCCTTAATAAACAACATTATTAATTTTATTATAGTAAAAATTAGTCTATGCTCATAATTTTATTGCTATATATTTTTCTTTTCATCTTGTATCTTGTTTTTGTTTGTTTGGGTTCCTGGTTGGTATTCTCGCTGAGAATAAGCATCCCTTTGTTGAAGTTGTTTCTCGTTTTTGATTTCGCAATGATTCTACAGTATGTTTTTCTGTCTAAAACCACTCTAGCGCGTGTTTTTGGAAGTCGATATATATTTTGATGCGAAAGTCGCGTTAGTTTACAATTGCATTGGATTTTAAAGTTATTCACACCGTCATGTATAACACAATCGCCTTGCGTTTATTTTGTTTCTTTGTTTGTTTAAGTAATCGTCCAGTTATATTCGTAAGTTTTTTGTTCATTCGATTTTTGTGCGTGAAGTTTTTTCTTTCTGCAATTTGTCTAATATTGCCATTGGTTTCAAAATCATATATCTCATTATTTTTTGTTTCATTAGTTAATTTGTCAAGATGTTGGCTGTAGTGAATTGTCATCTTCTAAAACGTTAAATTATTTATGTATACTAGGTTTATCGTTGCCATATTTGTGATAAAATGCGAATAACAAGTGCAATCACGTCACACACGTTTTGTTCTCTTCTAAATTGTTCGTTACGTTTTAATTCCTTTGTATTTAGACTCGCATGACTTACGAAAATGCATCAAGCATTACATTCGCTAGTTTATTTTATGTTATCCTAACCAAATTCTACCAAATAGTTAAAATTTTGCACGTTTTGTTTGGTTTTCATTGTATCAATTTCAATATAATCATTGACTTTATTTGTTTGCTTTTCTGGTTGGTTGTAGATTTTCATTCTGTCAACACTTTTCGTAATATGGTGTTGGTTCGCTAGTATTTTGATAACTGTATATCCTTTTTTGCGTTTGACGCCACTTGAGGATCTTTTGCATCCTATGCGCTACTTAAAAGGGACAGACGATGATCTCGTACTCGAACATCAATGAGACGGCCACGAAAACGAAGTACAGCAGGAACATGGTGAAACCAAGCCCTCTGTTCATCTTCCAGCGGAAGCAGGCGATCGACATGATGACGAACAGCAGCATCATGAACAGGATGGTGATCGAACACACCATCCCCACCGAGTTCACCTCAACGGGCTTTCCGTAGACAATGCCGTATATCAACCAAGGCACTGGTAAACTGCAAACAGAATTACACATTAAAACATTGCGAAAAAAAGCGTTAAAAGTGTAATCACATTAAAGATTTATAGAGTTGCCAATGGATATGTGTATTTCAGAAATAATTATATCATTTTGTTCTGGTTTACGACTAAGAGTCCTATATTTTTATGAGCTACAGAATTTTACGGACGTTTTTATGGGACGGATAATTAGGGATACTCTTGACACACAAATAATATCACATTAATTTAACCTTGGTTGTGTATTGTTTGTGGGATTGCCTACACCTCAGGGATAAGCTAATTGTTGGTGTAGTTTTGATCCCTTAGCTTACCACAGGTCGGTTTTAAGTGTTTAATTTGTTACATATGAGAAAACATCAGCATCGATTTGTGCATTTCTAGCCCAAAATGTTTGGCACTTTGCCCAGCCAATAACACAATAATAAAGCATTTAATCCGAATCTGTGCTTGTCCATTTCGCAAATTGACTACATGTGAATGTAATTTATTGTCATAATTCGATATTTCTATGCTTTTCCTTAATCCTTGTCAATTGAACGCAATCTGTACGAGTTCACTACTGATTTATTTCGTTTGAGATCTTTTCCGTTCGCGTTTGCTTTAAATCAAATCAATTTCGATTCCGCTTCTTGCACTAGTCTTATTCTAGGGATTGGCGCGCGGTGAAATGGGCCGGTGGTAGACATTAATGGATTAGTCATATCCACGCGGCTGACATTTGAATGGCAGCAATGGCTCGATATTTCGTGTAGTGCATGCCAGAAGGTGGTGGTGTGCATGGGGCGCAACACGCCGCGTAATGGCGCGACCTCCAAGTCGGCAGCGACGACCGCCTCTAGCCGACTGACCTAAATATCGCCCCTTGGGCTGCTGGCACGGGCACAGAGGTCGCGGTATTGCGTCGCGCTGGTTGGTGTGGCGGAGGCGCAGGGCAACATTGGCATTGGCGCTCTATGGGCATAGAATGTGCCCGCTTCCGAATCGCTTCCAGATAGATAAATACCGGTGGCTTTCATAGATTCGGCGTCTGGGTGTAACGTATAGTTTCATTAAATGGTTCTATATGGTTCAATTAACTTGATGGATGCGACGCTGTTTTTCCGGTCGGATGGAACTGACCCTTCCGGTCAAAATCTCTAATATCCTTCAAAATAAAATGTTACATATTGACTTAAATATAATAAATATAAGGCAAATGTATTTCTGTATTTACCAAAAATGTCGATAAAAATTTATCACGTCGATAGTCATCAGCCGTGCAAATAAAATTCTATGTTTAAATAAACAACGATAGCGCAAGACGCGCGATATATTTTTAACACGAACGACGAGCACGCTTTATGCACTTGTGTCCCGTCGGCGTTGAGAGGTCGTTCGTTGAAGAATCAAGTCTTGACCTACATCGGACGTCTCCGGGTCTTTGAATGCGCTTTACTTTATTTAAAACTGAATCTAAGTGGACGACGCAAACTAACTTCACGCAGAATGACGAAACAGGTGTACCTGTGTTACAACTATAATCCTGAATCTTGGGGGATGACTATGATGAAGTATGCCTGGACCACTAACGCTTGTCCTCACGTTCATTATATGATTGATTAGCCTAGGTGTCTAGTTGTCTACCGGGTTTTGTCTTTATTATAATGGTAAGTGTTAAATTCAGGTGGTAAATTTTCTATTACAACATATTTGTCACCGCGTCGTCGTTATCCATCATAGTTGATTGATAGGCAACCAAATTTACAGTGTTTTTTGTATGCTATTGGCATGTTTGATGTTTTCTGCGTGTTTTTACTTACCCGACGGTAACATCGAAAATGTTACTCCCGACGGAAGAGGAGACGGCCATGTCACCGAAGCCCTTTCTCGCGACGATGACGGACGTGATGAGATCCGGAATGGAGGTTCCGGCCGCAAGGAACGTCAACCCCATCACCTCCGGAGGTATCATCACAGTGTCGCCGACCATATTCGCCCACCACACCATCAGGTACGAGTACGCGGCGATCCACAGGATGCTTCCCACAAACGTAATCGGGAAGAATTTCTTACCTAGATAGGGAATATAATTTTTCACAAAACGAAAACAAAGTAGAAATAAAAATAAACTGTTTATAAAAATATGAAGATGAGTCAACTGACTGTAAAGCCGACGTTAAACCGCTGCGAAAACGGAAAGACGCCGAGATGTAGAGGAAGGCTCATTAATAACAATTAAACCGCTGGCGGTGCGAGTCGAAGGAAGTGGGCTTAATAGAGTTAACGAGAATGTACGGTATACAAGCGCGCCGCAAAATATAAGATTGCCACTGGAGAGTCAAGCGGTTATGAGAAAAAAACGGATCATTAAAATAATACGAGCATAAGATACAACGAACCAGAAATCTGAATTGCATTGCAGCTTACTTACACTCTAAGCAAAAAGGGAAGAGAAAATGGAACAAAAAGTGAAGATGGATTTAGATGGCGGTAAGTGTCTCACGCTGCATAGCGAGAGATGATTTATATTTTAAAGCCTAGAAAGTTTTCAGAGAAGCAAAGGCATGCACAATTAAAAGTTTTCTTAAATTTAGCTTAATAATTGAAAACTCTTCGCTGAGATTTAGAATTTTGCAGACAATTTGATAATTTCAACGAGTGCTGATCAGTAACTGAGTGTAATTAGTAAATGACGACGTGTACCAAGCACTGAAATTTATTAATCCGCTCATTAGTCGCAAAGGGCAGTTAAAATCTAAATCTAAATCGAAAATAATTAAAATATAATCGAACGAGTTCTCGCATGCTATATAAAAACCAGCCGTTTTATACCCGTACTCCTATCCAACGATGAAATACACGGGGGTGGCGGCAATGGCACGAAAATAAGATATTATCGTGCAACATTCGACTGCCGCCACCGGGCGCACAGTGGCGCTAATGTACGCCAGTGAAACGAGGTCAAGTTTTGGTGTTTGCCGTTGTCATGGGGAATAAAACAAAAAGCGACAGCAATCGAAATCGAAACCGAAGTGGAAGCCAAAATGAGTAAAGGATATATACGAATCCCGTGTGTCGGCGTCGGAAATAAATCCGCAAGTTTGGGAAACACGGGACGAAATTTAATTAATTTATCGCGGAGATAAGTCAACCGCGGCGCGCGCTGGCAAAAACGAGCTGTACAAGGATACAGGTGAAATCCAGTCATGCGCCAGCAATTTATTGGTTTAATCGCCGGCGGTTTATCATAGATTGAGATGTGGATGAAGTAGAAAATAGTTAGTATTAGAACTACAATTGGATTTAAATAATATCGATAAATCTACTAAAATGATGATTTACGAGTAGAATGTTCGCCATTTTGTGTAATCTTGGCTGCCTACTTTGTATAGATGATGTTTACCTCTAGGTGAGCGAGTATCAGGTAATGTGAGCCATAGCGGGAAGACGATGGGTGCCAGCAGGATGTAGGTGATCCTCTTGCGCGCACCGGAAGGCCAGCTCATGTCGAGCGGATCGGGCGGGTCCTCCTCGGGTCCGTCGCCCACCTGCAGACACACCACGGCTTGAGGAGTGAGGGACTTACGCGCGCGCACCGATGACATGCGCCGCTACAGATTCCCAGCGGCGAGGTAAGAGAGGAAACAGACAGAGAAAAACACAAAATAATTACATATGTTCAAACTTACACGTATGTTGAGTGGTTTTTTGTTATCACCTAGTAAGTGCAAGTTAAGGTGACTTAACTCAAGTCACTACGGACAACTTAAAGTTGTTTTAATAAATACACTAAATACTTTCAACACTATTTGTTTATGATTTACAACATTTTTAAAGCCAAGATACATTTGCATGCTACTTTTATTACTAGTTACTACAACACCATTTGGTGGAGAAGTTTGAAACTCGTAATATGTTAACCACCATTTTGTGGGTGTTGAAATCTAATAAGTTACAAACATTTCCATCATATTCCTAGTACACAGTATTGCAAGAAACAGTCTAGTATTGGAAATCATGAAGAATGAAAACTTTTCATGCTTCATGCGTGTCACTTTAGGTTCGAAGAGGAAACACTTTTACAGACTTTAACAAGAGCACAGTTCTTATCGCTTGCTTCGACATGAGCATTAGTCAAGATTTAAGACAGTACATTCCGCCTCATTCATCATCACACCGCTAGGGTACAGTCAGACACTTGTTAGGCAATTCATCATTATCACATTATCAATAGTCTGGCCTAAAATTACCTTCGCTAGGCTTGTTGGGGATAGCTATAAACAAAAAACGCATAAGACAAATATTACACATTAAAAAATCATATCAAATCCAACAGAGAATAAGAGCGAGAACCAAGTAACGTCAATCAAAGTGTCAGTCAAAAGTGGTGGTGAACTAATGTTTACAACAAATAAAAAACACAGATAACAAGGGGTCAAACACAGAGTCACAGAAAACCATCAAGAAAAATACATCGGAGCGACGTGTTATGATAAGATAAGAGTCATAGAGTATGCAGTGGAAAATAAGATTTTGTCGTTAAAGTGGAGCTTGAAGGACATTAGCATTGGTAGAACATCGATTAGTAGTCGCATCACGCTCGTCCTTGCGCATCCAGTGTGGAAACTAGCGGTACTATCGCGAATAATAACTCATTTTCAAGTAATTTTTATTCGATAGTGATTGATCACGCTATGGGGAGAATATCTGCTTGTAAAAGCTGTGGTATAATTTTGCAAAACAATAAATTTACATAAAGTTACGTTAAGTATTTTATAGATTTAAAATAATGAAGCTATTATATTCAAAATTAAAAAATCGAATTGCCATAATAATTTTTTAAGTATTCTTTAGTGTAATTTGTGCCGTTTTATTAATATCAAGAGTTTTTTTGTCGTTAAATTTGCAATTCATCATTAATTTTCTTATGACTATACCTACTACTCGTCCGGTTATTAAGGCATTTTACAGGTTTCTTTGTTTTGTGGTGCAACTTCCGTTGAATTTTTCTCGAGCGCTCGTAGGGTTTCCACACAATAGGTAATAAAGAGTAAAGAGTAAAGTAATTTAACCGAAAGCCTAAATGTCAAAAGTTAATTTAAATGACGCGGGCGCGTTCGGTTTGCCACCACTAAAACAACACAAAGGAAAGAAGTGCTGACATGACAAAATTTGCATTTAGAGTTTAAATTTTGAAAATCGACATTTAAGCCGATTATGCTGAACGCTCGACGCATATTACAGATTTATAGACACTCACACACTAACCGGAAAGGCGGCCATTGATTTATCAGCCATTTCCACACAAAGTCGGAAACGCTACGCGAGTGAGGAAAACACAATGTGCTTAGATACGTCTCGCGGCAATATTTTCAACTAAAGTAAAACTTCAACAAAGTGTAAAGTGTGCACTTTGTGTTCTTCTAAGCTTAGTCGCGGATCCGGATCTGTTAGATCCGTTTTACGAGTGTCGTACGTTCGGTTACATTTAACGTTCCGATGAGACTGATATCGCGCGAAGCGAAAAAGCGAAAAATTCGCACCTTATTCTTATTTCAAAAAAGAAGTTGATAAGCTTTTCTTAAAGATTCACACTGATAGACGCTTACAAAGACTCAAAAGATCTGATAGTATACATCGTAAATTTTTATTGTTGAATTTTAACGACTTTTAACTACATGATAATCGACTATTTCTTAGTATTTCTTGGTATTCGTATTCTCAATGTCGGAAGTTGTCGATATTTCTCGTTATTGTGATTCCATATGATTTTATTTTTATTTGTTTGATCGATTTCCACGTCGCCAGTCTAAAGTTTTAATCTAGTTGTTTGTTTGTTTGTACATTCTGCTTCTAACTATGCGAATAATGAGTTTTCAACTTTTATAACAACCAACAATCATTTGCATTTGAAGTGGAATCAGAAATCAGTTATAAGTCTATCCTGGCTTTTTCTAATTAATTTTGTGCTGTTGGCAGGGTCATTAAATTTAGTGGTCTGGTAATTATTGTGCACCTAAACACACAGCTACCAATCATTTTCGATGACAGCTTTGTCCTGTTAGCACCGATTTTATCGAAATATTACACAATATTTGTGAACTGCAACTACAATAACTATAAAATTACTCAACTTGCTACCAAATATTAATATGTATTTAACAATTGTAACAAAACTAAGTGTAAATTGTCTAAATATCTACTAATTACAATAGCTAATCTAATCACACACGTAGAATGTTTGAAATTTATATTTTAGAACATTCCACGTGTAAATTTACAGATGATATCAGTGAGGTGTGTATGTATAACCGCAGGATGTCATGTGTATTCAACTGGTTAGCACGCGCCTCGATGATACAAATTAAACGCTTTAATCGGACGGGCGGCTAATAAGCTCAAAGATGAAGCAATGTACAAATTAAAAGCATGGTACGCGCAAATGCGCAGCGCACTACAGGTGAAAATAGCTGCAGATATACCATGAATAATTTTAACACCTATAGGCCACCAATAATACAAAAAATATTTATTATGAATTATTGGTTGTCTAAAGATATAATTGTCTAAATTACACATGGTATATATTAAGAATAAGAACAAGAGTAGAAGAAATAAACTTTACATTGTGTTTTATAGATTTACCTTAAATATTGTTTTTTGTTTTCGTTGAAAACTCTCGGGTTTTCTCGGGAATTTTGTATGAGTGTGTGATTGTTGTCACGCGCAGGAAACAAGAACATTATTAGTCATGACATGATTCATCCTTGAGACGCTCTTGGTGCGTTTGTGTATGTGTTTGAGGAAATGTGTTTAATCATTAATTTCGGGGTTTTTGTTAAGTTAGTTTAGTTCTTTTATATTATTTCGTTTTAGGGTATTGGGCGAGTTTCTCAACAAGGTATCAAGTGTTGGAAAAGATAAATATAGCGTAAAAAAGAGGTCAGAAGTTGATGCACGCAAACGTCGATCGCGCAACATTTAACAAACGAACATCGATTCGGTGATTCAGTGATTCTTCCGAAAGTTACCACATTACCACCTTACCATCACTAATCTCTAGCTGGAAGTTCAACTGGAGCGAAAAGTGCTTAGGCATTGTTTGTTAAATTGTTGCATCGCATTACAACGCCGATTACAAGTCGTTGGGTTCACTTCACCGGGGGGTCGAGCAGGGAAGAAAGAATTCCGCGACCCGAAAAACTCGCGTGCACCTTGGGCCGGCGCCGAGCGGCGACGTTCGCCCGAAATCGATATTTTAGCAGGTCGCACACGAACGATTTCGCCCCGGCCCCCGCACTCACACCCGCGGGGGTGATAAGGGTAACCAATGCGTTACTTTAACCCTGTTGGTGGTCAAACACCAACAATTAACGAAAATCTAAATTTAATTAGAAAAAGTAAGAATAGAAAACAATGTGTAGATAAAACATGATTGGCTCATTGAAATTGGCAATAAATGATTGCAAAACATACCGTTCCACTCGTTTCACGTACTAATTGGAAAACGAGTGCAGCGTTCCGTTTCGTTGCAATGGTAATTTGAATAGCCAGAGTCAACAACGAAGCTATTGAAGCTCAGCATATCCCCAAAAGAGAGGGTGTCAGAGGAGGGGCACAAAGTCAACACCAGCAATTCAAAAAAGAGCACGGATTCCGTCGCACACCGAAGATAGGTTCACGCAACAACAAACGACTCCACAGAAACAGAAAAAAACAACGTACATCGATCACAACTCAATCAGAACTCACTAGAATTTTGCTTGGCTCTCTTGCGCCCAGAATTGTCTCGTCGTTAAATTTCCCGTGCGTGTGGTTTACTCGTACAGGGAATCAAAACAGAAAACAAACTGAACTCAAACACTGCGTCCAAAATGTTTTGATGCTTTGTCAGCGGTTCATTTTACGCTTATTAAACGCAGAGTATTGAAATATCGAGAATTTATAGCCGGGCGCATTGTCATCATGGTGCGGTCGATGTATGGGGGGTCATTGTTTAATAATTTTGTTCGTCGGGAGAGTTTGGGTAGGTATGCTATATTGGTTTTGGATGAAAAACTCACCGCTTCTAAATTGACATCGTTCAAATTGCTGGCAATGCCGTTAGGCATGTCCGGTATGTTGGACGGTGCCAGCATCGTCTCACGCTGTGCGGTCAGCGCGGTGGTGACGGCAGAGGCGGCGCTCACGTGGTTCGCCGCCGAGCTGGTGGCGGCACCGTTTTGGGGTTTCGTCGCGTCCAGCAACACCTTCAGCGAGGCGATTGCGTGCAACTGTGTTGCTTTCTCGTCCACTTTGCCTACAAAATACAAGCTCGCATTTAATACAAATATGGCCGCCAACATGCCATTTATGAAGAATTACACCACGAGAAACAATATCGAACAATTTTGGAAGACAAATTACAAACGATACGCCAGTGCAATATGCAATATCATCAATACTAACAACTACGCCACGTAACATAACCTTAGATTACATTATGTTATGCAACCCAACTGGCATGCAACAGTGTTACGCGTTATATCATGCACAGGTTTTCTCCTTATTAGTGGATTATCATGCGCTGAAATAAAGATTATAATAAAAGAAAATTAAATTATCTAATCAACTACATTTTATTATCTCATAATAATTAATATTATTATCTATAAATGTCATGGCAAACATAACCTCACTAATAAATTTCTACGTGAAAAGATTTTTTCTTTTTTGACAACTGAGTATGATGAATAAGAAATTTGGTAGACGATGAACTTTCAACTTATCATCTCTGTGACTGCCTCAGTTGTACGAGTACACTTTGTCTACACGCCAAATAAAACTTGAAGATTTTTTTGTGAGGGCGCGCGCCGCGTCCATCTTCCTCTATCCGGTTTCATTACGCGCACGCATATATTCCCGTCAGGTCTCGTCTGCGTCTGATGGCCGTGATTGATAAGTGTTTTAAAAATTCAGGACGCTACCGCGGTGACTGACTGACATTACTACCACCGCCAAGTTCCTCGTTGTATGGTATTAGCAGATTGAAAAAAGATTTCAGTACCCACTTCATGTCATCCGGATATTCCAGGGAACACATGTGTCACTGCATGCTGTTGTTAATCTCAAAATGATGAGCAAAACACTCGGATAGCTCAGAAATATAATAAGACTGTGTTTTGAGTTGGTACGTATATGCAACCAACATTGCCCGATGATTTATATTAATATTAATGTCGGAAATTTGTCGGATTATTTATCTCTATTTATGAATTCCAAGGTCCTAGACGGAAAAATGCAAAACCTTTTCTTGGCATTCGCCGCCGAGAAAGAATGCAGGGGAAGATATGCGCGCGGACAAGTTTTCTTGGCGTTGCTCCAATTCCCACTATGATATTCCTACTATCTGCCCTTTAGTGCTTGTCCTTACTTTCCGTTTCCCATAGATATCTTGCATTATTCGCGCACATTAAAAACCGGTATTACCCAATTGCGCAGTCGCAACGACAACTATAACCCAACCGGATGTGATAAACAAGATGGCGACTACGCTGTGTTTCTGAAGAGTGCAAATTGATTATTTGGTGATTGTTTGATTGATTGAATCCGGATTCGAGTTCCGAAAGGAGTTAAGTGAGTTCTCGCTGTCATGCCCGCAAACGTCCGAGGGTAAGTGGATTTTAATGCATCGGACATTCGAGAGCGGAAACGCGATATCGAACTTTTTAGCGCTTGGAGAATAAAACGTTGTGTGTATGTGTGTTGGTGCATTTATAAAGCTTCTGTACAGCCTCGGTCAACTATAGTTTAATGTGTTGGGGATTGAGTTGGTGGATGATGCGTGTGCCGCGCATCGTAAACAGAAAGCACTTAAAAAGGCAATGGCGGGCGTGCTAAACGTCTCCGCCGACAACGACGACGGCGACGACGACATAATAGGGTCACATTCCCGGGCGCATCCGTCAGACAAAGCACAAATACCAAAACTACGAGTATAATTGATGACGGAATGAAAAATAATTGCGTTGGAAATGCCACTGCTGAAGTAATTGTATATTTTATTAAAACAGCGTGATTAAATTCATTAAACCTTGTCGTGCAATTCAATCCGAAAGGCGGAAAGCTGAGAAGTAATTGGGGACGAAACAAATGACACAGATTCGATTCGTAGCTGTGTTGCATTAAAATGTTTATTCGGTGTGATTAAATGTGTTTTTAACAATGTGGGGCGAAACAATTTCGGCATCGAATTTTCATCAGGTGCTCGTAATTTCGTTTTATATATTTACTTATTGATCAGAATGTTGTTACAACACACAACACAACTAATATATATGCTTCTACCCAAATAATTAATTATTAAGGTAATTAACTATTAACTAATTACTTAAATCAATTAATAACAACTCTGAAAATATAGTTTATATTTTTGTAAGAAAGCAGCTGTCATCTGTCAAGAACAGAACGCCTGTGGTGCTGCAACACAATATACGTTTATACGATACACTCCATTAACAAAACGAAGCCGGCAAAGCCGCCGAGGGCGCTGAGAATGGCAAAACGACGAAAAGTTTGAGCCGCGCGTCTTTTGCGCATCCGAGTTCTTGTGCTTATGTCGTCGTGACGTCGAATAATCGCGCGCGCACTCGAAGCACGTAATAACTCGAATCGCGACACTCGACGCGCTCGTGCTGTGCTTGTGCATATTGCGGTCGAGGCATTATAATAATCAGAATAACCAGAAACGTTCGCTAAAATGTCGCTAAAAGGAAGCCGTCAAGCCTCAAGCATCAAGGAAGGAGGAGAAAACCGCATGCTATTTAAATCTGCACACTACGGTTGAACTATAACAACTAAAGTTCATTTTACAAGGTGTTGCAAAAGTTACTTGGGTTTGAAACATCCTGTATACATTTAACACGCACATTTGACACATTTGACAGCTAGAAGATGTTTAATTTTTGACTTTACACATTTTTAAGGTTATAATTCCTGCTTGTGTATTATTAAAAATTAAAATCCTCTGATTGTCACAGGCAAAACAAATACGACACGGTTTTTTTGATATTCATGAATACGTACTCGGACCGGTATCTGTGCGCATAATATAACGTACGTAACTAATTATTAGCAGTCACTGACAATCGCAGTAAGTATTTTAGAGTGTGGGAAGACAGAACGAAACAAGATGGACGTATAAAAACGAGAGAAACGAAGTTTGAGACAGAGGAATGCAAACGAACGGCGTAAACAAACAGACAAAATAAAATTAGGGGCGTGATGTGGTGATACCTTCATACTGACCATCATGCAGCGGATCGATGGTGTGTATCATAAGCTGAAGGAGACCGTGGCGGAACTTTGCGCCGGTATGATGGTGGCCTGCGGCGCCGGGCGCTGGCGTTTCGGAGGCGGTGCGCGACGTCACGCTGCCGCCAGGCTGCGTGCCGACGCTCGTCTCGCTCGAAGTCGCCACCGTTCCATGCTGAAACAGTCAAAAAGAGGTTGCATTATAGGGCACAGTCCAGAACGTGAAATGTCTAGGCGACGTGGGCAAATGCCAATAAAATGCTAAAAATTGCGCTCGTGTGTGGAGGCGGCAAGAGAAGATATGCAGGAATTTGTGGCATGCCAAGCGTTGTGAAATGTTCAGCATGCTCGAAAGGATCGTTTGGAAGCTGTTTGCCTCTTTGCTCTTACAGTTGAGGTTATGTATAATGCAAGCTAATCGTTGACGGCATCGTAAGATGTTTAGGTTAGAGTTTCCGGGGGAGGATCTAACCACGAACACGTTTAAATAATCATTGTGCATTGTAGTCATACGTTTCCCAAAAACACTAGAAGAATAGTGAACAGAATATAAAGCTTGGATTTTTATTTGCCTAGCAGCCATTTCGTATAACCTCAAAATAGAGAAACATTATTTCATTTTGAACTCATTTATCTGTAATATCATCCTCTCACGTCCATCAGTTTAAAAACGAAGGGCTTGTTTATAAATAGGCCGGGCTCTCCCCGAGGAAACAACAGTTTACGACGTCCTGCGTGCCCATGGCTCGTTTATGCCTCGTCCTCAGTCGCGACGCGCGCTCAAAAGTTTTTATGAGTTGTAAAAACGGTCCCGCCAATGATGCGCAAAACGAATTGGATCCGCCATACGTCTAATCCCAATAAACGTAAAAATAAAAAGTAATAACTTAGAGCAAACGACGGCGCACGTAATGTTTGTGTGAGCGTGTGCAACATTGTTATACGAGTGTAAGCAGAAGAAAGCAAACGTAAAGTAAAAGACGGCGGTGGCAAGGGGGAAGTAAACTGTAAATGGAAAATTGATCCTTTCGCGGCGGGCAAGTCCCACGACCGTGTCCGTGACCTAAATACATTACATTAAGACGTGCAATTTGCACTTCGATTTTAGAATTAAAATAATTAAACCAATCTACAAAAAATCTATAATTTAGATCAGTTTTATTTATAGTAAAATTGTGTACATGTATTTTATTTGTTTGTTTGTTTGGTTTTGTTTTCAACTCGAAAAAAGTTTCATACGTGTCGTGTTTAGTCGATGACATCAATATGGCGGCGTCGATAACCATAACCTCGAACTTACACACTAATGCATCATACATCGTGCTGTTAAGTGTATAGTAATCAAGTCATCTGTTGTGTTTTTTGTTTCCACCATGGTTGAAATAATATCGTGGAAATTGTTTTCGTTGTGCGTGGTGAAAAATGTGTTATGTGTTCGGAACGGTTCTAAAAATGAGTAATTGCCGCGCGTCTGTTAATAATTGATTTGGTCACTCGCAAGACAATTGTTAACGGATAATAGCGCGAATTTCCACTGCCGGCATTGTCATAATTTTTCGGTGCGCAGAATAGAGTGAGATGTTGGAGAGGACAAAAGACACACGGGCGGGCACAGAGCCAAAACGATATCATTCTGTGGGAGGCGGCAACGTGTGCCTGTGCGAGGTCGCTCTAACAAATATTTAGGTCGACCAAAATGCGCAAATTCACGTCGCGTAAGAGCAGAAGAATTTCCTACTAACAGATTAACCAAATATTCCGCCGGCGGCGAATTTATTACGTCAATTATATATTTGTCTTTGCCGCGTAATGGAAATTTAATCAGTAAACAATTGACATTGATTCACGCTGTGGTAAATTGAATTTAAATATTCCCCGTCGTTACAACCCGCGACAAAACAACAAAAGCGTGACGGAACAGTTATTAACCCGCTGCGCTTGGCATTAATATGCATCAACTCATCAAAACAAAATTAACTAATATTTTTTAAGTATACATAATTTAATTAAAAGTGATAATGAGTTTAAAAACGTGAAAAATTTGCTAGGTTGATATTGAAACTTTTGATGTTAATTAAAATGTTAAAATAATGCATGTGCAAGCAAAGTTTTTATCTTTTCACGACAGAAACATAGCATAACATGACAACGACATCAGTGTTGGAGTCAGAGTCAGTATCAGGTTTTCACGCGTGTATCTCGACATTTGCAACATTTTCAACTAGTTACACAATTTGCGTTTGCGAGTGCATGCGTGCGCCCGGCGCATTCATCAAGCTATGAGATGCTCGTCGTTGTGTTGTGTGTTCGTTAGTAAGCCGAGGCGGCTGGAGAGGAAAGTGTGTAACGTATATAAATAACTATAAATAACTTGTGCGCGCAGCAGGTAGGTATCTATAACGATTTCGGGAGGAGTAAAGTGGTGATATCGTGACGTCGTTATAATGTTTTATATTTAGATCTAGGGTTGAATTTTGTGTGCACTGTGTTATCGATTATTTGTTGTTAGAGTAAAATTAATTTAATGTTTTCAAATAATATAAAATAAAAAAATTCAGTAGATTCAATGCAATTCGAGTTATTTTTGAGGCCATAATCGAAGTCCGCAAATTTCCAACAGACCGCAAGAAATTTGTTACGCGCTTCCATATATAGGAAAATAACGTACAATTCAATTCAATTTCAATCACAATCAAAATATAGGATTTTTTGTATTTGCTGTGGATAAATCACGCTATCCCAAATTATTTTTTTCTGAGGAAACATTCAATTATTAATAGTTTATATTGCGATATATATCCTAAATAATATTATAAATGGGAATATAAGATTATTTGTTTATTTATGACGCTTTCACGCAAAAACCACTCAACCAATTTTGATTAATTTTAGCATAGAGATATTTTTGAGCAAAGCAAATAAACAATTTTTTCTACTTCCACCTACGTGTATAAAGAGCCAGTTCTTCCACGGTTTTGAGATACAAAAAGTGGTACTTTAAACACAGCCGCCTAAGTACTTTAGTTACGGACTTTAGTCTCAAGGTAGAGCTTGCGTCTGCGCATTTGCCTACGGTGCAGCACAACACCATATGAAATGTCATGCGCCGTCAGTAAAACAAGTCAAAGCAGGCGCTACGGCTGTTTGCGTCGGCGTGAGGCATGGCATTTCTAACTTTACATTTCCCAGTAGTATGCAAGCGAATTTGGAAGATTTGAAATACAAAAATTGATATACAAAAACCTCAACGTAGAAATAGAGTTTAAATAGAAAAATAGCATAGGTATCACGTGGCTAAACTTTATTAAATACTCGATTGATTAAACGTTTGCTACGCTCGTTCTTATGACAAAAACTCCCATATAGCCACTTGATGCTTAATATTCTATTGTCGCAAAAATATAACTTGCACAATGTAAAATGAGAGACAAAAGTTTTAGCGCAGATTCATTCCTAGTTATAAGTACTTAATTCAAACATAGACGACGCAAATGTATAAATGTATAAATGTTTTAATAAACATTGAAAATTTTAATTAAATTAGCTACATTTGATAAAAATCGTCGCTGGTACCAAACATAAATAATGAAAAATCGTATAATATGCGTTGAACAGATTGACGATTCGATAAAGTCACGGTTAAATATCTAACGATTTGATTTATTCTTGCCTTGACATAAAACTGCACCCGGCGTGCATGTGCTGCAATAGAATCGAACGATATGAATGCGTTATATGATGAAACGATGATGACTGAAAGCGTGGGCGACCCTGAGTTATTACCGCCCCAGCCACAATATACACAATGCCCACGCGGTTTATTTTGAGAAAGTGTAGTCCACCATATATACACTTACACCTTACTTGGACCTGTACGCTATCGCCTTGGGCGAACGAAGATGAACTTCGATGTTCGGTCAGGTGTGCGCTGCGTTTAATATTGATTGGCGACGGCGGCGGCGGTGGCGGCGACCGTCGAGTTGTGTTACTAAAATATTTATAAGTCCGGCACACACTCGCAGAACCACCCCCTACAATTGTAATGACTCGTCATGTTTTTTTTTTCATCGACGGTGTACTTGAAAATAGAAAAGGCAACACGTGTCAGTTATACGAGTATCTAGCTGTAAAAAACTTACTTTAAGCCTAGGCAATACATTTTTAATTATTTACATTTTTTAAGTTTTTTTTTTTACATTTTCACTTTTTGAAATATTAAATTTTGTAAATGTTTGACTGACGCTGATTTATTACAGCCCATGAATTCGCTACTTGCGCAATGTCTCTTTTTGCGTATATTTTTGTTTGCGTTTTCACTTGGGCTGGTTTCGTCTGAAATATTTCAACGTTACGTAAACTGGATACATAATAGAGGTGCAAGGAGAAGAGGAAAGAGGTAAAACCGCGCATAACTCGTAAAAGTCGCTGCGAAAACCGGAAAAAAGAAAATATTCACAACGTTTACCATAATAGGCACTGCATGTCTAACATTCCTGAAACGTAAAAATTAAAGCTTTGCTTATTTACGCCATCAAAATGCCATCAAATTATCAACTGACAACGCGCGTTTCCTCATTCGACTTTATTAAGACGACGAAAATCCGGAGATAAAACGCTCGCGTCGCAGCTGCTTTTCATGTTCACGACAGAACAGAAGAAATCCGCTCGGCTCGCATGTTTCATGTCGTGGTATATAGTAAATAGTGAGCAATGGTTCGGATGAGCCGGAATTTATAACTACGCTGTGCGCTTTTGTGAGCTTTTATCCCTTCGCCCGGAGGCAGGAACTCCGGACATCGCAACGACTTTTATTTTCTCCTTCAGCGCTAACTTACAAAGCAAACAACTAACAAAAGAATACGAGAAACGTAGAAAAATAAAGAGTGCCAGTGGATACAAAAGGCAAATTAGTTGCAATGAAAACTTTTGATATTTGTTATTCTCTCATTGGTTAAAAAAAGAGATTGGATTAAAGTAAAAACGGGTTGTGATAAATCATGGCGGTGAGTGCATGTACGGAACAGTGGTTTGTGATGTCTGCGAGGTTAATTTACGATTGTTCGTTGCTTGTTGCAACCCGCACAGCATTGCTAAAGTGAGGTTAAATGTGACGGAGATAAAGAGTGCACGCTGCACTTGAAACTTTTCAATTTAGGATGGTCTCACACCTCGTAGAACAACTCGGTTTATATACTAAATTAAATTGTAACTACTACAACGTTTTATGTAATTTTAACTCTATTCTAAACTAATTTAACCTGAAAAATATTTTTTTTAGTCACTTTTCGCAAATTTATTTCTAGTTTGTAAAAATAACACTACTTCTTTGATGGGTGCAATAACATTAATCATTTTCTTTTTCTTAACGAATCAAAATAAAATTGTTGGTTTTTATACTCTTTCCCATTGAACTCGTAAAACCCGCACATTAATAAGCACGGATTTTTAGTAATAAAAATTTCGTTTTTTATTGGTAAAAGCCGTCGGACACGAAACCAACAGCGCGCACAGGAAAAAAAACAACAGCAAAGTGAAAAACGCAAGCAACGCGTGTGCGCTCCAAAGGTCCAAACATTTGCCAGGCTGAAAATCGTGAAAATGGGACGTGGAACGTATAAAAAAAAAGTCGCGTAAAAAAACCGCCCAACGCCAGAAATGGACGAGACGATCAATCTATATACCGAGTGCCCCGTAAGATATAAAAATGAATAATAGAAACAGAGATGTATTTTCGTGCGCACAGGGAAAAAAGAATCGTGGGCCGTATACAATTTCCGAAGGAGTCCTCTTCAGACGTGTTTCCGTGTGCGAAAAGTGTAGAAATGGTAGAGGCTCCTGGTGTGTGTGGGTACGCGCGCCATCGATCCGGCCCGACACACTTTCCACTTTCATCCGGCCGGGGACGTGGCAAAGGCAAAACTTTGCCTTCGTGTTTTCACTGTGTGTAGGTGTGCGTGTCTGTGTGCGAACGAGTGCTATATAACGAAAAGTAAACCGCCCGCACGCCAGATATAACACCCAGCGACATCCACACCAACTCTGTCTTCGTGTACGTCTAACTCTTTTTCTCTTTGAAACCCCAAGTTTTTTTTTTTGCTTGAATTCAAGACCAAAGAATCACAACTTTTCTGTTGCTCTTAAAAAACTCGCAGCCCGTTGTGGACAAAAGATCCACTATGACTAATGAAGCGTGTGATTTTGCTCCTCGTTTCATTAGGCTTTCGTCGTTTTCAATTTTGAGGTAAAATTTTTGTCGAAATTAAAAAGTTCCATTTTATTTTTAGCTGCTTGATACTACATAATGCAATGGCCTAATGTCCCAATGGTTTGACGCACGCAGGAAGTCCTGGGGTGTATTTACCCAGTCGAGTATTAGATTAGTGCCCCTAGGAGACTAATTATCTAAGATGACGAGGAGCCCAGTGCGCTAGCGTCTAAGCTTTCGCAGTCGCAAACGCCGTTACTTTGCGTCGGCTTACGCTTACTCCCTTACGCTCACTTCGCCAACGTGTGCGTAGTTAACGTTTTAATATGGGCTTCCCCCAGCTGTGTGCCAGTGAACGCTGAGCGTCTTGCGAATATGGGAATCGGATGCGAACGGAGGATACAATGACGTGCTTTCACTGCCACCTGACTAAAACTTAGGCAACATCGCGCACGTGTGTGTACTGTGCGCGAAAACGTGATGAGTTTTTTAAAGGTCAAGTTTCTCATTTAACTTGATCTTTTATGCATGTATGGATGGTTTAATGTCGGCGCGCTTAATACAATGTAAATAGAAATTAAATTGATAATAATAGGCAAGGAGGTTTATAGGGTATAACTGCTTTCTAAGCAATCTATAATACAAAAATGATTTGGCCAATTCCATTTTTAAAATAATCGTTAAAGTACAAGGTTGGTTTTTACGGCAAGAGAAATTCGAATAATTGCCAGGAAAACCCTAAAGACAGCCCTTGTCTATAGGATAAAAGTTGGCATCATAGTTATAGTTAAATTGTTGAATCCGAGATGGCGCGCTGAAGTGCTTTATTAGCAATTCTTTATACAAATAATTTCTTTAAAATAAAATTGCGAAACTAATTGATAGAATTGACACTTACTATGTCTTGAACAAGAGGTAAAAACGAATTACATTTTTATTAAACACTGCCGGGACGAAGTCGTAGGAAAAAGACAGTTACAAGTACATTTTTACACGCCTAAGTATTATTTCAATTTGTGGATCGTTTTTCACAAAATTGCATACTCTGAAAACAAATTTTGCCTCGTAACGTAATTAATTGTTTTTCATTCTGATTTTATTAATAGTTACAAAGACAAAGGCGTCATCTGAATTTCTTAATTTTAAATTTCAGAGGTGAACACAAAGCGTATAATGAAGAATTAATTGCTCTTTAATACAGTACCTATATAATATTGTGCATTTAAAAATGTACCAACCAGCTACTCGAATATTCAAAAAGTTGTATGACTGTTACACACGTTACAAGTTGTCAACTATAGGCGAGAAACCCAATATTTTTAAAATTCTTTTTGCGATGCAACTTTTGAATTAGCTTAACAAATATTAAGCATTTTTGTCCTTAATAATTGTTAAACAATTTTTAAGTCTTACTGATGTAGCTTTGAAGTGTCTTAAGTGAAACTTTTTGAGTATATTTTCAGCGTTTTTAATAGTAGTAACCAATGCTTTCATTCATGAATTAATAAATTAAACAATTAATTATAAAAATATTTCTCTCATTAATAAAAAGCAGGTTTTTAAAGATTTCACTACATTTATTAGAAATTGCAACATGTATCGGCATACTGTCATCTTGTATCCGGCAGATGAATAATTTCTACTTTCAAATACAATTGCTACAATCATCCAAGGGCTATTTTATCTCCTTTCCTACAGATAATACAATATAACCTCCTTATAACGTAACTCGATATAAAGATAAACCAAATATAACGGAGAAATTTGGATAACTTATTTGGTGAAATCGGTATATTCGGTATATCTTATCTTTTCCCGAAGTAACGATACCTCTTTAAAATGTGACAAAACGTTTGGTCTCTATAGCGTCGTTATAAAGCAGTAATTGTATTGCATTTGGTTAAAAGTGAAGCTAATTGTGTAACACTGATGCCAACGATGAATCATAATCTACGCATATAAAATTTAAAAAACACATTAATTGCGAGAGTCCGAAGCGTCCACGCATTTATAATTATTATTACGTATACTTTCAATTTCAATGTTTTATTGCTAATATTTTTTACCATATTTTTTTTGGTTTTATTAAAACTTTTTTATTATTTGCTAACCTTTTTTGTGCAAAATCAATTTAATATTATTCCCCGACGCTCATTAATAATCGTTTGATAAATGTGTTTTTAATGAAAATAAATATTGAAATTCCCTCGCTTCCATTCATTCACCTTCACCTTCCATTCGCAAGCGTCATAACTAAATTCATCATCGAAATTATCATCACCCACCCAAAAAACCAAAATATTCTTTATAAAATCGTTACAAAATCTACAAATCAAGAACATAAAATTGCCTATCTACAACCTAATAAAGGATACCATTGAATTACTTTGGTAGGTGGTAGATGATTAAATCCATCATGGCCGACCATGCACTAGGTTGTTAAGAGGGTTCTATACTGATGGCGTAGCGCTTTGTTCCCGTTGATTAAGCTCGCGCGGACATGTGAGCAGTTACCAACATTAACGCCGGCTTCTATTTCGCAAATTACCGTACGAAATTGACATCCACGACTAGGCTCACACCTAACGAGGCTTTAATCACAAGTGGTAATTATTTTGACAGGCGGCAAATCAACACATCGCGCAAATGCATCACACAAATCATAAATTCTAAACACACGTCACTCATGTCAACAATTTCGAATACTACGAGTAACAACATTCACCACTGCTGACAGTAATTATTTTAATTTTTCGGACACCGATAGAAAAATGGATTATAGCAGCACAAAACGTTTGAAGATCACACCGATCGCCAAAGCCAATTTTTATGCTGACATGTACAAAAGGCTTGAGAAAAGTACTATAGTAGGTTAATATTTATATAAAAAAAATACAATAATAAAATTTAACATTTAATGTTTTTGTTGCATAGCCATTGCCTGAAGTCGATTTGGACACAGACATAACCTTCTTTGGTAACGAGCCAGCAAGTGGTGTCAAATTGGGCTACGATCAATTCTTTTCTTTTACCAAAGTACTGCCGCTCTATGATAAGCGAAAAGAACGCGAAAATCGCGGATTCATACCAGACACGTGGCTGAACATTCATCAACAGGTAAGCTTACAAAGTCAGTGATTGTATAACATCATAACAACGTCCGGTCAGTTTTGGCAAAACAATGTATGCATCGCATGATAAAACATAATTGTGTGTTGATTATTTGCTGAATTCAAATGACTAAAACAATATGGCCGCGTGTAAATGCGTCCATAATGACGACGTTGTAACATTGTAATCTCTATATTGACTCGGGTGTAATTTGCGTACTATGCAGACACGTCGCGTGTCGTTTACGATCGACTGCGAAACTGCGAAAATGATGATCGCGTTTTTTTTTTATTGACGACGGAAAAAACGGCGTCATTTAAAGATAACATAGATATGTATTATTGCATGATACAGTGTTATCTAATTTAAATTTAAACAAGTCTTAATTTAGGTTATATTTGTTTTTTTTTTACACAATTGTATATTTGGTTGCATATATAATATGTACGTGGCATGTGTGGGAATTCGACTTTAACAAGTTTAACTCGATAACAATGGAAATGAAGCGTCGGTTGCGGCTGTGGCGGCGGCTGAGGCGGCTTTTGCGGCCCCACTTGCGCCTCCCATAGTTGTTTCTACTTACTTCCCCTATTGTGTGCGGAATTGGAGCGTGCGCGTGTGCCCGACTGGAAAAGCTATTACTACTTTGCAGTCGTGCGAAACTTTTGTCGACTCCTCCACGATCCTCTCGTGTGAATTTGCATACAGGTTATGTTTCTTCATGAGTGAATGTAAGCCAGAAAACTATTAGGGAATTCGACAAAAACCGAAAACTTTTGAAAAAGTCAAAATGCCACAAGTCACAGATGTGGAAATTATAAGTGAAAGACTTCTCTGAACTTGTGTAACAAAATTAGTTTAATTTTAAATTAGTTTTGTTTTTGTGGTACAGGAACAACCGCCAAAACCAGTACCTGCCACTTCGTCACAGTGGTATGGACGTCGGCCATCCTACGACTTTGACAGGAAAGCTTATGGGAGGAAGAATCAAACCGCAAGCTTTTATTCAACCCGTGGTGCATTGCAAACCAGCGGAGATGTGAAATACACCGAAGAAATTTCAGATATGAGGCTTTAACATTAAAACAACAGCAAATAAAACACAAAAAGAAGGGAAACAGAGCAAATAAATTCCCGAAATGTTTCTAGTGTGAAATTAAACGTTGAAACGTGATAATGCACCATTCTTGGCCAAAATTTACATTTTATAATGAATTTTTGCGCTTCACTTTTTCCTTATCTGCACGCTTCCGGTGTTTACGCACGTTTAGTTTTATATGTCAGGATACACAATACATAATACACAAATTACAAACGTACGACGCAATGAAGATTTTGGATAAACACAATATGGGCACCAGCGAGGAAAGAAAAACAGATTTCACATTAAAAGCATGGCGGCATGGTGAGCATAAAGATTAGAAATAGATAGTTATGATTTAAGAGGGCACTCACCAAAGCTTGCGCCGCGGCTTGGTGCTGGAAATACGAAGCAGACATTTAGTTATACAGCCCAAAATACAACATACATAGATAGAATAAAGTGAAAAGGTTAGGTTCAAGTTTGAGGTTACGGTCAAGTAGAATTACAGTTATTATACCAAAAAGGTGATGAGTTTGATTAAAATCAAAAGGGAAAAAAATCACATCACATCAATAAATACAGAGCAGAAAAAATTATAACATGGCGGATGTGTCATTAAAAACGATGATACTAAAAGAGTTTTATTCGTTTCTAATTATTTCATCTCAATGTATGGTGAAAAAATGAATGAACGTGATGCTCGAATAAGCAATTTAGCGGCTGTAAACGAAGGATAAAGAAGTTTAACACAATGACATTGTGTAATTCATATTTTTTTGTTCGTTCACACGCTTTATCACAGAGATGTAAAAGCTTGCGTCCATATTTCACGACAATAAATGACCTCAGCATTGATTAAATCTGCTTCGGCGGCCATTGAAGGTCTAGAGTGGGCATACGCGCTTGAACGCGTCAACGTCAACGCGCAGACAATGATAAAAGCGGTCGTTTCGTCATTTTCATAAAAATTCGTTCGTTCGATTTTAATGCCGACCGCGTCTGGTTGATTTAATTGCGCGGCTTGTCGCAAATGTTTTACGTTTACGAGCAGACTACAATATGGAGTCAAGGACTCTGGCTATTATCTCGAAATCCAACGTACACATTAAATTTAAACGAAAGATATAAAAGATTGCAATAATTATGATTTAAATTGAGAATTGTTATTGTGTATATTTGGTTGCGGATCAAGTTTTGAAATATAGGTTAAAACTCTATCGACGCTAGTCGGTATGACCGAATGCAATATGAAGTTTGATAGGGTTACTTGTAACTTATAACTTGTAAAGTGTAGGAAAGTATCGGAGAGAAATTAAACTTTTCCGCTTTTCCGGGCAGCCTCCGCTGAGACGTAAAGTGAGTTTGACTCTTCGCGTTCGCGCATTCTTAGTGTGCGTGTGCGCCCTGGCCTTCGGCCCGCAGTTACATATTTCCCCAGAGTCGAATTCTACATCTACCAAAGGCCAACACGAGTTTCCACTATCGGCAGGCAATAGGAAGAAAACATAGAAATGAAGACAACATCAAAAATCAAAATTTGACATAATTTTGGAGTGCATTTATGTATTCACTTTCGTTTCCGCCCTGATTGCTGTACATAATTAATGAAATGTAGACGTAGACGATTGGCAGTGAGAGCGTGTCGATTCTCAGAAGGAGCGTGATGCTCGGGTGTACACAAATGTGCGCAGCACGTTGTAACTAATCAAATTAACCACTTATTAAGAGCCGCGAGAACGTCGAGAGATAATATAAAGTGCTTCTTGCCCGTCAGCCTGCCATTCCCGCCACACTGCACATACTGGCACTACTCATGCATATATCAAACCCGTCAAGATATGTTTTATTATTAATTAATTAAGATTCGACCCAGTGGCATGATGAGGATTTAAGTTTTTGCTTATGACGCCTGTTGTTTTGCTTTAATACAATATTATGTGAAAATACAGGCAACACAAGTTTAAAAATGTGTTGAATGAGAGTGATGCAAAAAACAAACTCATGAAATGTTAAGTTAAAAAAAGTGAATGCAACGTGAGTGCAAGTGAGCGGCTGATGGTTTTGGTTTTGGAAAGAATTTGCGAGGCGATGGCGGCTATTTTCCTCACAGACGAGTGGGCAGGCTATAAGGGTGGCTATTAATCATGTTTTAGCGAAATAAATTTCTTGTGCGCGAGCGAAAAAGCCTCGGCTGTCGGTTCACGTTGCGGAGCGCACGGACGACGCCGTGATGTGAATGAGACGGGCCCGCCATGTCGAATAATTTCGCAGAGGATGAGTCGGAAGAAGCAAAAAAACAAGCGCGCATGAAAAAAACCAATAGGTGTAAATGTATCCGCGGAGCATAACTTAACTTTCATTTATTTTTTTTTTTTTGGAAAAAATTTGGTATAATGTTGAGTAATGTTAGAGGCCGTATCCCGCTTTTTATCATTTGCAAATCTTGTTGTCCCAAAATGGGTAATGTCTCCGAAGTTTGTAAGATTTACGTCTGGCTCAGTGAGGAAGGCTGTAGTCCTTGAAATATTGATATGATTTTATGGGCCAACATTCGGAGACCAATATTAACGGTCAAAACGTAGCCACTGAGTGTGCACGAGTTGGAAAATATCGATCGCATTTGGGGGCCCGCCTGAAAGAGGCTGGTATGGTCCCATGCCATTAAGAAGAAAAAATCTAATGACACGCTGTGGAAAAAAGCTGCAAAATGCTGCGAAAGGGGCGTTGTGAAGCAAACCTACCGTGGGCATCAGTTGATCGGTACTCCGCACGCGTGTGACGCGATTCTTGTAGAGGATTTTTTTCACCCAGCGCTCAGTGGGCTGGTTCCACTTCATGAAGCCCACGTATGAGATGTAGATGAGGAAGAGGATCAGCGCCTCGTACCAATAGATGTGGTTGTCTCTGAAGAAGTAGATCAGCGTGAGGAGGCTGGCCGAGTAGAAGAAACAGTCCCTGAACAGCGGCCACCACGTCAGCGTGAGCACAGTTTTCGAGAAGATCGCGCACATGCCGATCACGAAGAGAATGTTGAAGACAGCCGAGCCGACAATGGTGCCGATGCCGACATCGTCGAACGATACGAAGACGCCAATTACGCTCGTGAAGAGCTCGGGCGCGGAGCCGCCGGCTGCCATAAATGTGGCGCCCGCCACGTCGTCGGCAATGTCCAGCTTCTCGATGATGACGTCCAGCGCAGGCACGAAGAATTCGTCACAGACGATGGCGAGCGCGACAAACATATAGATCACGCCTAGGACGTGCAGGACGACGGCACCCTGCCGACGCTGCTCCATCGTAAAAAGATCTGCGGGGAAGAGCGGGGCGGGCGCCTCGGGCCGCTCGCTGTTGTTGTGCGCCCCTTCGCCGCCTTCGCCGTCCACCTCGACGCCTGTCTGATCGTAGTCGATACCGGCGGCCAAGTCGTCCTCATCGCGCGGGCCGTAGGCATCCTGCCGCTGCTTGTCCTCGGGGAGAGGATGCGGCGGCGGCAACGCCGGTCGGTAGGAACCGTCACGACGCCCGCCGTGGTTGTGCGTGTAGATGGTGATATTGCTCACGTTGGCGCGGGGCGCCGAGTCGTCGTCATCGTCGATGCGGTGGCTGTCGGCCGCGCAGCCCAGCGCGAGCAGGCCGAGCAGCGCGCAGCGCAGCGCGACGCGGTGGGTCGTCATAGCGGCGGCGACAACGTACTTCGGTCGGTCATTGCCGCAGCGAGGCCGGGCGCGGACTGAGCGCGCGCTCGCGTGCCGCCCGCCGAGGACGTTGCGCCGCCCGTTCGCTCGATACGAGCTCGCCGGCGGCGGCGGCCGCGCGTCCTGTCGCCTGCGCACGCCGTTTCGCCGCCGCCTCCCCATTGCGCAGCCACCCCCACCTCCCACAACATTACTCCACATCAAACTTCGCAACTACTCATCGTTACAACTCTTCTAAGGAACCAAATATTGAGTTTATTTCTTAAAATTATTTAATATTATCATTTGTTACACTAGACACATCTTCATTGTCAGGCGGTCGATGTAAAAGTCTTTTGATTGGTTCCAATCTAGTCCAAATGTAGCCTTCTTCAGGGGTTGCAAAAACTGATGGATATGGAGTGATTTTAGACTTGTAGTAATCAGATGGAGCATGCATTACAAACTCCATGCAGTCGAGATTTCTTGGTATCTCCTCCTCAGGCCCAGTTATATATGTAGCAGGGTCAAAGCACATCACCGGAGGTGGAGATTCTTGAGTTGGCAATAACCAGGTTATCACTGCAGACTTCTCACAGTACTGATCAGTGAGAAAACCGCGTAGTTGAGCATAATATACATTATCATCTTCATCTAATAGGCTGACAATGTCTCCTTTTTGAAAATATATTCCCTGTAAAACCCAACAAAAAATTAGTATCAAGAAATAAAATGAATGGTCTAATGAGCAAACCTTATAGAACACACTATCACTAGTAACTGGAGTAGCAACAGCACTTGGTGCCTTGGTGGGCAACTTCTTGAAAATCAATCTTCGACTCTTGCCCTTTGGATGAGTAGATTTGTTGCCTTGTTTAGTTGCTTGTTTGCTCACAACTGGTGTCACCGGAGTGCGCATACTTCGAGTGCGGCGCATTGTGGATGTCGTCTTCTCGTCTTTCTCCTCCTCCTTATCGGCAGTATCCTTCTTGATTCCCAAGTCTTGAAGACAATCTAAACACACTGCACCCAAGTTTTCCGCGTTCGTCCATAGTGAAGACTCTTCGGTTTCACACTTAATGCAAACTGGGTTACCACGCATTTATCAACTTAAATAATAATGTTGATATAAAAAATAAGAAAATACTTATACTAAAGCTGATATAACAAGGAAAGTATGCGGCTTGCTGCTAAGCTATGGTTTGTTGTGCAAAATTTAAGGTTACGTTACCTAAAAGAGTTTGCTGAAATTCTCGAAAACAAGTTTTCATAGTTAACTCTAGGCAACTTATCTAACACATCAACAAAATTTTAAAAATTTACCAGAAAATTTTATGAAATTATACGTGAAAACTATTAATACTATTGTGATGTAAAACATGTTTATATATTTGTGTTTTTTTTAAATTGTGAATAATACATGATTTAGGTATTTGGAATCAAAGTAAGTATTGGTAGTGTACATATTATTTTATGATTTAGCATAGTAGTAGGTGAATTCGTAAATAGTCTGAATTGAATACTTCAGCATAAATTTTAGTTTAATACAAACCGGACTTATGTATTTTATCTATAGTTTATGCCATTAGATATTTCGAAATTTAAATGGTACTGTTACACTGATCTTCCAAAATTGGAAATATAGTTCTCGCCGGTTTCTTTACAGGCCAGTCAGTCATATTCGCTTTCGTTAAACAGGTGATGAGTTTTTTAATAAGTTTATCTTGTGTTTTTGTTCACTTTTAAAATTTGATTTTTTATTTAGTAGGTATTTGATCGTTAATGGGGTGGTAGTTTAGGAAACCAAACTACATTTTGAAAACAATTAAATGCCCTATACTAAAAAATAGAATTTATTTTTAGGGGTTTATCTGAAAAAAAAAGTTTCTTTAAATATCCAATTTTTATCCGGTTGTATGATAAGTACTAAATTTTGATGCTGATTTACTTCGAGTATTGTCTAAATAATTACTTCAGATTTAAAAAGTATAGGTGTATAAATAAAATTTTTGGATTAACATCCCTAATAAACAAATTTTATTATAATTATTTATGTACACATTAAAGTTACAGTATTTATTTTTTTAATTAATTTTTTTTGTTAAATGCAGAAGAACTGCAATTAAAAGTCTTAAACTATCAATATTATTATTTAAGTTCATAAACGCTCGATAGCCAGAGTAATTTAAGTACAGAAGAAAGAATCTTCTACAATTTTCGAAATTTATTTCGGTCAAAATGATAATTACATTATTTCACCTGAAATAATCAACTAATATTAAATTGTCAAATAGTGCACATCCGTAATAACTGCATTTATTTACTTTCTTATAACATATCATCTCACAATCTGACGTAGATAAATTAAATGCTTATTATTCGTTTCATGTAACAATTACAATTTGATTAACCTTCTCCATGATTTTCCATGCAGATATTTACTTTGTTCACGATGCAATTACGTAATGGACAAATTTTTAATAGCATATTATTTAATTTTACCTTCATTGAAAATTGTTTGAACCAGACTTTAATCGTTTTGTGATATTCGAGTATTCGTCAACTTTCGGATGATTCCCGTCGATGTCCTTCTGCTACCACGTTATTACAATTTCAGTACACAATGATTCATGCAATAGATGAATCAAATATATGAAATCAACAAACAGTTTAAACTTTACACGGCATATATGTGTTTATATTATGCATTTTTTTCGTAATTTGTATTGGTTAGCTTTGTAAACACTCATAAGCGGATAATTTGCGGGACTATGATTAGAAGGGAGGTTGTTTTAACAAACAAACGATAGGCGGGTTTCGTGTGACATTGCAAAAAGTGCAATGTAAACTTATGGGGTATGAAATTTCATATAAATAGCAGACAATGCTCGTAGTATTCATTGTGTCTAAAAGATTTAAACTGAAAACATTCAGAAAAAATATTCATTTTGTTAAAGTATAGTTTTGGGTAAAATCATGAAGTGCTTAATATTTTTTGTGCTTGTCGTTGCTGCAGTAGCTTCGGCTGTAAGTTTTTAAATTAGATATTTTATACAATAAAGAAATATGACAATTTTTATAGCAAATGGATCCAGAAATGAAGCAACAAATGATGGCTGTGATGACAGAGATTGCCACTAACTGTGCTAAACAAGAAAATGCCAATCCAGAAGAATTAACTAATTTGATGGCTAAGAAAGTACCTACAACTAAAGAAGGAAAATGCTTATTGGCTTGCTTCAATGAACATGTTAAAATGGTACGTTTAGTGTAAGAAGAGCTGCCTACAATGAAACCCAAAGAAGGTTTATTTCAAATATAATTTTTGATTTTTAATTATTAGCAAACTCCCGATGGGAAAATGAATTTGGATGGTGCATTGGGCACAATCGAAGTATTCAAGGAGCCTGCCCCTCAAGTATATGAAGCTATGGTTGCAGTATTCAAGAAATGCTTCCCAGAAAGTTAGTATTTTTAGTTTCAATTTTAAATTAGATATTAATTCAATGATTATTTTTTAATTAAGCTGAACACTTGTCAGACCGTTGTGATGTTGCTGGTAAATTTGCCGAATGTGCAGCTTCAGTTTCCCACGAGGTAAAAATATCAAAATTCCATTATATAACTAATTGTTTTTAAATTGTTTTTATATTTTAGATGGGTTTAGACGCTGCTTTAGGTCACTAAACAACAACAAAAAATATTGGCTCTAAAAACATGTATTCTGCGTACTTAGCAATTTAACAATTAGAAATTGTTAAATATATCTGTATATAATGCTTTTATAAATAAAAACAGCATACCAATCCGAACTTATAAATATTCATGTATGAATCAGCAGAGTATCATCAGCTTGGTAACTTTTGATAACAAAATTTAGTACGAAAACGGAATTCTGAAGTGTTCACGAGCACTCCGTTCGGCGAAGCTTGTTAAATGATAAATTAAGATTACAAGCGCCAGCGGCCGAGGCGCAGCCGCGAAGAAGCTCGCGTTGATGAGGGAATTCGATTGGAGGAGTGTTCCACTCCTGATATTGAATTAAACCGACGATTGCGTTTCGACATCTCCGTGCTCGAAGTCGGTGGGACGTGACCTCTAAGGTTAATGACATCATTGCTCTGCGAGTTTCAAAAATTATTAATCTTATTCAAATTATTAACTTGTTAGCATTTTAACAACTTTATTAGCCACTCTTATGTTGTATTAATGACATACAAGGATCATGGCGGCATAAGTAACCGCCATGTTTACTTGTTGACTGTTTTGAAAGTTAAACTTGTTTGGGTTAATTGAATGCAACTGGATATTTGATGAAATAACCAACTGACAGCTCATAATGCGGCTTAATTATGAGATTATTAATTGTTGTTGTGACTTAAAGTCGTCATAAATTAATCGAGAATGAGAATTGCGAATGCGCATGCAAAAATAAGCATAATAAGCAGATTATGTTGTATTTTTTCTGTACTGCTTTGTGTCTTATAACTTACATCCACTTTTGTGGTTAGATTGGTTTGGATGCAACTAGTTATACAGCTATTTGTGTTGCATAGTTGACTGTATAATATCCGTAGCCTACTTTTGTGGTTAGATTGATTTGGATGCGACTAGTTATGCTATCAATTACACTTCAAATAATCAACTGGATTCTGAGACCTTCAATTCTACAAATTTCCGCTTTCACGCCTATTTTAATCATCGTGAGACAAAACAAAACATTGAATGAACGATGAATGATGACTTAATACTCATTGGTATTTAGACGCGTTTGTTTTGCACATTTACATTAACAAAATAACAGACGAAACGGCAGCATTTATTCATTTATCAATGGCCTAATTAAAATGTCTCGTCGATGTTCGCGTTCACGGACCAGACTAGAATTAAACATATCTTTATGTGCGATTCGTGATTGCAATGAATAGCACTGCAGTGTGTTGGTATAGTTTCGGATATAATTGGCGATAATCGCGCGACGACGCTCTAGACTCTAACTCGTTAACATTTCTCACACATACTAACATCATCTGATGAGCGAAGTTCGTAGAGCGACTAATTGTTAATTATACCAGAACTAATTCACAAATTAGTTTCACAAATTTGACATGCCGTATTATTGTTTGATTAAATTCATAACCACATAACCACACATTTAGAGTTATTCGAGTTAAGCTAACCTCAATTAGACAAAAATAAATTTTAAATTTTTAAGTAATATAATTGCCGGATGATATGTTACATATAACAAAATACAAATTACGATATTAAAGTGTTACATAATGAAACATGTTATCATTAAGCGTGTGAATTTTGTGTACACTGACCGCGAATACGCGCGCATGAGTGCAATTTGAATGGTGCATTGGTGCAGTTAGTGGACTTTCGGTTTACGAGCGCACGAGATTAGTCATGGTGGTCGCTCTGGTCGCAGACATGGTCAGGAAGGCAGGAAGTCATTGTCAATAGGTCAATTTCACGCAAATTGCTGCGTTTTCAATTTCCTCTAGGATACTCTCAAGCATTATGTAATCATTAACCTGAAAACAGTTTATTTTGTTTGGTTTGTGTGATTGTTGTGTTACATACAAACTATTTTTAAACATGAAGTCATAAAATGATAAACTTATGAATATCAATCGTAATCGATCTATATAAACTTACTAAATTCATAATAAAAACATATATTAGAAATGAATAATAAAAATTATTGTAGTTGTTTACGACAAATATATTGATTTTATAACCCACATAGCCTAGATTTGTGGTTAGATCGGTTTGGATGCTACTAGTTATGTTATCAATTTTACATTAAGCCATATAGGAAAACAATCGTCTTCAAATCAAGAAATTTCCGCTTTTATATTTTTGTATTACGTTTTACTTATGTTAAAAGGCGATAACACAATGGACAATTTAGATGTATATTAAGTTGCCTGCTATAAAAGAGAAAATAGCTGTTAACAACAAAGCACCACCAAAAAAATCCCTAGTAGAATTCTATCGTAAAAAGAAACTGGATAGTTCCAGATAGAATAAAAAACGTGCTGATTCCCACATTTCCCAATAGTTTCCAATCCTTTGACTGTCGTCGAATGCTTCTGATCTTTCTATTCTTGTCGCACGGTAGGAAAACGGTAGCTAACCGCTCGTCGTCGTGCAAACAGCCTAATCTCCCGGCAGCGATGCGCATCTCTCGCATCTCTCGCTGCGTTTGGCGACAAAAACGCACACGAACACACGTAACACAGACACATCTATACACCCGCACCGGCGCGCGGTGGCGGGCTGCGGCGGTAGCGCCTGGCCCTGCAAACAGCAACAAGCGCGAGAGACGCGCGAACGCCGAGAGCAGTTCGCGACTGACCGTCGTTTTGGAAAGTGCGCGCACGCGGCCGTTTCAGTCGAGCGTTGTCGTTAGCCAAAGCAAAAAAACAACGCCGTTTTCCGGATCGCACGCACCCACGCACAAATACCTAGTTTGTTGTAGTTCCCGGCGGGTGCACTCTCGCCGCCAAGGATAGCACCGAACGCGCCGCCGAATATTCAACAAGTAGGTAAGCAAGCAAAGCACGCACACTGCACGGATTTAATTTCCAGGCTTCGGACATTTTATCATCATACGAATTAAATAAATATTTGAACAAATATTACTACGAGTTTTGAGTGTTTGAATGATACACTTTATGTCTGAGAAAAACTGATTTTGCAAGTAACTAACATCCACATAGTGATGTAATTTCGCTGGGGACAAACAGTTATTTATTGCTTTTCTTATCGCTTACTGGGAGTTGAATGTGGCGAATCATCGTGAAAAACAATCATATATTGGCTATATTCATCACTAAAACTCTATTTAAATTTTAAAATAAGTTTTTATGGTTATGTTTAAGATTATTTAAATTACATTTGTAGGTACTTCATAAAATAAACAAAGTCGAAACGTGCTGTTTGCTAATTTAACGTGTTTAATGTTTTGTATTTCTTTTCGACCTCTGCTAAAAATGTTTGATTATTAACAAGTATCGCGCATCACTTCTAGGAACAATAATTATTAAATTTTGATTGTCATTATGGAGAAATTTAATTGATGTCAAAATTAAGTTTAAAGATACGAAACAAAATTAATTTATAAATAAATTAAAAATAAATATTTATATTTATCATATTATTAAAAAATTCTTTAAACTTTTTTTAATATTACAATTCTATTTTGATATCCGTTTCCGTATTTAATTAATAACGAAAGTTGAGAAGTACTCGCTCATTACACGATGATAATTAAAATGTTTTAGTTATTGCTACTGAATAAACAGTACACTAATTCAAATAATGAAAGCTTCTATTGATAACAGATTTCATTCTGAAGTTAGAGGATAATTTAAGTCAATTTTACGAACTGAATAGAACGGATTTCAGCGTGTAACCGTGACTTTATGCAAATGCACACATTTCGTGAATCTACTTAAACTTGGTACGCGTTATTTTTTTAACAGATTAAACCGGTATTGTGTGTACTAAAATGTTTAAGTATTTACATAACAATGCACCAACATAAAGCTACTTATAGCTGCTTTTAACACTGCAAAAATAATTACGACATAAATTCAATACAAATAAAGACAAAATGTGCGTTTTGCATTTTAAACTTTTTCAACATGCGCAATATTGACATAATATAATACCACCATTAGTTTTGGCATCTTCTTGGCATAATAGCAGCAACGTCCATTAAAAATTCAACCAGGATATAAATAATCTATAAATGTCTGCTAAACGTTTTTGATTTATTACATAACGAACAAACGTGTTACACATTACTAACTAACTATGTTGAAGAATGTCCTTCAGACAAATATTCGTCAGAGCGAGTTAGGAATAGTTAAAAACTTAAAATAGTCATCTGAGCCTTTAGCAGAAATGATTCCGCTTTGTGTGCGTCTGTGTGTCTTTCTGTCTCTGGTCACGACTTAAGTGAGACAGTCTCAACTGGACACCGGGCTATTTTCGAAGCTTGAATCTCAAAACACGCCCGTGGCCAAATAGCAGACAAAACAATGACTGCAACGCGATGTAATTAAATCATTTTGACATAAATGTCGAAATTATACATTATAAAGATATGTTGTGGCAATAAGCAGCCAAATACGCATAAAACTACAAAGGAATTCATTGCGAACCAAAATAAACCGGTTTTAATTCATGTTAATTTTAACTTAAGATCATCAATTCATCTTAAAATATATTAATTTAGCTGAAAATTGTACTTTAAACACTTTGTGTAATGTTTTATGAGACGTAATTTGAGTAATAAACACCTGAAGCGTAACGTACACAGGTTTTAATTTTATGATCTTTTGATGATTTAATTTAAAAAATTAAATTCACTGTATAAATAAATAATTCTATAGTAATTTAACAATTTGCGCGAAATCATCTCTTCAGCTGTGGCGGCTCATCGAAAGCTCGTGAATGAAGTATGAATGAGGCATTAATCTCTTAATAAACAAAAATTGATTGTGTCACCCATCTATCGCATCCATCGACTTAAGTTGTATTCGTGTGTGTGTGAATTTTAATGCATGCGCGCTCGCGCTTGACGCTGCTAATAATAAGCATATCTCGGTAGCTGGTAGCACAAAAGCAGGAAATGTTCAATAAAATTGTAAATAATTTGTAGCAATACACACGGCAGTCGCCATTACACGCACGCACACATGCGGCAGTGATAAGCGCGCCAGCTCGCGTGTTTCGTATCACACAGACACCAACATACACTTAGCTTCTCACCGCGCATCCCAATCTTTTGTTTCGGTCGCGAAACAGTGGAAAATCTCATAAATCATTGTTAAGATAAGATTTACAGATTACTGTGTGGACACGATAGGTGGTAGACAGCACAAATCACATCACACACAAAAAATGGCTGCCAGTTATGAAAATCAGGTCACAGTGGTGTGAATAAAACCACCTAATTTAATAGTAAACTATGTTGAACTTTAAAAATTTATTTTATAGACTTTTATTACACATAGTGTTACGTCATTAGGTTTATTTATGGTCCGAGATGCGATCTACCTTGAATCAACCGATACATTTCCATAAAGTTAGAGTTAATCAAAGATAAACTACAAAAACATTTAGTTTTATTGTGTTTTAATTTCTACACCAACAGATGGCACCATATGCTTAAATCTTGTAAATTGTGATAAAGTAAAATTGAAGACCACGCCAAAACATTCATTTAAATTGTTGGCTTCGCTCCTAGGCGCCATTTTTAACACCCGCGCAAATATATTTGTGGAATTACTGAAATGGTCCACACATTCCTATCTAGGAAGCGACAAATAGCAGAATACAAATCTCAGAATCATTTAATTGTCTATCGTTCTCACAATAGCAATAAATATGCAAAACATATAAACAAGACGCGATAAATTGTTAAATATTCATAACCTGTCGTCGCGCCAAGAAATATTAAGAGTCAATTTCCTTGAAATTGTTTTGTAACGCGTCTACATGCTACACATGTCTCCTAATGACTAATCTGATGTATAGATAAACATACATTAATATTCACACGTGTATATTACAAAGCTGTAATTAACATTTTAACCAACCTAATAATTACTGATTATAATATTTTAAGATATAAATCGCATGTTTTTTAGTTATAATTATATATTTTGAGGTTATGATCTCATAAATTAAGGTTATGTTGTTGTTTTGCAGATAAATATCCTGCATCAAAATGCCACGACACAAGGAATCCTTCCTGGCGAAGAACCTGCTCACCATGTTAACGGTGGCGGGTGTCTTGGGCGGTACAATTTTGGGTTGTGTGCTGCGTAACGCACAGCAAGAACCATGGACGCCACGTCAAGTTATGTATCTGCAGTTCCCAGGAGACATTTTTCTGCGGATGTTGAAAGCGCTTATCATCCCGCTTTTAGTTTCCTCCGTCATTGGTGCAATTGGATCTTTAGATCTCAGTCTTAGTAAGAAAATTGCAGCAAGATCGATTATCTTCTATGCGACAACGACGGTATGCGCTGTCATTTTGGGCATTATTCTGGTAATCACAATTAGACCTGGAACCAGCGCCGCTGCTGATTATGCCGATGTCAAATACACGAAACCCGCTGTTCGACAGGTGCTCACACAGGATACCCTTTTAGATTTAATCAGGTTAGTAAAATAAATCAATAACAAGATGGTGGGATATATTTACGACGCCATTTTATTTATTTCATTTTATTGTTTAAGTAATAGAAGCTAAAGTTTTATTCTCCGTGAAAGCTTGTGCTGTTGAAATTTAATTACGCGTCGTCGCTACATTTTGAAAAACGTTTTCCACTTTTCCTTTTTTTTTCTGTTCGTGGCAAAGAGGCTTTCAGACCATAATGAAATCGCCTCGCGGAAAATTCATCGCGCGTTCGCATGCGAGCGGGGAATATACACAGCTGCCGAGCCTCCGTATCACAGGGCAGGACATAGCTTATTGGAGCAGGAAATTTTGATGATGTTGATGCTAATGATCTCATGTCGTGGCATATCCGGTCGGAACATGTACCGACCCGACGCCCCAATCGGCTATATGCGTACATATATTACTCTGCAATGATCATTCATATTTGCAATGCTAAAAAAAATCACTAAATTGCTATCTTTTCTGTTGTGTCAACAACTTTTGTTTTGTTTACACTCAATTATGCCGCCATTTTGTAAATAATCCGACATCTTGATATCTTTTAATGACTTTAACCTTGACTGAGAAGAAAATATCATGTTCATTTTTTTATTCGATTTGCAGAAATCTTTTCCCACCGAATTTGGTACATGCCACCATTGCACAGGTGAGTTCAACATCAGTTAATTAAATTAATGTTTGTAGGAAATGTTGATAATTCGAAATAGAGAATCAGTGGTTTTCCAGCCTTTTGTCCTGTTACTAAAGCTTTTAGTGAGCTTTCAGCCACTTTCAGCTTGGCAACTAAGCCATTACTCTACATCAAGTATTCCGTCACATTGCGACTACTACTAAACTTCAGTTAAGGGCAAATTTGTTCTGATTAAGATACATTTACCTACCAATCTGACTGCTGAAACATTTTTTCCAGTCGGTGTTTTTATAGGTAAATCTGAATATATCAGTGAATTCATTCCTCAGGATTTAAAAGTAATCCTCGCGTAGTTCTCTCAATGATAGCGCCCGCGTTGAATGTCTATTGTTACCACCTCACGCGCACGCGGAGGTTTTTCCGTGTTGCGTAGTGGTGCTCTTTGTGCGGCTGCCGGTTGCCATGGCGGCTCGCCGGACGAACCATTCCTGATTCCTGGATGGTGGCTCGTCGGCGGATGTGTCGGCACGCTCGGTCTGGTTTCGCGTTTCTGCTTTTTCGCAGCGCGGTGATACTCGTCCACTGATGCCTGGCATGTTTGCGTTTGCATCTCCGACTGAATGTGTGTGCACACGCCGAGGGTATTTGATCCGTTGTCCATAAGCGGGTCTGCAATTTAATATGAGCTTTCGCGATTTAATAACGTTGATAATTACGCTTTGAGTACCCAATTATATTTGTAGCCAGTTTGTGTCGAGACATTAATTCGGTGCAAAATAACGATACACATTCAACAAACGTTTAATAACATGAATATTCATGAAAACGTAAAAATGTTATACTCGCTATTATTTGACGAAAATTTTACCATTATATGGCAAATAATTAGATTTTGTTTGTTATTTAGCTCTTGTATGCATCCAGATCCGCACGCATCAAAATACGCAATTTTAATTAATTTTTAAGAAAGCTGATTCCTGTTTGATAAACTGTATAATTTGAATATTCATATAACGCACATACCACTCCTATTGATCTATACGGACTGTATATTCTTTATTAAATTAATTTCAGACCCAAACCAAACTGATAGTACCAGAAAATGCAACCGGAAGTAAGTCTATATTAACATTACTTCTTATCCCAATTTTACTAAACTCTTAATTACATTCCTTTTTATATTTAGTTCCATTGGAAAACTGGAAATTTGTAGAGGTGTACGAAGGCACAACCAATGTTCTTGGTCTCGTTGTCTTTGGTGTCGTAATGGGTATTAGTTTGGGCATGATGGGCGAACGTGGCAAACCCCTTTTGGTATTTTTCGAAACTCTTAGTGAGGCTATGATGATCATCACCAGCTGGGTTATTTGGATATCACCCCTTGGTGTGTTCTTCTTGGTGTCCGCCAAAGTAATGGAGACGGAATCATTTGGTGATCTTGTGGGACGTCTTGGGTTATACTTTATGACTGTCATGTTGGGCCTTTTCCTTCATGGATTTGGAACATTGTCGGTGATTTATTTCGTCTGCACGCGTACGTTGCCCTTCACCACGATCGGAAAGCTTAGTCAAGTGTTGGTTACTGCATTTGGTACAGCGTCAAGGTTCGTAAAAGTTAAAACAAACAAAGAGAAATTAAATTAATTGGGTATATTTTAGTTCTGCAACGATGCCAATTACAATCCAGACATTGGACCGGATGGGAGTTGATCCGAGAGTTACCAGATTCGTCATTCCCGTCGGAGCTACAATTAACATGGACGGTACAGCTCTGTACGAAGCCGTTGCAGCCATTTTTATTGCTCAATTCCGATCCATTCCGCTGAGTTTCGGCCAGGTCGTTGCTGTCAGGTAACAAAGAAAGTAAAAACAAAATTATATGTTTTTTAATGGTGTTTTTTGTAGTATTACAGCAACTGCTGCAAGTATAGGAGCAGCTGGTATTCCACAAGCAGGTTTGGTAACGATGGTAATGGTATTGGATACAGTAGGCCTACCAGCTGAAGATGTAACCCTTATCCTTGCAGTTGATTGGCTGCTGTAAGTATATTTTCAGTGTTATACTGAATACGAATGTTAATTTGAATGTGAATGCGAAACGATTTTATTTTCGCCGCGTCGAGGATGGAGGTCGAGAGACACTCGTCACGCGCCGCGCCGAAAGCCCATCGAGGGCCCATCGTTAACACGCGATTACGCCTCACTCACACACATAATACTAAACAGGAATATTAAAGCACTGCATCGATTCATCACGCACACAACAATGCAGTACAATTTTCTCTCTTGATCTCTGCATCGTCTCCCCCACTTTAACCCTCGTTTAATGATTGTGTCGGATGTGTTTCAGGGATCGTTTCCGCACCACCATCAACGTGATGTGCGACTCGCTGGGGGCACGTCTCGTGGACATGCTCAGCAAGGGCGAGCTGGGCCGAGTCAGCGACAATGATAAGAACAACGCCGATCCACACGAACTCGTTGAGATCGCCAAGGATACAACGCACATATAAACGTCGTCTGTAACGCCGCCATCACGATTATCACGCAATCACGAATTCTCATTGTTCTTCGTGCCAAAAACAAAAACAAACACATACACTCACAAAACGCTAAACACGCAAAAAACGCAAAGCAAAGCTAAAACACGTTCGATGTAAATGTTACATGTTGCATGTTGTATTTATTATATTATCGATGCACCACTGTACGCCGTGCGTCGGCCGTGTTCACCTGTAAGAGAATGTAAAATCTAAGGAAACGTATAAGTGTTACTTATTCATTTAATTTTAGAACTAAAAGAAAAAATCAAACGAATGCATTTCAACTCAAGAGATTAGTATCTAGACGCAGCGCCATTTTTGAAAATAATCGCGCGCAGAGACAATAACGAGTGACATTTGGAACGATTTACAAAAACTCCACGAAATTCAGATCAAAATTTACGTAAAATATAGTACTCTATAACTATTTTTGTCTAACATTTATCAAACATTTACGAAATTCAAAATATCAGTGTTTTCCATCAATGTAAATATGTATTATCTAAATGTTACCCGCAAATCATCACAAAGTTTAGTATTAATTATGTGACTATGATAAAAAACACTTCTTATTCTATTCACGTTGCCATATTGCATTCGATAAAGATATTAGTTAGCCGTTAATTGATTAATTGTTTTGAAAGACAAGTTGAAATATTTTAGGAGTGGGACCAAACCAAGCGAGCGAAATTTTTCGAAATTTTAGATTTGTACTGCATAGCCGAAGAAACGATAAACAAAATCGAAAAAATATAATGTTATTGATTAGATGATTAATGATTAGTTAATGAATTATTATTAATATATTATAGTCTCGAAGACAATAAACTGCCTTTTACTATTTATATTGTATTTCTTTTATTTATATTGCGATATGTTTACTGGTCATTAAGTTCGAATGTTAGGTTAGAACAGTTAGGAGATGAGCACAACTTGTTTGATGGCTCGGACAATAATAAAAATACCAACAGACCAAACATTGTTAAGTGTATTGTATTGTAATATTCATAATTTCTAGTAATTGTGTCTGTTTATGTACAAATTAATAAATACAAATTGTAAATGTCTTGTTTTTTGACTTTATTTGTACATAACCTTAAATTTGACGATTATTGATCTTACGCAATTATCAAAAAGTTAGGTTAATTGACAGGCTATTTTTTTTAAATTTTGATTCGGATTGTTGTTTTATACTTGCATAATTTAGTTTCTAAAGAACCTTGAATTAAAGTCTGACTTAATTCCCGTCTGTCATACACTTAAAAATCGTATAAAAATAACTCGGCAATTAATTATTGAACGGGAGTCGCCTACGCAAAATAGTTGCGTGGCACATAATTTCAATATAATTCAATCTAATTCTATACAATTCAATATAATTGAATATTTAATTTAATACGAAGATCAAATGTATTTGTCATATTGGAAATTGTGTGTTTCAAATCAATTTTCCACCATATCAACACTTAAAGTGACCATAGCGGCCTTAATATTCTAAAATAATGACTGAAATTAGCTGTTAACAGGTTTATTTGCTTCGAGGTATTGTTTTAGTGGCTAATTGCCACTTTGTTGTGTCTTTGCATTCGGAATTCGTAACCAAACGCCAAGATCTGGAGCTGGAGCAATAATAGTGTCATCGCGGGCGCTTTAGATCGGCCATTAGAACAAAAATAAAACTCCATAAAGTATGCTGTCGAGGGAAAGCCTCGTGGGCTCGATTTCGATTCTGAAAATATCTTTTCTGAAGCAACGCTTGCGCTCGCGCGTCGCCAGAATAAAATATATCGATGCGGCTTAATTAAAACTAATAAAGCGAGTCTTTAATCCTGCGTTAACTAGTGCGTAATCCCAATTTGTTCAAGTACTGAAAAGCCATGAAAACATTCTCGCCACCGTATAGCCGGTAAGCTGCGGTTTTCAATGTGTATTTGTCTTTGGAGAGTCTTGGAAAGTGATTAATCGGCTTGGCAATTAGAGACGCGCTTTATTGGTGATCGCGCGCGGCGGCGTCCCACCTCTCGCGATCGGTAAGCGTCGTGCACGCAACGTTTCACGAATGTGCACACACGCATTTGTTAAAAGAAACCGAAGCGACTTTTGAGCGGGCAGAGCCAAGACGAGTGCTCTCAAGTGCGCACATCGAGCACGGCAAATATCGGCAAGTGTTTAAAAAAGTTGTGAAATCAATCAAGAGCTTTCAAAAGCACAATGGGGTCGTTTACGGTGGTGAGTTGGTTACTCGCCACTGTTTTGGTCATCGCCTCAGCATCAGCCGTCACTGATGATCCAAGTAAGTTTAAAATTCGCGCAGAAGTAACGCGAAAAGTTTTCAGACGCATAATAATGTTACGGCTGAATGAATGTATAGTTTCTAATAGTAATTATAGTGTGCGCAAGACATTCGCCCAAATTTAAAGAGGTGCGTATATTTAGCCGTGTGCCGTTTTATTTCGCATTTTAAAAATAACGTCTATCCTGAGTGACACACATTTTCGCCACTCTCGACGCGCACAACACGAAAACAAGTGTATTTCGAACAGGAAGTCGGCCGTGTTTGCAATTCTGCTCTATTTTATACCGAGGGTGTATGGACACATGCAACACAGGTGTAACTCGTCAAAACTTCAAGCTTCGCTAAGAAAATATTTATTTCGTTATTTTGTACACTCGGTAATAGTTGATTCATGAAAGTTTTCCACAAGAAACTATTTTAAACTAGTTTCGAAGAAATGGTGAAAATAGTTTTCAACTTGATCGCATAAAAATATTTTTTTATTTGTTACATATTACCAAGTGCAAAGAAAGATGACTTATTATGGTATCATCAAACGCTAAAAACTTAAAACCGTAGGCGTAGCTTAAATTTGAGATGCAAATTGGATGCAAAAAAATATCTAACGCTCTACACTCCAATCATGGAGAATTGAAATGTTTACTAAAATGTTTTAAGTATGCTAATTTGAAAAATACAAACATAAAATTGAGGAAACTATTTTTATTTTTTGCACGAAAATTCCGCGTAGGATTATGAAATTATTCATTATTCAAAAGCCTACGATTGGTTATCGTATGAGACTCAATGAAGTATAACAATGAAATTATACATTAATGATTTAGTGCACTTTGCAAATATTTTCTTCAACCTTGATGAAATCCAATAATCACCGCAACACACCCATGTTTGCATGTGTGGTCATCAATGCGATTACGACTAAGTTATAGATCAATTATGACTACATGTTTAATTAATGCATTTGTATGTTTTTCTATGTGTCTACAATTCTGTTACTATTTATTCATCGCCGTCTCCTTTTATAGTCGCGTCTAGTGAACTGGAGAACGTGATCAAAAGTGACGAGCTCGCTCTGTCCCTGAAACACATAAAAGCTAAGAAACGACATCGTGGAACGGAAACCCTTCTTGCGGTTGACTTCGATCATGAAAACCACAATAGGTTTGCCATCCTGTTGGATCGTCATCATAAACGAGGTTCTTAATCATATTTATTATGTTTATTTAATTTTATAATTGTGGTTGACTTTCTCATGTTTAGTCATCATTGAAACCGTTGAAGACAACAGACCCAGGGCGCAGCATTTCACTGTTGATACGTTGAATGATGATACTGTGATTAAATCACTTCTATTGGCTATCAATCAGGATAAACCAGACGCCAGTGCCACTTTAGTTCTTGATTGTATCAACTATGGACGTGTGGCTATGCCGAAAACTATGCGTGAGATGTATATTCAAATGGAGAATCCACATCTCACCCTTGTAAGTATAAATATTTTGCGTTGTATTCTGCTGTGTGTGAACGTAACGGCTGGATAGAGGTCAGTGCCAACTGCAATGAGAGTGTCTTCATGCCGAGCGTGTTTATTTCGACCGCGCGCGACGACTGTCGCTGCAATACGTAAACGTAATGTTGCAATTGATCTGTAACTGTAATGCGCAGATTATAAAAGAAACAAGTTGTCGGCTCCCTTAAATAGTCATCGGCGCACCAGCTAGACACCTGTGACAGATGAGGTACCTTAAGTGCGCATCATACCTGATGCAGGTCACTTAAAAATGCAATTTGCACTTGTGCGGAAAAAACATCTCCATCTGAGAATATCTGATTTTACCGAGATTGCTTGACATTTAATTTCATACCATTTCTTGTTTGCCAGCTTCGTGAGAAGAAGTATCCAGTCGAGATTGAAGGTAGTGATGGTTTACGTAAACTTCTTATCCGTAACAACTGTCCAACGGTTCCATCATCAAAACATCTTTTCAAAAGCTTTCCACAATTTGATGATTTTGGTGATCATGATCCTAATGTACAGGGATACGAACCTGACAGGGGTGATATTCCATCTTTACACACTCCTGATGAAGGTACCATCATCCATCTTTCATATAAAACTATTTTTAAAGTTGTGGTTATATTTCAGGTGCCATTTTGAAGGCTTTAAACGACTTGATTCAAACCGTTAATCAACTCAATCGTATAGTTAATGACCAACACAATACTATTGATAACATGCGAAGAACACTTGAAGACTGTGAAGTGTGCAAACCCCGCCCACCAGAGATCATTCGTCCCTCGTGTGCGACCCATCCACCAACTTGTTTTCCAGGGGTGCAATGCCACGACACAGGCACTGGTCCAACTTGTGGACCTTGCCCTCGAGGATACATTGGTAATGGTTACGTTTGTCAACCTGGTAAGATGTGTGCAGATCGTCCTTGCTATCCTGGAGTTTCCTGCGAGGATACCCCCCATGGAGCACGCTGCGGACCTTGCCCACATGGATACGACGGCAATGGTGAACAGTGCCGTAAACGGTCCGGCTGCGAGTACAGCCCATGTCATCCGGGTGAGTCAATCAGACACTATTAGGATATCTCAATCTATTCGGTTGTATATATCATGGTGACGTTGTATATTGCTATGTTCGCTCGTGTTTTGTCACGTTCTTACTTTCAATACTTTCAAATCTTTGTTAGCACATGATCACAATGCTTTCTTGCACGCACTGAAAACTGCTATGGTTAGATATTTTTTATCTTCATCACTCAATTGTGATTTATATTCTTAGAAATCTTATATTTTATCTTATCTATGTTTCTGTTGGCTATCAAGATGCGGCAGTAGAAGTGTGTAGGTATTGATCTTGTTATTAATGTGTTTGTTAGTTTTCTGTCTTCCAGGACGTTGTTGAAAATGTAAACTTGTTAACAAAGCAATTTATGGTTACCGCATTCAGACACATAAGTCACGAAAGATGGTGAATGAGCCTTCTTGCAAATTAATTCAACTTGTTCTTCGCAACTAGTGCGCCTAATCACATGCTGAAAGTAAACATATGAAATAATTTTATAATTGTACAAGTATTACGATAATATATACCTTAATAACCATAAGTTTGTCTTTTATTACTCAACCCGAGCACAAAACACTATCGAACATACAATATTGCATGAAACAGGCGTCGTACCAACTTCATTGTAAAGGGAATTAAACTATTGAACATCCTCGTTTTCAGGTGTACGATGTATTCCAACCGATGTGCCGCCATTTTATTACTGCGAAGGTTGTCCAGCAGGGTCAACCGGAAACGGCACTGCTTGCTATGACATCGATGAAGTACACATAACAAAACCTTATAGAAATTTTCAAGAAATTGATTATGATAATTTTTAGTGTGACTTGGCCAGACCATGTGATCCAATGGTAGAATGTACTAATCTCCGACCTGGATATCGTTGTGGTCCATGTCCGCACGGGTTCACCGGAAGTTCAGGAACACAAGGCATTGGAATGGAAGAAGCTTCACACAATCGCCAGCGTTGTTATGATATAGATGAATGCCTCGACAACAATGGTGGTTGTGTCCCGCATTCTGTTTGTACCAATGTAGAAGGTTCGCATATTTGTGGTGGATGTGTACATGGCTATGTTGGCAATCAAACCAGTGGTTGCCGCAGAGGAGAAGGTTTATGCCCGGATGGCACTCAGTGTCATAGAAATGCGGAATGTGCACATATAGGCCAAGGAAGGTATAGTTGTAAATGTAAAGTGGGTTGGGCAGGAGATGGTTCCATTTGCGCACCGGATCAAGATCTGGACGGTTGGCCAGATTTTGATCTTCAATGTTCACATCCCAGATGTAGAAAGGATAATTGTCCAACTACGCCTAACTCAGGACAAGAGGATGCCGATGGAGATGGGGAAGGTGACGCGTGTGATCCTGATGCCGACAATGACGGTATCCTAAATAACCCTGATAATTGTCCATTGGTCTATAATCCCAATCAAGAGGATACCGATGAAGGGGGTGGTGACAAAGCTGGTGATGCATGTGATAACTGCCCTACGGTGCCAAATCTAGATCAAGATGATTTAGATAAAGATGGAATAGGTGATGCGTGTGATGATGACATTGATAACGACGGTATTCTTAACTACAACGATAATTGCAAAAGAAAGTCAAATCCAGATCAAAGAGATACCGATGGTGATGGAATTGGTGACGTTTGTGATAACTGTCCAAAAGTTCACAACCCTCATCAAGAAGATTCAGACAACAATTTAATTGGTGATAAGTGTGATAATATAGCTGATGTTGATCATGACGGTATACCAGATCAACATGATAATTGTCGCAGAGTACCAAATAGTGACCAACTAGATACTGACCATGATGGTAAAGGTGATGCTTGTGACACTGATGCAGATGGTGATGGAATTGTTAATCTTTCCGACAACTGTCCACTTGCGGCAAATCCATACCAGGAAGACGCAAATCAGAACGGCGTTGGTGACATCTGCGAATCTGATTGGGATCTGGATGATGTTCCTAATGACATTGACAATTGTCCAAACAACTCACAGATTTACTCAACAGATTTTAGCACGTACCAAACGGTGGTTCTTGATCCCGAAGGTGATTCTCAAGTTGATCCTAACTGGGTAATTTACAATAAAGGTGCTGAGATTGTACAAACAATGAATAGTGATCCAGGACTTGCCGTGGGATATGACTCCTTCGGAGGTGTTGATTTTGAAGGTACATTCTTTATAGGAACGGAAACAGATGATGATTATGCTGGTTTTATCTTTTCTTATCAAAATAACCGTAAATTCTACACGGTAATGTGGAAAAAGAACCCGCAGACTTATTGGCAGAGCACACCATTCCGAGCTGTAGCCGAACCAGGTATTCAACTAAAATTAGTTGATTCCGACACTGGACCAGGTCAACTATTGCGTAACTCTTTGTGGCACACCGGCAATACTGATCGTCAAGTGAAACTACTATGGAAAGATCCCAGAAATGAGGGTTGGAGAGAAAAGACCGCTTATAGGTGGTTACTACTCCACAGGCCCAAAATTGGTTTGATCCGATTGAGAATCTTTGAAGGTGAGAAGATGGTAGCCGACAGTGGAAACATCTACGATACTACTCTCAAAGGTGGTCGTCTTGGAGTGTTCTGTTTCTCACAGGAAATGATTATTTGGTCAGATTTGGTCTACAGGTGTAACGGTATAAAATTAATATTAATATTACATAACTATTAAACTATATTTACATTCAAATATAATTTCAGACGATGTCCCTGAAGCTATCTACAGAGAGCTCCCCGAAAGACTACGAAAACAAGTGCATATCGATCGCAGGACTGCACAACGCACGTAAAACAAAATGTTAATTAAGTTTGATTACTGATAAAGTACTAATTACCTCAATCGCATGTAGTAATGAAACATATTTAATTTAAAATTTCTATAGTTACTTGTGTATCTACTAGTTAATCAATTCAAATTTCGATGATGATTGTGTATTTATTAACCAATTAATAAGACTTGCTCATAGGTTCATAAATTGTATACGTAATTGTTTGGCTATTGATTAATTATTAATTAATTGTATAAATAAATAAAGCGCATTTAGATTTACCTGATATTCACGCTGAATATGTCACAATTACATTTAAACTGTTTTAATTCTAAAATAAATACAACTGCGGCAAGAAATAATCCAATACTCCAGATAATAAAAAAACTTTGGAACAGTCTCAAGTCCAATTGTATGATTTTTGGTGTTTCTGTGGTGGTTCGTGCTAAACCTAAATAATTTTGAATACGTCGTTCCAGTGGGTCTGATATTGCCTGAAATAAAAGAGATTTTTTATATTGATAACACGTAAAATATTGATTGAATACATCTTTCTCCCAATATTTGATTAATCCATGTTCCATTGCTATTGCACATAGTTTATCAATACCAATAAGCCATATTGAGTTTCTTCTCAGCAAGAAAGCAGTATATTGATGTCCGATTATATATTCTTTCATTACTTTAAAATCTTCTAAGTGTTGCAATGTAAAATAATCATCAATGGTGAAAAAATCTAGAAAATAATATTTATCCATTACAATTTGATGCAATTAATTAATTAAATGCTTAATTACGGCTTGCAAATGATTCGTCAACAGCATATGCATATCTTTCATCATGAATGTCACTTATTTGATTTTGAACTAGGCGAAATTTTTTGTATAGCGTTACCATAGGTTCCTAAAATGATAAGTATATATTAAAATATGATACTTTCTTTGAATAAAAGCTATTGTTTGATGTTAATTTTTCTCACTGTCGTTTCTGTGCTAATTATTTTCCCTTTATCATTAAATTTTGAATACCAAAGTATATCGCTTGATGCTAACTGAGCTAACGAATTTATTTCGTCAATATATCTAAAATAAATATATTTAATATTTAACCGAAACATAAATTATTATTAATAATCAGTTAGTATTACGTGGGTACGGCGATATAACTAGAAAACTTGGAATTAAAAAAAGTTTGTATTAAAATAAAGCACGACAATAAGACCGAAAAGAATACACGTTCCATTAGTGTTTTCGTCGCTAAATTTGAAGGTTGAGCTAGTAAAATTCGAAAAGCTATTAAATACTCAAGTTTTTTAGAATCGGCAACGCCGCATTCAATCCATTTAAAGTAGATTCTACAAAAGAAATCATAAATATTAAAATTTATCAGTTTATATCTTACAAACTTTAATATTTTAAAAATTATCATAATTGCAATCATATTTGCCCCAATCAGCAGCCAAACCCCATATGTAAAGATGTTAAATATCATCCATTCGTTAATTAACCTGAAATTATTTTTGTTCAAATATAATTATTGAAAAGAAACATAATTGTAAACCTTGGTTTAGGTACGATGCATGTAACTCTTATCTCACATAGAGGCCGTGAAAAATCTCCAAATAATGTGCGACTATATTCGATATATACAGCATCTGTCAAATAAATATGCTACATTTAAATATAAATAAGAATAGATTAAACTTACAAGCTATTAAATCGATTTTATCTTGTAGTAAAGTGTCCATGTACCCTGTCCCGGTCCAATTTGAACGAAACACACCAAGATAATCAAAAGATGTGTCAAAAAGCAAAGTTATATTATGTTTTTTAGCGTACTCCACAAGTAATACTGTCTCTGGCCCTTTTAAGTTGACTACAATAAACATATGAATTTAATGAAATTTTTTTTTGGTAAGTAAATATTACCTGGATCAGTAATTGGTAAATACTTTTCGCCGCCTACGATTAGCCGTTTCCCTTGAAGATTCTTTAATTTGTCTGGATACAAAGTCGAATTTGATGCAAAACTTTGTGATATTGCACTCCATTCGTTTATTAAAACTATCTTATCATTGTTTTCCAAGCCAACAAATTGATGTGTAAACAATGCAAATTCACCCTCTCTTTCTGGAATATCTTTAACCACAAGCATATCGCTCACAAATTTTAAATAATTACTTGCAAAGAATTGATAAAATTCTTTATCTTTCGTAGAATTAAACATGACAACATATCTTCTCTCTTGAAAACGCGCTTTACTATGTTTTTGAATAAAATCTTCAAACATTTCGAATTTTGCTTGCGTGTTTTCACGTATATTAATCACAATTCCAAGACACAAATCAAATTTATTTACATGTGTAGCGTCTAGTTGGGCATCACTTGTCAAATAATAATTACCATTTTGGCTTACACTACGCACAACAAAGTCATCTTCAAATTGTAAAATGCAATAAAAATGACTGAAATATTCTCGCATTATGATTGTTAATAAAATCGTCGCGTTTGTAGCGACTGGCAGTGGCAATAGTATCATAATTACACTTGCTAGTAAGGTATCTAGATGTAAAAGGTAGTAATTACTAAATATTTTTACAACGCTAGTATCATTTGCTTGCCGTGAGCAATTTCTTGTTGTGCAGTCTCGTTTTCGGAGTGAAATGACTCCACTTGAACATTGCCACACAATAAATACTTTTTTATTTGATAAACACCTCGCCGTTTTGCTTGTGTTCTGTGTACACAATGATAAATTAGTGCAGACATTATTAAAACTTTCATGACAAATGTTGTAGCACATTAATTCACACGGACGACCCGTTGACACAAAAAATACAACATGTGATGTGAAGAGGTATTAATGTCGTTCGATAAATAATTAATGTGAACTGGTTGCGGCACAGATTATTGCTACTCTTTAAAAACATCAGCAAAGTGTATTATTTGCACATCAAAAACAAAAAAGTTTGATTTACGTGTTTATTTGATGACTTAATGATCAATCGTGTTGAAAGGTAAAACACTACATAAAACTATGTCATTTTTTTGGTGTTGTTAATAACATACTTAATACATAAATATTGTTGTTCAGTCTAAGCAAATATTGAGTACTTTTCCGTTTTTATATGCTACGGTTTTATGAATTACTCTGAAAACTTTTTTTTTTAATTTTAATTGTTAATAAACTTTACAAATAAATAAATAAATAAATGTATAACTCATACTTAAAATTTTGTTGTATCTATCTACGTTTAAAATGATCTACTACATCCTCTAAAGTTTTTCCTTTAGTTTCCGGCACAAAAATATGGATGAAAACTGTGCCAGCAAATGAAAACATTGCAAAACAAAATAATGCAAGATACATTCCTTCAAATGTTAAAGTCACATAAAAGAATTGAGCTGAAGCCGTGACACAAAGGCAAAAATATAAATCTAAAATAGCGATAGCATAGGATTTCACACTGGTAGGAAAAACTTCACTAATCATTAACAACGGAATTGTATACAGTCCGACGCTGTGTAAAACAATGTACATAATCATTGCTATCACTGGTAAATATTCTAAATTTGAAAGGTCTACAAGCGTCCGCTGTAAGAGAAAATAGTAAACCGCCACAACAGTTGATGCAAAACCTGTACCCATAGATGATAGTATAAGTAAAGGTCTTCTTCCTGCTTTATCGACGATAATCGATGCAATGCAAGTCATAAACAATTGAACTCCGAAATAAATTACCACAATATGATCAATAGTGAGAATTTTTGGCGTGTAAAATGTAATGGCGGAAATACCACTAAATTGTTGAATTGTCCTTAGTCCACACATAATTAATAATGCTTTTCTATTACTTGACACAGTAAACAAATCCATAAAATGACCTTTGTTACGTTGATCTTCCTGAATTACGGTTGCTAGTCTGATAAATTCATCATCAACATCTTCTACACCCCTATGTTTTCTTAAACAATGTTTGGCATCTTCATGTTGGTCATTCATTATATGATAATAGGGACTTTCAATTGCAAAATAGACAAGTATTGTGTATATAATAGGCAATCCAGCACATATTAACGCAGTGGTATAAATACTAAGATAATGTCCGATTGCGTTGATTATTGCTATTCCAAGCACAAGACTTACACTTGTTAAGGATCCAAGAAGTCCGCGCGTGTTCGCAAGGGCTATTTCACCCACATATAAAGGAATTGCTATGAATACAAATGCATCGACAAAACCAACTATTGCTCTTGCTATAAACAACATTTCCACTCTAGTTGAAAAGGCTATAAGTAGCCATGCGATAAGATTGGGCCATCCCAAGAATAATATTATTTTTTGGCGACCAATTTTGTCCAGTGCCCAACCGGCAACTACTGCTCCGGGGATGGAAAAGAGGATATTTATTACAGCCAACCATGCAGTCTGATCGTTTGTCACGGATACATGGGACCCATCTAGTAGTTTAGGTATCGATGGAGAAGGCCATCCATAACTAAATCCAGTCATTACCGCAGCAATATTTGCTTTAATTGCAAATAATATAAGTGTTTGGTTATTTAAAAAATGTAAGAAACTAACCTGATATTGCACTGTATATTTGAAGCCAGTTATTTGGTAGACATGTTTTTTTCTGAAAATTTTCGTGTTTTGGTATCATCATATTTAGCTCAGTTTGATAGTGAATTTTGGTGGCAATATGCAGTAAAAAGTAAAAAATAAAAAGAAAAACAATAACAGACTTGGTTTGAGAATAATTTTGTTGCATTGTTATGTATATAGGGTCTCGTAGCTTATCTTTTTACAAATTTACGTCTAGACAAATAGTTCAATAATCATTATGTTCATAATGTATGTAAATGTATAATGTATAACGTATAATGTATGTATTTTAAGTCCCAATTGGAGATGCTAAATACGACACTGCAATTAAAAAATATTTTGGTTTTTATTGACAAATATACAACTGGAATTTTGTAAACTTGATATGAGTTAAGCATGACTTAAGTTTCAAATTGAGATCAAGTGTGAGATACTCGTACATGTTGGAAAGGATATATGGCTTAATTACATTCAGACGCACGGGCGTGCACGCTTAATTTACAGTCTGTCGTATTGATAATGTATGTAAAGCAGTATTGTCTCTTAAAATTATTGTTCATTCATATTATTTTATTATTATTTAAAACCCGCCATGTATTGATTTTGGAATGCAAAGTAAAGAAGTGTTTTTTTAAGTGGCGTTGCTGTGCTTCGAAACCGTCTAATTTGTCTGAAAATACCAATTAGGCGAAATATGTCAATATTAAAATTATATCGATACACAACACGGATTTATAATGGAAGAAAGTAAAAGAATACATTCATTTGTTAGACATAAACAAAAATACCTACTCCAATAGACCTGATATGAATCAGCAAAACCGTAAATTGAATTTTAAATGAAATTAATTTAATTTCATTTATATTTAGTTATATCAGAAATCTTTCTTTGTTTCTTATTTTTTGCGAGATATTAAAGAAGACGTTATTTAATGCTTGATTTGTATGTGTAGCAACGTTAGTAGAATTTGGATGATACAATAAAAACCCTTTTATAAATGAGTGGTGTTTCCTGATTCACATATTTTATCGTTTTCGGCATGATTTGCGCGTAAATAAATACAAATGTTGTCTTTGCAGTTCATAGGACCTAATTTTTTTCCAAATAAAGCTCAACAGCGAATTTCAATGGCTACAAACTAAAAATGAACTTGTAATAAATTAGGGTAAAATTAATTTATTTAGATACATGTGGAAAACTGTTACAAGAAGGTACACTTCACACGAGAGCGAGATTTTACTCGTCTCGCTTTTGCGATAGGCGTTTATTAAAAATTTCTCGGCGATACCGAGACCACATTCAGCGCAACCCGAGTCTCGTTTTTGGTCTCGTATTTTTTTATGAAATTGTTATTGGAAAAATTAGAAAAGGTAGATTATATAAAATCTGGTGACCATATGTGTAATATTTCATTGTATATTCAAAAGATCAACTCAATAACCGAATATGAGTTTGACTTTTTTGACTTTTTGAAATTTTTATGAAGATTTTGTGAACATCTGGAGACATTTTTTTATTTTTTCGGTACTTCGAGCAAAGACTAAGTACAGTTAAGTAAACACTGTACGCTATACCCTCACAATATCCCCGAAACGATATATTAGTAAACCATTGCAAGTCAATGCAAGTATTTGTCAAGCCTGATGTGGATAGCTACTTCGACCATTAGAGGCCCCATCAGCACACCTTCTGGCTTGACAAATACTGCATTGACCTGCCATGGCTTATATACAACTGTTCTTATAATAAAGACACAAGAAGTATTGTCAGCCCCACCTAACGGTGGAGACTGAAGTTAGCTCAAACAAGCATAAGTATTGAAATACAATGGTAGTACGAGAGGGTGAGTATAAGCTAAGTAAAGTTAAGTAAACACTTACTGTACGCTATACCCTCACAATATCGCCGAAGTGTGCTGATGAGACCTCTAATGGTCGAAATAGCTATCCACATCAGGCTTGACAAATACTTGCATTGACTTGCAATGGTTTAGTAAAAATCGTTTTGGCGATATTGTGAGGGTATAGCGTACAGTAAGTGTTTACTTAACTTTACTTAGCTTATACTCACTCTCTCGTACTACCATTGTATTTCAATTCAAGCAAAGATAAATAAAATTTATGCTCTAGTGCGTTTAATATTCTCTCATTTTTATTTGTTTCCGCGGAATGCATAGCTAGAAACATGAGTTTATGAGTTTCATTTGTTTATTTATCTGACGGCGAAACTCAACCGCCAAGAAAAATCCCGCGGCGAATTTTTGGCGAAGACTGTCGTGTACCCTTTCTGGCGTGAACGGCGATCGCAGCGACGGCACACGGCATTGTGTACATACTAAGAAACGCGCGCCCCCACTATACACCTCATTCATTAGAAAACGTCAAAAGTTTGTCAAGCTGTGCATGCGCTTGTTGTGCATTCTAAAAATCGCGCACATCGATTGTCAACAATTCGCATTTAATTTAAATTCTTCGTAACAAAATCGAAAAACTGGCGGCCGTCAACAAAGAATATGACAATCCAATGTTCATTGATCCTATGGAGGTGGCAGACATGTATTCCCCAAGCACATCAGCATCAGGAAAAGGTAAGTGGAGAACACCTGTTCATTGCATGTTAATTATTACTCATAAAATACCATGAAATTCAATTTTACATAATCGACTTCCAATGCTTTAATATAAAACTACACCTCTGAATTACTTGTATTGTAGGAATTATTCCACAAACCTATGGGAATGATAGTGACATGAGCACCAAGCAAAGAGTGATGGAAATACTTGATAATCTGGAAAGTCACGTTGAAAAATTGCGGAGGGATGCCACAAAACTCGAGGAGGAAAAGGATGTCATCATGGGCAGCCTGGACGCCGTCAAATTACTGCCAGTGTTAAATGACCTTCAAGGATGTAAGTATTATGATTCTCATAACCACCCTCCAAAGTTAACAATATTCATTTTAGTGGATAGAGATGAAGCACAACAATACCTAGAACGAATAATCGAGCGCTGTCATACAGTGGCTGTGAATGTTTATACACAGAGGGATCAATCACAAGAAGATGCTCTCCACCAGGTAAATCAACAAATAGATCACCTAATTGTCTTGCTAAAAGCCGACCATGAAGCGGCGCGGGCTCGTTGCCTGATCTACATGAACTCCAGCTCATCACAGAGCAGTGGCGTCACCGACAAACATTTTGAGTCTGCACTGCTTGGTTGCACAATCGATGACCAGAAGCGGGTGAAAAAGCGCCTTCTCGGCCTGTTAAAATACCTTGACAAAATGGGCATTGTGTCTGAAGTATAAAGGCGCGAGATCGTGGCCAGGGATACGGGTTTTAGTTTCGAATCTCTCACGCTGAAGTTTTTCACATTGTTTTTATTTTTTTACATATAATAGAATATAAAAGTATTGTATTTAGCATGTTACTTCGAGTTGTTCGCGTTGATATAGTGATATAGGACGACAAGGAGGAAGAGTGTCACTCCCAGAGCGTTCGCGAGTACTGCTAGATGCACATCAGTGACCATTCTAAAACAAACAAAAAACATTTTAATACAATTGCATACAGCTTGAAGGGGAGAACCATTGACTGTTTTTGTGATCCATATCAGTGACTTACACTAATTAAGCATATTTTGACAAATAAATATAGTACTGTTGAGTTTTATGAAAAAAAATGGTTTCATTTTTGGTTATCAAAAAATTAGTACATATTCAATAAAGGAGCAAATATTTCTTTTTCAAACGTGAAGAATCCAGATGGCGCTAACGGTGTATTCACAACCGGCAAAACTATCGTTTTACTTGTGTTGCTGACATTCCCTCATTATTTAACCACAATACAATAGTCTCTCGCAAGACGAAATTGTTAATTTTCAGTTACAATTAATTTGCCAAAGATTCAACCCACAGTGCCGGTAACCAAGGGTGGTAAGTAAATACAAGTTGAACTAATGTTCCCTAATTAATCGCTTAACCTCCTCCCATTAATACACCGATATTAAAAAGAATAGCAAAACATACGTAAAATATACAACACTTACGTGAGTTGTTTGTCTTGTTATTGAAAGCTCGCAATGAATTAGTTTATTGAATCTTCGTATTCAACGACGTGGCTTTCGCTTAGACGAAATCAGCGTTTGTTTGACAGGCGAATGAGACGCAGCACTACGTTTACTATAGTTCCTCTTGTTTACACCAAGCTAATGGCGGCAAATTTAAATTACAGATTACCAGACATCCGTTAAAAATGCGTTGCGTTTCAATATCTCACGAACTAAAAGTTTCGCAATGGCCCGATGAAAAGGAGCTATATTATTATAAACCTCGCAATTCGGATAACATGCCTCTCAATACGGTGTCTTGGGGTAAAAATGGAGCATGGCTTTTGCTTTGTCAGAGCTATGGTTTCGCGGAGATAGTTTCGCTTGCAGATGAGGCAAAACTTTTGAATTCAATCCAGAACGTGAAGAATGTTACTTGTGCCGCCTTCCAGAATACCGTTAATCGGCGTGTTGCACTAGGCACATCTTCAGGGCAGCTTGTGATTTATGATTTGAAAGCCAAATGTATCAAGCAACAATGCCCAAATCAACAAACGCCATATTTTAAAGTTCAATTCTCGATCAAAGATTCACATGTGATTGGGGCAAACAAAGAAAAGGTTTATGTTTACAAGACCAACAGTGGTAATCAGATTGCTGCCCTATCTGTGCCTAACTCTCAAACAGTGACAAACTTCCGATGCCATCCACTTAAGTCAAATATATTAGGCTTATGCAGTGAAAAGGGCGTGGTTGCCGTGTGGGACTACAATGTGGATAAACCTTCTGCTTGCTATGAAGCGCACAAATCTATAGTATCTGATGTTTTGATAAAAAACGAAACAGTCTTATCAATTGGAGCTGATAGGCGCCTTTCGATTTTTGACTATCGGGGGAAAAAAATTAATCATGAAAAAACATTCACACAATCACCAACGGCTTTTGATTTGCACACTGATGGATTAAGTCTCGCAGTGGGGTTCACTGATGGACAGGTCTTGGGTTTTGATTTACGCTCGCTGAAACAAACAACTCAGGTCCTGGCAAAACACACAAGCCGTATTAATCAAGTTTCCTTTGATAACTTCTCACAGAAAGTATCTACTTCTAACATATCTGTAGAAACCACCACAGAATCCCTTCAAAACCAATCGGAACAAGTCGATTCCTTCAGCGGCATCTACTGCAATGTTCCAGTGCCAACCAGTGATTCGATTAATGCAAACTGCACAAAGCCTCGTCAAAGCCTTCCGAATGCTAAAAACATAAGCGATTCTTTTATAAATGCCATGTCTTTGAACTCACCCAGTAGAAAAATGGAAGATTCTATCTCAAATATGACTACAACAAAATCTAACAGACGTGTTCAGGATTCAAAAACAAATTTATTGTCGCCTAAGGTAGAAGAAAAGGACGAAAAAGAACAGAAGTCTGACGTAGAGCAAGTAGCTACTGATGCCGAGATCAACGTAGAAAAACCCAGCCCGAATGCATATTTACCAACGATAGCGCCCACGCATCACAGACAATCTACCGAGTTCTGGAAGGCACAGTCTACACCAATTAATTCTAACAGTGCGAATATAATGCAATCACCTATTTATCCACTTAATGGAGGATCTGCAAATTTACCAGCCACAATGAACAATGCAGAAATTCGTATGATAATGAAAGAAGTTGTAAGAGAAGAAATAGGAGAGTTGCGTGAAGAGATAAAGAATCAAACGTTTGAGATTATGTGCAGCATTAGACAACACACTTTAGGACTCCAATGGACACTGAACAAGATGGCGGTGGATCTAGAGACTAGCATCGAACAATTACGTCGTGAGATCCTTCAATTGAGGGAGCAGTTCTAAACTGCAAACATTAGCTTTATGTACTGCCATAATCGTTATTTTTGTACGTGTAATCTATTTTTCTAACGTAATAAACATTTGATAATACCTTGTTTAGTTATTTTGGACGTGTGCGACAAATAAAACACATTTTCACGCCCGCCATCTTGTTTATTTCGCATCTGTTTTCAGTTCCGAGTACTCCAGAACTGCAAGTGATCGATATATGTATTGTATTTTATAATCGTAAGTTAATATGCAAATACAAAACAAAACTACACATATACATAAGTATTCCTACATAAGTGATTATTTTATACATAGCATAGGTACACAAAGATAATTTAGTTTATAATGTTATTATATTTAAACCTAGCATCTTTTTTCTCATTTGCATATTTTAAACTATTAACTTTATAAGGTGGCGGTCCTCACGCCTCGTCAGCTCCGCGCTGCGCGGAAGTCCAGTCTTGTCCCAGCAACACTTAACGCATCGTCTTAAGGGTTGTTTAAAAGAATTCCGCCACGCCGAGGACGGCCGCTCGGACCAAGTCAGTCTTGACGACTGGTAAACCGTAAAATCACTCCAATTTTGTTTGCTTTGCATATTTTTCCATCTTCGTTTACTTTTCTATCATGATTCGTCTCTGCCTTCCTTTTTCCTAGGTATAGCGCATCTATTTGATTTAATTAGGTGATACGAATAAACTCGAACGAATGATCAAATTTGGTTAGTGCGGCTGAGGGGGAGAGGGGTCGTTTATGTACATCAATTGAAATGATTGCATATGTGTGAAGGTGTGTATCCATGCCGAGTTTAATCACTTGCACTGATGCTCATCGTATCGCAGAAAATAAAATAACTACTCTCTAACTAACTGAATAACGAACTCAAGAAACGTACATAACTACAACTATTGAATGTGTTAAAATTACATTACCCAAAAAGAATCCGTCGGTTTTTGTATGCATCATTCTTTCAATTTTTTTTCAGCGTGTGACTGTTTTCATTAATAATTTCATCATGTTACTGTTATTCTTTGTGTTCGTGATCGACTGGCCCAATTCCATCGTCTCCTCAGATTACAACCAATTACGAACGTGCTTTGAAATGCACAATCAACTTTCATACTTAATCAAGGGACCACTGACTCGATTTGCAAATTAATTCAAACGTTAATAATAAATAAAAATAAGGTTAATAGTAGTGTTGAGAAAAAAGAATCGCACTAATCGTAAAATACACGTCTTCCTAGTCAGTGGGTCGATGTTAGCAAGTGTGTTCAGGGGTGGTTGGAATCTGCAAAAAATCAAAACTATTTCCTCATCAATCCATTGCCGGCGTCGTGTTCGGAGAGTCGTTGGCTTGGCGTTGTGATAGCGGCGTCTAGGACTGATTCCAGTACGAATTGCCCTGATACGCCTGCTTCGATCCAGCCTTCTGCTGATTGTTGCTCTGAGCGCGTTGACCGGTGCTATTACCGGAGTCCTGAAAACGCCACCAACCCTCGGTTTAACAGATTGCACAAAGCTATCATATTATTAACAAACAAAGGACACGAACACAAAAGCAAACTTCAAAATCAAAATCACCGTGCGACAAATGTTTGACTAGTAATTCAAAATATTTGAACGTTAGTTTCCGCATCGTAGCAGACATGTATTCTAAAAACTAACAGTATAGAGTGCGCTCGATATTGTAAACAATGATTAGAATCACAAGAAAGCAAAAAGCATTTTTTCGTCGTCTATGTGTGACTTACCATGCGTCGGCCATGGTGCCGCACATCCATCTACAAGCAAAACAAAACCTGGATAACCAAAGAAACAAGAGCATGCTCTTCAGCAAGAGTTTGATTTACGTCAAAAAAATAAAATTAAAAGTAAAACTAAGAGAAGGAGTAGGTGTGATCTCTAATCGTTTGATTCGCATGCGAAATGGGGGGACATGCTCAAGTGGGGCGCACCAGATGCGCAAATTACCTGGTGTAGTGGCTGATGCATAAGTTGTGTTGAGTGGTGTTGGTGCTGAGGCAGCGTTGGAATATACATCTGCGGGCCGTAGCCGGTGCCGCTGGGCGCGAGCGCGCTCTGACCTAACGCGCCGGTGAATGGCGGCGGCGTGCCCGAGTGGAAACCCTGCTTTTCATAAGACTGAGCAAGTACTCACAATAAGAGCGCATTCGTCAAGCAATAACTTACATTCACCTTCCCGAGTGCCGTATGCGACTTGCCGTACATGGAGAGGTCGTTGGCGGCGTTACCTCCGGACGTGGCATTTGCAGCGCCACCCTTACTAGCCCCCTGCGTATTGCCCACATAACCACCTTTAGCGTAATCCTGCGTCTGCGTCAACGACTCATAACCAGAGGTATATGCGGAGCCGTAGCTAGCTGGCTTGGGATACTGGGCGGTGGTGTTAGATCCATGCGCGTTCGTACCAGTTGGCAGTTGCTGAAAAAGGTATTTTACTGTAGGTATTATTCGGGTAAGAGCAGAGAGACCAGATCTTACAGATGTGTACACGGCACCGAACTGATAGCTTGGCTGCATCGGGGTGTAGGGCGCAAAGAAGTACGGACCGGTCGTCTGGGCGGCGAGCATCGGTTGTGTGCTCGTCTGCGTCGAGGATACAGGGCTGGCGTTGCTGTCCGTGCGCGCAAATCGTCCGTCCGACAACGAGTAGCTGCCCTCCCTCAGGGTGGTTGCTGGCGTCTGGTAACTCATCTCATAGAACGGTGTTGTCTGTGCGCACAAACCACACCGGTCACTCATCACCGGCCAATGAACGCAGCCGCGAGCAAGTCTTTCTTAATTCTTTATTTTTTATACATTCGTCTCGCAACGAAACTTTTCGAAAACGCTTTTGAGTCGATTGAGAACAGGCGGCGGGATTTGATAAATAATGTTATCGAATTTCGGCTTACAGACGGATCGTGCTTAGTGCGTGTTTTGTTAGACGTGTTGTTATGACGGGTGAGTGAGTCGGGTGAGCTTTGTACACATTATATACAAGACGCTGAAGAATCTTCGCGGGCGAAAACTCTCCATGTCCACACAACATGCATTGGCGAGAAACTTTATTAATCGGATTAAACAATACTCGATTAATTGCGTTCATCGCAGCTTATTCATTCGTTCCCAGACGTTCAAATCTAGCTTCTAGATCTCATTTATCTTACACAGAAAGCAATGATTTGATCAAACATGTAAATGACCTTTTAAACAGTAGGAACAAACATAACTTGAACACTTAAAATGATTGAACATGAGTGGTCTAGTTATTTTTGTCTTACTAGTTTCACATTTTAGCCAGGATAGAAGCAAATGATAAGCACACGAAATGAGAATTAGTCGAGGAAAGCATGCTCACCATGTGCGGAATCCGCTGCTGCAGCATCTGCATCTCCTCATAGGAATACATCGGTGGCTGGAAATACGGAACCTGGCCCATAATATATTGACCCATCACAGGCGTTGCACTCGACGGCATGTTCGACACCACACTGTTCGAATTTTTCGCTGTGAAGCAAATAAAGTATTTCTAGTCTGTTTCAAAAACCAATACAAGATATTGAGGAAAGGTCACAATTAAGTATCAGTCTGCCGAAATGCATCTTAAAATCCGCAACAAAAACAAACAGAACAGAAGCTCCAAAAAACTCTTTGCAACTGCACGGAATGTTTAAACGTGCGCATCTCAGTCTCGTCATCGGTTCATCAGGAACAAAAGAAAACAGAAAGAAAATGATTTTCAAAATACATACATAACGTAGTGTTGGTTTTGCTCGACGTTGCAGTAGAAATACCACCCAGAGAAGTCGCCGTCGAGGATGTGGTAGTCGCAAGACTACTCGTCACCGCTGTTCCAGCATCGTACGCGCCACCTCCGCTGCCATCCTTGCCCAACTTGTGGTTGGAGTTGTAATTATTGTACTGCGCCGAGTTACCGCCATAGTTCGAATTGGAATTGAGCGAGGCGTTGCCGGTGCCGTACACCGATTGACTAGCATTCTGTTGGTACGACTGATTGTTGGATGGATACGCACCACCACCGCCCTGCGAAATCGACGCAGGGAAAGGTGGCTGGTTGGCGTTCGACTGGTAGGAGGCGTTCGCCGAGTACGTGTTTTGATATGAGCTGCTGTTGGCGTTGTTGCTATTGTAAGAGGCGGCCGAATCGCTGTTCACGTAGCTGTTAGCGGCCGGATTAGGCGCATACGAGGAGTTGGTCGTTTGCGTGCCACTGTAGTTCGTTGACGAGCTGTACGTCTGATTCGGGAAGTTGGCGGCCGACTTGCTCTGGTAAGAGCTGTAGCTAGACGCCTGCGAGGAATAAGCATGGGCATCTGGCTGTTGCTTACCAAGCGCATCAAGCCCGGCATTTCCTCCGCCCGCATTATTCGCGCTTGCCGCCGAAGACGACCGCTGCGATACAGCACTCGACGCACTGTAGCCGCTTGAGAGGTGCTCACTCGTTTGGGGAATGCTGTCCGAATTTGAGAGCTGCAAAGAAAAATACGTTATGAGCAGAAGCAATTACCTTGTTTCAATATTGTCAGGTCACTGTCTAATAGGATCAGTCTGCCTATAAATAATCTTTAAATAGAAACCCTACAATCAAAATTCTGGATGCAACAAAAAACTTGTCACATCAAAAACCATGAAAAAGCGATGCTACTCTCAGTCTCGTCATCTTATCATCATTTTTAACTGAAAAAGTAAGTCTAGAAAAGCGAAAGAAAACTTACGCTCTGCGTTAATGCGGAGCTAATACTGCTTTGTGCACTGGGTTTTGATGGCGAATAGGCATCCAGCGTGGCCGAGGCTTGCTGACTGTTGAGATCCATAGTGGGCGCCGCGCTCGAGTCCAAGATTGACGTCGAGTTCTGATACTTCTCCGTGACAACACCGTCGAACGAGCTGCTATCGGACATAATGTCCATCGCACCAAACTGCAAGTCGAGCAAACCCATATTGGGTAAATCGCCTGGCATCTCGACAGCCGTGGCCGGTATCTTCGAAGGGGGCGGAATTTTCGCGCGCACCTTGCTTCGCGTCGGCGGCTGCTGGTGCACGGGTGCGCCCTCCGGCTGGCCATAGCTGTTCGTATACGCTGTCGCGTTAGCGTAAGCATTGGCCGCTACAACAGGCGGTTGCTGTTGAGCTGCAGCGGCTGCATACTGCGCGTTGTTATTGCCGTAGTTCGCCGGTGGCGGTTGTTGTGCGGTTGGCGCAAACTTGCCCATCTCGTTGTGGTTGCTGCTCTGTTGGGTCAATTGACTAAAGTATTGAGTCTGCGCCGCATTCAGAGTGCCACTCATCGCCACCGGCGCGTTCTGAGTGCCGGACATCTGCGCTAGCATGTCCATGCTTTGTTGGACGCTGCTACCTAACGGAGATGAACTTTCCAACGTTGGTCCTGTAATAAATATTGCAAACATCATAAACAAACCCAAGGAACTAATAAATTAAGACTTCAGTTAAACATTAAAAAATTCAGTTTGCCGAAAATAATCTGCAAATAAAAACAACACGATCTACTTTTCAAGTTAACAAAAAACTTGTCAATCTTAAAAATTAAGAAAGCTTGTAATTATTTTCATTCTCGTCATCTTTTCATCAGTATTAAAGTTAACCAAACATAATTAAATAAAAATAATTGAACGTAATAATTACCTGAACTAGGTTCAGGATCAGTAGTGGGTTCGTTAGGTTGGCTTGGTGTAAAGACCTTCGTCTCCGAAAGAGTACCACACCACTCATCCGCGCCAGGAAACTCATCGCCCCAGTTTTCCTCAGTGTGGTTTGCCGTGGTAGTGGTTGTGCCATCCCACGAGTTATCCCACGTTTCCATCGGCCGGTTGTTAAACGTGCCTCCGCCACGGTTACTGCGTGCTGGATACCGTCCACCAGCGCGACCACCACCACGACCTCGCGCGCCACCTGCGCCGCGGGTTGAACCTCCAGGACGACCGCGCCTTTCTCGACCACCCATTCCGCCATCCTCCATATTGCGCTCATTTTCCTAAACACATTCCAATCAATTTAACTCGAGCAAATGCATGATTTTTTGAAGATATTACCTGCTTCTCACGACCCCTCCATCCTCGGCTGTCGTTGTGCCTACCGTGAAACCGCTGTGATCCGCTGGTTTTATTACGGGGCTTGTCTTTGTCGCCGGTGCCGGCGTTCGTAGAGTCACCCCAAGGATCATCAGAGGCGGCCGTGACAGCGTTATCACCCTTCTGATCAGATTTGCTGGCAGATTGCTGTCGGTTCTTTCGCTTTTTGACTGATGTTTCCCATTCATCCTAATAAGAACAATACACGCATGTGTGAACCAATTGTGTCAAGCAACAAGGTATAAAGTAACATTATACATAAAATCAGCCTGCCTAAAATAATCTGCAAGTAACAACAGAACAAGCTTCTTTTCAGGTTTACAAAAAACTTGACATCCTGAATAATAAGATTGACTATTGATACTCTCATTCTCGTCATCTTATCATCATTTCATTATTAATAAATTTCAGCCCTAAGCATATATCCTCACCTCAGAGTTCATGTCCAACAGCATATCAATAGCTTGTGCCATATCAAAATCACACTCATGAAGGGCCCAACAAACCTGAATCTCAGATTTCTGTGTCATTTCAATAACCTGACTGATCTTTTCCTCATCGGACTTGTTGTCGCCGCTGCCCGAGGTGACAGAGTGCTGCTTGTCGCCGGAACCTTTTGAATCCGATTTGTCCATTTTGTGTGCCTTATCGCCCTTCGGCCCCTTGCCACCCTTGACGGTGGCCCGATTATTTGAACTCATCTTTACAGTATGTACAAGTACAGATTAGTTATATACAAAATATCTGAAACAGAAACAACAACGTGTTGCAATTAGATTGGCGAACCGTACACAGAACCGCCTCGCCGATGAATCACATCCGCGCGGCCGCGACAGGACCGATGATAGGAATTAGATATCATAGCTGGGCGGCGGCCCAGAAGGCGGCCGGCGTTAGCAAGGCGAAAGCGTGTGCTCGAACACGACTCCCAACCACCATGTGGATGAGACGCCATTTCGAAGCACTTACAAGCCACATTTGACATCCACGAAAATAGTCGCCGTGCTGCGGCGATGCGCTTCACAATAATTCGCCGGTCACTTACGATCGCTCGCCGCTGCTATCGCGACAATTTTCGGCGGACTTTTGGGCTCGCACCGGCACAAAATGAACTAATAATGGAGGAAAAAACTAGAGCGTTTACGCATACCTGTAAATGCCGTGAAACACAACGCAGCTCTGCTTGAATCACGTGACACATCCGATCAAAATGGCTGCTAACGCCGACACTGTTGCCACATTTGTCAAACAAAGCTAGCGGCGCTATGCTGCTCCATGTGCTCTGAACGCGCCCCTCCAGAAATTTTCCATGCGAGCCGGGCAAGCGCATCAAGTCTTGAACCCGCGCGCGGCACACAAGCTTGTGCTGGATATGCTTGCAACTATGAACTTCTCAAGAAACAGAAACAGTTCTCTAATTACACACATGAAGTCATTAACAAGCCATAACAATGTCCAAACAATGAGCTTCGCACGGTCACACAACGTATTTCTTGATTCTTACAATTATATGTGTAGTAGCTCTAGCTTACCGGCCCTTAATTCAGCAACTTTACTGGAATTTTATATTCCAATTAGAAAATTTTAATCAACAAATTTTACTAATCAAGCTTACGCTTAGCATAAAGAGAATTAATATAAGATTACAATTGCTGGCGGTATCCAATTACCATATTTTTCTCAGTATTTAATGAAAGTTGACTTCTCGGCAAGATAATTCGTATATTGTCCGTCCAAATATTTCAAACAGAGCTCATATGCTGCTAAACTTTAATCAATGCAATTTAACACATGCAATCTTAATAAACAATATGAGTTATTCAAAGCAAACATTTGCAAGAGGTTAAATTTCAAAACAAAACACATTTAGTGAAACTGAACTTTGTTCGCACAAAAAGGCGCCGCAGTGGTAGAACCAGGAACTAGTCGCGTTTTCCTGCTGCTCTTTAACATAACCTTCCATTTTTGCACGGCTGTAATATTCAAAACAAAATTTCTGTACAAACCAGCGCACCATGCTGACTCCTGCAAGTGGTACCGGTACATTTTTCAAAAAATCTGCCAAAATTATTCGATTTGCAAGACATGGTTGTACGAACAGACCGTTTTTCCATATTGTTGTCACAGAGGTAAGGTTCGCAAAAACTATAAATTATATATTTATATACTTATACAAAAACATTCTCAATAATTGCAGACAAGAAGAAACCAAGACATGCCAGTTATTGAGCAGCTTGGGAGTTATGATCCAATGCCCAATCAACATAATGAAAAATTAGTGTCACTCAACTTAGAAAGAATATATTATTGGCTTGGAAAAGGAGCTGTTGCTTCCAAACCAGTTGAAGAATTACTAGGTAAAAGTTATTTTGTACCATATTTCATTGGATATCTTACTTTTATCTTTAAATTTATCTGATCATTTTAAGTCATTAATAATTGTAATCATTTTATTAATTTATTTTTCATAAACTTTGATAAAGGCTTATCAGGATTCCTCCCGATTCATCCTTCGTCATATGTGCGGGCGTGGCGAGCCCGGGAAGCACTCTTTTCACCAAAAGAAGCACCACCGTCAGAAGCAGGAGAGGAGACTGGAAGCGAGCAAGCCGCCGTACATGCTAGTTGAATCATTTATTCACATCATTAGTTATTACGTTTGTCATTCGTATGTAGTGCGCAAATTTCGTATGTGTGAAGCCCAAAGCAGTTGACTCTTTAAAATAGTCAGCAATTTCGAAATACGAAACTGACGTACATTCACAATAAACTTCTTTAAAAACAACACCCCAACATTCAACCTTAAAAATGAGTAGATAAGAGAGTAAAATGGAGCGAACAATGATTTACAATTAATTAATTAATTTTTAACCCTTTGCTATTGCTAATGGCTGTGTTGAACTACCCCCCAAACCTATTGGTCCTTGTTTAAAAGTTTGCTTGCTGCAACAAATTTAGAATACATTTTCACTTTCACCCTTAACATTTTTCGGTAATTTAAAATGCGTACCTGCTTTGACGCCTTTGTCAATGGCCTCGTCTACGGCACTTTTGTGCTTGAGGAAGTATGGCCTCACGACGCTATTGTACAAGATGATGGAACCATTGAAGTCAGTGGGGATCATCAACCAAACCAGGAAGAGGCACTGCAATAAACCAGAGCTTAATTAAAATAATTGAAATAGCTGAACACTAGCTGGGCCAAAAGCCTGTCTGCTGGCATGTGGCTGCCAAAAGTCTAAATATACACTTCCACACTGATGTGAAATAAAATGAAGAAGTAGGGAGGAAAGACAGGGACACAGGCCTCAATTATTAAAAATAGCATGCACATAGCACAGCCTATACCTTCAGAAGCCAATAGAGTGGGATCCACCTGGTGATTAGATCCACAAAGAATTCAAAAATGGAGAAGATGGCAAAGATCACCCAGTAAGTGAGCCATTTCTTGTCGTCATCGGCTCTGGCAGTCTCGATGGCATGGATGGACACATAAGCTGGATACGCGAAGCCGATGGTGTTGCAGACGAGCTGTCCGGCGAAGCCAAACGCCAGCCAGAGTATCGTGATGCCGATACCGCCTGCAAGCGTGACAGCGATTAATTATGATCGAAGGTCAATTATGTAGTTAATTTGCGCGCATTGCAATGCATTGCGTGGCGGTTAACGGCGCGACACTTACCAAGGAATAGATACGTCCGATTGACGCCGGTTTGTGCCTCCAATTTGCCGAAGATCTGTCCTAGTGGCTTGGTTTCATCCCGCAGAGACTGGTCGAGGTGTTCCCGTAGTTCCATCACTTTTTGCGCCATCGCGGAGATTTGGATGAGTTATCAGACTAGGGTGCCTGTGATGCGATTTCAATTTATGCGCGTGGAATCGTGGACGCCGGACGATTAATTGGCGTGTTGTCTAGTTTAGGTTAGTACCGCCACCTGCACCAGAAACCTTAGTGGCGGGAGCGAGCGTGGAGCTCGTGGCGACTTCGTGGATTTCAATTTGGATTCGAGAGGGGAGCGATCGTGGTAATCTATAATTTCGGTAATGACTGTCCTTGGCAAACGAACTCGTATCGCTGTCGTTAACGGAGTATTTGCGGTCGCGCAAACAAATTTACAATGTACTTTCATATAAATGAAAGAGTTAATTAACGTTCGAGGCGCGGAGCAAAGGTCGATAACAACAAATATTGTCAGCGACTTTTTACAGACACAAATCGCATTCAAGTTTTATTTCGAATGATTTTCATGTTATGCAACCCAGGTCTCATTAACTATATTTTATACAGGGCCCAACTGTACAATTTCAAGGCAAACCAGATAAAAACTAACATAGTACTACCATAAATTTACTAAAAACACCTAAATTTTTAGTTTAAATATTTCTGTTGCCAGATTACTTAAACATATTTTCAGTGGTTGACGTGTTATAACTCATTTGACCTTTTTTCAAATAAACAACATGATTAATTAGTAAAATTAACCATCAATTTATGCATCATAAGTTATTGCTGATACATGATACTGCAAGATACTGCAGATACTGCAGTTATCTTATTTATTTTTATGAAACTAATCACGATATTGCTTTAAACACGATGGACCTGACTTTTTAATAATCCGAACGATCTCAGCGCACTCTATCATGCAAAACAGGAAAGACGCACTAGGGAAAAATCACTAACTCAACTCACTAAGCCAGACACTCATACCCCATATTACCTAACATTAGAACACGGTCAGCCATCCCAAACCAAATATCTTTCAGACAAGGTAAGTAGTCCTTTGCATTATTATGATATATTTATAATGATATCGATATGTTGTAGATGATTGCAACAACAGCTCCGAAAATCCTGAACGCGGCCAAAGTTGGTATCGCCGCTACAAGGCAGATGAGCGCGATTTCGGGCCCCCCGACCGTTCGCATTAGCTTCGCCGAGAAAATAGCCCATGGCACCGTCATCGCCGTGAGTGTCCTCGCCATGCCTGCTTGGGTTCTTACCCATGTGCGGGAATACAGGGGCTTGTCTTAAAGGGGCAATTCCACTGTGTTAATAAATGTAATGTAGGACAACTCGTGTAAATGTAAATTACAAATAAAGTAAATAAATTAACTGATTTCAAAATAATTTTCACTTCATAAATCCACAAAAGATTAAGAGACACCATCGTTTCTAATGTAATGGAAGGTCAATTAGAATTTATTCTTTACATGACTTGACTGAAGGTTCACATAATGTCCTCACATATCATACAACATAAATATATATACCATCTATATGATTTATCAATAATATCAATTCATACTCGCATCTTATTTGAAGAACCGAATAGCAATTATGTTACACGTGTGATGAATGGTACGATATTACTGGACCCACGATAACTATAGACGAAAAATGTAGTTAAACACGCATTACTGATTAGAATCGAACGTTAAAATAACACCAAATATTCTGGAGCTAGACGCACAAATACAATATGCAAATAGGTTACGACACTCTCGACATTGCCAATATCACTATCGCACATCATGAATGGAATGAAGATATCTGGTAACCGTAAGTAAAGAGTAAACACGAATCTGATACAAATCGACTGTAGAAAAAGGTCTGTATGGTGTGTATGTGTAGATATGCTACCAATGTTCATGCCGATTAAACATTTACGTTCAAAGTTTAGTCCAGTTACATGTATGAGAGAGTTACAGTGGATGGGTGTGTAGGGGTTGTGGAACTAGTTGTGTACGTTGTGTTCTTTGGTCTTACGCAGCGCACCCTTGTTAAAGCTACAAATGGATCCGAGTAGGGCGGAGCGCTCCCGGGAGGCGTCGGGGGCAGCGCCAAGGTGGTTGTTGGGCGACAATGGTTCTACTGGAATTGGCGGCGGAGGTGGCGGTGGGGGGCCTGACACACAAAACACACAGAAAAAACAGACGTTAGTTTCACTAGAACGTGAATTGCGACTCGGAGGAGTTACCGCTGAGCGTCGGTGGCGTTGGCGTGTCCATGGAGTTCGCCGTGCTGGAGCTGGTGGCACTCTCGGAGCGTTCGCTCACCTTTGGCTTCTCCTCTTTTTCTTCAAATGTCTTTTGTCTGATCTGCGCAAATAATAACAAATGTATTCTGAAACGTGTACATTGAAGTTTAGTTTCGTTATTTTACTCTGGCTTGCTGTTTTTGCTCCTGACGAATTTTCTGCCTCTGTTTCTTCTTTTCCTCTTCAGAACTCATCATTTCCTGAACGCGTGTGAGCCGTTTTTGACTACGCATGATCTTTTGTTCCTCCTTGAGGCGATCCTCCAACTGACGGCAGATTGTCTTGAGGTGCTCTTTTGCCGAGTTGGGGATTTTGAGTAAAGCTTTGTCAGTACTCTCCAGCGTCAACACAACGCTCGAAAAGAATTGGTGTTTCAGTAGAGATTCAATTGAAGGCAAGCCCACTTTGCAACCTTCTGCTGATAAAATTGAATCAAGGACTGATTCTAAAAATTCGAAAAATTTAATACACAACCAGTAACTATAATTTGTTTTATCATACTCAGTTCTGGTGGTGCATCTTGAGGCAACGCATCTATGATACTCTCGTGCAGCGGCGCACCGAAAGCCATCTCATAGATGGTGTGCCCAAAGCAGTACACGTCGATAGCTTCGAGCGTGTTGATTTTCTTGTGCTGCATGAAATAAGGTCGATAAAAACTCGGCACGCCCAAAATTCCATTTTCAATGTCCAGTAGTTTAACGCGTTCGTTATCTATCACAACGTTTCCAGTGTGCAAATGTCCTATGTAACAGAAATAACAATAATAAAACAATTAAAACATAATGTTTAATTTACCATATGGTAGCCCTTTGTCGTGTAAAAACTTTAAAGCCTCCAAAATTTGTCGACCGTATAAAGCCACTTGCTTAATATCCAAAGGTTTATGCCCCTTCGGGTTACCATACTTCTTCATAAATGACAGTTTTGCTTTGGCACCACATAGAAGATCACGAATCGAGCCGGTTTTGTTGCAAGCGCGGACAAATAATCCGCCCACGTCCGTGCAGAGGGATAATACAATTGGTTGAATGAAAGGATGCTAGAGATAGTAAACAAAATAAATTTATAAGCATTGCATTGATTTTAGTATGTATTGCAGATAGTTTTACCTGAATTTGATTAAGACTCTTAATTATGGCAAGCATTTCCTTGTCATCCAAATACTTATCAGGCCCATAGTCCACCCAATTAGCCCACAGTTCATCTTTGACTAAATTTTTGCTCTTTACATGATAAAAATGCTTGCGTAGTCGCCAGCCGATGTCCGGCAATGGACCGACTATTTCCCAACCAATTTCACCTCTCAGTGCCAATGATACATGCTGCAATGCTTGTTCTAAAACAAGTTAAGATTTAAGTTATGCAATGTTATGAAATATGTGGATTTTTAGGTGTGGTCTTAGCTTACCACTGAATGGCTGGCAATAGTTAGCAGGATCAACAAATGACCTGGCTGGTAATGATGACACCAATATGGGATTCATGAGTATGAAGTTTAAATATTTCTATGACAAAACATGACATTAAGCTTTTACCACATACAAATAAGAGAAACAGTAAAAGTGTAACAAAAACCTAACCCACCTGCAAACCTTGTTGTCTTTCTGCAATAAATTCTGGAGCCCTGTTACCAATGATTCTCTTAGGTGGCAGACACAGTTGAATCCCTGACTCCTGCAGGCCAGCATGCAGTTTGACGAAATCATTGTAGCGCTTGACGATCTGCCACGTGTGGTTGGTGAAGGGGCCCCGATGCACACGGATGATAAACTCCTGGAAATCAATGCGAATAGTTAATGAGGAGAAAAGCAGGCGATCGTGTGCGGCGCCGCAAAACTAACAGTGTACCCTTTAGTGTCGCGCCAGTTCTCAATAACGCATGTTATCGGCTCGGTGTCATCGAGAGTCACTTTTTTTATTACTTCTTTTTCGAATATAGCCATTTATCCGTGAAGCCGCTCCGTAAATCCATATCTGATAATTACGCACCACTTAAATCACAATGAAACGTCCGCGAGTGGACGTGTTATTATGACAGACACCAGTGACCTATGAAATGACATTCCGGCGCGCCACACGAAAGACTATCTTATAAAAAAGCAAAAATGCAGAATTGTAGGTGAGGAAGGTGTGGATTATGGCAATACGGAAGGGGTTTTATATGTTTGTTCAGTGAATTAGCACTGAAATCACACTTAAAACATAAAAATTTACATTTTATCAATAGTTTTTCATAGCTACGCTACCTATTGGTTATGAACACATTCAGTCATTACACTTTATTTTGAACACTTTAAACTCGTGTTGAAACAGAATAAAAACCTTTTGAACCATTTGAAATTCGTTTAATACAAGGTTTTCTTTTAATTTTCATAAATATTTATTTCCAGGTCTACAAAATAAGAATAAATCTCTCTAATTTTAATATATCACCTTTGTACATTGTAGTTGTTATGACTCCTGTAGATGGTGTTGATGCCAGTTATTTTACCAGCGCGCGCACAACTCGGACTGACTCCAACAGATTCTGATTGGAAAAATGAGTTTGCAAGTCAGCCCAACGAGCCCTGCCAACTTCTGACAGGCGTTAAGTAAAAAGGGCACGCTCAACAGGTGGAATCGAACCACTTCGGCGTTAACCGACTACAGGTTTGAAGCCTGCACACCAGACCACTGATGTTCAGTTGAGCGCCTGCCGTTATTTCCCATTGTTATAAATAGCTAAGCTCCTTTAAAGATTCAGGCAGAGAAAGTTTGTTGGAAATAAGTACTGATACAAACTGGTATGCATCGTTTAAACTTTTGATCTACAGAACTGGTCTAAATTCAGTAAGTTTTTTCCACAATCTTCACTTTTGGTATATACACGTTCATAAATGTTTAAAAAATACAAATAGCAAGATTAATAGGTTATGAATAAATAAAAGACAAATATAGCTGCCATTTATACATTGATAATTTTTCAAAAAAATACACATTTCATTAGAATACTATCTATATACAAATTACATTTAATTATATTCTGTTTTTGAACAGATGATGCGTTTAGCCAACGTAAATCATAATATTGTGCATACAATTTAAGTCTGTTAAATCTGAATTGATCTGTGTGTATGTGTCTATATGTTTGTGAAACAAAAGAATGCGTGTTACAAAATAAAACAATCAGATTGGTCTATTACATTAAACTCTTATAACAATTAATTCGCTACCGGCCATGCTCCGCAAAACAGCGAAGCAGAGCTCGGCGCGAATACAAATCCATCGGTTACAAAAGAAAATACTGTTTGTGTGACGTTATGCCAACTGGAATGTTGCTACAAGAATAACTGCACGTGATGAAGTTGCTCTTTAACATATTTTTTATAAGATGTTGTACAAAATGACTTCACGCCATCGTTGCCATCATCCAGCCAGGCGGCAACAATGCGTGGCGCCATTTTAGAGCGAAATTGAAGTGATGCGTACCTGACACGTGATATTTATAAATAAATAAATAAATATTTAGTACATAACTAAAAGATAAGAGAAGAGAACAATGAACCGATGCGATTCTATCGAAATCGGTTGAAAAAGATAATAAATTTGTTAATAATGATAATTTTTTCCTTCTTGGGTGTACACTTGGTTGTCTAAAATCTGCTTGTACAAAACTATGCAAAAGTTACAAAATAGACAATGATGTATGTTCATTCATTGTGTGTTCGTTAATAATATATCTTTAGCTACAATATTTTAAGGCACAGACAAGTTACGATTTTATTCCGAGTCTACGTTTCACTACGGTCTCTTTGTGTGCGTGTGTGTACACGTTTTGTTTTCGCTTCAACGCTCAATGTGTGTTCGGATACTTGTTTCCAGCGTTTTAAAACAATTAAGTTTATTTCGTTTCTCCGCCAGCGCGCGTGTTGTTGGTCTTGGGCGCGGTTATTTCATCGAAAAGGGTACATCATTCCTACTTATATAAACACGTAATAATTAATAATTCTAAAATATATATTATATAATACAATCAAATCTCCATAAGTCTCGCACAGAGGCGAGCTTACTTTGTTCAGGACTAGAATCATAGGACATATTCAATAGTTAGGCTCAATGTACGTACGCTGTTCATCAATATTCGTTCATCTGTTCATATTCGATATCATTTTTGTTAGAATAAGTTAAAAATTAAGCTGCCATTTTTGTTTTCGGTTCATATTTTTTCTCTGTGGATGGTTGATTTTATTTGTGTTGCTTGTAGTTTTTGTGTTTATTTCCGGCCAATATATTCGATCTGTTTGAGTAAAATGCGCTTATCCTCGGTGAGTAGTAGAGCCTCGAGGCAACCCGTGAAGTAGGTGGTCGAAAAACATTCCCTCCTAAAGCAAACAAACATCTAATTAGCAAATATAACGACAAAAGTTTTCAAATGAGGTTAGTCAAGCAAAAAAGACATGCAAATGTAATGCTGGTTGCACAAAAACTCCAGTCGAAAAATGTTCCCCTTATCCTGGTTACAAAAAGTTAAGATAAGTTTTAAAAATCACGAAAAAACGCAGGTTAAATTGTTATTTTTCGCATAAACTTGCATAAATGTTAAAATAGATGTTTAAAAAACGTTGCTGGGTTAGGTTTGTTATTGGTTTTAGTTCTTGATCGTGCACGATTCTTGTTTCGTCTGTACCTATACACCGGGTTCAGCCCCGTGCAATTGCTTTATCCACGTCTGCACCTGCTCCATTTCGTCTGTAAGCTGCAGTGCTTCCAGACACCCCTTGAAATAATCTGTCGTGAAACAATTTTTCCTGCAAATAATCCAACACAACATAAACAACTTACATCAATCAGATTAATATAGGCAACACAATAAGCACACCACACATACGATGATGCGAACGAAATTGCATATAGTTACGTCAACTCGGACGTACATCTAATGTCACGTGATTATTATTGGGCCAAATTTATGCCTTGAACGTCAAAGTAGTCGTAAAATTCGCAGCCGTGTGACATGTGACAAAGCGAATGTGATTTTTTTTTGCGCGCGAATATTCGCTATTTTTACATCAATCATCTCTCGCGAGAGAAAAGCAGGGCACACATGGCGGCTGGCGGTTTTTACTTTTACTTGATATTGAAGATAATTAGTTTTTGGCAGCGGCGAAAATTCGCCCGAAAGTTAATTCAAGCCGTGACCGCGCTGCGCAAAAATTCGCAATAAAACTAAGCCATGAAATATTTTAAATAGGAACGTTTAGTCTTCGCAGAAAAAAAAATTACTACCTCAACGAACCGAAACAAATGTTGGGCACATGTCGTACATTTTACATTTAGTGCGTTCGGCGTGTGTGAAGACCAATAGAGGCCAATTTGTTCGTCATTATTCATGCTCGTAAATCTATTCGATAAGGCCGCGTTTAACAAATTGCTTTTTTATTATTATCAACGCATATAAAATCAAACTTGTTATCAACATTTGAGAAGTGAAATTAATGTCTATTGCGAAATGGTATTGCGCAAAACGCATCTTATCTCGAAATATTAATAAATATTACATCACGCCGCACGACAGAGAAAAATAACACAGAATGTTGCATTTGCATTTCTTCATTTTACGACCTGCAAATGCAAACAAGTCACATTTCATACTGGTATCATGTGAGTTGCATAACTTATAGTATATATAATATATAGTATATAATATATAGTAGGTTGCATAGGTTGTGGTTTACCTGCATGAGGAATGTAGATTCGTCTCCCTGAAGAGATTGTAGCAGTCCTCGCAGATGCGGTCCAACCGCGCGAATATGCTCTTGTCGTAGACGCCTTTGCACTGGATGTCAAAGAACGACCGCTTGGTGAGATGGTGCGTGAGCAGTGGTTGCGTCCGTTGTGTCGGACTGCCCGAAGTCATCTGAAGAACCAAAGCGACAGCCATGTATGCCCACACTCCTTGAGTGCTTATGCTCGTCGGTCTGTGATGCATCTGGAACAAGCACGAAGATTTGTTTAATAGTCACGCTTGGTTGATGCCACTGGGCTAGTGCTCCTGCGCACTGAGCATTAATCGAGGTGTGTCCGCGCGACGCGCTGTCTCCCTAGTTCAGCCTTGGATATTGGACATTTTTCAATGCAAAGAACAAAGAAATCGCCGCGTTATATAACCAGTGCGATCACGATGAACAAAATAGCGAAGTAATTATAATTTCAATTAATTTTCTGCATGATTCATGTAACCCGTGACTTTGGTTGTCTAGTTTCAGGGGTTTCCCGATTTCCCGCCTCAGTTACAGAAGGTAATCGGCGTAATTATTGCATTGATTCATGTTTTCTATAAATAAAAGTCATTACATCGGTAATAGATTGCTCATTGCTAGTTTATTTATAGCATTTTACCTATTTATTTCTTCATACGAAACCTTCACGGAACTGCAAAACTGTTAAAGTTGCTAAGCGCCTAAACAAACGCACAACACATATCGACGCAACTCACTCGCTAAGGTAACTAACACTCATGATTCAATGTTTATTAATTTAATTATAAATGAAACTGAAGGAATTCAACTTAAATGACGACAATTCGTGCTGCGTTTTCATTGCATCTGACGCAAAAGCATCATTAATTTGTACGTATCGATTAGTCATTGCATATTTTTTGTGCAAGATAGTTTTAATTCCGTACAATCTCGTGTGTATGTATGTGTGTGTGTGGATTTTCGCGGATCGCGGAATAAAATCGAAAGGCTTCAAGCACGACGAAGCGTGGCCGGTTCGGATGGATATTCATCGGCAAAACCAGCTCGAAGTCAGCTCGAGCGTGTCGAATTTCCGCTCGCGAAACATAATCTTCAGCGAGCGCGCGCGGCGTCGTTACCGGTGATAAATTGCGCGAGCATGAATGCGTGGGCGCCTAAGAAGAATCACTAGCAGCGATTTCAAAGGAACACCGTTGCACGATGAACGAAAATCGAAAAATTGCAAATGATTTATTCAATGTGTGTTTGTGCAAACAGTGAAAAAAGTCGACATTTAAGCAGAAAATGTGTCATTAATAATTTATACGCACGACGTACACGACTAATTGTAATTACCAAACAAATGGCACAACGATCGCAAACAAATGAATTAATTGAGCGTAATTATGCAGAAAGATGTCAATCGCAACGATTTACGATTGATTCCACGTAGCAAGTGCACCTGCTCGATCTAATTACTAAATACGCATCGATAATGTAAATTAAACATGTAGGTATATGTCTGAAGTGTATGTATTGCAGTGATAAAAATGTCTAAATATTATTTGATTTGAGAAAGTTCGTTCGGGATTATTCGCACCGAGTTAAGTAAGAATAAGAATCACCAAAGTGTGCAGCACGAGTTAAAATATGATCGCGCCGTCGTTGGCGGTCGGCGGCTGAGTTATGCGGTTTTTCGATATCGGTTTTGATCTTGCGCTGGGTCGGTCGGTCGAGTTCTTGTTCTTGCGTTCAGATTGAGCACAAAAGTAACAGTCGCGCGGTGCGGCTTTTAATCCGTCCGTGCGCCGCTCGGTTTTATTTATACTTTTGTTTGTGTACACGCATAGTTTTGTTGTTTCGCATTTTCCAGCGCGCGCGCGCGGCGCGGCGTAGCGGGTTCGCGAGTCAAGCGCGCGCCGTGCAGTCTGTGCCGACTCGACCTTGCGCCATTCACGTCTCAAAGGAGGCGTGCTGCTTGAGCCGCGCTGGTGGCCGGCGGCGGGCCGAGCGGCATCGTGTGATCGCGATCGCCGGTGATATTTACGTGCGGCGCACATAAATTATCTCTCTGCCAACAATTTCGCATGCCGCCTTTTTTCTCGCGTTGCGTCGACAGGACAACGTTATTGGATTACAATTTGACGTGCGAGCACACACATATACTGTTTGGCGTTTATTTCCAACGAGAGTTGCTTTACTCACAAACGCGAAAAACAAACAAAAAACGGCGATGACCATAAATCTAGTTCATGATCTTATGATGATTTTTTTGACATTTTTAAGGTGAAGTTTTGTACATTTCACGCGGAACTGGATCAGGGACCATTCGCGACGGATTTCTTTGATGATCGGATGTTTCCTGATTGCTTTCCTCGAAAAAATAAAACAGACCACATCTAATTATATCCTAAACACATTTTTTGTAATGCGCGAAAATTTTTGGAAACAAACTTAACTATAAAACAACCATTCAAATAAAGTGAGTTAGTTTCGTTACTAATTAATTGTTCCAAAATTAAGTAACATTTTTCATTGATTCTCTCAGAAATGTTCCAAAACTTATTTTCAAGTAATTAATAATTAACAATATTCACTGACTGTTTTTGACAGCATTGTTTTACGCATATCTGAAGACAATATAGAAACGCAATTGAACACGAGAACAAATATGCATTTAAGCATAGATAGCACGTGTTGGAACGTGCGGTGTTGCGTGAGTGCGTCCAGATCGTAATGTCTCCACGAATGCGTTTCATTATTAGCCGCATTAACGCCGCTGTCAAAACAATTGCCCTCTAGTCAGGGCGGGGAACGGCGGTGGCGGACACAAATCGTATGAAAGTCGCTCAAAGCCCGATCCTGCGCCATCGTCTCTCTCTTCCGATTAATTTATGTGTAATGCATGAGTATATTTGAGCGCGGTTTGCGCATTCGGTTATTGTCACCGGCAATGCGAAAGACCCGAGTCGAGCAGATGCGCGATGAGATGTTAGCAGGCGATTCAATTGAGGCTGATTCGTTCTCGTTGATTGAATTTGTACAAGAGTAAATAATAATCTATGCTTGCGTTTATACTGAATGTTACAGAATCTTCAATTAGAGAAGTCTTTTGATCGTAGATTAGTTTAATAAATAAGAAATTATTCATTTACTTCCAGACTATTTGGGTTAAAGATATACCTAATTCTTCCATGAGTGAATATTTAATTAAATTCTATATTAAATATCAAAAAGATTTTGCAGAACTTTACTTATTCGTAATATTTATAGATATACTGAATTAAATAATAAACAGATAGGTAAATATTAATTGAAAATTCATACTGAGATGTACGTTATAAAATTCCTCGCACACAATTAAAGATACTAATTTTACCGTATCTAATTTACTGTTTCATTATATTAATATCAAGAGAGAGGCTTAAAAGCTATCGCGCATGCGCAATGCTGCCAGACCACTCAATGTCTTAAATCACCCCATCACCTACTGCAAAAAGTGGCCACTAATAATTTTACGACTCAATAACTCTCAATACAAACAAGTAATAACACTAAACATTCGTTGATATCGCCATTATCGCGTTATATTGCATAACACAAACGCGTTGTCCCGTCGCGTCGCTTTTCATAGTTCACGCCCGCCGATTTCACGAAGCAATCTTGCGCTCATCGAATCTGTAAATTTTATTTCCATTCCCAATTTTATTGCCATTCAACGAGCGAATCTTATTGCTGTGCGTCTCAACAAATAAAGAAAAAAATAACACGTCCAATGCCGGACGACTGCTGGGTAACAACCGCAAACGCGAAGTGGCCGGGGTCTTCGGTCTGTCTTCCATTGAACCCATAGAAACTGCAATAAATCGCCACAAAGTTCACACGACCGCAAATAGCTCAAATATTCGAAATGGCAAAAACGTGCAAAAACACACACACAATATTATATCGATTATATCACTTCCTTCTTCCGGTAAATAGCGCGCAAGCGAGCGGCGTTTTTAACCTGTTGCGCGTTTCAAAGCTGGGTAATTTACTAATTTACGATTTTACGATGTTAATGAAACTTTACACATCCGTCAAAGCAATTAGATTTTGTGTATGATAAGTTGCCTATGTTTAGTTGTTCTTGTTTTTGTTTTGGAAGTTTAAATTGGTAGTAGACGCTACGTAATCCCCCGAAATAACACATAACTTACTTACTCTTGTTTATTTTGGAATTGTCAAAAAATAAAGGTAACGAATTTCACTGTGCGCGCGCGGTCGCGAGACTGTGTTGCAATGCGCGCATAGATTAAACTTATTAGAGGAGCAAGAGAAGGCCCGCGCGCGCCGCGACGACTTTTGCACAGCGACTCAGCGACTATTGGAAAGTAAATCGGCTTGAGAGCCGCGGCGCGACGCGGTGCGCGAACGCGAAATTACCACCGGAGGCGCGCCAATCAAAAGGTGCGCACCGAATTTCGCGCACACCTGAATGCACTTGCTCCGTAAAGCGCACATGGTGGTTGCCCAAGCTGACACATGCGGGCGGACGTCAACAGAAAAATGAAACAAGAGAGGATATCGATAACAATCGCACACCCACCCGAACTCGATGGCTGCTGGCCGGCGTGACGTGAAGAAATAAAGATGCTCGGCGGTGACGATCACTTTCGACTCTTCGACGATGATAAATCCGCTCGGACACACACGTATTTTGTATGTTTTTGTGTGTTTGGCGTGTTGTTTTGCACGAGTTGTGATCTTCGGCGCGGTTTCGCGAACTCTGCGCGCTCCCGCCGGGAGAAAACGAGTCTGCTGCCCCGGTGAAGACGCGGCCGAAGACGAAGGAGACGCGGTGTCTGCGGCAGGGGCCGCGGTCCGGAGAGAGGAGTAATCTACTACTTGGCGGCACAGATGTGAGACGCCCCGGCGAGTTGTGGAGATGCTGGAGATGCGGAGAGAGACCGTGTGCTACGTGAACGCGGCGCGGTGGACTACGCGCTCGCCGGCTGGATTCGCCGCATATGTACACTTTGACACACACGCTTCTTACGTCATCGGGGTGGCCGGCAGGCGGCGGCGGAGGTGGGAGCCGCGGCACGCGTCTGTCAATCAAAGGTGCGTCCCGCCAAAAAAAAAACCGCATTATTACTCTACGGTAGGCAATTACAAGCAACACCTGGTGAGTCACATGAGAGATCCTTTGTAACAATTATCTTATTGAACACATTACTTTGGTGATTTCAATGCGGTGAAATGGTTTTAATCAACCGGTTAAAAGTTCGATTGAATAGTCAGTCATCGAAGTCCTTTTATATAAAGTCAAATTCAAGTTATCTTTGACATTTTAAATTTCTGTAAGTATCTAATGGCACCGTTACGCAAGTACTAGAATTTAGCAGTGGACCACCACCAATTTTAAACAACCCCTAAAATTCAGTTCAGTCTCCATATACCAATATTAAATTATATTGAATTAAATAAATTTGACATTATATAAATTCACGTGACTATTGTAACCCATTGAATCATAAACAAAATATTTTAAATATAAAATTAATTAAATTTTGATTTATGTATCTGCTGGTATTTTTTGTGTGCGCCAAATTTTAAGTAATACCTTCCACGAAAACGTCTCCAAAAATAAACTTTTCGGAACTCAGACTAAGCGTATAAAAAACCATCTAAAAACTAACTTGTCACTAGCATCATCATTTCCGGTCAAGATGAGTCGGCTATTTTTTTCTCTCAAAATTAACCGGCACGCAAAAAAAAAAGTTAGACATTGCATTTCTTGCTAATGTATCCGGACGAATTAATAATTATCATCTAATGATATATTCTTACATGTTTTAATTGTGTATTCTTAGTAGTTGACATCATTGCTGCAATTTCAATTGACGTAAATTAAAACTTTACAAATTACAATTACATACGTATGTCCTTTTCCATTCCACTGCCATTTTTCATTTAGTTTTCTGGGTAATTGGTACTTTTGTACTTTTAAAACATTTTTAATTGCGACAGATACGCGGAAAATCAATATTCGAAAATAGCTCGACGCAAATTTCGATTCGATGACGTCAAATACCTGTTTGCGTTTTCAAATGTACCTACGTTATACTCACCCCGTCCCAAAACAACCAAAGTCCACAGGAATTCCAACACAATTAGAACGTCGACGTGTGGTCATCATCCAAACCCAAAATTATTTAATATTTTAATGCGCAGTAAAATATTTACGTGAAGGACGATTGGGAATTTGCATGAAGCAATTTGCCAATGCAAACATGTTAACAATTTTAGCACTTATTATTTGTTTGTACTAGAATTAGACGCTTAAGAAACTCTGATAAGATCTCAAGAACTAACCAGAGAGTGATTCAGAAGGTGGCACAATTGCATCAGAATTTAATATGTGTGCCTACCCAGAAAGCTGCAGGTGATGCAATAAACTCAGTTGGTCATTGTTACTTTGAAAATGTCGGACATGTCAATGTTTTGCATCTTATTTTCATTCTACGGACGTGCTTTTGCGAAAAAAAACACTTCCTAGAATTTACGGAATAAAAAACATACGAAGAAAATATGCCCGCAGAATATTTAATAAGTAAGTATTAAATTTAGATTTGTTGCTGGTTTATTTCTTGAGATGTGACTGTAAAATATACTTCAGGCGTTCAATGATATGCAACCAGTCGTACACTGTGCACACGTGGAGTATAGCACACTATTATACGGAACAGCATTTTAGAATGCTGTAGAAAATCCTATTTTCAGGAATAATATAAACTGTTGAGTATAATTGAATTTACATATATATATATTGATATATAACTTCTTCCTATGTTTTAATCATATACACGGAACTTAAGTCAAAGACAACATGTTTACCATTAACAAACCGTGATAAATAAGTTTTAAGTATAAAAATGTGAATTTTTGAAGTTTAACTTGAATGAAAGGTTTGTCCAAGACTTTGTGTTGATTAATAGCGTTAACACGTCAATACAGAGCGATTATAGCGTCATCTCGACATATCTCGAGCGATGGTCATTGGTCATGAATTGTCGCGACCGTATACAGAGTGTAGCAAAATTATTTTCTTGAGTTAAAAATTATAACCAATAATAATGCATAAAAAACTATGATGGATAAATAAGTAAATTAAACTTATATAAAATGCAAGAAGTTTCGCATGTGTGAAACTTAAAATTTGAGTAATTTTTGTAATTTTCGGAAGCTAAATAAAAGTACCTGTATATCAAGTGAGACAATTCACGCCACAAAGGATTGGTTATCAAACAAGGTCGAATTTAAAATCGTGCGAGTGTCGCACTCGGTCTAAGACGAAATAAGAAGATTCCCATCGCGCGAGCTATTTTTACAATCGCAATTATCGCGCGCCACGTTTTCGCTCCGCTTAATAACAATAAAAACTACGCGATGGGTCAGCGTGCGGCGCAATCTCTTCGGCGTCAATCTCGCCCGCGGTGTGCGCCGTACTTTACGAGTGTATAAATGGCGATGCACTCACCTAATAAATCCAGCGCGAAAGAAATAAAAATCCTATATCGCTACAACACGTAATAGTCATGCTGGCGCTCTTGTGGGTTCGGACAACAACACTTGGGTGACTTTTTCCGGGTAAATTTCACGTCCTGGCGAGCATAATGCGCGCTCATTGAGACTATCGAAGCTGTGCGGGCGACGCCACTGTTTGCGCCACCGACCGACTCGTCGCCTCGTCTCTTCGCGTATCAGCCGCGCGCCGACTGACAGGCCGCTCAGCCGGCAGCGCAGTCGCAACAGTCGCCGCTGGAGCACCGAATAGAACACAGGATGGAGCCTATTAAACTTATGCATGTGGCGGCGTGTGCGCAGGTCGGTCGCACTTCGCAGTAAAAATAATTCGTTTTTAGTCTTGCATATCTTGCACATTCAACTATACGGAGTATCAGTGCAGTAACACGTTGACATCAGTGACATCTACATAAGATCACATTTTGTTGGTACGATTACCCCCTAGAATTTAAACATTATTTTTATACTTTATAACCTTTTATCAATAAATTCTCGATTTTTAATTCAGATCAAATCTCAATGTTTTTATTTATTTGCATTTTTTTCATTTAACCGTTAAATCAATTGCAGTTGATGCCACTCCGGCAAACATGTCAAGAAATGGAAATAAATGAAACAAGTAATTACATTTCTAAAATTAAAACCTAATGTTTCTAGTCACATTGAAATTGATGTGGGAGGATTGTATTTGCATTTGATTGAAGCGAATGTAAATGAGTTTGGAGCACTGTTGTACAACTTGCTGAATGACGATGTACTATTTGATTCATGATTATTATTATTTTTTTAATTTGTCCATATTTTAATTGTTATTCTACAATTTGTGGGAGTAAACGATGTAATGTTAATATTGTGCAATGCAGTCTAAATTTAGGTATGCTTCGGGATAGAGTTGAGCACTTCCAGGATACTCCTTTCAGTATCTCGCAACAGCTTAACCCGTAGGATTCTCAAGCATGTAATAAATGGTAAGCAGCAAACTTTTGAATTTGATGAAAAAAATATAAAATATAAAAATATAAGATTGTTTAACCTACCTAATCTTGTTCAACCATTCGACAGCCATTCGGGTTAACTTAACTTAATCCAAATGAAATCATCCACCAATGCACGAAACGAACACCCGAACTACTCGAAAGACAACGATGGACTGATTATCAACGGTCCTGGTACGAATCCCTAGGCCAATGTGTTTCTAACAAGTGAAATATAACAATAAAAGACTAGTCACCGGGAATTATAACTCTAAAGATAAACTTCATCCGCCGATGGAGTTGGCTCTTATCGAAGGTAAGCTTTGTTTTTACCGGTGGTGCCCACCCGCAGTGGCGTGGGTACCTGCGCTTCGAGTGTCGTGTGTCGACACACACCACGCCCGTCCATCAATCATGCGATAAGGATACAATTAGAAGATAAACGGCGCCCGGACGGTTAATCGGGCGTCGTAATTTTCATTCTTTATTGGAAAAAGTTTCTTGGAAATTTCCAGCAAGCAACCAGTGAATGATAAAATGTTTCACGTTTGTGAATGCCACTTTACCAAAAAGGGCAATGAAATGCATCTTTTTAAAACAAACACTGGTACGCAAATAGCAGGAATGTATACACTTGCAAGTTATTTTCAGATTATTTTGAAATGTATATTTGGCTTGTGGTAAAATGTATATTCCAGGCTATACTAGAAATTAAACACTGTATAAAGTGCGTCAATATAAAAAGAACGTATTTCCACTTCCACCTTTAAAGCGCCAGTTTTTTTACGCGTTTTTAGATACAAAACAGTGGTACTTTAAATACGGACGGCCTAGGCTGTGAGCCAAGCACTTTACTCCCGGGATTTATTCACAGGGGCGGTGCTTGAGCCTGCGAATTTGACTACGGTGAAATGCCATGCGCCACTTTGTTTGACCAGTGAAAGCAAGTTTGTGCTGCTGCTGAGGCATACGTGATAACCACTACCCTACGATGACGTTATGACACATTTGCAACATTTTTATTTCATTTTCAAATATAATATTTTTTCTAATTATTATTAATAGACTGAAATAACGGCCAAATTTGGCGCCCTCTCACCAGCCAAACCTCCAATCCGTGGGACGCTATACCGCATCCGTTTAGTTCACTACGATCGACCCAACAAAATTTCGGTTTTTAACAGTTTTAGACGCGTGCCACTGCTCTGTATACTAACAAGAAAAGGAAAAATTACCTATTCTGGATTCTATGATGAGATCATGTGAAAAAAAGTGAAGAGAAAATGACAAAAATGAATGCCCAAAATAATGATATGACGTGCAGAAATTAGTAAAAATTTAGAAATGAACCTGTGTGATGGTACCGTAAAATTGTATGTACGTATTTCGTACATAATTTACCAAAAAATAACAACTGGCTCTGGTCAATTAAATGTAATCTGTTGTCGACTGTCTGCAAGAGAACCTTTGATTCTGCTGTAACAATTTGTCACTGGTCATATGGTAACATTTTCCATCAAGGTAGAAACAGTTTAATAATTGTAAACATTTTTATGTTTATTTTATGCTTATGAAAATTAATATTAAACATTATTGAAAAATCAGTGTACGCTAGTGGACCAGGTTGACATCGATGGAACTTTATAATTGCTTCCGCTACGGTACCGCGCAAGGTAAACCAGCAAACGAGTCAAAACTCTGAAAGGGCGAACTTCCGAACTATAATCACACGCTTAATTCTTCACGCGAAACAACCGGAACTGTAAACAAATCGTTTATAACATGTTTTTGTATAGTTAATATACAAAGTTATATCGTATAATTTTCACATATAAAACGCGCATATATTAATTTGTCTTTCCAACGCGTTGAATTAATTGTATATTATAGTTTATGGAATATACTGCACGTTAACCAGTGCCCGAATACAAATTTATTACTTATTACATGTAAATTTTTGATTTGCATAGATTTTGAATTATTTTAAAGTTCAAAAGTACTAAAAAATATAAGATATCAATAGTTTTATCTTTGGTGGATAGATTTAAATAATTGTGAAATGGTTCTACGCCTATAAGTCACAAAATAAATCGTGAAAGGATATAATATAAAACTATTGCAATTACAACTCTCGAACTGTCAAAATAGTCGTTGTGCTGACGACACCTCACATCACTAGCTACCCACTTCATGTTTACCAAATATTTGCATTGAATTACAATACTTTTGTATTGTATCAATCCTTAAACGATCTATTGGGATACAACTTCAGAATTAAAACTTAAATAAAACAATGTTTATTGCTCATTGGAAAAACCTCATTTCATACTTATAATAGCAATAGGTCAAAAAAGACTTTGACATGACATTGAATCAGCACAATTCACGGAATGTTAACTCTGAATTCAAAGTTAATTGTTTCTGAGCGGAAGTCGCGCATTCCTTCACATCAAATGATACGTCTAAAGTTTACCCATTTGTTGGTTTCTTTTCAAGTTTACAGTTCTCGGTTTTAACTTCACTTAATTTGAATTTCCGGGATAAGGTGCATTCTTATGTTTTAGGTGTTTCGCGCGGAGCACAAGATTATGGGGAATATGGGCGATATGTCACCCATAAACAAAAATTTGCTTCTTTAGCAAAATACAAGTTTCAAAAACTTTTTTTGGATAACGTAATCATGCTTTAACCGCTTTTCATTTTTGAGTTAATATAGTGGCATCGATCCTGAAAATTCCTGCCTGTTGAAAATTAAGAATTTAATAATTCTTAATACAACATTCTAAATAAATGGAAATATAGAAAAAAGTAAAGAATTTTTGTAGAACATTAACTTTGTTAAGTAGATTTTTCATTGAAAATTATTAGAGTTCTAAGAGAAATATTCTCGAAACAAACGTATGAAAATAATTATAAGAACACTATTATTAAAATCACATTTGCATAACTCAAGTTAATTACGTTGAATATTTCCTAGCAAAAAATGATAATTCCATCTTATCATGCGATCTGGAACCGCTTCCACAGTTACTGATTATTTATTACGCACACAGTAAGGAATGTTGTAGCAACATGCCAACTTTAGTAAATTAATTCTTACGTAAAAATAAATGAAAAAATTGCACAATAGTTGTTCTGGAACTTATGAGATCTATTTATAACAAAACATCATTTGTCAATTAATCACATAACTAAAAATTTTAACAAATGAAGAAAAAAAGTATTTGGCATGTGTTTCCGCCCGGGTTCGAACCGGGGACCTTGTGCGTGTGAAGCACACGTGATAACCACTACACTACGAAAACATGACTCTGTTGGAGTCAAAAAGAGTATAAAACTAGTTGTATTTATATTACTAATATAAAAAGCTTAAATTGAATGGCTCAAAAATTATTCAATAAAATATGTGTAAGACTCTTAATTGCATGTAATGGACAAATATGTTTCAAAATATTTGATTTTATTCATTTCATAGGTTAATAGCGTTGAAATATTGTTCGTAGTTTTAGCAGGTACGGCATTTTTGGGTGGCGCTAGTATCGCTTCAAAACTTATTCTCAAGTTGTGTTTCCGTAATTTTTTCTTTCAAATTAGACCTGTTTGGCTCGTGAGGTAATTGTATTAACAAATAATGAGTTTTATAACACGTGAATGAATAAAACAACCTAATATTTAAAACAATTCTTACCTTTACTAACGTAGAGTTGCACCCCCGACGTAGATAGCCCGCTGCTGGCCGCTTGATTAAACCGCCTCGCCGCCCTGTGACGAATCGCCTGCCATGCACCGAGTCAAAATACGCCGCGGCGGCGTTCGCGCGTTTCTCTTATTTGTATCAAGTATCAATGCGGGAAAGATCCTTGAAGCTGCGCCCCGCATGATTGTCGTCATCCCCTTGGACGCAACGGGAGCATTACCCATCATTAGATTCCCACTGTTTGTGCTGATTATCGCCGCAAATTACAGGACGATCATTGCTGATTTGCCGAATTGGCGCCGATGCGATATTTGCGCGGCGGAGCGCATCCACGCATCAATTTGCTACAGCGCGCAATTCCGAAAATTAGTCACATGCACGTAAGACGCAAATTATCTAAGCTAAATATAACTCGACGCAGAAAAAACAACTTATGTTTATATTTATAGTTATTTGTTAATAACTTACCTATCTACAATTTTGTTATAGAACACGTGTCGATGTCATATTAGCGACAGTCAATCATTAAGATATAAATGGATTTTAAAATTGAGAGAGTTTTTAGTCTATTTGCATTGAATTTATTAATGAATCGACAATTGTTTCGCCGGTGAAGGCATCGTCAGGACTGTCAAACTCACAACAAATGTTAAAACTCCATATGTAGATTATTATATTGTCAAACTTATCCCAAAGGTTGTTTTCTCGTTGGCACGTATCTTGAAAAGTCAGCAAGTAATGTCTGGAACCAGCTGAGTCCGTCGAGAAAGGCGGTTCCTCGGAAACTCCGAACCAGAAAAGGGACCAGTTTCTAACTAGTCCCAATTTGTGATATTTGTTTAATCATTTTATTACAATTAATTATTTATCTTTTCAAATTATTTAAATCAACCCTATCTGTATCTCATGTCTTGTTCAATTTATTTATGTAAAGTCTCCTGCAATGGGTTAATTAGCAAACTTTCACATTTGCGGCTTCAATTAGCCAAATTTTCACCTTTCTTCATTGCACTACAGAAGAACCATATCTCCAACGCTATTGTTGTGTAAGGCGGAATTTACGAGCAAAGGGTGGCAATGGCAACTCCACCAAACACATCTTCTGTCTACATTTCCTTTTCCACTAACCTAACTGTTTGTTTAATTTACCTACCTCCAAATCTTTGATCGCTCAGAGATGCGATGCACGAGGACACCAACTAGAGAAGTTATTTGAGAATAACCCAGTTGTGATCCTGAACGAATGAAGACGAATCTGAATGACCAGAGTATCTTTTGGTAGGCGCGATGATCGTGGATTTTGCACCATAATTCTTTCAATCAGTACAGATAAAGCTTTTATAAATCGCGCTAAAAGATATAAAACCGAGAAAGCATCCTAATTTTTTTTCTTCTTCTTTGAACGTCCCAACAATTTTGGAAGATGTCAACCTTCTTACAGCAAAGTGTTGTAATAATTACCAATACCTACTCTCTAGACCAAGGCTGGCCAATGGATTTTCCTGGAGGGCAAATTTTTTAGAACGTCGGCACCAACAGACTATGGCCATTCATACATAAAATATTATACATATACAAATTCCAACTTTGGTTTGTGCGACGGGCAAATTCTCATTCATGGCCCGCGGGCTCTGAATTTAGCCATGCTCTAGACCTCTAGACCAAAATCAATTGTTAATAACGCGCCGGAGTTTAACTCCCACAAAAAGTTGCACAATCAGATTTCACCATGGACGAGGCGAACTTGTCTCTCTCAACAATTTATACATTTTTCTCCAGGATTTGACTCAATCTTACAAGCATTTGATATCCAAAACGCATTTCTTTATCCAAATTAAACAGCCGTTTGTCTTGATATTAATAAAGTTGTGAATTTTGAGATGAATTGCCTTTTGCCTCAAACAAACTGTTGCGATCAACTGTCTTACCGAAGTTCATTCCGGGAAAACTATCGGATTCCTGTATGTGATGATTTTATCATGTGGGTGGTTGATTCACAAGTTTTTCAGGCCCAGTTGGACTCTGTGTCCCAATTGATTTGTGATCATTTTGCCTGATTACCTCTGCCTCATCCCGCACCTGCTTTGACTAAAAAGGCGAGTACATCCGGGTGGAGGATTAAGTTAGGTTGGTCACTGATCATTAACAAAGAAATAAGAAATTGAAATGCAAGACCGTATTTCAGTTTAATAACGATCATTACGCTGATCTCAAAACACAGTAAACTCTCGTGTCTAGGGTTTTTAAGATATTTAAAGTCACGTGATTTTTATTTTCCTATTTTTTGCAGAATATGTAATCAATTGATAATATAATATTTATTTAAAGTTTACGTAATTACAACTCAAATAAAATTGTAATTCTATTATGTATAATTTAAATAAATATTAAAAAAATAACATATTTTTAAGGAATTAGTGGGACAGTACGTTTTATGGAAAGTGTGGATTTCATAATAGTTGCCCGAATACATAATTCTGAGCGATATCAATTTCTGACTTATTATAATATTTAAAAGGTTATCCTAGGCAACTATATATACCTCAAAGTGTATTTAGTTGAGTACAGTGAAATATAAAACGTTCGAGGAAACTTAATTCGACTTGAACATTGCACTTTCACAAGTGGCAACCATTTTGTCAGTCTGTTTCTACGTCGTAGCCTTTACGCGCTTCGCATTTTCACTAATCATAAGCAGCTAGTGTTTTAATAATTTTATAAGCGAAACTGTAAAACAAACATTAATGAAGATAGGATTATATTATTTATTTAAAAGTGGCCTTGTTACATAATCTACTGCTGTTAGTACCTTTTTTATTGTTACTTATAGACTTACAAAGCAATATTAGAGAGACTCTAGCACTGGCCCATTAGCTCAGTTGGTTAGAGCGTCGTGCTAATAACGCGAAGGTCGCGGGTTCGATCCCCTCATGGGCCAATTCCCTTTTTGATTTTCTTAACATTATTTATTAACATGCTATCGATCAGATCAGTTCTAGTTAAAAATTCAGCTTGTGCATATTCCGGTGCTTTAATATCTGATAAATTTGTTCTTGTAACTTCACATTTAATAAACTCTGCCACAAAATTCGATGGAGAAAACATAGAAACATTTTTTGTAGTCGAAAAATGTGAAAATAACTTTCAATTCAAATCGCGAGAAGCATTTTTAATCGGAAGTTTATGTGATGATACTATTAAAGTAATTCTACGAAAATGTTTTGGAGATATAAACGACTATAACCAAAATATTTCTGATATTGTGGACTTATTCACTATTTATGTCTTGTCATTTAATGAGAAATCAAATATTGATGAACTCAAGAAGTTATGGAGTTCTCATATGGCAGCCACAAATTATGGCTGCGATTTGAAGATTTCGGATGAAATCTACATAAAAGCTGCTCCGTTTGGAAGCAGACAATTAATTAATTCATACTCTGGAGGCATTATTAGCAATATAATCAGTGGTATTATATTAAGTGATTGTCCAACCGCACTTGGGTGTGAAGGTGGCGTTGTGATCGCAAAAAATAAGTAAGTACCGATTTGATGTATGCAACCAAGTTTGCACATGTTGGTAATGTGTGTTGTCGAACCTATTAAAAGTAATATGAACAATACATGAAAACTTCGAATTTATCATAGCGGTTTCTTTATCAATTGTTTCATATCAAAATTCACTTCCAGGGACATTCCAATCGGTGTTGTTGTTTCCTCTATGGCCGGATGGCGTGGTGAGTGGACCGGGCTTACATTAGCAATCACATTTGAAGCAATATTGAGCAATAAGACGCAACTGAGTAATGAATCAATTGGTATGCAGTCATCGCAATTACTAAGGATGAATATGATTGGTAATAGTTAAAATTTACAGTCATTAATGTTTATTATTTCTATGGAAATGAATTCTAGATAAAGTAATAAATTCTCTCGTTTACGTTAAGAGTGGAAGCAGCTGGGGCACGGGTATATGCGTTGATAAGCAAAAGCGTTTAATACTTACTAACGCACACGTAATTGTAAGCACGATCACTGAACTAATATTATCTTTTAACAACGCAAGCATGAATTTTTTCAGACACATGACGCAAACGTAAAAGTAATTTTCCGAGACGTTTCATCTGAAGCTCGTATTATATTCAAAGCACCTGATAACGAACAATTTGACCTCGCTGTACTGCAATGTGATGATCTAACCTCATTTCACAGCTTGCAAAATGTTACGTTTAGATGTGACGCATTGGAAGTTGGTAGGTAACGTTATACATTTTAATCTAGGCAATTACAAGTTGGATATATTTAGGTGAAACTGTTTATACTTTGGGATTTCCACTTTTTGCTCATACTACCCAAATGCTACCAACAATGACGCGTGGTCATGTGTCTTTAGTAAAAAAGGATGTAGTCATGACGACATGTGCTGTACTTCCTGGAGCTAGTGGTGGAGCGCTATGCGATTTCAAAGGGCAGTTAGTAGGGGTAGTCACTTGCAATATAATGAACACTGCGGAAGGACTCAGTTATCCACGTGTCAATATGAATATTCCGGTACATTCAATTCTGCCTGTTCTTCGGAGATACATTCAAAGTGATGGTGGTAGCACGATTAAATTGATTCGACTTTATTTTTAAATTTATTTTATTTTCAGACGAGACCGTGCTAAACGAGTTAATTTTAGATGATGATCGTAAATCAGACTGGGCTATAAGCAAATTGTAAGCTTAGGAATAAATAAATCCCTTTTTTGGCAATAAAACAATACTTTAATAATTTGTATGTTTGTAGTTTTCCTGCCCAACATAATTCTCCAAATTAAACAATTGTCACATTTGTTTTTTCCTTTTCTATTTCCAGTAAAATACAACAATGGAAACAACACTAAATCAATTATTTGCAACTCTTTGGAAGTGTTGGAGGATAAGACGCAAGCACTACGTCAATACAATAATCGTAATCTTCCTGCCTATGTTACTCTATGGCATTGTTTCCTGGAGTCGAATAAAGTGTTGTCAAATAGGTCAAAAATACGTAAATACAACCACCTACATTGAACCAATAACTGAAGACCAACTTTATCAACAATATAAAGTTGATATTTCAAGCACCTACTTATTGTACGCTCCTTCTACCAAGTTTAGTAATCAGCTAATGCGAGAAGTTCAAATAAAAATGGAGATTTCAAACAATAGTATATTTTTTTTATTTATCTAGGCAATGTATATTTGATTATGGGTTTTATTTTAGTGATACGCTCCTTTGACACAGAAATCGACCTATTAGAATTCTGTCATAAGAATCTTACATCTGATGGTACTGTTTACGCAGTAATTTTTGGAAATTTGGAGAATAACACAGATGATATACCAATGGGCTTAAATTACACTATACGTAATTTCGAAAAGAATGTCGATTGGAATACTAATTCAAGGTTTAATGTTATAGCAGCAGAATATATTCCGAATACAGGTATTTGCTTATTTAAAACAACAATACATCCATCTAATTTATATTAATTTTATTTGTTTGTTTGACGTTCTAGGCTCTGAAAAGTATTTTAATAATGCTTTTATTAACCTACAATTAGCCATCGATAAAGAATACCTACTGATGAAGAATAAAAATTCATTAGGCTTTGACTTATCTTTTCAGGAGTTTCCCTATCCGGAACATATAGATGATTTTGGATTTTCGGAGATCTTTATGATATTTCTACCGCTGACAACGGTCATCAGTACGATATTTATTTTTCCGGCAACTTTAAGGCCCATGCTAGATGAAAAAGAATCTGGTATTAAAGAACTGTCTAAAATGATGGGGTTACATCCTAGTGTGATGTACCTTGGTTGGTTCATTGATGCATTCTTGCCGATGATAATTCCTGCGGCAGTTTGTACAATTTTAATGAAACTAAGATGGGGCTACGCATATGCTGCAATTGAATATTGCAATGGATATATTTACGCTATATTCTTATTGCTGTATTTTACCACTTGTATTGCCTTCTGTTTATGTGTCGCTTCCTGGTGTGACTCAAGTAAGTAATTTTTAGAAAGTTATGATATAATGGTTTGTTTATTATTATTTATAGCTGCATTTTCAACTGCGTCAAGTATTGGAATATGGATCATCATGTATATTGGATCGCAAAGCATCACAAATCTATCAGATTTGGGATTTACTCTTAATATAATATTATTTTTAATTCCTAATTTTGCAATGAAGTCCGGATTTAATGCAATCGCCTTATATGAACTCAACGGACATGGAATTCAATGGAATAATCTATTTTCTACTGCAAATGGTGATGTAAACGCTCCCCCTTTAGGATATTCCCTGATAATGTTCTTAGTTGATATTATTATCTTGCTTGTTTTTGGTTTTTACATTGATCAAATTCGTCCGGGAAAACATGGGCTTCCAAAACCGTGGAATTTTCCTTTTATTGCCATTTTTAGTAAGGGCTTGAAAAGAATCAAGAAGAGGGAGCAATATAACGAAATAAATTCAGCAAATATAAAATTTGTGGAAGCTAGCACGAGGACTGCTGGTATTGCTATAAAAAAATTAACAAAAGTTTATGGTGACAAGATTGTTGTCAATAATTTAACGGTAAATTTCTATGAGGGTGAAATTGCTGTTTTATTGGGCCGTAATGGTGCTGGCAAAACTACTACCATGTCGGTGCTCACTGGTATGACAGAAGCAACTCATGGAAATGTTTGGATCAACAATTATGATATTTCTGAGAATCTCAACTACGTGAGAACTGTAATAGGAATATGCCCACAGCACAATCTACTCTTTCCTGAATTAACGGTCAAGGAACACGTATTATTTTTTGCTAAGGTATTCATAACTCACTTTATTATCACTAGATTTATCAATAGATTTACTAATACGTTGTGATTAGCTACATAATGAAGCCAATGCAAAGATCAAAGTACGTAAACTGCTTAAAACTCTGAACATCTACGACCAGAAAAATATGTACCCGCAAGATATCTCCGGTGGAATGAAACGCAAACTTTGTTTAGCTATAGCGATGATATCCAACCCGTCTGTGCTAATACTGGATGAACCCACTTCAGGATTAGATCCAAAATCACGAAGAGAATTCTGGGATCTTATCTTGGGCTGGCGCTCGGAGAATCCAAATGCCACCATAATGGTATCGACACATTTCATGGAGGAGGCAGATGTACTGGGTGATCGAATCACCATCATGGATAGCGGTCAACTTGTAGCGCAAGGCACACCGATGTACCTCAAGAAAGAGTATGCAAACGAGTGTCATTTTTCGCTGATTTTGAGGAATGATGTCAAAAAGGCTCAATTATACGCCGACTGTAAACAAGTACTCGGTGATAACTTCTCTTTCCTCACCGATTCAAATTTCTATAAAATTGTTACGGAAAATCACAACGGGAATATGATCAAGTTGTTAGAGAAAATTGATAATGGTGGCTATGTTAAACATGTGGGAATATCTATACCTTCAATTGAGGATGTCTTCTTGAAGTAAGAAAACTGATATTGAAGCGGGCAGCTAACAGAGGTATTAAATTAACTGTTTCATTGAAGATTATCAAGTTGGAAAAATAGCCAGGATATAGCAGTTAACATATCCGAGAAGAATGCGAAGGGGTCTATACACGGCCAAGGTAAAGTAAGAAAATGAGTTTTTAATTTTTAAATATCTCATTTACCAAAAACTATTTGCGGATTAATGCGTAGAATATTTTTTCATTAGATATATTTTCATGGATAACCGAATACAGTTACAAATTTGGCGGATATGCTTATCAATGGAAACGCTACTTCCCCTGTGTAAGTCATTCGATATTTATTGTATATTTTGCTTTTCATACATTTATGTTACTTGGATAGTTGTTAGTGTCTATCGGAATGATCTTACTTCTTCGCTTTTCTGGCTCGACCCAAACGGTAAGTCGCGTATCGCGCCCGGAATTACCCTTACAATTAGGACCCTATGGAAAAACTGTTGTGTACTACAGTGTTGATTCGAGTATTAAACCTCCAATCACTCAGATACTAGAACAACTAATTATTGAGCAAGGTTCGCAGCCAAAACGCGTCGAGTCTGTTTCCGATGCATTGATTGCGATGGGCGTGAAAAACCTAGACGACTACAAGCAGAAAGCGGTAGTTGCTTTAGAATTTAACGCAACCACTGACAATACAGTCCTGCTGAACATGATGTTTTCGAATTCGGCTTTGCATGGTGCACCGATCGTTCTAAATATAGCAACTAATGTTATCGCCAAGGTGTTCGCAAGTGGCGCCATTGGCGCCTCCAATCATCCAATTCAAACAAACGACGGTCTCATGACCGGTCAATTCGCAAACGAAATTGATATAATTTTGTTGTGGGTTATCTTGGTGACAATTGCATTACTGTTTCTTTTTGTCAGTTACATCAACTTTCCGTTCAAAGAACGTGTTAATAATTTCAAACACCTAGTATACATGTCCGGTGTTAGTCCGCTTAAATATTGGCTACGATTGTATTTCTTCCAACTGATGGTTTTATACTTGCCAGCTGTATTTATTCTGTGTGGGATATTAGTATCGAACCCATTATATTATCAGGGAGCAGGTAATGGCGGTGTTAAATCCAAATAACAACAAATGGATTCATATTATTGTATATTCTAGTTCCTTTGGTGATTGTTCTGGGTTTGTACGGCGCCATGATGATTCCGTTTGTTTTCTTATTCAGTTATAAAAGTAGCGTTGCGGAAGCTGTAGGTTCACTCACAAGTATTACCATTTTCACTGGTTTGGTGTGTCCGTTTGTGATTGGTATTTTGCACAACTGCGACGAGGCGACATACAAGAACATAAGTAATGCTTTTCATGTGTTTGCATTGATCGGTCCGCAGTACTGGCTGACAAACTGTTTGATCACTTTTGCAAAAAAATCATTTTGGTTGTACAAGTGGGATAATATGTTGACTATGCAAAAAGACGCCTTGTGCAAAATCAATTACAACCCATGCTGTAGTGAGTATTATAAAATAGAAAAAGGTTGGCATAGTGGTGTTTGATAAGAAAAAATGTCTCACTGTATATACTCTCGGTATAAGAGTATTAAACATCATTAAGGGATGATTTGGACAACTGCAAGACTATGCCAACCTTCCCCTTTGTCGAATATTTTATTATTTACTAATGAATTGTATCTATCCAGAAATTACAGAAGATACCGGTTTAATTGCTGCCAGTGGAGATTCTTGCATATCTTACAAAAGTTATTTCACAAAGGGTCTTAGTCCAATGTATCTAATTGCGGTTCCCATTATCAATACTCTATTTTACTTTACCTTGCTTTGTCTGAATGATTCCTTCGGCTTCCATCACAGCTTGAAGAAAAGGATTGAATCTAATTTATTCCTCATAAAAAACTCAGTCTGGAACAACGGAAACAATATGTCAAATTTCACTTTAAAAGAATTTCAAGTGAACGACTTAAAGAAAGCCGGAGGAATTGAGGGTAATCACATTGTCGATAATGTCTCTTTCGACGTAAAACCTGGCCATTGCTACGGTTTATTGGGTGTCAATGGCGCCGGAAAAACTACTACATTCAAAATGCTCACCGGTTTGGAAGTTCCGACAGCTGGAACAGCAAACATGGAATTTTCAAACGAAAAAATTGAACCAAGGAATCAAACAGTCAGTATGTCTGATTCGAAAACATGTAGTACATATTTTAAAGAAATCGGCTACTGCCCACAATCCAACGCAATAAACGGATTTCTCAGTGCACATGATTTGCTGAAGATGTTTGCCGCCAATCGAGGGGCATCCTTAAGTGATGTGGATGATATGTTGATGCGACTAGGTTTAGATAAGTTCGAAAATATACCTTGTGGAATACTCAGCGGCGGAAACAAACGAAAATTATGTTTAGGCATTTCACTAATTGGACGTCCATCAGTAGTATTCCTAGATGAACCCACTTCCGGTGTTGACCCGGTTTCAAGAATAATGATTTGGGACATACTGAAAGAGATCAAAGAGAAAAAGCGTCAATCATTGGTACTCACTTCGCACAGCATGGACGAATGTGAGAAATTATGCGACTTGTAAGTAATAATTCAAATTTAGACACATTAAAGTTTAGTTTAAATTATTTAAAGCATGGCAATTATGAAAAAAGGAAATGTACACACAAAAGGAAGCATCAATGAATTAAAACTAAAACATGGCGAAGGGTTAAATATCAAAATCAAATTGCAACCAGTCAAAATTGACATGAATGCAGTAGATACAATTGATTCCACAAAGATATTTGAAATGGTCAAACAAGAAGTAGGAGACCAAATCCAGGTGAAAGATCAACATGAGGTACGTTTGCATATTGTATTTTTTAATAAATTATCAACCATAAACATTTATTTCAGAGTTTGTTGCATTATTTCGTACCAGAAATTAAATGCAGTGTTAGCGATTTGAGGAAGATCTTCGTTGCCATGGAAAAATTGAAGCATAGAACTAAATCGCCGGTGGAAGACTATACAATAAGCACGTCTTCACTTGAAGATATATTTCTATCCGTTGCAGACTGTAAAAGTGGCTAATAATTGATTGTACCGAATGTTCCTGGTATACAAAAGTAATATTCTTATTGTCAGCAAAGAATCTGCTTGGGCAAAATACATAAAAAAGTGTAGGTAACGCGAACCATGTTATCACGATCAGAGTCCCTCAGACAAAATTGCAGACGTGGTGGTGCACAAGTCTGCTCCTGACTAAGAGAACAATAGAGCAGAGGAGGTCTTGACTCCAGTATGTTATTGCTTGGAAAAAAGAATGCACCGCAAATTTAAAAATTTGAAAAATTTTACTAGCATAATCCAGCCCTGCATACTTCAAAAATGAAAATATGGTCCGGTCATAAATTATTTTCAAACACCTTGTTGATTTAGGCAAAAATGATAGAGCGGTTACGGAACCCGAAAACAACCACAATTTATTATTGGAAACTGTGTCAAAATTTCCACGACTACTTGAATTTAAATTGACCCACGCGGTGATTATCGCCACACAGGGGTGGCTTCAGGGAAATAGCACGATTAACAACCCGGACAAGTGATACGGAACGATATATGGAGCAAACTAACACCTGACAAATCAGGCACAAAATAAAAATCCTGCGTTTCCTTGCCGAACGCTTGTATATTAGGAACACTTTGATATACAAACATTTATGGCATTTATTGCATATGATATATTGATATTGATATTGTATTGTAAAATTGTAATTTGTGTATTAACTTGTATTTCGATATCGTGTTATGAAACTTTGTCTATTGAATGTCGTACGTGAGGTAACATCCGTGATTACGTACATGGCATATCTAATAATAAAATGTAATTTGTATGATGTTCTACTATTCAATAAATGTACTAGTAATATATTCACTTGAAGTATCAACTTTATTAAAATAAATCCGGCAGTCTTTTTATGAACTGAACAATTTTAAATTAATATTTTAATCATATATCATATTAACAAACAACATTTTACATTCTATAAGCAGAATGCTTATCACAAGGATATATAAGATATGATAAGAAATACCACGCATGCCGTGCAAACAAACCAGTAAAAACATATTGTCCACAAGGCTTTGATAACTCCTTTTTGATTAATGCGTTTCATATTATGAAATAATGAATAAAATTGAATTCAAATAAAAAATTCAATAAAAGATGACGCTAGATGCATGTATATAGACAATAACCTTGAAAAACGCACTTCCTTGTCGGTGCCTCTCTGTTGCGTCGTTCAATAATTGCAGCTGCATTCACCATGACGTATACTTATTTTCGGAACAAAGCCAATGGCAATTAACCACATGTGACAATATTATTCAGTAGATATTTAATCTCGAAATACGTACTTCGATAATATGTTGAAATAATATGAAATCCGCGTATGTAATTAATTTTTATTTACTTTTAAATAAAAGCAAAGTCGACCGCAAATCTCCAGCTCAAAGCTGGGCTCAGCAAAAATTTTGATCCCATACTTTACACAGTCCATGTTTCGAATCAAAGACTAATGTTTATAAATCTGCGGAAACCCGGTTGGGTATAAAGAGAGTTAAGGAAATAACCTACTCTGAAAGGTAGAACACCTGTAATAATAATAATAATAAATATATACGGTAGAATAAAGATCCTAATTAAAACAAAACGAACGCGTATGACGTAAGCAGGGATAATCACGTTCAGGGGCGGAACCAAACAAATAATTTTTTCGCAATTCACACCAGGTAAACCCGACACTGCCATTACCTCCAATATCGGGTACCTAGATACACCATTAAAAACATTGTTTGTCAGTCAGAATTCGTACCTCATGAAATTATGTTAAATACTGTTCCGCACCTTATCACTGACGGCGATGATAGTCCGAATTGATAACAGAAAACTGAATCTACAATGCGCAAGGTATTTATTTAAAAAACATGTAAACAGTAGAGTACTGTTCGCTAAGAGTCACTATCAGTAGTATGGTTAGTTAAAAGATGAATCAACCGACATATCTTATCTGAATCGGTCATATTTCCAACTTCATGAAATAGAACCTTTGACTCATAAACGATAAGCTCAAACGGAATTAACATATGGATAATACTTATTAGTAATATAATGAGAGGACCGGACGAAGATGCTATTCCCTTACTGATTCTGGATGACAAAAATTTTATTCGGTTTGTTTTACTTTAGCAATCCGGACAAGGAGTTATAACAAATGTTTACCTTTCAGAAATTCAATAAGTAACGTTGAAGTAAGTACAATCGACGGATAAAGCTTGTTGAAATTATTGATTTATTGATGCAATTGTCTCTGGAAACGTAATGTATCCTAAATTATTTATGTTATCAGATATCAATTCTTACAATATAGTAAAGTGAGAATTTTCGCGCCATTGCTAAACTATAGAATATGATCCAAAGATTATATACGTATAGTCAGCACTGCAGTTACCCCAAATAATTCGAAGATCTGAATAGTCAACCTTTGATTAATTTCCGGATCGTTCAAAATTTTCCGATTATTTCTTTGTGAAAGTAAACTTACCACTCTTTCGTTAAACACTATATCAGTGGTTCCTAACCTGTGGGTAATTACCCCCGCAGGGGTAAAACGGAGATTCTAGGGTGGTAACACGGGATGGCACAAAATAGTATAGTGACGATATGTCCCCACCAGAATTGCTTCCAACTCGTGTTGTGCGCAGTGTGTATATTCACATTTCTGCAGTATATAGTAATGTTTAAAATGGCGACGGTGACGCCTTCATTATATAGGAACAAATAAATATAAAGTGAATAAATGTGCCCGTAAACAATATTACTAGCCATCACCCTTGGGAATAGAGATAGTTCGTAAATATTAGATTTACTTGCATATTTGGATTTGACATTTCTTGTCTAACTTTGGGGTTAAATTAATCACTCTTTTTGTTTTTAGTTAAATGAGACAGTGAGCAAGAAAATGCTATTGAATAAGCTATATGCAAGTCTCTGGAAGTGCTGGAGAATAAGATGCCGGCACTACCTGATCACAATATTTGTAATTTTTATACCAATATTACTCTATGGCCTACTTGCATGGGGTCGAACCAAATTAGGACACATAAGCAAACAATATGTGAACGAAACAACCTATGTAGATGCTATGAGTGAGGAATATCTCTATAGCCAGTATAAAGTTGATATTGCAAATACCTATCTACTGTATTCACCATCCTCTGAGTTTTCAAATAAACTGATGTGTGAGGTCCAGCTGCAGATGGATATTACAAATCACAGTATGTTTATTTCTTTAAACGTATCTCCATCAGATTTTTTTAAAATGATTGTTTGGGTTTTCCAGAATTTTACTCCTTCAATACAGAAATTGATTTGCTTGCATTTTACAACAATAATATAACTGATGCCAATGTGTATGCTGTGGTTTTTGACCAACTGGTTAATGATGAAGTGCCTCAAACCTTGAGTTATAGCATTAGGAACTATGAGAAAAATTTGGACTGGCATACTGACTTTAAATATAATGTTATGTCTATGCAGTATATTCCTGGCACAGGTGTGATGGTTCTTATTGAAGATTGGATGTAAATATTTATCTTTATTTGGGTTTTAGGCTCTGAATTGTATTTTCATAAAGCTTTCATCAATTTACAACTGGCCATCGATAAAACGTTTCTACTGATGAAGAGTAGCAGCTTAAATTTTGATTTCTCAATGCAAGAGTTTCCTTATCCACCGCATTCGAACGATATTGGATTTACAGACATGTTCATGAATATCTTGCCCTTGGTTACACTCTTTAGTACGGTGTTTATCTTTCCGGGTACTTTGAGACGTATGATGGAAGAAAAAGAATCTGGCATTAAGGAACTGACTAAGATGATGGGGATGCCTCCCAGTGTGATGTATCTCGGTTGGTTTATTGACGCATTCTGCCCGGTGGTAATATCCGCGGTGGTGTGCACAATATTCATGAAACTCAACTGGGGAACGGCGTATGCTCCAATTGAATATTGTAATGGGCCGATTTATGCTATTTTCTTGCTATTATACTTTAGCTCCTGTGTTGCCTTCTGTTTATGTGTCGCTTCATTGTCAGACTCACGTAAGTAATTAAAACAAAATGTTAGCAATTCTACAATTCTAAAGTTTTAGCGGCTCTTACAACATCTTTAAGCGTTGTGATCTGGGTTATCACATACATTGTACCCTATGGTGTTAAAAATCTGTCGAATTTGGGTTTTGGAATCAATCTAATACTGTTTTTGGTTCCCAACTTTGCAATGAATTCAGGATTCCACTCAATTGCCTTGTACGAAATTCTGGGAAGCGGAGTTCAATGGAATAATCTGTTTTCCTCGGCTAATGGAGACGTAAACTCTGTTCCGCTTGGGTATTCAATGATTATGCTTTTAGTGGACATTATCATCCTGCTACTGTTTGGATTTTACATTGACCAAATACGACCAGGGAGATATGGCCTACCGAAGCCGTGGAATTACCCTTTCATTAGTTTGTGCAGCAAGAGTATGAATAAAATGAAACGAAAGAATAGTGTTAACGAGTATACTGATGAGACATCCAGTGCAAGGGTGGAGGCGTGTCCTGGTAACGCTGGAATAACTATCAAGAACCTTACAAAAGCGTACGGAGAGAAAATAGCAGTCAATAATATGTCGGTGAAATTCTTTGAGGGCGAGATCGCTGTCTTGCTGGGCCGAAATGGCGCAGGCAAGACTACCACTATGTCAGTACTCACTGGCATGACAGATGCAACTCGTGGCGAAGTCTGGATAAATGACTACGACATTTGTGAGAATCTCAACTACGTGCGATCAGTGATGGGGATGTGCCCGCAACATGATTTATTGTTCCCAGAATTGACTGTCGAGGAACACGTTTTGTTCTTTGCCAAGGTATGTAATTATTCACTTAAATATTACTAGGTTTTCTGAAGTGTTTGTTTATGATTAGTTGCATAATGTGCGGAACGCGAAAGTCAAAGTCGATGATCTTCTTAAAACACTCAACATTTATGACAAGAAAAACATGTTACCGCAAGGCATCTCTGGTGGAATGAAACGAAAACTTTGTTTAGCAATGGCGATGATATCCAGTCCATCTGTGCTAATACTAGATGAACCCACTTCAGGGTTAGACCCAAAATCACGCAGAGAACTCTGGGATCTTATCTTGGGCTGGCGATCGGAGAACCCGAAAGCCACCATAATGGTATCAACTCATTTCATGGAGGAGGCGGATGTACTGGGTGATCGTATCACGATCATGGAAAGCGGACAACTTGTAGCGCAAGGCAGTCCCATGTATCTCAAGAAAGAGTTCGCTAACGAGTGCCACTTAACGCTGATTTTGAATAATAATACCAAGAAGGATCTATTATATGCCGACTGCAAACAGGTGCTAGGTGATAACTATACTGTGCTCGAAAAAGAAGACAGTCAGAAAGTAATTATGAGGAACGATAACAAGGATGTTTTAATTCGACTATTACAACAAATTGAAAATGGCCACTACGTTAAACATGTGGGAATATCTATACCTTCAATTGAGGATGTCTTTTTGAAGTAAGAAAACTATTAATAGAACAACATTTTAACTTATTTATTTATTTATTTGTAGATTATCGAGTTCAAGTGGTCCACACCTAGTAGGTAATGAAAGTACTTATGGTGCAACAACAAATGATGATACTGTTGTCAATATTCCGTATGGTCGAAGCAATTCAAATTCGTCGTCTCGACAAGAATGTAAGTGGAAGTATATTTTTCTAACAAATTCGCGAAACTAATTGAATTCTTTAATTGTTTAATAAATTGATTCTGGGCAATGCGATAGGCCTCAAATGTAAGTGCTTTGATATTTTCCGTGACTAATATGTAGTAGCAGCCTCGCTAGCTAGTTTGCAAGTTGTTAGTTGTCAAGCACTTTAATGCAATGTATATAGCAATTATGTGTAGTCAACTAGTTCCACAATAACTTTTCTAATTTTTAAATACTATGCGTTTCAGTGATGAAGAGCTACGTAGACTTTTATAGATACGGCGGAGTGATGTATCAATGGAAACGCTATATTCCCTACGTAAGTTATATTTATAATATTTATCAATGAATTATATAAATTTATTGTTCGGTAGTTGTTAATGTCTATCGGAATGATCTTACTCCTTCGCTTTGCTGGCTCGACCCAAACAGTCAGCCGCGTATCGCGCCCGGAATTACCCTTACAATTGAAAGCCTATGGAAAAACATTCGTATACTACAGTGTTGATTCGAGTATTAAACTTCCAATCGCACGGGAACTAGAACAACTAATAAGCGCGCAAGGATCGCAGCCAATACACGTCGAATCTGTTCCCGACGCGCTGATTGCGATGGGCGTGAAAAACCTGGACGACTACAAGCAGAAAGCTGTAGTTGCTTTAGAATTTAACGCAACCACTGACAATAAAGTCCTGCTAAACATGATGTTCTCGAATTCGGCTTTGCACGGTGCACCGATCGTTCTAAATATAGCGACCAATGTTATCGCCAAGATACTCGCGAGTAGCTCCATTGGGGCGTCCAATCATCCGCTGCAAACAAACGACGACCTCATGATCGACGAATTGGCGAGCGAGATTCAAATCGTGTTGCTATGGATTATTCTTGTGCCTATTGCGCTATTGTTCTTGGTCGCAAGTTATATCAACTATCCACTTGCAGAACGCGTCAGCAATTTCAAACATTTAATTTACATGTCCGGAGTTAAACCGCTTAAATATTGGTTTGGAATGTTCTTTTTCCATTTGATAATATTATACTTGCCTGCTGCAGTTATTCTTTGTGGTATACTAGTATCGAATCCATTATACTACCCCGGAGCAGGTAATGGCGGTGTTAAACTTGTATTTCAAACTGTTCCGATTAATAACATTTTATATTTTAGTTCCGTTGGCGATTGTTATGGTTTGGTACGGCGCATTGATGATTCCGTTTGTCTTCATGTTCAGCTATAAAAATAGCGTGGCGGCGGCAGTGGGTTCCCTCACCAGTTTAACTATATTTACTGGTTTGGTGTGCCCGTTTGTGATTGTTATTTTGCAAAACTGCGGCGATAATGTATACGAAAAATTAGGCGATGTTTTTCATGTCTTGGCGTTCATTAGCCCTCAGTACTGGCTGACCAATTGTTTGATTACATTTACCAGAAAGTCGGTTTGGGTATACAAATGGGAAAATATATTACCCGCACAGCAAGAATTTATGTGTAAAATGAATTATAATCCCTGCTGTGGTGGTGAGTATTTTATTAGGACGTATTAACATACACATATAACATATTATATTTTCAGTTGATCCCCGGGACAAGGCGTGTATCGATTATAAAAGCTATTTCCAAGATGGTCTTCGTACGACTTATCTAACGGTGGTTCCATTATGCATGATTTTCTTGTATTTCTTGGTGCTTTCCCTACGTGATTCATATAAAGTACTTCGCGTTGGAAGGGCCATTTTGAGAAGCACTACTAATTTTACTAACTTTTCACTGAGATTCAAACGAAATGGCAAGTACACTCAACTCGATGAGCAGAGTACATTCCATGCAAAGAATCTAACCAAAAAGTTTTCTAACATTGACGTTGTTGATAATCTATCCTTCACCGTGAAGCCGGGACAATGCTACGGTCTTCTGGGCGTTAATGGCGCCGGCAAGACCACCACATTTAAAATGCTTACTGGAGATGAAGTGCCTACTTCTGGTTCGGCAGATATAAAATTTGCCACTCACGGCCAGGTCGACATGCAAGACTGGACCACCTCGGACACGTACTTTCAAAAAATCGGCTATTGCCCACAGTTTAACGCGGTGAACGAGGTGCTTACAGCGGAAAATTTACTAAAACTGTTTGCATATTATCGGGGGATACCGCCTCATGAACAGGATTCCGAGGTGCAAGCTATGCTGGATCGAGTTGGACTTGAGGACTTCGCTAAAGTACCATGTGGTACACTCAGCGGCGGCAACAAACGCAAATTATGTTTAGGTATCTCGCTGATAGGCAACACCGCGGTCGTATTCCTGGATGAACCTACTACAGGAGTGGATCCAGTTTCAAGGAGGAAGATCTGGTTAGTACTGGCGGATGTCAAAAAAGAAAGCAAACATCCACTAGTGCTTACATCACACAGCATGGACGAATGCGAGAAATTATGCGATTTGTAAGTCATCTAATTCTATACGTAATTATAAATACTTTATCGAGTTGATTTATAGCCTGGCGATAATGAAGAAAGGCAAGGTACACATTAAAGGAAGTATCAATCAATTGAAGCTGCGATATGGCCAAGGATTGACAATTAAAATCAAGTTGCGCACCGGAATGGCGGATGTGGATCAAGTGGATGGGCCCGGGATGAATACTATTGATAATCCCGATGATATATTAGAAGTTATCAAGAGAGAAGTAGGAGAACGAGTGGATGTGAAGGATAGACATGAGAACTTGTTGCATTGCTTCGTGCCAGAAATGAGATGCGGGGTTGGTGATTTGAAGAAGTTCCTCACCACCATGGAAGAATTGAAGCAAAGAACTAATTCACTCGTGGAAGACTATACAATAAGCACTTCATCACTTGAAGATGTATTTTTGTCCGTAGCGAGCGAAGAAGCTGAGCAATGAATCGATGCTCCTGGGATGAAATTATTACCTATATATTATAACCGAATAGCTTTTGCTTTAACTCCACTCGTACTATTTAAAAAAATGCATTATAAAAGGTGTGTCTATACATCATACATAATAACTGATGATAATAAGAATTTATATAGTGTGATACTCTGTACTGTAATCTTTAGGTGTATGAAAATAACAATTAATAAAGTTAATATTCTTGTCAAGATTTTTAATGTTTTTTTTACAAATTTTAATCTTAGTCACATCGCGCAAGTGCGTAGTTACCCATGTGAATGTAAGTAGGAGGAGCTTACAACTTGTTTGAATTTAGTATTTTTCCTTCTAAAAGTTGATCAATTGTGCAATATAAGACCAAAGTTGGGATCAAACCCACACAGTTTTGTTTATTCGTCACGAATGCATCATTCCACCCACTTGAAAACCGCGTTCAGTGGTGCAAACACGAGCAAATGGCAAAATAAATCTCAGGTGTTGTTTTTACGCCCGTTCTGGAGAGATTTTGCCGGCGCGGCGTGTAACTATGAATGCTGTGACTAAGGCAACGTCACAATGCTACGATTTGACCTCACGTTCGCTTTCTCGGCGATCGCAGACGCAGCCTTCCGAAATACATGACAAACATGGTAAAATTTCTCGGAATATAAATATACATCGTACATAATCATCAAAACAATACAAAGTTTGCACATTTGTTTATGTTGTAAGATTTTTTGTAATTCCATTGCGATAAATCATAAATTTATAAACATTACATATATAGCAGTGAATTTTGGTTATGTCTAAAAAGTAGGCAACAAATCTTACAACTTTTGAATTTCAGATAAGTATTTGTTTTAGTTATACTTAATTTATGACTTTCACGCATATCATTCTTATCAGTATTTATATTTGTCTCAAAATAAAAGTAGCGCATAATTAGCATCGTTAAATTTAATTCGAGCAGTGACACAAACACACGGAGGATATAAACTGGTCGAATGCACCGCGAGCCACCAAATACGGTAATGTGAATGAGAGATGAAGAGGTGGACCTGTTCGAAATCACTCACCGTGTGTGCGATGTGTGTGCCATGAATGGTTACGTCAGTGGTGCTTGCCGGCTGGTGGGACCATCGGCAACAGGTCAATTCGCGGTGTTAATCGTGTTCGGTGTGTGCCTCTCGCCTCATTCCAGTGCGGCGCGCCGTCGCGAATAGATATATCGGGTACACATCGCCGCGCGTGTGATTTTAGTGCGGCACAAATTACAATATTCACACGATGACTGTGAAGAAAACCAAGAAGAAGGCGTCCCGAACGGAGGACGCCACCACCAGCAGTACGAGCAACCTTAGTAATACTAATCAAATGACCAGCAGTTACAGTACTTCATCCACTTCCAAATCAACCTCGCAATCACAATCTACGTCCCAAATGCAGAAGACAACGTCTTCATCAAGTTTGCAGATTGCGGATGTTTCCCATTTACCGGTGGACGCCGCCATTGTTACTTACACTGTAACAGAAACCCTACCGGGTACCGGGGAGAAAATTACTACCTACGCCGATAGTGGTGCTACTAGTACAGAATACCGGCATCAGATTGCTCAAGAATCAAGCACTTCCAGTTCTACTAATATTCAACAGATCAGTGGAAATCATAGTCTCGCAGAGACATCTTCCTACACTGTAGTAGAACCCAAAGAAGAGAGAATAATCGGAAAGAATGACTCCGCTTGGAATGGGAAATTCGTTGTGGAGAAACCCGCAACTAAAGTGTCTCGTTTTTCTTCATCAAGTTCTCAACAAAAATCATCTTCTTCTTCTGTTATGAAAAGCTCTTCAGCATCCTACATCATTAAAATGGTCGATGGAAAAGAAGTACGTGAATTAGTTGATGAGAAACATAATGAATCAGGGCACTCAAAGTCTGCGTTCAAAGAGGAGAATATGTCGATGAAAGATGGCACTGATATCACACCGGAAATCCACTATTCAAAACATGGCGGAAAAAGCGCTACTGTTTACGACTCCGCTGTGCCAGAATTAACCGCTCCAAAAAGCAAAACCTCTGAATACTCTACAGAATATCATAAAGTAGGTGATTCTGTGACTACATCAGCTAACTATGAAAAGTCAACCGATGCTAAGAATATGTTAGAACACACACATTCCGGAAAACATTCCATTAAAGATTCAAGTCAAACTCAAACTCAAGCTGGGCAATATGGTGATGTATGTGACGTTTCTTCTTCTACTTCTACCTCTACGCATATCACTAAAGGAGTGTCTGATGTAGATTTCAGCGGCAAGACGCGTTCCGTGCACGATCGAAATACGTTTGATGCACAATCGAAAAATGTGAGCAGTACAAGCAAGTCACATCAAAGCGAATTCGTGGAGAATACAGGGAAACAACTTTTATTACAACTACAACCACTTATTATGACTCTACAGGAAAGGTGATCAAACAGGACTCGAATTCCGAAGCGTACGGATCACCATCTGTGACCAATCAACAAACTGTCAGCAGTAGCAGTGATTTTATCACTAATGAAACTAATTCTACAAATATTAGTAATATTAGTAATGTTTCTAATATTCAATCTTCTTCAAAAATTACTTCCAATGAATATCAAGACCATACCACGTTGAGTAGCTCACAGATAGACCGCCATCTTGTTGACCAAACATCGAAATCTGTCCGCGAGCGAACACCGACGCGTAAACCATCGGTTTCCAAGTCGCCCACACGAAAGTCGCCCACGAGGAAGCCGAAGAAGCCAGAGCGCAGCGGCAGCCGCACGCACATCTCCGACTCGAATATTGTGCAAGATATTCAGAACTTTCTCGATGGTAACGATACGATCACAACGACATCTACATCCGAAACCACTACAAAAGTGAATAACATCAACAATAAAGTAACTGGTAGCGAAAGTGTTGATTTTATCCGAAACGAAACTCGTCTACCCTTAGATAACACTGATCACTCACATACCACTGTATATGAGGTGATTACGACTGAATATGACACCAACAGTAATGTTACCAGTGTACAAGACGACCGGTCCACTATTAAAAAGGACGTTCAATCATTTATTGACACTGAAATCATCAAGGACACAACTACATCTAAAAATGTCATTGAAGACGTCTCTACTGATCGCAGGAGTATTGTTAATAAAGAGTTTATTACCGATGTTGTTGATAAGACATCAACTGTTGATGTTAAAGATGTCAATATTGTTGAGAACATCACCAATATCAAAGAAATTGTAAGTAAAAAGTTGTAATTTGCGGTTATGTAGTAATCATACTAAAATATGCAACCAAATAAACATATTTGTTTTTCTATAGAATGAAGTTGAAAATGTGACCAAAGTGGATAAAATCATCGACAACAAAGTAATAAACATCACGAAAGTCATTAAAGAGGAGCCCAAACCCACGAAAGTCACACTGCCCAAGAAGGAGGTGTGCATTTGTGAAATGTGTACTTGCGGGTGAGTGAACACCAAATATTAATTAAAATTCCCCTCACACTTCGTAATACATTCCATTTATACTTTCATAAACTTTTTTTGAACATCTGTATCAAGTATCACTGCAACAATTATTGCGAATATTGAATCGTAAGCAGAAACATGAAAAAAAAAACAGGTTTGAAAGTTTCATAGGTGTCTGTCTATAAAGGCAAGGCGTTCTTTTTTCGCGTTCGTTCACGTTGCGTAAACATGTCTCGATGATGTCATGTATACCGGCGCTGTTTATGGCCAAATGCGGCGTTTTTTTTAAACGAGTGCTAAGTACCTATGCAGTAAATAAAGACTTGCGCCTGAAAAGTGAGGAAGGTGAGCAAGAGCAACATCGGCGACTTCGATCGTATTGCGTGTAAAATCAAGTCGTGTAACATCACGTCTCACCCACTTAAGAAGGATAAACCTTGAGACAATGCGCTGCATGTGCACTTATGCACGTATGGTAATAAATAAATTCATTAAAAGGTGAAAACTCACCAACCACGTAGCGACATTTATAGTTTTGGTCATTTGGTCCCGCATCGTTAATTATGATGATTAAGATGTACACTGATGATGATATGGTACGTGCCGCATGCTAATGAAGTCGAAATGTATAATGCCTACAATTGGAAAAGGTGATGAATTACGACTAAAAATGGCTATTATTCAAGTTCAAGTTATGTGTACTAGCCTTGCAAACTCAATAATATAGTTTATCAAATACTTACTTACCTTTTTTTATTTTATAGCCTTTAGACTTGAACATGACGAGCATGTATTACACTTTCATATTAATTTGAGGTTATGCATCTAGTATAACAATACAGTTATGTGTATTATGATATAGGCAACTAAATATACACTAAAGTAAACACTTGGGAGAAAAGTAAATTTCATTGAAGTACATTTTATAAAAAAGATGATTCACATAAACCTGTCTGTATAATAATTCAATTAGAATACCATTTAGAATCATAAAAACGTTTCACTTCTCACTTCTCAGTAATTATAATATAAAGAATCCAGTCTGTTTGTTTGTTAATTTTCGAAGGCCGCCTCGCGCGCAGAGGTCAAGCACTATCGCAGGCAACTAATACTAAAGTCTGTGTAAAAATGTAAATTTTATGAACGAGTGTAAACTGTACACATACAGAGTATCACATCTTGGAGAATGTTTGCCAGTTTAAAAATAGAGCGAATTAATTAATTCTTTTCGGCGTGTTTCTATTTTGTTTTGTTTATTTTTCTACTTTTTCTTTTCTTCCTTTTTCTCATATAAGTCGGCGAGATGGGTAATTAACAGTGAGAATCGTTTATTTTAATGAATATACAAGTAACGGTAAACTGTTAATGATATAGCACATTAATCGATCTTTAACTGTGCATTGAGAAGTTAAATATTTGGTATTTGGTGAACCATCTGTTCTTTTGAAACTTCCTACACATTTGTTTATTTTGCGGACATCCTGTATTATTCACACTGGTTTCTCTACTTACTGATGACCATACTCGTTCGTAGCATATGCTAATGCCATCATTGACATCAATTAAAATCCGTGTAGTGGTTCTGATTGGTCGTAAAAATGACCGCGCACTTAATCCGAATGGCCTAATAATAATAATTGCGGATATGTACACGTTATTTGATACAAGTTTATTTATTACTGCACAGTGTTCAATAAAAATGTCGATTTATATTTAATTATGATTTTTAGAAAGTCGTGAATGATGGTTATGTAATTTTACTATGGGAAACAAATGGATTTTATTTTGATGTAAGCTTAATTGCCTATGTAAATAATATTCGTATCATTTGCCTAATGTAAGTTTTAAATTGCAATGAAAATGAATAATTATTATGTTAGCAATTAATCAATTTATATAAGAAGATAATTTCATTGTTCTCGATTTCAAGGTGTTGGTGTGTTTAAACTTGAAATTCGCCATTTTAGGTGATGACAACTTGAGTCACCAGACTCACCTTGTCACAATTCAATTTCAGGAAAATTTACATTTTGAGATTGGGATTAATCTGCATACGGCAAACAACTCAATCAGCCTAAAGACCACGACTAAAATAAATAAGCTAGTAATTTGCGATTAAAATGTCACTACGTGTTATTGTACGAATGGCCATTTTTGCAATGCTTGCAAACTTTTTTTTTCTCTCTGATTAGTACGATTGATTTTCTCTGGAGTTCTAGAGTCGGTTGAGTCTCGAAAAAGTTCGCATGTGTTCTCATTTACTGTGAATTACTTTTCACTGTTCGCACTGAAGTAGGTGTCATTGAGTAGGCGTTAAATACTTTGGAAATTATAAGAATAAACAGGTTGCGGTTCGCATTATTACTCACTAACTTGCCCACTGAAACGAATCGTCACATACTGGGCGTTTAAAATATATAGTATTAACACTAAAATTGAGCATAAGGTAATAACAAAAATCACAATCAATTTTATTATACCAAAAAATGACCTTATGATTATATAACATATAACTTCTTGTCTTTTATTAAAAAAATGTGGGTTAAATACATAAATGCAATTTGTTCAAGCGACTAAACTACAATTCAAAGAGGCATTACACGCGTAGAACAAAGCGCGAACACGCGACAACTTTCAGACATCCGTAACGGATCATGTACTTACGAATGTGGGCAATTACGTCATTGCGCGAGAACAATTTGTCGGCAATCAAGTAATTATTGTGTTGTGTTGGTGCCAAATCCGATGTCATTGTTAAGCATTCAATATTTGACCATTTTAAAGGCTATTTTAAGTTTTAAGTGAATATAAACTAATGTAGACCTATCTATTGTTAAAACAACAAACACGATTTATACTTATTTGTTCCATGCAAATAAAAAAAGAACGAATTGCTATGAATGACGAAACATTACTAAATCAGCTTGCTGTGCAACAAAAGGGAAGTAGGCATAAAACGCTACCAGAACCAATCCGAATACCGGAGAAAGAAGGAGCCTATCGATTTGCGACTAAACGACGAGTCAGGCACGACTGAACACCTCTGTCGCTGCGCGCTCCTCTTCAATCACCGCAGACTACCCGCGAAAAGCGGTGGGGGTAGATGCAATGTTCAGGTACCTGTCAATACAAGGAGAAGTGAAAGGGCATGGTGCGTGGTTAACTGCGTGAGGGTAGATGTCATTGATGGGTGTGTCGCTTGCTTTCTATTGCCCCGTATCCAACATTTTTAAATTCCTGGGGACAAAAATAAAAATATAAGAAAAAAGCTAAACAACCTAAAAGACAAAAATCTTAAAAAATAGAGCCAATAGCGGAAATAACATTTTTTGTTGTTTCAGTATAAAATGTAAAAAATTGAATTCATTTTCCGGTGCGTTTAGCGAATGCTCATAATATCATGGATTTTCCAAGCCGAAAACTTCATTATTCATGCACGTTCGAGTGAAGCGCTGCGTGAAGAAGCAACTAATTCAGGCTAAACAAATTTACATATGAACGATGTACTTCACATCTGCTTTGTGCAAATTTTAAATGCAACTCGTGATTTGCGTGCCTTTAGCTTTTTGTAACACATTAAATACTTTTACTTTCGATTAGAAGATAGAGACTACATAGCCACGACCCCATTCAAACAAAATAAATAAAATTTAAATGATCTATGCTTCGAAATTATATTAAAAATTAAAATTCCTGAAATGTAAATGATATTTGTGTCTATTACATATACGATATTACAATTCTACGAGTGGGTATTGTGAAAATATTTCAAGGTTCAAATAGGTTGCAATGCAACGTTTTTTTTTTCATTCGTTACGCTCGTGGCGTTCATTCAAATGCGTTTGTAGAGTTCGCGCTCCAGCGATTTTTAACCGTCGGCATTGTTGATCAAACAAATCGACTTGTTAATTATGGAAAACTCGTACTCTTGCTTACTAAAAGTTGGATAATCAAATAATATTTACTCAAAATTTGGATAAATAGTTAAAAATCATAGAAATTACTGGTTAAGCTCCTCCCTTAATAATTAACCTATTAAAAGTTCATAGTATATGCAACCGAATATAATATAGCCTGTAAAAATACAATATAATTAATGATATAGCAAATCATAGTTCATAAATGATGTGAAAAAGTTTTTTGGATTTCGCCCAATTTTATTTTATTGATTATAACGTAATTTATTTCGACTGTAGTGATAAAACACCACTGACACACAAAACGATGGCGTAAGAAGTGGCCGGTGGTGGGCACAAGGCGGCACGGTTTGAAAACTGGGTGAACGGCACCACCACCGCCACCACTACTGTTTCACTGTTACTGCTTTAACGGTGTTGCTGCCGCCGCCGCCGCCAGTGCGCTGAATGAACGAACGCGAGTACTATCCAACCGTAAAAAATTGAATAAACCTCTATTAACGGCGGTTGAATGGGGTAGCTCGTAACGCATTGTCCACGATACAATAAATCTATTGTAACATACTTTCAATCGGCAAAGAAGTCATTCGGATAATATTGCGCTTTTAAAAGTTAACAGGTAAATTTACTTGTATGAATTATCACACATAGAAGGTAGATTTATATGTTAGTAGCGATAATAGACCTAAAATATTTATTATTTGCCGATTGCGTCATTTATGCGAATATTTCTTTTCATTTTTTTTTTTCATTCAAACGTTTTGTCGGTAGAATCAATACAAATGTGCCGATTTATTATATGCAACCAACATTTCTATTAAATTTGAACTGCATCAAGAAATTATTTATTTATAAATGGGATCTTGTACTTGTACTTGTACTGTAATTGTAATTAGGAAATGTGACATTCAATAATTAATGTTCTGCTAATTGTTGCACGTGCCGTGTGACTCAGGTTACTCTTAAATACTTAAAACACTCATTCTCCTATACAATCGATTTTCCTCGGTGTTGTTTGACTTATTCTAACGAATTTCATTTCTACCTTGCAGTCGCCACAGCTGCCCGCACAATCCAGAAAAGTATAATGACCACCTCCACCTTGAAGGTCCGTTTATAGGTACACCTAAAGATGAGTACAATGCGACGCGCGGGGAAAGGGCCCCGATTAAAATTCCCCAGGATAATCTGAAACTTGAGGGCGATTTTGTTAAGCGTACACCTGATGACTGGAAGCCTGCAGATAGGCCCAAACAAAAGAAACCACAGGATAATTTGTACAACGAAGGTGATTTTGAGCGTCCTGACAAGGTTTGTTATCGTCCCGGTGAGAGACCCACACCTATCAGACACAATGACAATCTTCGTTTGGAGGGAGATTTTGAGACCCCTGAAAAACCGAAGTTTGTACCTGCAGAACGTCCAAAACAAAAGAAACCCGAAGATAATTTATACATGGAAGGTGACTTTCCTAAGCGTAAACCTGATGAATGGCAACCTGCAGAAAGGCCCAAACAGAAGAAACCTCAAGATAACTTGTACAACGAAGGTGATTTTGATCGCCCTGATCGTCCAGAGTACCGCCCAGCTGAAAGACCATCACCAATTAAACCAGGTGACAATTTAAAACAGGAAGGTGACTTTGAACGCCCTGTTAAGGAAAAATATAGACCCGGCGAGAGGCCATCGCCAGTTAAGCAACCTGATAATTTGAAACAAGAGGGTACCTTTGAAAGACCTGATAAACCCAAATTTGTTCCTGCAGAACGTCCAAGACAAAAAAAGCCTGAAGATAATTTATATCTTGAAGGAGATTTTCCAAAACGTAAACCTGATGAATGGCAACCTGCAGAAAGGCCTAAACAAAAGAAGCCTCAAGATAACTTATATAATGAAGGTGATTTTGATCGTCCCGATCGTCCAGAATATCGCCCAGCTGAACGACCTTCCCCAATTAAACCAGGTGATAATCTTAAATTAGAAGGAGATTTTACTGGAACCAGGGAAGTCATAACTGACTACAGAACTTTCAAGGGTGAACGTGCTGAGGTTACCCGTCGTGTAGATAACATTGTACTTACTGGTGATTTTATTGGTAAGTGTAAATATTTAAAATAAGAACAGAATAAATATATGTTATTATTTTTGTGTTAATTTTTTCCCAGACGAAACCACGAACAAATCAACTTTCACAGGTGAACTTATTGAACGCGTTTCCCCAGTTCGTCGTAATACCTGGACAAAGGTTGATGGTGAGTTCATCCATGACACTACAAACCGTTCGGAATTCATCGATCACACCAATATTGAACGTACTACTCTGGTTCAGAAGAGGAGGGACAACTTAACTGTAGAAGGCGACATGTATTTTACAACATCTACCACTGAAGAGTTCACTGAGAAGAATGTGCCGGTTGAACAAAGACGTCGGAGAACCTGGACTAAGGACGATGTTGAGAAATTTTATTCTACTAGAGATGATATAGTCCATACCACCTCCCAAGATACATATAAAGTTATCAAAGATGTTAATATCAGAGAAGATGTTGTCATACATAGAGATAATCTTACTCTTGAAGGACCTTTTGATGGTAGTACCAGAGCTAAGGAAGATTTTGTGCCCAAAACAGTGGAACGGCCAACTCCAACAAAACCGGTCGATAACTTAAAATCAGAAGGATCATTTGATAAACGCAAACCAGTAGAATGGAAACCATCTGAAAGACCCTCTCCGATTAAACCCGATGATAATTTAAAACAAGAAGGTACTTTTGAAAGACCTGAAAAACCTAAATTTGTTCCGGCTGAGCGCCCAAAACAAAAGAAACCCGAAGATAATCTATATATGGAAGGTGATTTCCCTAAACGTAAACCTGATAAATGGCAACCTGCAGAAAGGCCTCAACAGAAGAAACCTCAAGATAACTTATACAACGAAGGAGAGTTTGATCGTCCTGATCGTCCGGAATACCGACCGGCGGAAAGACCGTCTCCAATTAAACCAGGCGATAACTTAAAGCAAGAGGGCACTTTCGAAAGACCAGATAAGCCTAAGTTTGTTCCGGCTGAACGCCCAAAACAGAAGAAACCCGAAGATAATCTATATATGGAAGGTGATTTTCCCAAACGTAAGCCTGATGAATGGCAACCTGCAGAAAGGCCCAAACAGAAGAAACCTCAAGATAACTTATATAATGAAGGAACTTTTGACCGTCCTGAACGTCCTGAATATCGTCCAGCTGAAAGACCTTCTCCAATTAAACCTGGTGATAATTTAAAACAAGAAGGAGATTTTGAACGCCCAGTAAGAGAAAAATATAGACCAGGAGAAAGACCGACGCCATTCAAACAGCCTGATAACTTAAAACAGGAAGGTACCTTTGAAAGACCTGATAAACCCAAATTTATTCCTGCAGAACGGCCTATACAGAAAAAACCTGAAGATAATTTGTATCTTGAAGGTGATTTTCCTAAACGTAAACCTGATGAATGGCAACCAGCTGAAAGACCCAAACAAAAGAAGCCCCAAGATAATTTGTATAATGAAGGTGACTTTGATCGCCCTAATCGTCCAGAGTATCGTCCAGCAGAAAGGCCCTCACCGATTAAACCAGGAGATAATTTAAAACAGGAGGGTGATTTTGAACGTCCAGTAAAGGAGAAATACAGACCTGGAGAAAGGCCAACGCCTTTTAAACAACCAGATAATTTGAAGCAAGAAGGTACTTTTGAAAGACCTGATAAACCCAAATTTATTCCTGCTGAACGACCTAAACAAAAGAAACCTGAAGATAATTTATATATGGAAGGCGACTTCCCTAAACGTAAACCTGATGAATGGCAACCAGCAGAAAGGCCCAAACAAAAGAGACCCCAAGATAACTTATATAATGAAGGAGATTTTGATCGTCCTGTTCGGCCAGAATATCACCCAGCTGAAAGACCATCACCAATAAAACCAGGAGATAATTTGAAACAGGAGGGTGATTTTGAACGTCCAGTTAAAGAAAAATATAGACCGGGTGAGAGGCCCACGCCATTCAAGCAGCCTGATAACTTGAAGCAAGAAGGTACGTTTGAAAGACCAGATAAACCTAAATTTGTCCCAGCCGAACGCCCAAAACAGAAAAAGCCAGAAGATAATTTGTATCTTGAGGGTGATTTCCCAAAACGTAAACCTGATGATTGGCAACCTGCTGAAAGACCTAAACAAAAGAAACCTCAAGATAACTTATACAATGAAGGAGAGTTTGACCGTCCTGACCGTCCTGAATATCGCCCAGCTGAGAGACCATCGCCAATAAAACCAGGGGATAATTTGAAACAAGAGGGTGACTTTGAGCGTCCAGTAAAGGAAAAATACCGACCTGGAGAAAGGCCAACACCATATAAACAACCTGATAATTTGAAGCAAGAAGGGACTTTTGAAAGACCAGATAAACCCAAATTTGTTCCTGCAGAACGCCCAAAACAAAAGAAACCCGAAGACAATCTATACATGGAAGGTGATTTCCATAAGCGTAAACCTGATGAATGGCAACCAGCAGAAAGGCCCAAACAAAAGAAGCCTCAAGATAACTTATACAACGAAGGTGATTTTGATCGTCCTGATCGTCCGGAATACCGTCCAGCTGAAAGACCCTCGCCAATCAGACCTGGTGATAATTTGAAGCAAGAAGGAGACTTTGAACGTCCAGTTAAAGAGAAATATCAACCAGGCGAAAGACCTACTCCATTCAAACAACCTGATAATTTGAAACAAGAAGGCACGTTTGAAAGACCGGATAAACCTAAATTTATCCCTGCAGAACGTCCAAAACAAAAGAAACCTGAGGATAATTTATATATGGAAGGTGACTTCCCAAAACGTAAACCTGATGAATGGCAACCAGCCGAGCGACCCAAACAGAAGAAACCACAAGATAATTTGTATAACGAAGGAGAATTTGATCGTCCTGATCGCCCAGAATACCGTCCAGCTGAAAGGCCATCGCCGATCAAACCTGGCGATAATTTGAAACAAGAGGGTGATTTTGAACGTCCAGTTAAAGAAAAATACCGACCTGGAGAAAGGCCATCTCCAGTGAAGCAACCTGACAACTTAAAACAAGAGGGCACGTTTGATAGACCTGATAAGCCCAAGTTCATCCCTGCGGAACGTCCAAAGCAAAAGAAACCAGAAGATAATTTATATATGGAAGGTGACTTCCCTAAACGTAAACCTGACGAATGGCAACCAGCCGAAAGGCCCAAACAGAAAAAGCCTCAAGACAATTTGTACAATGAGGGAGATTTTGATCGTCCCCATCGTCCAGAATATCGCCCAGCTGAAAGACCTTCACCAATCAAGCCAGGTGATAATCTTAAGCAAGAAGGGGACTTTGATCGCCCAGTTAAAGAAAAGTATAGACCTGGTGAGAGACCTACGCCCTTCAAACAACCTGATAATTTGAAACAAGAAGGTACCTTTGAAAGACCTGACAAACCCAAATTTGTTCCCGCCGAACGTCCAAAGCAAAAGAAACCGGAAGATAATTTATATATGGAGGGTGACTTTCCTAAACGCAAACCTGATGAGTGGCAACCAGCAGAACGACCCAAACAGAAGAAACCACAGGATAATTTGTATAACGAAGGAGAGTTTGATCGTCCTGATCGCCCAGAATACCGTCCAGCTGAAAGGCCATCGCCGATCAAACCAGGGGATAATTTGAAGCAGGAAGGCACTTTCGATAGACCAGAGAAACCCAAGTTCGTTCCGGCTGAACGCCCAACCCAGAAGAAACCCGAAGATAATCTATATATGGAAGGTGATTTCCCTAAACGTAAACCCGATGAATGGCAACCCGCAGAAAGGCCCAAACAAAAGAAACCTCAAGACAATCTATACAATGAAGGAGAGTTTGATCGCCCTGATCGTCCAGAGTATCGTCCAGCTGAGAGCCTTCACCAATCAAACCTGGCGATAACCTAAAACAAGAAGGTACCTTTGAAAGGCCCGAGAAACCTAAATTTGTGCCTGCGGAACGTCCCAAACAAAAGAAACCTAAGGACAATTTACTAACAGAAGGCGAATTTGAAAAACCGGAACGTGTTCCAGTTGGGCCCGCTGAAAGGCGAGTGTTGATAAAACAGGAAGACAATTTGATACTAGAAGGAGAAAGTATGATGCAACGACGGGATGATTATACAATTATCAAAGGCGAACGAGTGGATATCATTGTAAGAGAAGACAATTTGAAGATGGAGGGTGAGTTTATTGATAATCGTAGGCGTGATGACTATATTGTTGTCAAGGGCGAAAGAGCTGATGTGGTTGTGAGAGAAGACAATCTTAAATTGACTGGAGAATTTACCGATATTCGTAGTAGCGATGATTATTGTGTAACAAAGGGTGAAAGAGCAACGATTGTCACACGTGAAGACAATTTGAAAATGGAAGGTGAGTTTAATGAATATCGGAAGCGTGATGAATTCTCTACCAAACGAATTGATCGTTCGGAGATTATCAAACATGAGGACAATTTATATATGGAAGGAGACTTTGAAAAGCGGGTTATACAGAAAGTTGAACCTGGAGAAAGAAGGACACCTATTAAACATGGTGATAATCTTTACTTAGAAGGTGACTTTACTACACCAGTGAAGCCAAAATTCCAGCCAGCTGAACGCGTTACACCTAAAAAACCTAAAGATAATCTTCATAATGAAGGAGATTTTGAAAGACCTAAACATGAACCGGTTGGCCCTGGAGAAAAGAGAACTCCGATACGACATGGAGACAATCTCTTCCTGGAAGGTGACTTTTACTACTCCAGAAAAGCCTAAATTCCAGCCAGCTGAACGTGTTACACCCAAGAAACCTAAAGATAATCTTCATAATGAAGGAGATTTTGAAAGACCTAAACATGAACCAGTTGGCCCTGGAGAAAAGAGAACTCCGATACGACATGGAGACAATCTCTTCCTGGAAGGTGACTTTGTTACTCCCGAAAAGCCAAAATTCCAACCCGCAGAACGTGTCACACCCAAAAAACCTAAAGATAATCTTCATAATGAAGGAGATTTTGAAAGACCTAAATATGAACCAGTGGGTCCTGGAGAAAAGAGAACTCCGATACGTCATGGAGACAATCTCTTCCTAGAAGGTGACTTTGTTACTCCCGAAAAGCCAAAATTCCAGCCTGCAGAACGTGTTACTCCTAAAAAACCTAAGGATAATCTTCAGAATGAAGGAGATTTTGAAAGACCTAAACATGAACCGGTTGGTCCTGCAGAAAAAAGAACTCCGATTTACCATAGTGACAACTTGTTCTTAGAAGGAGACTTTACGACTCCAGAAAAACCGAAGTTTCAACCTGCTGAACGTGTTACTCCTAAGAAACCTATTGATAACCTTCACAATGAAGGGGACTTTGATAGGCCCAAACATGAACCAATTGGGCCTGGTGAAAGAAGGACTCCAATTAGACATGGAGATAACCTCTTTATGGAAGGAGATTTTGTTACTCCAGAAAAACCTAAATTCCAACCAGCTGAACGCGTAACGCCCAAGAAACCTAAAGATAATCTTTGTAACGAAGGAGACTTTGAGAGACCTAAGCATGAACCATTTGGACCCGGTGAGAGAAGAACTCCAATACGTCATGGAGACAATCTTTTCATGGAGGGTGATTTTACTACTCCAGAAAAGCCTAAATTTCAACCCGCCGAACGTGTCACACCGAAGAAACCTAAAGATAACTTACAAAATGAAGGTGATTTTGAAAGGCCAAAACATAAACCAATTGGCCCTGGCGAGCGTAGAACACCAATACGTCATGGAGATAATCTTTTCATGGAGGGTGATTTTACTACTCCAGAAAAGCCTAAATTTCAGCCTGCTGAACGTGTCACCCCTAAGAAACCTAAAGATAACTTACAAAATGAGGGTGATTTTGAAAGACCAAAACATAAACCAATTGGTCCAGGTGAACGTCGAACCCCAATTCGTCATGGAGACAATCTATTCCTGGAAGGAGACATTGTAACTCCAGAAAAACCTAAATTTCAGCCAGCGGAACGTGTTACTCCTAAAAAGCCAAAAGATAATCTTCAAAATGAAGGCGATTTTGAGAGACCAACTCAAAAACCTGTTGGTCCCGGGGAACGTCGTACTCCAATTCGGCACAATGACAATCTATTCACTGAAGGAGAATTCACAACTCCAGAGAAGCCTAAATTCGTACCAGCTGAACGCGTTACTCCTAAGAAGCCTAAAGACAACTTGCAAACTGAGGGTACTTTTGAAAAACGCGTAACCACTGTGGTCACCAAAGGAGAACGCGCAGAAATTGTCAAACACGAAGACAACCTCAAAATGGGAGGTGACTTTATTGGTAAACCCAAGGACGACTTTAAACCAGTTCGTGGTGACCGAGCTCCTGTAAAGAAACCACAAGATAACTTAAAGCTGACCGGAGATTTTAAATCAACCACCACCGCACAGAGCCAATTTACAGTGGTCCAAGGAGAACGTGCTGTTATCAAAAAACACGAGGATTCTTTGAAAGTCACCAGCGGAACTACCGATTATACCACAACAAGCAGGGAATCAATGTCTCCTAAAAAAGTTACAACACCATCTCCAACCCATGCTATTGTTAACAGAAGAAGACATATGGAATCCAGCATCGTAATTGGCAGTGACTATGGTACCAGTACCAATAATGTAAGGAGCACAGTGAAAAACGTAAAAGATGTCAGGGAAACCAATGTGAGGTCGTCAAATATTAAGGATACTACTGTGAAAGAAACCAATGTGGTTAAAGATACTGTGAATAAAATATCAGGCGACAGCAAGACGGATACATCAACAGATGTTAAGACCTTAGCAGATGGTACCATTGTAAAGACGACCAGGACAATCACGAAAGTGCGACAAGGTCAGGTAAATGGTCATCATCAACAAAGTGCCACAGAGAAATCCACGTCGAGCACAAATATCAACCAAATCAACAAATCGTCATCTTCAACACACGTCAGTCACAACACGCAACAATCAAGCTCGAATGTCAATCAACAGTCAACCTTGATGTCTTCATCATCAAACATCTCCAATGTAAACCAAGTGTCAAAGTCGTCATCATCCGCTCACATTTCTAAATCAACCCTTAATCAAAACACTCTACAACAAACCTCTTCATCATCTGCTCTGAACGAAATCAAGTCCCATCACGACAGTCATCACAGGAAAAGCGTAATGTCTTCGAACGTAGACATGTCCAACCAAATACTGCATCGAAAATCACAGGTATCTTCAGTTGATAACGTACACTCTCAACACATGTCCAATACAAGTACAGGAATGGATATTCGTAAATCCATCTGTAACATACACGATCAAGGCTATGTCAACAAGTCGCACCATCATGACTCATCAAGAAACACGTTGTCGTCGATTCATAGATCAAGCCAGGAAGCAACCCAATCACAAAACATCAAGAAAGGAGGATGGTCCAACGCGTCTTATCAAGTTATCGATCGCCCACAAAAAATTGTACGCAGAGATAACCTCTCAGTAGGAGGAAACTTCTACGGATCATCAGAAGCGAAATCTTACGGTAACTTCACGAAACAACAGAATATTCAACAAGTTGAACGAGTTACGCGTCGTTCGAATATGTCGCATATCACTCTTGGAGAAAGTAATGTCAACGTGGTTACTTCTTATAAAAAAGAGTACACTCCAAGGAATATTGGGCCTTGTCCTGCTACATTGATCGACACGCCCAAGACGCCATTCCGTCACACCAGGGACACCAAAACTCATAAATTCTATTCGGTTGAAACAAAGTAAATGCATTACATTAACTTTTTTACATTGCTTTTTTACGTATTGGACTTTTGAATGGAGCTTTAATTTGATTTTCCTAGAATTTGCTTTGATTTATATTACTTACATATAATTGATTATTTTCTTTATATTATTATGCAATTGTAATCAATTTTTTTTTTATGCTACCATACAGCATGTGCTTAAGAATCGTAACATTGTGATAAGGCAACTTGCGCGTATGCAAACGTGTAAGTTTGAGCAATTGTTTTCTAACCATGACTATATTATATTAGATTTAAGTTTATATTTTAGTACTTGATACGCAATCGTTAAACAAATGCAATAATGTTTGTTTTCTCGCTTTTTGTTCGTTTATGTTATTCGTTTTATGTTTATCTTATCGAATAAAATATCTATTACTTAATGCTTTTTATGATTTTTTTAAAATAGCTCCAATGATTATTTGTAATCATCAAAATGACATTGGATGCTCGAGTTTAACTATTTACAAAGAATTATAAACATTTTAAAAAATGGGACACAATTTAATAGCAGTGAGCTATTAATTTTAGTGTTTCATTGTTTATTTATTGTTCTTATCAGTTATTTAAAGCGGCCATTTTGAATTTGAAATATCAGGAATTGCTAAACCAACTGCCTTGTAAATATTATCAAAATAAATCACTACTTTTGTAAAAACTAATATTTAATTCTCCCATACTACGTTATTTTTTTATCAATTTATTAAGGATGCACTGTTATTACATTTCTTGTGGGTGTTAGATAAGTCCAGCGAATATAAAAACAATACCCAGAATAAATTTCGGTTAGTTATGAGCAAAATGTTTTGGTTATCGTGTTGTGTAGTTTTAGCGACATGTTTTTTTCAAATGCCAACAATCTCGGCGGGTTCTAGAGTGCATCGTGTTCGCCGCATTGTGGGAGGCGCACCGGCACAAGTACCGCCTGCTGATGATCCTAAAGTTTACCTTCGTTTCGCTGGAAAAGCTGCACAAATTAAAGGTGTATTAGACCAACCACATTATGTCTTTAGAGGAATACGATATGGATTGAAACCATCCGGAAAAGACAGATTTCAGGTAAAATATATAAAATGCAATGGAATTATTATAAATTTATTATTTACCTATTATAGCGTCCTAGACAATATTTCCTTGAAGGTGACATTGATGCAACATTGTATCCGCCGCCATGTTTGCAAACAATTCCTGGTGATGGACGAGTCATCGGCAGTGAAGATTGTTTATTCCTCAATGTGTTTACACCTGATTTACCTGATGGCACTGAAGGACTACCGGTTGTTATATGGATCCATGGTGGTGGTTTTAGATATGGATCAGCATCACAATATGGAGTATGCATAAAATAAAAACAAAATGGCAGAATAATTACTTTGTGTTGACCTATAGGTTAGAAATTTAGTGGGAAAACAATTGGTAATCGTCCCGATTCAATATCGTTTAGGTACATTAGGTTTTCTTAGCACTGGTACACCTGAACTTCCTGGTAATGCGGCTCTTTGGGACATGGCCCTTGCAGTGCAATGGGTTCGTAATTATATAGGTTATTTTGGTGGCAACCCACATCGCATCGTTGTAATGGGGCAAGGATCTGGTGCCAGTAGTGCTCTAATGGTTGCATTATCCAACATAGCAAAAGGTTCGATATTAAAATTATATCTAACTTATTTTTGATAATATAATTAATTTAATTAATAAATAGGTTCTATAAGTGCGGTAGTTGCAATGTCAGGCACAGCTATCTCAAACTGGGCTGTGGAAAATGCGCCAATGATAACTGCCCGCGAGATTGCGGAATATCACGGATGTCCAACAACATCCGCCATGATTCTACTGAAATGTTTGCAAAATGTAAATGCAGAGATAATCGCAGAAGGCGACACTATCTTGGAACGAACGCGTTTGACCAATCGAGGATTCGTCACTGGCCTGAACGGAATGCTTGGTGCTGCGCCAAATGCAGAGGGACGTTTTGATGGCCGGTCGCTACCGGCCGCCATTGAACAGCCTCCAATGGATGATATGACTCAAGGAAATATTCCTAAAATACCGATTCTAACTGGTATAACACGCGATGAAACAAAGCGCGCGGTTGAAAGTCAATACCAAAGTGAAATAATAGAGAAACTCAAGGGCATTCCCAATTTTATGGACCAAGTTTTGATTAAAAACTTACAAAATTGTACCCATATTAATGACGCTGCTAAAAATGGTACTAAACAAAGTGGAGGATATTTTAATCTCTTAAATCCACTACAATTTCGAAATTATTTAAAAATCGCAAGAAATAATTTCATTCAGGGACTAAGTAAAATCGCTGAAGCAACAAGTAAGGTTATATAAGTAAAATAATTACTATAAGGTAACTAATATTGCTTTTGCATATAGATGATGCACTGTTTAATTTACCAGCATTTTTGACGGCTGATTTATGGTCTAAAAAGGGAGTCGAATCATATTTGTATCGTTTTGACCATATTAGTCAAAATAAAAACGGTTTTGGTCATTTGTTCCTTAGAGGATTGCCTATTATTGGAAATAATACGGCAGGTAGGATTTATCTGCTTACAATCAATCAATTTTACTTTAAATATAACTTTAAAATAACTAATTACAGAATTAAACGATACTGTAAGCCATGGCGACGACTTGGCTTTCATTTTCGAAGCTCGTAACCTCGACGGATCAGCAATGGACCCACCACCAGTACTAAGCGAAGAAGATCTTAAGGTGTGCGACGAATATACGCGTATAATCGCTGAGTTTGCACGCACCGGAAAAATCACCATCGATAAGAAACCTGTAGAGAAATTTTCCGGAAGTAATTTTATTCAAATTGCAAAGAAACCAAAGGCTAACAATAACTTTCGGTTCTGTGAAATGGCGCTATGGGCGGGTCTTGCCGATAGATTAAAGAGTAGCACGTGTCAATTCTTGAACGCGTTAGACACAACTGTAAAAAGTGCCGAGAACTTATTTTTTGATACAGTAGCGCCAGCGCAGAAAAATATCGGCCAAGGATTGGCCGATACACAGAAAGCTATTGGCAATACTGCACAAAAGATCAATCCGTTGAACCTTTTCAACCGGAAACCAGCGACGCCCAAAACAAAAACTAACTAACGCGATGATATTTGATTATTTTATTGGTTTTTGTTTAGGTACACGAATACAAGCGAAATCCAAATAACATATAATATGTAGAAGTACATCGAACGCAGGTTTTCAGAACTTTGTTTGTATAGACATCCTAATACAGCAGATATACCGAGAACAAAACAATACCTATCGTCCATAACCGGGATGTGAGTGTGCGATGTATTTATAACAATGGGTCAATTTCGTTTTTGTTAAATCTTAAAGACACTGGGGACATCACCACAACATGTAAACACGTACGAAAAATATTCATATATCCGCCCACGATAATCGCGCAATTCCTCGCTCTCTCTCTCCATATATAGATATTCTTTTTGCCTACTCACTATGCTTATGGATTTACTTTGTTATTTACAAAACGCATTCGCAAACTTAAATAAGTATTTTGATCAGTCAATATAAAATATATGATTCATTGTATATTATATGTCCATCTGTACTAAAAGATGCGCGCCTCGCCGAGATCAAACGTTTTTCAAGTTACGTTTACAGATACACAACATACTCAACATTATATAACATTTTTCAACATTTATCAAGAATCTCGAATCCAAGTAGAAAAATATTCGTTGCACCTTGTCAATCCATACAAACCAAACACGCAATTATCATTATATATCATTAACAATTATTCTAATAATGCATTTCGTAAATGAACAATTTCACAATTTGTATATAAGTGAAATATGTGTAATAATATAAGCTCGACGTAGATTGCAATATGCAATCGTAAAGAGTTCAATTTGATTTGTTATCGAATCAGCTATAGATAAAATGGACACAAGTACGAATATATGCACAAGGGTACACAATCACAATTAGTGTTCTTTACAAGTTTCTAAAATTACATTTTTTGTTTCGTGAATCTGATTCACTGATTGCACAAAACACGTGTTTTATGTGCTGGGCACCTTCAGAAACCGAAATGCACAAAATGGCAGCGGCGCCTGTTAGTAAATCATAAGACCCTTTCCCTCATAAAGAACTCAGCGTGTGTATCACAGTCGTTTCATATGTTCTAAAATAATTATTCAGGCACATCTTTAAAAATGTCATCGATATTAGACTTGCTAATAAGTTCGCAATCAGGTAGGCTCGGTTCCAGGCTAACATTAACACCTTTCAACTCTCCATCCGAAAATGTGGAATATACAGTGTTGCTGTCGTCCGTCGGCGCTGGCATAAAGTTAATCGGCTTCTCCTTAATAGGCTGCCCGTTCAGCAGATAATCATGGCCCTGACCATAATTAAATGTCTCTGAAGCAAGTGGTGTGGTCGGATAGGATTTAGAGCTGACATTAATTTTATCAAATGTTTGAAAATCTACAGTAGGATGATAGGGGAGTGGTGTATTCGGCACCGATCTGGACGGAAACTTAAGCTCATCATCATTCCGCGTACGGCACGATGCATTGTCAAACATGTGTAGATCGCCTGGTAGTGATTCCATATCGTTGATGAGCTCATTGACGGCCATATTTTCATTCAGCTCTGAACTCATACCCGCCGGCGGGTAGTTAAACGCATTGTAGATTTGATTCTGTTCGGCGTTAACAGGGACAGACTGTGAGCGGAAGGAATTATGAGGTTGTGGTAAAGTATCGTCTATTACATGCGGAGGATAAGCGGATTGTGTACTGGGATAAAACTTACCATACGCGTATGTTTTTGGACTCGGCGGTGCCGACATCGGTAAATTTACCATTGTATTACGATACTCGACAGGGTCGTGGTGGTGGTTGAGTTTCAGCTCCAGATTCGGGAGTTTCGGTTTCGAGGTACGGTGTTTAACCGCGCGCAGGATTGGGGTATTACGGGGACTAACAAAAGGACTTGCGTTAGCGCTCGAGCACATCGACTGCTTACCGCCGTTCGGGCTGGAAATAGGGATAAAGTTAACCTCATTGCGTCGCCGGAACGAGTAGTCATCCTGCACAGTCGTGTCGAAACTAACGCGTCGCTTCGCATTCATATTCTGCGCCGATTTTTGCGCATTGCGTTGATTATTTTTACTCGCTGGCGTGAACGCTGAAGAAGTGCTACTTGCAGGGCAGTTTTGAACGAGCAACTCACGCAACTGGACAAGTTTATCGCCGTCATTATTACCTAGGTATTTGATGATCTCTTCTTCTTGTTGCTCTTGGCTGTTAGATGTACCGAGATACTCGTCTAGAGCGTCTTTGGAGACTTGACTTACACTTTCGAGGCGTTCGCGCGAAAAATACGGCGATGGGTCATTAGAAGAAAGAAACGCCAGCGCTTCCTCCTTTTTAATCTTCTTCGGCTTGCCGTTATCGACACCTCCATTATCGACCATGTCTTTCGAATCAAAAGATTCGATATCACAAAACTCAGGTTTCGGCTGAATTACTTTGTACTTGCTGCTTTTATTTCGCTTCGACGCGGATTGTTTCGCAATGCGTGTTGGTGCCGCCTTGCCTAAACCGCAAAAATAATATTGTTATGTCATTGATTATATTATTCTGATAATAACCTACCGATATAATTTGACTTGTTCGTAATGGTAGAATCAACATCGGGCGTCGTTGACGGCGGCCGGTGAAAGCTATTAAAATCAGGTAACGAATTATTGGCGCTATCACAGTTTGATGAATATTCATGCGTCTGTGGGCTGTGCTTGTTCTCCAAAGGGACGATCGGTGATGTGCTGCAGCTCGTTGACGGCGGTGATCCTTTAAATTTCTTACCACGAAACTTTTGTTCACTCTTTTCCGTTTGCATCTGCTTATACACACATATAACTAATCAGAGCCAACGAAAATTAAACAAATTATTTTAATTACCTGTTTCCTTTTACTCTCTTTCGTCTGCTGAAGCTTGCGCTGCAGCTGCATCGTTGTCTCTTTGTGTTTATTGATGTAACCATAATGAGTATTGTCTACAAATCAACACACAAACAAAATTTGTTATTTTTACAAATCTACAATGTTTTTTTCCACTCATAAATCGTTATAAGGCAAGATAAAATCCGCTGTGAATCATACACGACTTCAAGTAGCTAATGTTATCTATTATCTGCTCTCAACTCTAGGCTGTTTAATTGTTTAGTTCAAACGATAAGCTGCACATTTAATTTACGGCGAGTGCCTGATAAACACTAACTCAAATGTATAAAAATAACTCTGATTTGATAAAATAACTTACACCTACTCTTGAACAAGATATAAAAATTAAAGAAAAAAACAACTTAAATATCCGGTTAAAAATATGCTAAAATGTAAATGCAACATGACTTGCATACATTTAAATAATTATCCTGCATATTAAATACGGCGATTCTTTCTTTGGTACTAGTAATATTTGTTTATTTACCGCTGCAAGTCGTCGTGGCCAACGTCGTCACAACCTGCGCTGCTTCCGAACCAATCGCAATCGAAAGCTCTTTAACCAAGTAGTAAGCTAACGATATGGCACTTTGAAATTGTACCGAGAGCTTCTCTTCCGCCCATTCTTTGATTATGTACCATGCGGCTGCCATGTAATCGGATTGGGTACAATTTGCTTCTGTTGACTAAATTGAAAAACAAAATTGAGGTTATATTTTGAGGTTAAAGCATATGAATGCGCAGTCTCACCATTGGTTTGTCAGACAAATCAGGCAAAAGTGGCGCATCCAGTTTAACGCGACTGCGCAGCCCCGAGTAGCAGTACTTGCTCTGACCACGAGTACCAAGTCGTCGTGGGCGTACATTCGGATACACCTGCTTCATCACCTTGCCAAAGTCAGCGGTGGAAAGCGGTTTGATACCGTTCGGTTCACAGAACGATACATAATCATCATAGACGCCTTTCTTCTGCAGCGACAACTCCTTATCTTCCTCCAGGTGCGTTTGAATCCAAATTATAGTCTGGTTAATCTCGCTGCGACTGCCCAATGGATTCATTGATTGCCGCAGCGGGTCGACGGCGCCCGTTTGCTCGGTGGGCAGTTTCAGGTACAGCAGCAGCTGCTCGATCGGCAGCAGGCCGTATACCTGATCCAGCAGGCATTGTATTTTTTGCTTGCCCTTTTCACTGTTGGCAAAACAAAGCGCTGATATTAATTGAAAAGTTTCCATTTCAATTTCTAGGTCAGTTAAGATAAGAGCAACCGATAGTGCTTGCAGGAATGCAATAAGTGCATTCAAAGTTATTATTATATAATTTTGATAGCGAAGTGCTTTTTTTAACTTGGTGCTGCATAAACCAGTCGCCATTTGACATTTAAACATTTCGGCTGTTTCAGAGTGTGCAAGATGTTGTTGTGAAAGAGTGTATTTTTTGTTTTTATGCAACGATTTGATAAACCGTTATAAATAACGACATGTCACGATAACATGTGTTTGTCGCAAACAATGTAGTAGAATTAAAGATTCGTGTATTAAAATTGGTTAAATTTTCATTAGTTACTAAATTAGTAGGCCTAAATAATAATTTATAGGCAACCAAATTTACAACAATTGAATATTAAATGATGTTACTTAGTTGTTTGCCAGTGTGTAATCGGCAATATTAATCTTTGTTTAGTTTAATTGTGTGCGGAACGCATCTGAAGTTGTGTATTTGGGGGTTTTCAATGTTAATTACGCCGGCGCGCAGGATTGATAACGATTTATCTCCGCAGCGAGCAAGCGCGCGGTCGGGCAAACATATTGTACTATCACAACGTATTACTTAACATGCTTAACATCATCAAGACGCATTAATCTGTCCGGCGGTTTTCGACAGCACGGTGCCATTTTTGTGCCCGATTTCGTATTCCTGCTGATGCCGCTGTATTACGACAGCGATCAGCTGTACACTTGTTGCTGCCGCTCTTTTCGGCGCACGCACACACACACTCGCCCGGGCGCGCACTGCTTGTTCTGCTTACCTGACGACCGCCTGCACATCCTGCTGCAGCAGGTAGTTGCGATTACGGTGCTCTTTATTGTTGTTGGCGGAGTCATGCAGACTCCAGCCGGCGGCGGCGACGGCGGGCTCCATGGCCTGCGGTGGCGCTAGTTCGAGCAGCGCGGACAGTGCAACATGACGGCGATCAGCTGGCGGTGGGCGGCGGGTCGTTGCAGGCGTGCGCTGCCGTCGGCCGTCGACCGCAAACGAGCGAGTAGGACTGACTGAGTTGATGGTTGAGTCCGCTCACCGCTACACCGCTGCTTTTTTTAACAATCTCAAGGATTCGCGGGGCGCGCGTCACGTCGACTTCCTTCGGCAGGTTCAGCAGGCCTGCGACGTTGCCGCACTGAGACTCCCAATCCCATTCGATTGCGATTGTTACGTAAAGTGTTATGTTCGTTAGGTTCATTAGGTTTTATCGGCTTATCTAACGACCGCTTTTATTGTCTATTTGATCGCATCGACTCCGCAGCGTCGTCGTTTTGATTCGTTTAATTGCATGTTTTTCGCGATAACGCCACAAAATGCTTTAAATACACACCCAGATAAAAACACTAATAATTATCGTCAATTATCAATTTGTTTGGCAATCAATCAACTTACCAAAACACTAAGTTCATTGTACATAGTTTAAAATAAGTTTAGCGCCAGTTATAAACCAGGCTAGCAGCCATTTTAAATTTTAAGTTGGCAATGCTTCTATCGTTACCTGTTGAACTTTCATATCCATTCATTGTGTATTGATTATTGAATGTATGATTCGTTATTATTTAAAGTATAGATGTTTTAAAATGTCATCAAATAGTGATAAATGGCTGCGTTTGTGCTTCGAACCAAAAGAATTGCAACTTAAAGGAACATTAAACGGCGGCCAGTCTTTTAGGTTAGTTTTTTTTAGTAACTACCTATATTTTCAAGTAACTAGATGTTATTATTAAACGAAGCGTTTAAAAATCATTGCAGGTGGAAGCAAATTGATTCTGAATGGATCGGGGTTTTTAATTCAAAATTATGGCGCATAAAACAATATGAACACGGAATAGAATTTAAAGTTTATACCTCGAATGATGACGAACCATTAGTAAAAAAGCAAAAGATTATTGAGAGTTCATGTAGTACAGATATAGAAAGTATTAAAGAGTTAAGAGATTATTTTCAATTAGACTTCAATCTTAGGGAACACTACACTCAGTGGTGTAAAGCTGACGAGTTGTTTAATTCCGTCGCAAACGACTTTTATGGTATCCGGATGCTCAAACAGGAAGTGCTCGAAAATATTTTCTCATTCATCTGTTCAAGCAATAACCATATTTCAAGGCAAGTATACCTCTATATCAATATAAAACTAATTACTAAATTCAATTTATTTGATGGCAGAATTAGTAGTATGGTTGAAAAATTAGCAATTTTCTATGGTAAAGAAATCTGCTCCTATAATGGCTCCACATATTATGCATTTCCAACAATTGAGGCTTTAAATCAAGATGGCGTCGAAACAAAATTACGCGACAATGGTTTCGGCTACAGAGCGAAATACATCGCAAACACAGCCAAAATAATCGCAGAAAAAGGTGGAAATAAATGGATTACCGCATTGCAAGCGATGCCATACAAGGAAGCGAAGAGTGAATTGATGACGCTCACCGGCGTCGGCGCAAAAGTGGCTGATTGCATATGTTTAATGTCTCTGGCTCATACGAGCGCCATTCCAGTAGACACACATGTTTACCAAATTGCGAGGCATTACATTTCTGACATGCCGAAACAAAAGACAGTCACGGACAAGTTGTATCAACGAATCGGTGATCATTTTCGGAAATTATACGGACCATCTGCAGGATGGGCGCAAACGGTAAGACTATTGAAATTATTAATGTTTGATCAATAATTCTTCATTCAAAGCACTATAAAATGTTGCATGTTGCAAGTTATAAATTGTAGTTACATGATTCTAGGTATTGTTTTGTGCGGACTTAAAGAAGTTTCAAGCGAGAGATTAGACATGATTTGTGGACTGTTTCTGGACTCTTAAAGTTTTAGTCCAACTGCATTCCTTCATCATCTTCTTTGTCTTTCTTGTCTTTGCCATCTTTACCGGCAGGCTTCTCCTTGTCGACCTCGGATTTCTCCAACGCTTTGACAAACTCCTGAATATTACCTTCGTTGGCAGCAGCGATCACTTCCGGATTAGCCACCAATTGTGACACAACTGGGCCCAGCTGACCAGATTCCAATGCGTTCGAAAACTGAGACACCGCCTATTTATAATTAAATAATCAGTATTAAATTATTCTTTTAAATATTTGGCGTTATTTTACCTGCTGAAATTGAGGGGATTGCAAAGTAGACTTAAGCTGTTCTTGCGGAGTACCATCAGTAGTAGGCAGATGATTCTGCAACTGCTCGAGCGCTTCCTGGTTGCTCATGATGGAACTGAGCGCATCGCTGGTGAGCGCAGTTGAGAAGTCAACTGACTGATCTGCGTTCGGCGCCGACAGCCCTTGCAAGTAGTTACGTAAATCGGAAAGTTGGATGGGCTTGGTGGTTGGGTTACCTTTCTTTGGGGCGGCGGGTGTCGCGCTCGGAATCGGCGCCGACTGCGGCGTTGTCGTGGCTGAGGCAGCCGCTGTCGCCGACGTGGGTGTTTGCGTCGCCGGAGTGCTAGCCGCTGTTCGATGCGTCAAACTCGGCGTGGTTGCGTTGCTCGTACGAGCGCTGCCGCCAGTCGAAGGACGACTAAAATGTAAGAAACGGAAGGTGATCATTGCTTCTAAACTTAATTTATTGATTATCTTACCTCATAGTTCCAAGCAAACTGGACAATCCACCCATCTGTCCACCACCAAGCAACTGCATCAATTGTGTCTGAGACATGTTGTTTAACAAAGATTGCAGATCTTGATCAGCATTATTACTCTGCAGACCACCGGGATTATTCAAATACTCGTTAATACGCTTGCAATGATCATCATCCTTATCAGTTCTAGGTTCCTATACATTGCCAACAATGAAAATAGTAAGAAACATTATTATTTTTATTACAATTCTATAATTACCTGCAGCCAAAAGAAGAACCTTCTATTTGATGACTTAAACTTCAACAAATATACCCTACCAGTAGTACACTGTGGTACTTTAACATATTCACAGTCCTCAGGAAAGATAATCAAATCATCCTCCACTACCCCAGTGGTTCTATCCTGCCAACTGAAGTGCATAAGTGAATCCTCACTTTGGTACACATACAACAAACCCTTACGTTTATCCGGATAAACAGTATGACCTAGAGTATTCAAACAAACAATACTTTATTTATAAGTTTCACTTTGAGATATCGCGTACTGATGACTTACCTTTGAGTGTCATTTTTCCGGCACGCATCTCAATCAAATGCTTGCTACCACCAGTGGAGCCAGGTCCTGCTGAGGCATTGCCGAATAGTGCACCGCGTCCAGACATGATTACAGCAGATTCAACTTTAGTTGGAATACTTGCAGAGCTTATAAACGCAAATTTGTATTGATTCGGCGATAGATGCAACTCACTGCGAGAAGTCCAACGCGTTTATCATGACTGGCAGTTGTACATTTGACAGGCAGAGTGAAAGCGACATGCGAAAACAAAGCAAAGTACAAAACCAAAAATTGTAGGAAGATTCTGTCTAAGATTTAGAGCAAAATTAGGATTTATAATTTAGATTTTGTAATACATTAGTTTAGAAATGTAAGAGTACTAAATGTAATGTTACTATAAAATTTGTAAGTATTGTTTTAATAGTGCGGCAATGCGACATCTGTGAGTGTATGTTAAAACTAACTACTTGGAAACTTATTCGAGCAGTTTCCTTAATAATTCAAACTAGTTGTTCAAACACTGCAATCTTTTACTAATGCTTTCATTTTCTATAAATACAGAGGGCTTGAAGATTATGTTTATAAATTAATTTTGATATAACATCTGTATTACATAGTAACGATCATAAAACATGATTTATGCGCAGTTTTTTCTCCGGTAGCCTTTGAAGTGTGAGTTATTAGCTATTCGGCAATAGTTTAAACTATAGTTTTATAGCATTCCGAATCTTTTGTACAATTAATCAGTCAATAAACATCATGATTCATCAGATAATGTGCAATACGCTCGCTTGTTTAGCGGCATGTGGGTAGTGGGTATAAATTTGATAAAAATTTGGCGCTCCGCCATCACTCTAGTCTGCCCGACCGGCCATTGCGATTCGTGCTCGCCAAACGCAACACACAACACCGCACAGTGCACTATGCACAGTACACAATGAACATTCAACAAATGTCGTTTGCGATGCAAATAAAACTTTATAACTATCGTTCGTACTAGTATTGCCACTACCAGGGCAGTTGTGTGGTACCACGATGCCAAGTCACGGCTTGAGGTCTTGAAGATTTTTTTAAGGCGACATGAATGCGTCTTGCTTGCCAACACACATTCTTTACCTAATTATAATTCGGAAATCGGCAAGTCTACGATATTTAAGCGTTGACCATTTTATTGTTTCATCTTTTATGATGCTGCAATATTCAGGACCATAACTTCTTTACTTTCTAGTACTTTTTGGACACATTGTTGCTTTGGCACGTAAAAATAATAACGAGGCGCAAGGAAGTCATTAAAGCAGCGTCACGTAGAAAAGGCGTAAGAAAACGCAGGAAAATGAAAAGGTTTTCCTCTCGCGAAGAGTAAGAGTAAAATACGTTGCGCATACCTATACAACTAAGTCGGAAGTCGGAAGTCGGGCTTTTTGTCCCGCGGCACATCGTCTGATGGCAAAATCGATGACAACCCTCACCAATACACGTACATACACATTGGATGTGTCACCAAAACAGCGAAACTTTTATCAACAAGGAAAATCATGCCTGCCTCCTGCTGTTCTCTGTGTGATAAGAATTAATCTCAAAGTCAATGATGAAATGACTTGAATAATATCAACGCTTGATGGGAATTAGACAAAAGAAAAACAATAGGGGTAATTTGTGTCTGTTTGATTACATCGTGCGTGATGACGATTCTAACACAGGCTGGGGATGCTGCGCGCAGGAATTGGGTCACGGGACGCTTTCCGGCTGCGACGTCATCGCTGCCGAGGGAGAACAAGCGCGTAGAAGGGTTGCAAGTGAAAGCGTGCAAGAGTGAAGGAAGATCCAGCGCGTTTGAGGCCGGGAGCCTGGTCAAGGCTGTCGGGTCAGGGTTGTATTATTATTATACTGCGCCGTCATCTGCGTTAGAGTTGATATTTGCATAAAGTTGATGTTACCGTTTCTTGTTTCTTGTGTTTCGGCACAAAACTACTGCAAAAATGGAAATGGAATGGAATGGAATTGAATGGGATAGACGGAAATACAATTTCAACGTGCTGCAGGATGTTTTAAGCCCAAAGAAGAGAAAAGTGAATATATTTTGAATAAGTCTACTCTTGATTCATATGCAAATGTACGCAGAATGGAAACAATTGCGAGATTTTTTGCACAACTTAAGAGACAGACAATGAATAATCTAGAGAAATCAGTATGTAAATTTAAATTGTGTTGAATATTTACTTTTTGTCAAAAATTTACATAAAATTTCATATTTTTTGGTTATATTATTGTTTACAAGTTTTAATATACTTCTATTCAGATGATAGGCAAAGTTTAGTTTTGTTATAAATTATAAATAGTGCGTGTTACAGGTGCTTAATCGCTTTAAAACGCAGATTTAAGCATGAAAATCGGTGTTTTGCCTCGAAAACGAAAAATTCTAATTGTTTCATCTTTTATTCGGTACTTATAAATTTAATTCAAGCTGTTGTCAAAATTACTTCAACTATTTTGTAAATTTTAAGTCAATTGTGATAATTATTAAAAATTGTGTAATTTTTCTGTGATGTTTTGCTTTTAAACACGAATTTAAGCTCAAAAATCAATATTTGAATTGAAAAATATCATTTTCTAATTGTTACATTTCTTAGAAAATTGATATCAAAAAAGTATTGCTCATCATAACTATTAAATGTAAAAAACAGACAATTTTTTAACTAACCTGAATTTTATATGATTGTGAACCACATATCTTGCCAATTTGAAGGTTAGAACGCACATATATATTAGTGTTTGCTTTCCGTATACTTGTTCCTTTTGCTACCCGATAATATTTTGTTGATATGCCGTTCGCGAGCATATTCACGACGCGCCGAACACGTTCGCCCCGAACGACAAACAAGCAAACACGGCCTCAGAGCGAACGCTAAAGTTTGCTTAAATATTTACTTAATCGCGAATATCAACGGCTACAAACGCCTCCAATCTCAGTACACGATTTCAAGAAAAACCACAAACGCCAAACAATCTAAAACGAAAAGAAATTAAATTTCTTCAGCGAAACGCAATTAACATCACCGCCCAACTTAGACAAGTTTAATTATAAATATTGATCATTTATAAATACATTTAAATTTGATTTTATTAAAGAAAAAAAATTTAGTACCTACTTGATTTATTTTCTTTTTTCAAGGTTGTATAATCAGTAGCGTAGCACGCAAAATACAATTTCATGGTCGAAACAAAATGGTAAATAACGGATCGATAGTTTTCCACCGCCTGCAGCCTTGCAACGTCCTTGTGTTGCGCTGTTGAATTTCCGGAAGGTAATGACATTGAAACTTTCCCTGCGACCACGCGCGACAGGAACGCAAACAGGAAGGACTTTATTGCGATCTTTGCGTGTGCACTTTTTAGCGTTGTACCTATAAATAACGTACGTTTAATGTTTCATCAGTCTTCAAATGCAATCTTTACAACTGGGTCATTTTGTTATTACTATCAACATCATCAAATGAGTGTTGATATAATTTTATAAAATCTTATAATGTAATTTATAGCGTGGTCGATAATAAAATGTTTCTTTGTTGTGTTTTAGCCTTGTGCATCGTCCTTCCTTGCAGCGCCCCACATAATGGCTTCCGGAAGGTTTACACCTGTCCACCCCACACGTATTCACAAGGTTAAGTTATGACATTGAGCCGTTGAACTACCACTAACTAAACACCACACAACACAAACCGATATTATGAGTGACGTTGTCATAACAGAGAGTTTATTTTTAATTCGCTGTTTATTTCTATTTCAAGTTTGACGTAATTACTTGCAAATTATCGTTCGAACAATGCGTGTAATCGAATTCGTTAAATGCGCATGACGCGCATTCGATTTTAATTGGAAACGTGTTGAAACAATTTAAATTATTCACGCTAATAGAATTTAAATTGTGTTTGACTAAACTAAACTAACCTATACACATGTATTTTGACATTTTTGACAGCTCGCGTATTTATAGGTTATGGTTATGGTGAGTTTATGTTAGATCGGACAGCAGCGGTTTTATTTTTACCGATATTGAGTTTAAAATCCTGAGTGTACCACAAAGAGGTCTTTGTGAATGTGGGCCAGGGGAAACAGGTGTTTAAAAATACTACGACGAGCGCGTCCAACATTGCGGAAGACCCGTGCAATGTTGCGCACGCGGAAAGCAATTTTCACACACAGCAACACATAGAGCCAAATATATACAGAGCGGTTTTGATAAAATTACATTCAAAACAGGTTAAAAGCACATAGTTTTTGGTTGGTTGCCACATATTACCACGTGCAATTAACTTTAAAACACAAATTTTACATTGTAAGAGTCGAAAATATAAAACTTTAAAAGATTTTTTTCTGAATTTAAACGTTTTGTATGAATGGATGCGTTGGAAACTGTTTTATATCGGCATGAAAATCACATAATTTTGATTACGTAATTTCGTATAAATTTATTGCGATCATAATGAATTTGTTAGTTTCCCACACACGAATTATTTTTAATCAACATAAATAAATGTTTAGGTTAAATTTCATTCATAACCTAAAACTTACGATGGATATTCTATGCTTATGTATAATAATATTTTGATGGTGTACCTATTAATTACAATATTGAGATGTTTTTGCTAATTGTGTATCAAATGCTATAAAATTAGCATAGTTTTGGCAACAAAATGGCGGAATTAATTTTATGCATAAATAATATAATAATATATTACATAAATCATATTTTATATAATACTCGTATTTTTGTTTGATGGTAAATATTTTTGGAATGCAATATTGGCATTGTTGGTTTATGTAGATGAGTAGATGGAAATTCGATAGTAGGTATCTGATCCTTTTCCGGTTTTATATCAGTAGATCTGTCCGAATATCCCACATTTCCCGAATTCAGCGTTTTCGAACAATTCGGGAACATGAAGGGATTGCCATACAACGCGTGGAAGCGATTAACCTACCTACCTAAAGCGAATTCATTCATTTTAGTATTGTCGGCCATTTTGCAACAATGGCCGAATAAACATCATATGCGATTATAAAATGATAGAAGGTAAACGGAGTTGAGTTAATTATTTATTAAATCACCTTTAATGAAATTTTGATGTTATAAATTTAAATATGTATTAGTTTGTTTTAATTATTAATTTATTTTCGTTTTTAAAAATTATTCGCACATAAAACTTTTTGAGCCGGACCCGCAAAAAGTTGCTACGTCCTTGGATTTGAGGTTTGAGGATGTGTACTCGTACGAAAATGAGGGAAATGAAGAGGATCTCGTCCCGAGTATGAAAATGGAGTTTATTATCCTCGTTCAGACAAGGGTGGATGAACGAATCCAGGATCCACATAGGATAAACGATGGGATTCGGCAGTTTTCGGGTGTTCTGTTTCAACTGAATTAAGCGTATAAAACTGACTGATGTTTTTAAAGCTCACAACAAGGTCAACTTAAGTTTAATTAATTTTAAAGTTAGGTAAATTTAATTTTGTGGTTATGTTTATAAAAATATAGGCAACCCAACAAATACAGAAGCAGTAGAACGGGGAAATCGATGACGTCACGGGAACACAACGGCGGCAACGCGTACGCCGCTTGTGGCCCACCTCCGCCGCCAACTCTGGCGGCGGGCAACAAGCGCTCGCGTTCGCCGCATCAGTAGTAGCGTGGCGGCAGCGGTGACGGCGGTCCGTACAGAAAATCGCGCGCATCAACCTCACAAAACCGTGTGAAACAAAACAGTGAATCGCCAAAATAATTGTGACTGATATAAATGAAAAGTTGTGAAATGAAATTAATTTAAACGTCTGAAACATGAAAATGTCGCGCGACAACGTGGAAATCACCGCGGCGATTGCGTGCAGTTGACATAGAAACAAAGTTTCACAATTATTGCCATTTAAAAATATAAATAGCACCCCGCCAACCAACCAACAAAAAATTAAGAAAAATAAACGCGAATATTGTGCGCGTTTAAAAATTGTTATAAATAAACAAACAGCGGTCATTCAAGCGCATCAAAACCCACACACCTACAAAAATGGATATGTATAAAAAACCACTCGTTAAACCCACGCAAGGTAACACAAAAATTATTCACCCCTACATTAATTTCATGCACTCGTGTAGCGCCTCCACCAATTTTATTTTCTGCTGTGGCCTTAAACTGTTCAACTCGACTCTGCGGTGGCAATGACATTGGGTTTTCACCCAAATAGGAAACGCTCACCCCTATAATTCACTAGCACGTAAATTTTAGTATTTGAGCTAAATATAGTTAACATTAAAGTCACCAATACACAACTATTAGGGGTTGAAAACGCGAAGGTCAACTACTGCTTACAAATGATAAACGGGCACGCAAAATGTATATAAATAATCATACACGTCGAGTTATACAAGGTTTTTACGTCAATGGTGATGGCCGTCAACGTTTAGGGTTGTTATTATCTCTTAATAACAAGTTTATTACTTATAGTTACAGTTATATCATTTGTTACAGTTAATCATGAAATATCATTTAATAACATAAAACCTACGGTTTTAATTTTTTGGCGAATTAATTCAGATTGTAGGCATTTATAACAAAATTAGGTTAAAATTTATTTGATTAAAATCGATAGACGCAATAAAAAGATATGAAGATTTAAAATTTTTAACCTAGAATTGGTGTTATGAAAGTTGCCTATTGGTATATTTTCATTTTAACTAAAAAATAACGCAATATAATGTTTTTTGTGTTGGTTTATGCTCAGCATGACTTCTGATTAACATTGGTAATTTATTAAGTTAATTCTGGAACTGCATTTATTTATTATTCTATGCGCTCGGTTGAAAATCATCTGTTATTCGATTTACACATTATTTTTTCGGTTTTTTCGAGTTTTTATTCGTTTAAAAAAATGTCTTTTTTTCATTTTATTTATTTTGGAGTATAAACCAAACAAAAACGTTGACAAAGGGTGAGATACCCTATAAGACGGTGTGAATATAAATGGATCGTGGCGAGACAATAAAATAGAATGTATGGATCGTCGGTTTTCATTTTCTCGCAGCGCCTTGGTTGCTCGGCGGCTTTCATCTTTGGTATTCCAGGTGGAAAATCGCAATATCTCCGGCGGGGATTATTTACACTTTCTCTTTCGGGCTTATCCACACGCCTTTGCGAGATGCTCCGATGCTTTCACGTGCGCGTTGATGTAATATCCAACGATTGATCGTTCAATAAGCTTCGGAGATGAAACCTTACAAAAATATAATTAAAAATTGATTGGCAACCCACGAAGAAACGGATTTTAATATATTTTAATTATGTATTTAGGCGTTAAGTAAAGTAGCATAACTGTAAACTAAAATATAAGTATAATATTAGGATATTACTCGTAAGTATCAAGGGGCTAAACGGGAGTTTTATTCGTTTAGTCATGTGATGCTAACGCTATTATTTCAATATTCACTCTATTTCTACGTTTAGATTTTTGTATTCGAATTTTTGTATTTTAAATCTTCGAAATTCGCTCGGATGCTACTGGGAAATATAAGGTTATAAATGCCCCGTGAATAAAGCCCGTGATTAAAGTACGTTACTCACGACATTGGCCGTTCGTGTATAAAGTACTACTTTTGCGCCTAAAAACCGGGGAGAAACTGGTGCTTCAGGTAGAAAAACAAATATGTCTGTTTACTGCACTAAATTTACAATAAAATACTACAAATATATTTGTATAAAAAATACTTTAATTTATGCTTTATAACGTTTGGAGAAAATAACATAATTTTTTTATGCTTCAAGCCATTTGAGAAGATATTTCCTGGCAAATATGAAATATATTCAAAATTTGATGTGTTAAATTCTAGTTTTCACCCAAAATTATATTTACAGCGCGTCTGGACAATATGTTGGTTTTTACACCTAAATTTCCAAAATCTTGTTTAAAAATATTTTGTTTATTTTTATCAACCACGTGTGAAATAATTATTGATGTTACCTGTCCGTATATTTTATTAATATTTTTTTCCACGCAGCCAAAAGCAACACACACGCCTACATTCCGCCTCATCGTCTCGCAATTTCTGGCGTTTTCTCGTTTTTCGCATGCATGTTACCATGCTGCTAGTTAGTTACGCTCGCGGCGCTTCAATAAATTCACTTCGCGCGGAATAAAACTTTCCGGCAGCGCAACCGCCATCGCCAGTCCAACATGCGCATATTTATAGTTGAAATAAATAAAATTCACGGGCACAAAAAAGACATACAGGCAAAATACGCAATTTCAAAGCAGATTTTATTACAAATGTTATTGTGACAGGCGTTGACGACACTTATCGCAAACAGTTTTATACAGAGCCTACACCTTTCAAGAAATTAAATTTTTTATCAAATTATATTTCATATAATACCATAAATCAAAACACGCGAGTAATTTTTTAAACTATTATTTATTCAAATTGTGAACGATTTACACAGAAACGTAATTACATTAACATGTTCGCAAACCGACAACTCGTTAATGCAATGCGTCGAAATTCGTGGCGAATTTTCACTGCATATGCGCATAATTACGTGTAAAGTTGGTGAGTTCGTAAATTGAATTCAAACATTTTATTGTACGAATTTTACGCAAAACCTCATTCGCTAACAAAAGACAGCTCTTTATTATCTTTACCCGTACACATACCTTGGCTCCGAAAATTGGGAGTTCACTTCAAAGCCGTCCAAACGTGCGCTTTGTTTAAACAAACAACCGAAAATAGCGGCGCTAGCCCTCAATTATATTTTTCAAATTTTTCAAATTCATGACGTTTTAGCATTTTATGCGTGGCGCTAGTGTCACAGTAAAATTTTAGGTTATTTTGATTGAATCCCCAAACACGTAAATAGAATCGTTAGGGCATAAATAAATCACTATCACATAGTTTATGCTCGGGGCTAGCGCAGAAAACAATTCGAGTCGCCAATTTAACGATTTAACTGCTAGTCGTAAAGCAATACCGTAGAGATTGACGTTTTGCGACACAACTGCAGTCTCATATGACACAATTATTTTACGACACTTTCCAATAAATATTTAAATTTATACTTTTATAATACGGCATTGTTACTGTGACGTACCGGAAACTCATGGCTGTAGTGTGCACGTGAATGACTCGTACGCAGTGCATGTGACACTTGTCTCCTTCAAACAACATCTAACCACCTTAACCACAACCAAAATGGTTAAATTATTGTTTAACTCGCATATTAACATTATAAACTCTACAATATATAATAATTAATTCTAGGAGTATATTTATATTAAATTAACCTCAAAGTAATGCTTTTCTGCTTTGTGAGGTTAATCTTGTTGAGCTTGCTTTGTTTGTGAAGATCTGTCGGTAGCTAATAACGCGTTGAATGATTAATACACATCTAATTAATGACTCCAAACTCTGAAAACCGCTTACGCAGCTGTAATTAACGTCGTTGGCTGGCTTATGCTTGCTTGAGTATGAAAATCAGTGACGTCAACCATGTCGACGCCAACGACGCCATGAAGCGTGAGCTGAAAATTGAAATATTGCACGTTGAGAGTCGTTAACGTATGCGATGCACTTGTACTGTTGATATTTTTTCGTTTTTCGGAAAGCTAAATCACCGCCACCCTCGGTTGGTTACTAAAATGAAATTTCCACGAAGATGCTTTGCCAGCAGGAGTCAGAAACTCGACTAACAACAAAGAATCACGACGCCGACGACGCCAACAACGAGGCTTGTCGTAAACTTGTTTACCGGTGTGTCGCGCCGCGTGTGTCGGTTGAGAATTATTTATTATTGCTTGTAAGCGTCTCGTAGAATGTCAAGAAACAAGAAATGACACGAAACAAGGCACTTGCCGGTAAACAATATGGCGGGCATATTTATGAACGTTGCAAACAATAGCAATAATATTCTATTATTATCAACGGCGTGTTTGGGCGTTTATTGAAGCCCGCGTTGTTGAGATTAATAAATTAACGAATTAATTACGAATCCTCGTAAATAACGATCGAAGCGGTAAAAGCTTGAGATGTACATCGGGAAATTCCTGTGTCGGAACGAAGATGGATTAAGGATGTTACAAAATCAAGCAAATTAATGCGTTTTCCTTGCTTCTAACTAATTAAAAGTGTGCAAAAATTGGCTGGATAATAAAATTTTCATTAATTATGTTATAGGTTACGTTGGAGAGTATAAAAACATTATAGGCAACACAAAGCTCATATTGTTTTCAAATAGTTGCATAATAAGATGAAACAATTCTAAAACATAGTTAACCTAAAAAAATATAACAAAACATGATTATAAATTAAACATGTCCGAACACACGACATAAAATAGGTGGATTCTTACTGTTTCAATCTCAGCCTATTATTTTTAACACGTCGCGTGTCCAAATTGAAATGTTTTATTTATATTATTCGAAAAGTGTCGCGCTTAATTTCCGAACTAAATTTACGCGCTGAAGTCAAAAAGAGAACGCTACGTCTAGTAAAATTTAAGTAATTTAAGTCATCTGGATGCAATCGTAAGCATTATTACTTAAAAGCCGGGCGCATAACGAGAAAACAATTTTCAGATTTTATTGCTCTTATTTATGAAACAATTAAAGCCCACTTTGGTGAAATATATTACTTTGGTTGTACTATGGCATGGAATGCTTACGATGACTATAAAAGTAGAAAAATTCTGCAACGCGTTTTAATATTCATTTATCACGTGCGAATTTGCAGTAAAGAATCCCTAGAAATAGCAAAATCTTGTCTCGGATTTAACGTATTATGACATGACTGTGAAATATGAGTGCGGACGCTGTGAACAATTACACGAGCGTTTTTTTTCGCAATATTTTTTTCATATTCGCGTTTGCAGTCAAGGTGTCATGAACCCAGCGTGCTTCTTGTCAAAACCCGCCACATTCAAAACATAACCTTAATATTTATATACTGCTACAGTGTGGATAATAAAACTCAGGAATTATTTTTTTCCAGCCGATTTTCTTTTTCGCGCTAAATTTAATGCTGAATCACGTATTCTTGTTTGTATTAAATCGCATTAATGTAAAATTAGATTTTCCCACACTATTTGTGTTGGTATTGTTGGGAAATGTTTAAAATGCGGTTTTAGAAAATGTTTGGATTTTGGATCTCAGACAGAATGGAAAATAGTTTTTTTTTGCTTTTTGAAAAATCTCATTTGTCAGATGATTTATATTCGATTTGTTTACGCGTCGAGCCAGCAGCGTGATGGAGTCCTGCTGTTCCTGCTATGCCTTCGCTTACCTATTCGTCATTTGCCACTAAAATCGTTTTAATGCTCGAGAAATGTTTATTTTTAATGCGCTAGTAAAATATGAACTTGTGCCGTTTATTGTTCAAAAATTTCGTTGATTTTTGCACATTACTCAGCTATTTAGAAATTTACTCAAGCTGTCATTCATGTTCATAGTTAAAAGCAACCAAACTAGCATTAATCAAGACTTTTAAGTTGCATAACTTAGGTAAACATGCACAACCTACTTCAAATATGAAAATTGAGAAAACAAACCAAAATCCAAAAGATTTTTTCAAAGCATAAAGCATGTTTACTTCGATGTGAAGTGTGTACTATAGGCAACTACATTTACGTAAATAGCATAGAGTTTAATTAGAGTTTAACACTTATGATTTAACTTCAGTTAAATGCTAACTTGCACTATTATAGTTTAAGTTAGTAATATGCATTGTCCTATTGTCAAGCAAAATTAATTAGTCGTAATAAGCTGCGTTTTTGTGTGTTTCCAGCCGTGCTGAACGGAACGCCGACACACACGCCTGAAAATGGCGGTAGCAACGTCAGCGTGGCGCCGTTAATCACGATGATCGCAGTACTCGCCATCATCCTCATCTTTTGTTTCTGTGGCGCGCCCGCCGTGCGCGAATTTTGCCGGAAGAAGGTGTGCTACTGCTGCCCGGAGCCAGAGGACGAAGCAGGTACGACAATGAATTATAACCCAACTCAACGAAATCCTCCGGAAACCTCTATCTTTATATTTTTACCCTTTTTTTCTTTGAGGACTCAACTCGGATGTCGCTATTGTCGTTATCCGTTTTTATCTTTTTATTCTTTACCAACCAGTATGTGCCATTTTTCAGCAAGGTTTAAGTTTTTTTCTCGCAAAAAATAAAGTATTATCACATGTTATGAGCAAAAAATATAACAAAAATGTTTATAGTCCAATTAGACGCGAGAAGGGAAAGCTCACGACGAAGATCGAGACAGAGATCCGGGCATGATGAGGAATTGGTGACTGTTACCACTGTTGATACAAAAAACGGGGAGGTAATTGAAGTTAATGAATGATAATAACCTATCATTCCTGTATAACCGTTAAAATTACTAACAGTGGAAACAATTACTACTATGCAACCTATTTAACATTTATGTGTATAACTGGTTGACAAGAGAACAACCACAGTGATTTTCGTTTTAAAAGAACTGCTTCCAAATGAAAAGTGTCTTGTTGTGTCGTCTGCCTCAATTTATTTAGTCGGAATGACTGCGCAAAGCTCTCACGAAAGTCTAAACTAAACCAAAAGACTTTAATCGCACTTTTTTGGCGTCAGTGCAAACCGGTGCAAAGTACGCGTCGACAAATGATTAATACATTCAAAACGTTTATTTTATTATATTTTATTTCCCGTCGGTATTTTTGTTTTTTCTAAATGGATTTTTTTATGTGCGGTTGAGTCATAGTTTTAACATTAAAGTAGTTAATATGTTATGTATATTGGGGTACAAGTAGAGTAGCGGGCTATAATTACACGCTCCTATTTTGTTTCGATGATAGCGTACGAAAATCCAGGGTGGGCCAGCTCTCGACGACACACGCGGCTCTCATCATCTTAATGACTTCTCATTTGGCATTCATTTGTATATCATTTCTCTCGGGGCCCCAGATACGAAACTTTTAAGTGGATATACGACGCGGTAACAAACTTATACTTTCGTCAACTCAAACTCAACTTAAGAAAATTTCCGCAAAGCATTTCAGGTCATTTGCAATTTAAATTAATTATGTAAGAAGCTTTTAATGTATTTATATATTAATTTTTTGTTTAATTTTTTCTTAGTCTTTTTGACATATTGTATGCTAATGTTGGTAAAGTTGCATACATGTCCAAATGACAAAGCATGCGTCCGAAATATTTTAATGCTGGTGATTTCCGAGACAGCGAGTGATATATTGTGTCAAGTATAATCGCGTCCATTGTTTCGCATGCGGAAGCCTCAAAATACATCTTGCTGGCTGCTTTTTGGCATTCAACTCGTCCTAATATTGACTTTCAGCTTGATCCTAAATAACTCAGTATAGTGTGTTGCCTAACTCATCTTAACTTACATACAATATGCTGCATTTTGTTTGAAATTTCATTTGTTACAGGTACTCCAATCGAACGTGCCGGATCGAGTACACCGACAATAATCCTGCTGCCCTTTGGTCGTATGCTGGTTGTCGATCGCAGTGTATTTGCGCATTTCCAGGCAGATGAAACAGGTCTGGACTTTATGGAATTGAGTTCAAATTTAATACGTGCTCATCGACTACAATATGGCTGCTTTGGCCCAAGTACACCAAGTATTTTGGACTCTGAAGCTACAAGTAAAGGACTATCGCCTGTTTCTTTAGGCTACTCGCCGCCGGCGTATGAAGATATTGTCAAGTGTGACTTGCCACCTTCGTACAGTGAACTTAGTCTGCTCTTCCGTCAGCAGCTCCTACATCATCAACAACAACAAGCACACTCGCAACAAGTGCAAAATCAAACAACTCCAACTAGACAACGCCGCCATCTTAACCGTTGTAATAATCCTCAACAACGGCGACGCGCCGTAGACAATTGTTGTGTTCAGGTCACTGCGTCACTGAACGACGTCGCCGACGTCGACGTCGGCAATTGCGCTGATTTCAATAGCTTTAGACGTAACAACGAGCATATCACTACGTCGGTACTACATATCGTCGACGAACGCCATCGGGCACCCCCGCGAACACATCAGCGTACCGAAAGCGATACGAACATTCACAAAAAGTATCGGATACTGTCGAAACAGAGTAGCTTTTAATTCGGCAACCAACCCTACACCAACACTATATTGTTGATAATTGTTAACTTATCAAAGGCCTAAAAATCTCGACGTTTCTTCCAGAGCATTCGCAACGAATACACAAATATAAAGAACGGAATTAAACGAAAAACGCAACGACGTACAAGAACAAATAAGCCAAACCAAAGTTTGATGCCATGATTAATGATAGAGGGCGGGGCAGTGGAAAAGTAAAGCAGTTTGATGAAACTTTCGACAAATTGGCTTCCGCGCAAACTCGAAATAAACTTTAATCACAATTATCTGAAACCAGTTTATTTTTTCAAACAAAAGTTCAAATAAATGTTGGAAAAGTTGATGAAATCTTATGATAACTTATTAAAGTCCACGAAACGAATCAAAACGATAAAATATCAAAATTATATCAATGCGTATTAATGCAAAAAAAGTTCATTAGGTTACTATCAATAAGATATACTTATGCTAATTGTAAAAGAAAACATTAGTGCGAGTAAGAAACAATTAATTATTGAAACATCTGGAAAATGGATGATATTTCCATCAACTCTCAGTTATTTTTAGCACATCGATAATGATTTAAAATTCAATTACATGTCATATTTTTAGAAACTTCAAGGCCACTGTTCTAACGTCACTTTAGAACGTATTCTTCAAATCAATAAACATAAAAACATTCGACATCACCTTGTTTTTTTTTTTCACTACTATTCTCAAAATGTGTAAGTTTTAAGAGTCGGTACATTATACTTTAAGAAAACTAAAGTTTAACATTCACAAAGTATATTAGATATTGATGAGAGGATAGTGGACCGTTGCATTCATAGCCTCCATGCGGTGGTCGAAAAACCGCCGGGCTTCGCTTCGCACCCTCGAATCAATAAAACAACCACTGTCGGAGACCACACACGTTCCTACAAATGGGATTACTCTCGTCGTTCGCTTGCGCTTTTCTTCCGATCCTATGTTTCGTTTAACTTATATTTCGCTCGTTTTTTCACCTCAAGCAAAAAGCAAAACAAAACAAAAGGTACTTGACAATCATGATTGATCAAGAACAAAATATCTTACATCAAATACGGTCATAAGGTCATTTTTTGAATTTAAGATTCCGATTTAGGCACCGTTTCCGAATCGTTGAGGCGTAATAAAATCGATTCCGCTTCGACAAGCCGAAAGGAAGGTCGTGAATTTGCTCGAGACTTTAGAGTCTCGAATTTTCATCTTTTTGGCGTTACGCTACCGAGTTTAATATCACCACCAAACTCTTTGAGATCCTGCTAAGCGACCGTTAACCCAGAAAATAAAACCTGGATGAAAACCAGGCCAAAACTGCAACGGAAATCTTAAAATATCACCAGAGGAACGAAAAAAACTACAAAAACTACAACCAACAAACTACGCTTGAAAGACAAAATGAATGCAAATCAGTGTGAAATAAACAGAATTTAATTTTCGTGCACTGTTCGCTTGTTCGCTTGAGTTATGCATTATTGGCGCGTCATTGGTTTGTTTCACTTTGAAACGAAACAGAGCTCGAGCAAACGAGCTCAAGCACAAAGCAAAACATAATTGGTTGATTGGTTGAATATTTCAACCAGACCAAATCAAAAATTCAATCGAAAACCACACTTAATCAAATTAGTTCCATCATTGCTACAATGTTCGCAGTAAAATAAATCAATAACGTTGCAGATCATTTACTTAGTTATAAATCAATGAATAGTTCTTTTTATTATTAAATTTATAAGTCGTAAATTTTTGTAAGCGAAATTAAGTATCTAAGTTTAATTACATCGAATATATGGACACTATAATAGTCTTACTCGTGCTAATCGTAATTATTATCTAGTAATTGTAAGCAAAGCCCGTGGTGGCGGTGAAATTACTGTTAAATATAATATAAATTTAAATATTTTCTATTGTTACTCGTTGTATACTTGTATGCTCGGATCTAAGACTAAACAAACGACCGACGTTGTTGATTGTTGAAAACTATGAATTATTCAAGTGCATGATCATCGTCGTCATCAAATTATTAAGCATCAACGAATCATGAAATAATATGGAACGAATCGAGCAATATTTGTGCTTGACTTGTGAAATTATCAGAATGCACCCGCGAAACGCGATATTGTAAATAATTGATAACATGTCCTATGAAATATGAAATTATATATTATGATGATGACGCTTTGTATAGTGTATAATAAAAAATTAAATATCAATCTACTTGGAAAAGTGCTCGTATTAAAATAAAATTCAATCGAATGAGAATTTGTGTTGTTTGTTTAACCTAAAGTTAACTTTTACAGAAAATAAATTGTCTTTATACTGATTATTTAAATTCATATTTTATTAGTTGCTGTAGATTTTTAGGTTAGTTTCATTGTCTGAATCTTCCTTTGTTGATATTCCTACAAGAATTGGTTTTAAAAACCAGTTTAGCAGTTTTAAATATATGGTACAAGATGTTTCTTAATATAAATTTATCAATATTGTGTTCAATTCCATTTTATTTTAATTTTGGTCAATTTTTTCAGTTTTAGGTACCACATGCAATTTTAAAAAAATATTTTAGCACTTTGTTCTAAAATTTCGGGCATTTTAGATGGTCATGTTATAAAAAATATTAAAATTTCTTTTTTTGGTCGTAATAATGTAAATAATTAGTTGTTAACATAAAGCTTTTATTAATCTGTTTAAACTATAAAATACACTATAAATTTACGCACAAAAATGTTATATAAACGATTTGTCAACGAAAATCTATGAATTTACTCTTTCTTCCATGGATACTCCGGGTGTTCCGTAATGCTGAAAATTAAATTATTACATTAACCCAAGTTCCGACAAAAAATCTACAAATTAATAAAAGTGGGAAGGTTAAGGCACTAAAACAAAATTAACTAAATTAAATTCCAGCACCATTAATAAACTTTTTATGCATCAGCATGATTAAATTCTTAATAGAACAAATGTGTCTAGACAGGTGAAAAAGCACTTGATTAAATTATTGATTAACAAAACTTCATCGTTATTTGTAATCGGTGAGAGAAAGACAAGCCAAGGAAGCACAAGAGAAACTGAAGAGTGCAATTTTAATTAAGAAGTTTTAAGTGGCCAAAGGTTGAAGACTTAGTTAGACGTGCTTCTCTGCGTACTCATGTACTCACCCTGGGAACACTTTGAAGTCCAAGAAGCGGGCATCCTTATTCAGACCGTTCAGCTTGGACATGTCGTTTTCATCCAGCTCAAAGTCAAAGATGTCTAAATTCTGACGCAAGCGGCCAGGGTTTGTACTCTTCGGAATGACAATCAAGCCTTTTTGGACACCATGACGAAGAACAACTTGTGCTGGAGATTTGTTGTGTTTTTTAGCGATTTCATCAACAACTGGATTATCCAAAATATTTGGCATTTTAGGTGCCCTTAAAAAACAAAAGTTAAAATTTAATTAATACATATTACCAATAATTTTTACTTTTGATTCATATCTTCCATAAACTTGGAAAGCCCAGGTGCACCCAACGGTGAATAAGCAGTGACAACAATTCCATGTTTCTTGGCATAATCTACCAGTGGGACCTGTTGATGATATGCGTGCAATTCAATCTGCAAATTAGCAGGTTTGATTCGCGCATGTTCGAGAACTTTGCTGATCTGTGTGATGTTAAAGTTGGATAATCCAATGGCCTTCGCTTTCCCAGCGTCGACTTGTTCTTCCATGACCTTGGTAATAGAAAAACAATTATTAAACAATCTATTTGTGCGTAACAATGTAATTACCTTCCATGTTGCAACATGATCAGTATTCATGTCCAACATAATCTTGCCATCTTTCATCGGATGCATATCACCGCATTCAATGAAAGCAAATGGCGTATGAATAAGATACATGTCAACATAATCAAGTTGTAAGTCATCTAAAGAACGTTGAAGATATGTGGCGACGCCGGATGGACGATTGCCGCATGGCGGAAGTTTGGTAACAATAAACAAATCATCGCCTAAATAATAATAAAAAATAATAAGAAAAGTAGTTTGGTTAGGTTTGTTAGGTTGTCATAGGTTATGTTGGTTGCTTACGTTTGAGTTTACCGCTGTCGATCCACTTTTTGAGAACTTTCCCAATCACCTTCTCGTTTTCGTACACGGTCGCGGTGTCGATGTGTCTGTAACCAGCTTCCAGAGCGTTGTTCAAAGCTTGCTCAAGTTCATCGTCCTTTGCCTAAAATTAAATCACGTATATCCAGGTCACTTCAAGTTCACAAAAAAAAAACACAATTATTTCCCTTATAAATATTAAACATTACTATTAATAAAGTTATATATAGCATTAATTAAATGTTAATTTAATGTACAGAAACTTGTTCTTACTTGCCAAGTACCGAAACCAATTGACGGAGTAGAAATCCCATTATAAAACATAGTCTCAATACAACCCGCCATCGCAATTAATTAAATTAGAATATAACTGCTGTTAAAATGACGAATAATTGACAATCAAATTAAATTCAATTTAAATGTGATTCGTTTGCAATTCGAATTCGTTGCGAATAAAAGTAAAAGGCACTTAGCACTTGTAATTTATGCGCATCGATTGTGCCGTTTTGCAGAATTGCATTCGCCGCGGAAACTTAGTGCAACCGGTGTCGGACTAATTACGGAATGAACTGAGCTTGCGTTGATTCACAGATAAGTACCGAACAAAACGTGAACCACGACAAGTTTGTCGAAGGGGAAGGAAGTTGGGGGGAGTTCATAAGTACAAACTGTTGCAAACTGTCATCAACATTTTTGTGTTAACAATTTCAACATTGACTTTGTTTATGGAAATACCCAACATTACTTTACTTATCAAGTTATTTTTAATTATGATTTTTTAAGAATTTTGCGTAACTGCTTGTATGTTTTGCTTTCAGTTGCAATTGAAAAGCCGGTTGAAACCTTGACTTTCTAAACTTCCGCAGCACCTTGCGCTCACCGCTCGAGTAAGACGAAACAAGAAGAAAAGATACCGGAGCAAATCGACAAGAACGCGAGCAAAAAGATGACATGAAAACAAACTCATTTCCTACACTCAATATCTTAGCTCAACTAGGCTTATCATTGCACAGTTACATTCTGGTCTCTTTTGTAATTTTGCTGCTTGGGTTATGACGAGCGCCGAACGCATTAACGACAAACGAGTTTAATAAGATTTTAATTCAAATTAAATCTTCGTAGCTCAACAGGCGAACTTTCTCTCCGCGTTCACGAGAGTAATTAATGCGAGAGGGCAAATTCGGAACGGAAACTCAATGACAAACTCAAAAATATACCAAAATAAAATTAAAATAAACAAAAAAAAAATCATGAAAATACAAAATTCACTTTATCTTGCATTGTATAACTAGAATATTATTACCAACCAGAGAAAATGTGTTGGTGATAGCCTTGAACTGACTTTGCAAGCTGGCGGAATTAATTAATCAAGCCGCGAAGTGAAGTGAAATAATTGTGTAACTTGTTGACTTCATCAATAATGCAATGTAAATCATTACAAATCAATTTTATGGAAACATAACTTAATATTACTTATATTTGGTAGCAGTTATTTTAGGTTACGTCTATTTTTAACTTACCATCCATGTTCCTAGACCAACGGTGGGCATTTTTCCGACTGGTTGAATATCGTAGGTGGGTATCACACGAGTTTTATGTAAGTCATCCAATTCCAGCACATCGCCGAAGCAAAAGTCGCAAAACCGATAGATGGAGGCGATAACGCCGAAGATGAACGTCGCGCGCGATTGTGAGACCCTCATGGTTCAAGTGGCTGCAACAATGTGACGCGATGCGATTAGTCTTATTCGCATATAAACAACTAATGGTCATCTCAGAACAACTCGAAGGAAAACTGGTCTGGATAACCTTTAGCTAAGTAACTAGCCAGTCTAGCAGTTTTGATTAGTTTCTAGTATTATTAGGTAATAACACATTAATTTTTTTCTACTGGTTTACAAATCACCAACAAATCAAAAAAAAAAATGTTTTGGAATTTTACATGTCTCCATTAGCCAGCTGAATACTCAATATGCTCATAAGGCTGAAAATACAAGAGATGCTAAATGTGGAAATTGTCGAATTGTTTGTTACGAGTTTGTCGTCGCTTAGATCTTCAATGATGATAACAGCGCCCAATGGTCGTGTCCGCAAACAGCTCGCACGGTTAATTGCACACTCGAGTAACATGCTCCTGGTGTTTGTCGTCATCCTCGTTCATCATCAACCAAAACATCTCGCGTGCTCTCTCTTCGGTTGGCAAAACGGAGATAATCAAAACGACAATCGCCCAGCGCCGAAATAAAGCGTCCACTTAGGACCGCAATTGTTACAAATAATACGAATGCAATTCGGCGTTCGACGCGGCTTCATCTCAAGTGGTTTCTAACGAGTTTGTCCGCAAACTGACACACAGTAGGTACCTACTGTAAAGAGTGAAGATTGTCATCTCTGGTTGGATGTGAATCTAACCCGAAAGTACAAAAACACTTTTAGCACGAGATTGAAATTTCAAGATGAGCTAGATGTTTATATTTATAATAGGTAGCAGTTTCTGTTTCTGCTTCCGCAGCAATAGTAACAAGCCGGATTCCGGGAACTAGTGCAACAATAACAATATAAATTGAGTTTGCGTGCAGTTGTATGAAATCGCTTAGCAAAGGGGATTCGAGAGTTTGCTCGGAAGTGGAGATAACTGCAAATAAGACTGAAATAACTACTAGGAATAGACGAGGCACTAGTGTCATTGGAAATTGGAAATTCTGGATCGGAATTGAACCAAAATTACCCAATACGAATTGAAATACAAAATCCTTTAAATTGAAAAGCTTTTAAGCTTGAAATTAACCCAATTCAATTTAAAATAAAGTTTTTATTAAAAAACTCAAACGGTTGTGAAATGATCTAAATTTACAAATTAAACCCATGTGATACGATGAGATAATAATGGGACGCTTAGAATGTCTGTTACGAGTTAATTTGCTCCGCATCGCTGAATAATTTCGCATCTCATTACAACGGCATTGCGATATCTTGATTATAATCGTATCTACTCGATCGCACTGTTGATATCGATTAGATGCGACAGGAACACCAAAGTGCAAGGCGTTTTGCCTCGACTGCATGCGTCGCATCCGTTTGCCACCGGCGAAATGAGTAAGTTAATATGCGCGAGTATCATGCACGTTTAACAACCACCTGGAGCGCTGCGGCCTGCTCAAAAACGCAGAAGCAAACGCAAAACGATTGCTGCACCCCGATGGAAATGAAACCGATACCTTATCCGACAATAGCGAATGGGCTGGACGCAGGCAAACAAATCAAAACATTGAACTGCATCGGCGGCATTCTTTGCGTCACGTAATACATGAGTAAAATGAGCAGCAGTGTAACCGAATGGTTATTGAAGAATGAAGAAGCAGCGTGCCGCCGTTTTCCATGAAGTGTTGGATAATTGTGTGGGAATTAGTTGTTAATAGTGATGGTATTCAGGAGAAATTTGTTTCAATCAATGAGGGCAGAGAAATGAACATAATATGTACTCCTATACATCTTCCGAATGGTGTAAAAAGTGCAATACTTAGCTGGGAAATGTGCAAACAAACGCAAACACAATGTTAATTCAATAGGAAGTAAATACACAAAGATCACCGACGATTTTCAACGAAAACAAGATTAGCATATGCGAGTGTAACCTAAACTTTAAAAACTTTAAAAATGTACATACAGAATTATTTTATAAATATTTGACAAAAATTGTTTAAACAGTGTGATTAAATGATTGATGTTTAGGTGCTGATGATTGTTGATAAATTTCTTTGTACAAATTCCGACCCAGCGTGACCTCTAAGCTAGAGAGTATCCATTGCAGATTAAATAAAAGCGCAACAACGATGAAATGGATACTCATACCGGTAATGTCGGCACGCTCATACGTATTTTCTTCTAACATCATGTTTACAAGCGACGCCACTTGAGTTTTACGCTCGCGGTCATTCTTATTGTGTAATCTACACCCCTGAGACGCATAAACAACCGCACAAACTGCTCAACAATGAGAAATATCATGTGCTAATGTGCAAACGTGCGTATTCAGCTTTAATACCTGTTGGTAAGTACGACAACATAAAATTTAAACAGAGTTGTATCCTTTTATTAAACTGTTGACCGCGCAATTCGCTTAAACTTTAACTTTCTCAGAGCAAATACAACTCTGTTTTCTTGTATTGTATTGTTATGTATGTTGTTGCTTGTTACTTACGTAGCTTATGGCTTATGCAAAGAAGAAATTAAACTGAAATTAAGTCAGGCGTGTGTTTTGTGAAGAATGGCGGCTTTTGTTTAGATGAGGGCGATGGTTTCGTGGGCTTGCGTATTACTAGATGTACTTACTCAGAGGGGAATAATCGGTGTGCATTACGGACAATGTGCATGGAGGCTCGTGCCCGTTTTCAGCAAGAATTAACGATCCGCCTTTGTGGTCAACCGCACAAGTGCTTCTCGTTTTGCTTACTCTCGAAATGTGAAACTCTATTTTTCACACTGGAATTTTGCATTGCAAAGGTTAATTTTTACAATATCAAATACATATCAATTATCTTCATAAAAAATGAAGTTGACTGCATCAAAGTTCTGACGTCTGAACGATAAATTAATATGTATAAATCGATTTGTTTCATATGACAGATATGCATTGTTGTAGTTTTTCTAACTTCAGTTTTAAGCTATGTTGTCGGAATCGTCAAAAATCTATCTAAATTTACATAAAAATCATAACAAATAACCATTTACAATATTTACATTAATATTTCCAAGTTGCGTTCCGCAATGCATTTGTCGTATGAAACATATAACTTATTACATTGGTACAGCTACATTACATTCGCCGTTCGAAATGGCGCTAGTTAAACAATAATAAAGAAGTTAAACTAATAAGCAAAAATAGGTTTATAATATTATTTAAATTTATTTCTCGCCTACATCAAAAGGTAACAGGCTTTTTGATAAGAATAATAATACTTAAGTATATTTGGTTCTTATTTTGTTTATGTTTTCACATATTGTATTTATTTTCATTTTAAAATTTTGTGTTGTGTTAAAAATTTTATTTATATTTTCGACATTTTTCGTACAATTGGCATATTCAACTGTTACTACAGTTTGTAACAAAACACGGAATATAAAAATGATAGTAAATAATGTGTTTATTTCTGGTTTTATAAAAGTATAGCTACTGCGTTTATGATACTATAATGTCCTGAATAAATAATCACAATTGAATCATCTTTATCAACGCACTCCGCAATACCAGACCCCCCATTGGTCCCTAATAAGTTGAAGGGCCGTTCCCGCGGCTCCCTTCTTTGGCCTACCGCAATCTGCCCCTATTCCATCGTTGGAAGTAGCTCGAAATGAAACTGTCAAAACAGATTAGCCGCTTTTCGATTTCATTCGCTCTGCTTGTTCCGGTCCGTTCAGCGGTGTTGGGTTACAAGGCAATTAAACGCAAGCTGAAGAGCGCCATTGAAACATTGAAACATGCGCTTGTTTATTTATTTATGCCATCACTACGAACATGTGTAGGTACCAATGTAAGTAAGCACTTACAAAATGTAAATTGCAATTGCATTAAGCGGATTTTCGTTGGGAATAGTATAGAAAAAGTTAAGTTTTTGTGAGAAAACATCATAAAAACATGAAAAGATGAAAAGGGTTGTTCGAAATGAACCTGACGATGCATGGATGAAGCGTTTGACTCCTTAAGTAACATTTTAAATTAGGTTTATGTTGAAATGAGTTCGTCGAGCATATAGCCATAATCCAATTCGTAAAATTAAAAATCGCACGGAAAATTGCCAATAAGAACTAAGTAAACACATTGCATAGCGTAGCAGCGACGAATCAAAACAATCATGGCACTGCGATAACTTGCGATGAGGTTTCAATTCCGCACTTGTTAATATTCTTTTCTCACATGCGATAGCCGTGGCGAAAAACAATCAGCGCTGATGAAATTTTGCATCGGCATTGTTCGGTGCATCGCGGGTTCATGCTTAATTTCCCCAAACAGATTGCACAAAGATTGAGAGATAATCGGCTTTCAACTCATACAAACACAAAATGGGCCGTGCCTTCAAACTGGGCGCTACCGGGAACACATCCACAACTTCAATCTCCACCTCAAAACTTGATAGTGGGGAGAGAGGTTGATACCTATAAGATAAATGGCCCTTTTCGATAGTGAATCATTTTTGAAAAACTTACAAAAACCGAAACAACCACAACATGACCAGTGATAAGCGACATCATCGAAACGAAGAAGATGCAACATGTCGAAAACCATCGGATTTTACCATAGAACATATTTTAAATCGTGCTGGAAACTCAAAGTTAAATTCGAGTACAACGTGTACAAGTTTTGCGAAAGTTAACACATCGGTTTACAATTACCTTCAGCTTCCACCACTTCCACAATTACCACAACCGCAAGAAGTTGAAAATTATGCAACCACGAGAAGGAATATCCACAGTTACACCAATGATAAGTGTTACCAAGAAGCACAAGAATTAAACGACACATTTGACTCACAAAACAGCGGATTACCCTTTACCTGGTTACAATGCACAAGATATTGCCCGCCAAAAATACCCCGTAAGTACAAAAACCTTATACTTTGATCTATTTTGAACTAAAAGTATTATTATAATGCGTAGGGAGAAAAGAAGGTCCGCAGAAACGTCAATTAGGTCGCCATCCTCGCATCCCTTTTACTAGTCATCAACTATCAGTGCTAGAAGATAAATTTAAGCATTCACCGTACCTGAGCAGCGAAGAAGTGACCAAACTATCAGGAATTCTTGATTTGGCAGATATTCGTGTCAAAATCTGGTTTCAAAACCGTCGCGCCCGCAAACGGCGCGAAGAACTCGGAATTTCAAACCTATCGCCAACTAGGGGTTCCCCGCCATCATCCCCATAATAAATTAATTTCATAGTCAATTTGTGAAAAAGTGAAAACTTTATTTGTACAATATAAAACACCACTTTGTAAATATTAGCATAAAAACATCAACAACACAAGTCAATAAACATTGTGATCGGAATGCTACGTTTCGTACTTTAGTCTTATTTGTCATGGATACCATCCTTTAAATCGTTCAATTACTTTTTGCCATGTGTCAAACTCACGGAAATGTGCAGAGCGTACATTTTTGTCTTCAGTCGGGCGGAAAATACAATCAACGCGACGCATTTTGGACAATTCCTCTCTACTTTTCCAGATTCCTATCAAACATATAAATTATTATAGTGATTTGAACTTCATATCAATTAAAATTACCTGTGTTTAATCCTGCTATATAAGCAGCTCCCAAAACTGACATCTCAGAAGAAATGGCTCTTTCAACGACTATTCCCGTCATGTCAGCTAGTAGTTGACAGATAAAATTGTTTTTCGATACGCCACCATCAACACTAAAAATAATTAATAAATAATTCAATAATAATTAATTTTATATAACACTTACTATATTGTATTAATTTCATTGTCTAAATCATTCCGTAAAGTTCCATACTGAAGCATAATCCTAAAAACTATACTTTCCAAAATGGCGCGCACCATATGCTCTCGTCTAGTGGTAGGTTTTATTCCAAAGAAACCACTAGCAGCTTTTTCGTCATAAATTGGTGGACCTAAGCCGCTAAACGCTGGAATAAAGTACACTCCATCGTTGTTCGTCACCGAAGACGCCATGTTTGCAGTTTCAGCAGGATTTTCACACAATCCGGACTTCAATGCCCAAGTTATTACAGTTCCAGTATCATTACAGGCTGCTTCAGCCATGTAACACAATTTGTCCTCCAGCTTGTAATAAACCACTGGATATATTCCAGTCACACCTGGATGTAGTTTAGGTGTAATAATATTTAAGAACGTACCAGTACCCATGGTCAGTTTCAAAATATCATCGGAATAACAACAGGTCCCAATCATAGATGTCTGCGCATCGGCCATTAATGAACCAATCTTAATTCTTACACCAAAAACATTCTCTTCGGTATATCCCAAATCGTAATCATTGGCGACAATCTCTGGATATATATGTCTTGGAATATTGAGTATCTTATGCATAATCGTACTCCAGTCCATTTCAAACGGATCTACGAGTCCGGTACTAGTGGCGTTACCATAATCAGTGACATATTGTCTTCCGGCAGTGAGTTTATACAATAACCATGTGTCCACCGTGCCAAACATAAGATTTTTGATATTTTTCCGCATGGCAGGTATGTTGTCCAACATGTAGAGCAGACGCATCGTGGTATGTGAGCTGGTGAATTTGATTGAGCTTCCGGCAAGGTAACGCGGGTTGCGTGTGCAGAGATAGAGAGTATAGGCAACCGATTTGAATGATCTAAACATGAAAGAACGATTCCATAATTTTACTAATTCATTGCAGCGGATATCTTTCCAGGTGATAAAATTGTGATATGGTATGCCAGATTCACGGTCCCATGTGATAAAGGTCGCACGTTGGGTGGTAATTCCAAGGGTTTTTATTTCGGACGGTGTTAAATTTGCTTCTAAATATCAAAACAAATAACCATAGTTAGACACAACTCATCAACATAAATCAAACAAATATACTTTCAATGGCAGATTTGATCACAAATACAGTATCCTTCCAGAGGTCTTCATGTGGAATTTCAGCATAACCAACTTGTGGATGTATTAATTTAGTCTAAAATTTATTTTCACATTTATTGAAATCTATCTTATAATTAATTGATTCAGAGGTTCTACTTACAGGTACTGAATATGTACTAACTGTATCGCCATTGGAATCTACAATTACGCATCTCAAGGTTGTCGTGCCAACATCCAAAGCCGCAATAAATTGCCTTTTGTCATTTACTGGTTGCTCGCTGAGGTCCGCGTCGCCCGACATGATGTCAAAAACTGACGATTGAAATCACTACAAATGATTTCAGCTCCTGTTACATTTATCAGTACATACCTACGTACCTACTTTCAAAAATTAAATTTAAAGTCCATTCACTGCAACACTGCGATTTGCTTTATCTGTGAGCTTGTTATCGCGTCTCATTGTAGTTAAATTACAGTGTCACTTGTTTAGGGTTACCAACTTAATAAATTAAATAAATAAATTTGATCAACTGTAAGAAAATTTGAATACATTAATATCCTAAAATTTTCTTGCACGTCATAACATTCTCTGAAAGTTATTACAATATATCTATTGCTTTTTTTTAAATAAAATAATTTTTAAATGATTGAATGCGAAGTAATGTTGGTAACTCTGAACGCGTGACCTACGATCTTAGACTCGATTTAATGATAAAGATATTACACTCATATCACAGACAGAATGCTCATATCAAAAAAATAACATAAATAGAATTATTACATCACACCAAATTACAAACTACAATGATTTATCCAGAGTATTAGCTAAATTATAATGCATTACGATTATACATATTTAATAGGACTTACGTTTTATTGTGCGCGGAATTGGCTCGACGCAGGTACCCGCTGACGCCGTGATGTGTCACCTTGGACTTACGCAGGTTGTAAGGCACCGTAGTAAAACTGAAAGCATTGTATAAGTTCGGAAAGGTGCGTAAGCAAGTCGATGCCGTGCAGTGAAACGATTTTAAATTGAATTTCGAAGCACATTGCAAATAGAAAGCAAAATGACAAATTTCTGCTATTTGTAAATTAAATTTAAAAAAAACGTAAACCATAAACATAACCGAAACTGTAACTTACATAAACATATTTTTCTACTTCTACATAAAATGCGTCAGTTTTTCCACGTTTTTTAGATACAAAATCAATCTCGTGGGTAAAGTGCTCGTTTAGTCACTTGATAGTTAATATAATATTAATTTAAGTTTCTATGTGCGAACTGAGATGGCAAGTAACGACCGCCATTAGCCGCAAAATTAGCCGAACGATGCACGACAAATCACGAACAGTGAGTTTCGGCCAATTTTTGGCACGTTGTAACCTATAATGCAAACAAAATGTACTATGCTCTTGGTGTTTCCATAAGTGAGATTTTTTTTATAGAACCCTAAGAAATTTCATCAATATTTTTTTATTTAAAATGTGGATGACTCCTAACTCAGCCAAAGGCCCTCCTAAGTATCCAAAGTATCCAATAATCGGTTCTTTAAATTTCGAAACTTGTTGTAGAATAAAACTCCTCCTCATCTCTTACTTTAATCTTTTTTAAACTGTACAAAGCACCCGAAAACACCCCAATATTGCTTCTGATTTAATCTCCCGTGAACTAAAAAAATAATGTCGAGTTTCCCATTGTCAGATGGTGGTTTAGAATATTCAGTATTTTAACCACCTCACGGTGAAAAGATTGCATAACCTACCATGTATTATATATACAAGTTTATGATTTACATTTGCCTGCTCACAATCAAAAACTGAATTTGAAATTAGTTTCATTTGTTGAGAGCGACAGGGGCGCCATAAATATTTATTTTATTTTTTGGCTTATGTTCTTATAATAGAGTGACTTAAAATACAATATATTTGCCAATACCATGCAGTTAATAATTGCATAGCTATTGCAGTTTTATTGAAAACAGAGTTATGAACAGAATTGGCAAGTACTGTTTCCTATGGGAATAGTGATTTTCAAAGACTGCCATTGTTTTAGGAATGCAAAACAAAGAACCTGTTTTTTGATTGGTGCTACTTGCTTCGAATCCTCCTCTTAATACACGTGGCAAGAATGCAAGTAGCGAATCGAAATGATTTGCGCTCACATAGCATTGTTTGCACGATTTTCTGAATGAGCTGTCAAACAATAAAGTACACAATATAGTCGATTAAGTCAAATACTGTGAAAATTCTTTTTCATACTTAATTTTTGTATTAAGAACGCATTTTAAAGCGTCTGCAACGCCACGCGAATAACATTTATTATTGAGTGATTAATAAAGTTTATGGCTTGAGAGCTTAGACAACTAGTGATATTAAGCAATTATGTTCAGAACATGGAGAATATCTCGATAAATAAACTAAAATAGTTGGAACTTAAATTACCGATTGTTTTCACAGTATTCAAAACTTTCAATTTCGAACCACACATTTTGATGCTTTATTTCAGAACAATCACTGTTGAATATGAAAGATTAGTCTCAACATAACATCAGATTTTGAATTTATTCCACTTCATTTATTTCAACTCGTATTCAAAAGGTCATTCAAAATTCAAAAAATTAGAATCACCTCATTAAATTTATAAACATTTTTAAGTGAATCAAAATTCGAACACGCTCTCATTTCGAAAATCCTTCGAGGATCAGGAATCTGGAATCTAGAAGTTTGCGGTCCAAGGTTTTGTAATACCTAGGAGGGGTCCTAGGAGGTAACCGATATTGGCCAATGCAAACTAATGATAAAATGCTGTTGAAAGAGCTTTGTTTCTCTTAGGCCACCCAACACAATCTGAACTGCCTGGTTAAACGGCCCTTTGAACTCAGCATAAGTTATGTTAGTGTTGGTAATTTTCCTGAGGTTGACCATCGTTCAAGCAAAACCAAGGTTTTTAAGATATAGTCGCTATGCCATGGAACCGGAAGCATCTCCATTCGGGAAACGTTGGGTGAGCTAACTGTTTCATATCAATCGCACGCCCATCCGGTCCAGCCTTCCAAGGTCTTAATTTTAAACATGAATAAATGAGGTTGTGTCCTATACATAATACTACACAACACCTAGACCAATTTGGTCAATTATTTTTTAAATGTTCGTTAAAGTCCAAGGATAATTTTTACGGCGAGAAAAATTAATTGCCGGGAAAACCATAAAGACAGCTCTTTTCTACAGGATAAAAGTTGGCATTGAGATTCAATCATAATTATAGTTAAATAGTTGAACCCGACATGGCGCACTGAAGTGCGTTATTAACAATTCTTTATACAATTAATTTCGTTAAAATAAAATTGCAAATTTTATTGATAGAATTGACAGATACTATATCTAGAACAAGAGAGTAAAAACGAATTACATTTTTATTACACTACCGGGACGAAGTCGCGGGCAAAAGCTAGTACCATATAGATTAAATGGGAGTATCTATTTGTGATGCACCCTGGTCCCATATACCAAACATAAAAATCAATTGTCTGTACTTTTCACAGAGTTTTGCTACCTTGAAAATACCTTACGCAACATAGAATGCCTACCATATGTATAAGAAAAAACTTTGTACGCGCTGTTTCATTCCGGATAAATAGCCTCTCTATTAATAATGTTATTAGGTAATATTTAGGTATAGGTGGTCTCATTATCAATAACATGAAAATAAGATCTTGTTCTTGATCTGCATGCTAATTCTACATAGGGAACTCACTTCAAAAATCTCTGTATAAGATCCGATAAGACCAGACATTTTGTCGTATTATAGAGAGATGTCTTTACAGAGAAGAACAAATGTAATAATCAAATATTCGTAGTTTTGTGCACCTCAAAGAAAAACGTCTGTAAATATTTCAGGTTTTAAAGTCTAAATATGATAAAGTCTAAACATAAATTATGTTGTATTAAATTGTGTAATGGTTAAATGTCGAAAAAAATGTGTCATGTCGAAAAACAGTGATATTGAAGGCAATAGTTAAAAATATTTTACGTCGTTACACAGGGGCAGAATAACGTTATAAAGAAAATTTTTGGAAACTATACAATTTTAAATTGCTTTATAAGAAAAAAAATTTATTATTAGTCTAGGTCTATAAAAACACTTTATCCACACTCGATGCTTTTAAACATTGAGAATTTTGAATTTAGAAGCTTAGGTGGCAAGGTGACAAAGGCATATTATTACAAAAAAAAATAACGAGTGGAAAGATTATAACAGTTGAATATAGTTGTATTCATTCAACACCAACGTTTCAGTGTATGCTTGATAGCAAATATTGGTTTAGCTTGTAGTAAACACAATTGCAACGAAATATGAGCGTGAAATGCGACGTGGTCAAGTTTAAGTAATTCAACCTTGTAGCCGTTTTTTATTTTGTTTCATATTTACGAACTTTACAGAAACAATATAATAATACAATTTTAAGAATGATACCAGTCCTTTGCACCATTCGTTTACTATAAAAGTGTCAAAATAGCAATAACAAAATCTGGTATAGTAGGTATATAAATAATGTACCAATTTATGTAAAACTTGTTTACGCATACTTTACTCGCCACTGGATAAATGCACTTGTTGTTAATTGTTACGCAATTGCACTGTACATTGAACGTGCGTTGTCACGCTCTTATCTAATCAGCAAATAAGTTGTTTAAGTGTTTATTAAACACATTGCTAAGCTCCGTGCGTATTTATGGTAAACTACTAGCCGGTTAATTAGAGCATACACAATAATACAACAAGAAACCTACAACCTACATACACGACACTTCCGTACTTCTACAATTTTCTATCACCTTTTATTAGTCTGGTGAACGACTCAAAGCCAGTTCAGTTGAATGCGTATATCTGTATAGTTGTGAGTGCTGGTGTGGCGCGGCGGCATTGGCCGCAGTTGTTAAATAATTGCATTTAAAATAGAAATTTGAGGAAGCGAGCGCGCCGCGCCGCCCGGCGTTGCGACGCTCTCCGCAGAGAAACACACAGCCTCTCCTGCTGCTCCTGCCCGCGTCAGTCGTCGATGGGCACTGCGGCGCGCGGCCCGCCCGAGCACACGTAACATACGCAACACGCGCACGCAAACAACTTCCGTGTCTAGTCTTCCCGCGAATTTATTCGCTTACCAAATAAACAAGTACAAAGAAACAAACAGCAATCAATCAAGATGGATCCAGAGGCCTTCCTAGACATCGCCAACCAGGTGGTGAAACTGAAAATGTTTCCCTACTTCGACATTGCGCACTGCGTCCTGTGCGCTCTGCACGTAAGGGAGGATCTCGGCGCCGGTAAGCAATAAAAAAACAGGGCAGGAAATGATAAAAATAAAACATTTTGAGCCTACTTTTGCGGAGCAGCGCGGGTTCGGGCCAACCGCCGAAAAACTATAAATAAGAACTCTCGACTTTAAACTAATATTAGAACGTGCGGCTCCGCATGCCGCGAATAACGCCAGCACGCTCAACAGGAAGAATAATAATAATAAGAAGAAAAAAACTACGTGTACCTCTCTCATTGCTTCAAGCACACAATCTAGATGCTCGTAACGCCGCGTAAAACTGCAACCGACTAACGATTCGAACACGCAGCAGGAGCGCGCGGTACTGGAACACAGACCACGCGACGATGCACGCTTGCCGGCTGGCACACATACCAATCAATTCGCACTTTCCACTTTCTTTGCCATGCTCCATAGCATTACTTTCACCAACAATCAATCCACCTAAATCATTTATAAAGCAGAGTTTTGTATTACACATATTAGCAGCAAACAGTAGATTATGATCAGAATGATGAACCAAAAATCAATATAAAAGTGAATGACTAGTTGCCTATAGTTAGGTAGAGAATTCAGCAGAAATAAAGTAAAAACCTTACAGGAGCCACACAATTCTCTCGTAAACATCCGCTAGCATGCTGGTTATCCTATATGCTTGTGGTGTTCGCTGGTGGTATGGTTGCGAGCGCCCTTTTGGCTGAGCCCATTCTCGCCCCTTTGAAAAACACCCCACAACTGATTGTTGCTACTCTAGTATGGTGAGCGCGACTAATTCAAATATTTGTACAAAACTTTAAAATATTTAATATTTAGGTATGTTGTATTCTACACTCCATTTGATATCGGCTACAAGGTCTCAAAATTCCTCCCAGTGAAGATTGTGTGCTCGGCAATGAAGGAAATCTACCGTTGTAAAAAGGTCTACGATGGTGTGACGCACGCCGCTAAACTGTACCCAAATGCCTATCTGATAATGATCATCATCGGTACGCTGAAGGGCAACGGCGCTGGGTTCACGCGTCTCATCGAGCGACTCATCCGCGGCGTATGGACACCCACCGCAATGGAGTTTATGCAGCCGAGCTTGTAAGTCAAGCCCGCGTCTGTTTTATTTATAGGCAAGCTGTTCACTCACCTGGTGTATATTTTTTGCAGCTACACCAAGTCCTGCATTGTAGCTTCAATCATATTCATCCTCGACAAAAAGACCGAATTCATCTCGGCTCCACACGCGCTCGTGTACTTTGGCATTGTCATCTTCTTCGTCTACTTTAAACTGTCTTCAATCTTGCTGGGCATTCACGATCCAATCGTACCCTTCGAGAATCTCATGTGCGCACTCTTCTTTGGAGGCATCTGGGATTCCCTGGCGAGAATTTTGGGCAAGGGCCAGCCCAAGGAGGGTGATGCAAAGGATGCAAAGAAAACAAACTGAAACCAAAGTAGGTTTATCAGCATATTTTGGATCAATTCAATTCAAGAAGATATCTTGCAATATACTTACGACATTTTTATTTCACAGGCATTGCACAATCAAAACAAACACGTACAATCAGGCATGAAGAATTTTATAAATGTGCGGAAGAATTCTTCATTCCTGCGTTACGACTGTTTCAACATACAACGACTCCCATTTTTTATTGCAGATGTTAAGTGAACCAAAAATATTTTAAATAAAATTGTAAATAATCTTTCATTCGTCAATTAATCAGTATTTAACACCAGACAAACTCCTTGTAAAATCCAATGGCTTAAATGTTCAGGAGTTCCCAGATCTGCTTCAAACACTAGACCAACTCCCATAGCGTTGCGTCTCTGTGAGGTAGTATAAACAGGTGTTCTTAGGGTATTCTGTAACTTTAGTCTGTGAGCTTCAATTGGTATAACGCTCATCACAGGTAATTCTTCAATTAAAACTTTTGGCCTTGACCGCTGTAACCTCTTCTCTACATGATCCCAACGTCCTCCTTCCAAGTACAAACCGTGAATGAGACACGTTCCCGTTTCCGGTCTTTCTTCAACATCCAATGGATCCAAATAATCGGTCACAGCAGTGTACAGAGTGCTTTTATCCAAGGGCCAATTGTTTCTTCTACAAGAGATCTGCACCAATGCCGCTAGGTATGTTTCAGGAATGTGTAATCCCGATATCCACAATACGGTTGGATCACCTTGACCAATCCAAGTCATATACTGATATTGCCTCTTTTCAAAATGATCCATCCAACCTCCAAGTGTTTTACAGGTTGCCGGTGCCAATTTTCGCCAGTTTGCAGGCAACTGACCGTTAAATAACGAAAAAGCTACATTATCCAATACAGCATCCATGCCAATCTCACCAGCTAAGGCCCGTTTCAATTGTTGAAGGCTTTTTCTCATTGCCAATATCAACTTATTGAACCTTTCCAACTCTTGCAGAAGTACCACAATTGTTGGCGTAATTGCCAATTGAAAATGCATGCGCACCTTGTAAATCTCATAAGCTTCCGGTATCTTTTGAAGTATATCGTTGGCCACGTTCAGAATAAACTCTTCTCGAGTAATTCCAGTGCCTACAGTAGCAGTTTGTGGTTGCAAATCAATCAGGTGCTGCCACATTTCCTTGGTAGCTTGTGTATAGTATCCAATTTCTGCATTCGGGTGCAAACCAAAAACATCAGGGCTATTTGACAATGGCAATTCATCAATATATGCCAAATAATCGTCGCGTTCACCATCCGGAGGAATTGTATAGTCCACATTTTCATCGTGATAGAAATGAAATGGTTGAAAAGTATCAAACAAGAAATCACCCATATACTCGTCCATGTATACCTTGACAATTCTTCTATCGAAGTCGTCAATGACCCTTCCGCCATACATCACTTCACCAATCAAATATTTCAAACTATTCCACGGTATTCTCGTGTCCTTGGCCTTGACGGCCTTAGTTAGATATGTGTTTAGGATTTCAACACATACATTAAAGTCAGATTCGTTAAAATCATAGCAAATATTCCAACCAATTTTATCATACTTCCGCCTTTCTTGAACCACAGCATGGAAAAATGCCAAAACATAAATTAACGACTTAAAAGCCACATGTTTACAAGATTCCAAAGTCTGGGGCCGCATTTTAAAATAGGTATTTCTTAAATTAAGCTTTAAACCATTAGGTGGTTCGGTAACAACCTTCAATGATCTCTGCAACACTCCAATTGGAAAGTTGTTTGTCGGATCTGTTGTTAACCACAGACGAAAATCTGGATGAGGTTTACTCATCCGTTCGATAATCTTCTCCAACTGTCGCACAAAACTAAGCAACAGATGGCAATTCTGAAACATTAACCAATATCCTCTTTGGACTGCCTGGTCCAACAAATCAATCGCAATAGTTTCCTGGCCTTGTCCAAGTGATAAATACTTAAACTCTGCTTCATCCCGCTCGGCAAGTTTCATCAACTCAGCTGTGGGATCAGATCCAGGACTTAGGATAAATACAACAGGCGTAGTTGGAGAACTTTGATCAAAAATGTTATCCAGTGATATTGTTGGCGGCATTATAAACTCTTCGCTCATAGTGATGCAAATGTAATCGCTTACTGCTCTAAAGATGCGATCAATTCTAAAACATCTGAGAATCATCAAGAGATAAAATGATGGCAGGTCTTCAGAATAATTGCACGGTAAAGGTATGGATTCCGGTTGGTCTGAATCATACCACTCTCTCCATTCGTCAATATTCTTTTCTACATCAGTAGGTAAATTGAAGAAAGGTTCTGGGAAATCCACAGCCAATTTTAGAATGTCTTCCCATCCTTGGTTTGTAATCCATGGAGCAGGTTTGTTCCTCGTAGACTTATCTAAACTAACTGATCCTTTGATAAAGAACTCCAGTTCTCCTTGAGTAACCAATCCGGCACTGGCTTGAATTTTGTTGGTCATTTGGAAGGAAAACAGCAGTTTATGTTTCTCAAAAATTCCAGTGCAACAGTAATCGTAGACATTTTTGGTTAATGTGTCAATTATGTTAATCAAACGTTTTGCCATCACTTTATGTGGCAATGACTTTCTCAGAGAGAAGGCAAAGACCTCAAGATATGACATTAGAGAATATTGATACATTGCATTGATAGTGGCCATGTCTGAAAGCACAAAGAACATTAGAGCACCACGTTTTGCTACGGACCTATAACCATCACGCAGTTTATCAATATCTTTTGCTGTTTCCGTAGCCAATTCCAACTTGATATAAACTTCTTGAGCTTTTGACTTGGTATTCTCAAGGGTAGAAATCAACTCAACATTATCCAACATATTTCCTGTACTTGTAGATAACTCTCTAAGCAGGGAATCCTCCAAAGTCGATAGCAAACTTTTATTCTCCGACGTTTCAGCAATCAAGTGCTCTCGTTGTTCTTCTAAATCAGGACGTTCATTTCGCACTACTACACTGAGTAACTGATCCTCCAGACCAGTCATGGTCACAGTATAATTAATTACGACTCCTGTTGCATACACAGCAGGATTAAATAAAGGATTAGACAACTTTGTAGTAAGATACATTCGAAAGTTTGGATCATAATCAACTTCTTTGTCTCCCAACATTAGAAAAGTTCTCCCAGTTATAGTTTTTAGGTTCTTCTCCAAGACATTATTAATAACAGGATCAATATAATCATCACAATCTTGAAACAGAACAGGAGATCCGTACTTGATGGCCATATCTAGATATTTCAAAAAATCTGAATCGTTAAAGTGCAACGTCTTAAGATTATTCTTTTCTTCTTTTTTTCTTATCCAGTTTAATGCTTGTTGTTGAGGATCAATACAAACCGGAAATCGTGAGCCGTATATCGATAAAATACCATTTTGAACACTCAACTCATCAGGTGGTAAGTTTTCAGAATTCCATGTGGAAATTTCTACATCCGTTGATAAACTAGTTTCGATTCTATAGTTCTCAGCACATGGAATCTCATTTTCTTGGATATCTTTGTAAAAGTTTCCGTAAATCATTTCTTTTCTAAATTCGTAGCTAAAAGGTCCCGTGTAGCTCAGGAATGCTGAACTCAATAGACAATTACCAATCAGTTTTTCTCGATCAACGTGAAGTTTCTTCAAATCTGCAGACCATCGAACTCGTTCCGAACTTAAACCTGTAATTAATTTATCTGCAGCTTCAAGCCGACGCATCATCACATCAGTTTCTTCCTGAATTTCCATTCGTCTCTTCATAGCTACAGCGTATTTTTCATTCAACTTTGATAAATCTTCTTCTAGTTTTGTGATTTCGTGGTATAACTTTTGTAAATTCTTCATTGCAGTGTCAAACTCTTGTTGTAATCGCTCTACTTTTTCTTTTTTAGGTTTAACTTCTCGGAAAACTGCACAATATCCCATTACAGCATTGACAAATTTAAGTAAACCATAACCAGCTTTACTAATGGTAGCCATATCATCCAATTTGTTTGATTTTTTAAGATGAGCTTTTACTGCAAGCTGTTGTTTTATTGTTATTGCATCCACATTCAACTCTTGTAATGTACGTAGGAAACTGGGATCTGACATCATTCCTTTCGCGGTTTTCCAACTGATTTCTTTATAACCACGTATGATAGCAACACATTCGCATACAACTTGCACCGCTTCCGGTGGAGTTGCAAAAGAACGAATTTCAGTAATATCGGATTTGTCTAAATCTTCAAGTGCCAATCGCGCTGTTTCTAATGCTGGAAGTGCTTCCGACAAAGCTGCATCAGCCTCGGTCTTTTCAACAACAATAATCTTTTTTTGCTCTTCAATTTCAATACTTTTTTCCGAAGCAATGTCCTTTTTAGATTGCGCTATTTTTGTACCTCTTTCAATTTCTTCTAACATCAACTCACATGCCTTGGTAGCTTCACCTACAATAATTTTTTGTTTTGCTAATTTCTTGTTGAGAACATCTAGTTCCGCTCTAGCTTCATCAATCTTCTTCATGCCGCCCATTAGACGCTCGCATTGCGCTTTTATAAAGTTTTGCTTATCATCCAAAAGGTGCAAATACCTTTGAATAAAATCTAAATAATGTTTTGGCGTCACATAATTCCTGCGTCTTAACTTAATTAAAAATTCTTGAGTGTACTCAATCACATTATTATGGACATACACTACGTGTTCGATTATCCTCGGGCGAAACTTTGCTGGAATCTTTTTGTTGTCTTTTAAAAAGACCGAAGCTACAGCAATCAAGGCTTGTTGCGGCCAAGGAAACAACCAATCAATGCAAGTGTTGTTTACTAACCCCGGAAAACTTCGGCATCGCTTACTCAAGATATCACCGGAGGGCGACATTGATAACACCATATGTAAGTTATCAGTACATTTGTTAACAAAATATTGCCAAACGCCATCTTTTCCAACACTATATCCAGCATCTCTAGCTTTATTCCTCACTTGGCCAATGATGTTATCCTTTTCTTCGTCACTAAACAATGCCGGTACCAATCCAATCATTAAAATATTGTTGATAAACTCTAAAAATCCCTCTTCGGTTACTTGTGCTGCAGTAAATAAGAACACTGTCGGTTTGTCATCAACACCCAACTGGGTATAAAGTCGCTTTAGGTCTTCTTTTAAAGAAACTTCATTATACCCTCTGCATATGACAATCTCAAACATTTCGCAACCAGCCGTAAATGCAGCCAAACGTGTCAGACTCGCTTTACCACTGCCTCCAACTCCTACAACCATTACATGACCTCGTTCCAATCGTAAACCACGATGAATCCGTGTTAAATGTTCTAAAGCATCATCAAAAAGCACCACATCCATTCGCTCCATCCTTTCATTATATTCCTCTAAAATTTCTTGAAATAGAAAGTAAACTGCCTCGTAGTCAAGAAGATCTTCGTAATATCGTGGTTCATCTTCATTGACAGCGTTGCGATAGTCCCCGAAAAGAATAGGATCACGCATAACATATTCTAAAATATCTATACTTGGCTCAACTTCCTCTTCGTCGCCCACTTCTTCATCTTGTACAAAAACTACAGAATCTATATCAACTGTTGACGATACTGGTACTGGGGCTGGAATAAAGTTTTTGCTAATCATGTCAATCATGTGATTCCTCATTAGTTCCTGATCTTCAACACAAGTCAACCGGTCACATATAACACGTAGAAATTCGTTACGCCATACCCGCACAATTTGATAATCAGAGTGATAGTGTAGTGGAACTGTTGAACACAAGCCAGCTACAATTCTGGATAAATCTCGCATATTAAATATGTAATGAAACTTGTTTGGTGTCGGTGGAAGTTCAGATACAGCTATTTTATATAAGGAAAGAGTCATTTCAATTAATCTATCACCAATTTGCACTTCATCTTCAAAAGGATCCAAATGTCCATTCAAAATTGATGCATAAATATGATACAATGTACTTTCAGCTGGAAATGCCAAGTTTAAAACAGTAAACATTGACATAAACCTTGGGTCCACTTCATTGCGACCACCACCTGCTACTCCCATTGCGGCAAAATATGAAATATCCTTAAAATTCTTCCAGTTCAGATCCTTGCCTCTATCATACATTCCACCCTTTTCAAATAATAATTTAAGTAAAGCAATTGGTTGTTGAGTGCCGTACTCATCCACTTGGGGCATATTCAAGTCATCAATAAAGCAAATCAACTTTTTGCCCAATGGTGGACCATAAATGTCTTTGGTACGTTTCTCAACCACAGATTCAATATTTCTCTGCACATCTGCAGAACTAGTTCGTGATGAAAAGTTAATATTCATTAATAAACAATTTTCGGGATTCAAAGACCGGAGAAAGTCTTGTATTACAGCAGTTTTTGATGTACCAGTCTCCCCCACAAGAATAATGGGTCTTTTGATATCATTCATCAATTCCAATGCGTATGTAACTCTAACAGTATCAACGGTAGGCACCAAAATCTCCGAAAATCTTTTATTTCGAACATGTTCATAGCTAGGTACCTTCCATTTCCACGCAATCCACACCTCTTGTTTAACATCCACATAGTAATCATATAGATATGGAAAACTGCTTGGTAATTTACCACATTTAGCAGGATCCGCATACGTATCCTCTTCGTTCATCATCGCACATTGTTTCTTGGTGAATTGATCAAAGTCATCTCTTACATCGGCAACCAACGAAGCACCAATTGAGTTATAAATACACATCAAGAACACACACTCAATAAGACTTTCATTTGGTACCTCATCTTCCGCATGTACTGTATCAGGTGCATCTGGTAGTACAGCATCAATCATGGCACAAAGTTGTACAACCATATTGAGCCCGGTTTGGGGAATGACAGTTCTCAGTGGTTGAAATTGTTGAGGGCCTATTTGGCCTAAAATCACATAGTTCAATAATGTGGGTACGTACTGCTCATATAACTCTTGATAATAATTTCTTTCTGCTACCCAGGAACGTGTTTTCACCCATCTATCCCAGAAGGGTTGATATCCCAAGTTTTTCGGATCTACATATACCATTCCAGCGCGTGATACAGTTGCAGGTGAGGCAAATGCCAAGTCGCCCACTTCAAACAACAACGCGCAGATGGGAGTCTGTAATCGGATACGCTCACCATTTGCTAAGGTTAGTAATTTATTATCATCCATTACAGAATTCATATTCTCAATCCAAAGAGCATCAACATCACCATCAAATAATATATATCTTCTCTCTTGTTTTTCTGTTGGTCTATTTATTTCTCTAAAGATAGAGCTTAGAAGACCATCTGTCCAATCCCGGGTAAATGGATCCAATATTCCATACAACTCAATAACAGAACATGCTTTAGGATTCAAGGTGTAAACCTTCGTTGGTAAACCCATTATAGTTTGAGCTCTACAGAGTGTATTGATAACCACAGTTTTCCCACCACCAGTAGGTCCCACCAGCATAGTTGAATGTCTAGTCATCATGGTCTCATATAACTGTACAACTTTATCCACCTGTTCAGGCAAAACAATGTAATCATATTTGACCAATACTTTCTCGACGGCTGCATTAAAGTCTGGATATCCAACTCGAGGACAATCCATTCCAGGGAAGAGATCTCGTATCAAACCCAAAAATAAAGGCATATCCTCAAATACAAACTTGGGATAATTCATATCTCTCAGGGCTCTCATTAGTACCAATGCTTCAGATATATCAGGAGTTGCACGTTTTAACACTCCAGCCATTCTAAGAACAGAATTCAAAGCCCTTAGACCCCAATCGTAATGAAACTGTTTCGATAATTGCTCTCGAGCTAATTTGTATAAAACTGTCATTTTCTTGGCCAATATTTTAGCTTGTAGAAAACCATCCGAAAATAATGATATCAAACAGATCATTTCCAAGTCAGGCATTATACACACTACTGGTCTAAATAATGCCTTAACCGATTCTGGCAATTCAGTACGTCCGGCATAACCAGGATTCATTGTAATGAAGATTCCAACTTTGGGATCCAAATCAATTTCAACTCCTTCAAAGATAAATTTCTTAGTCGCAGCAACCAACGCATTTCGTATTGTTTGCAACTGGGTAGAAATAACACTCAATACAGAAATGTCAATTCTGTTAAATTCATCAAAACATCCCCATGCACCACATTGGCATAGCCCGGCTAAATTTGTTCCAATAGCTTTAAAATCCATGCCTTCCCCACAGTTTGTTACAATACACAGTAAAGCCATCGCTTTTGCTAAATCTTTAGTGGTTTCAGTCTTGCCAGTACCCGCAGGACCAGCCGGAGCTCCCCCCAAATGCATAAGAAGAGCTTGTGTTATAGTCAAATAAATACGATCAGTCAATGGAGTTATCACTAGACGACCATTGAGTCCCATGTATTCATAGCCATACTCAAAGGACCCAGTACACTGTGTGACCCATAAATTGTCTAAATGATTTACCCAGTAAAATCTCAACTGACTCTCCCATTCAAACTCCTGCGCAGTAGAAATGCTATCACGAACAAAGGTCTCCACAATGTCTCTTGCATGCACTTCGATGGTTGCTACTGTTTTAAATTTGGTCCTATCATTGGAACTCAAGTCTTCTCGCACTGTCATTACGATATCATCAAGTTGTTTATTCAACTGTTCTAAATACTGCTTCATTGCTCGCTTGTTGCCCTTCAAAATCTTTTCAAAAACATCTTCCACTTCAGCAGTCCACCATACCTGATTACCAGCAAGACACACCATACCTTGATAGTCCATCATCCATTGCGTTCGAGGACGACGTGTTTTACCATAATCATAAATCGCTTTCTTGGTAATAAAACGATTGGATCTGCGCATTTCATTGAGGACGTCATTCATCCAATCTTCCACCTTACCTTCAGTATATACATTGTTACGGAAATCCATTATCTCTCTTTCGGCGGAAATCATTGCGGTCGCTATCGGCCGTTCTTGGTTATCAAAATCCAAGTGAATTGATTTTATGTTATCAAACATTTTCAGCATATGGTCTTGTACGACCGCGGGATCGCTACTGCCCAGGATAGATAACAACTCATCAGTGGATATAAAGTAGAATCTTGGAAAGCGTCTGCGTTTCGAGTCAAGGTAATCATTAAGACTTTTCTGGCAACGATCCAAACCAGCTCCCAAACCCTGAAAGTCTAACAACCGACCAGTTGCGGTACAACACTCCAAAACGTTCGGATTCTTTGCAGTGTCCATCATGATTCTTCTAAAAGCCTTATCAATATCATCAAACTTTTTAGCCTCTTCGGGTAGTTGCGACCTAATATCACCTCCAACAAAAATTCCCTCTAGATACATCCATTGTCTCTGTACCAGGAACCATTCATCAATCACTTCGCCAATCAATGATAGATTCTTCTCCCATTTCTGAACCACTCCCAAGAAAGGACCAATAAATTGAGATCCAGCCATGCTTTGTAAATTCATCGAATTATCTTCCAAAATCTGTGTTATTTCATCAACTGCTCCCAAAATATATCCTCTATCATCCGTACCCTTCATATGTTTATGAACAGTAAATTGTAATGTCTGCCACGTGTCAATAATTTCTTTAACGCCATTTTCAATCTGCAATTCCTTGATAGCGTTGTTAATAATTTCCTCGGCAATATCTTGATATCTATGCAACTGCATTGAAAACATGTTATCTAAAGTAAAACGATCCGCAGACATGTCAAAGTGTTGTCCAGTTTTATCCATCAACTGTTTCCAATGCCTCTCCCGCATAGCATCATTTTTAAGCGCTACCATCAAAGGTACAACATTCTTAAATTGCTTCATATTGTTATCTAAAGTCTGGCCCACCTCAGTTTGTCGAACAGCTTTCGGCAACTTACGGAAATCTTTCATAAACGCTTCAATTCCGTCAACCAATGCTTGTGGATTCAAGTTCACCCATAATGTTCTACCCCAAACTTCTCTAGCAGTTCTTTGGGTTGCATACACTTTGTAAACAAGTTGCAAAGCTTCAAACTCTGTTCTACATCGCAAAAACTCTGTATAATCAGCAAGTGGAATATCAAACAACATTTCAGCGTTGACCAATTCCAATCGTCGTGCCTCATATATATCAATATGTTTACCATAATAATCCATTAGTTCTAAACCGAGATCCAGGCCCTCGCCAACGGCGCCTGGGCCTTCTTCATCAAACTTTTTAACAAAGCAAGATAACTCAGCACAAAATACACGAATTTCATCTAAAGTCATCGCAGCAAATCGTTCTTTAGTAGCTTCAAGCGTCTGAGATCGACACAACGCGCTTGAATACAATCCTTTCCACTCTTCTTCAAGTTGATAGGAAAACTTTTCGTCTTCTTCGCTATATATCACACCATGCATCTGCAACACCATGTACACCTGCTGACAATAAGTATACCTCAGCTCACTATTGACGTTATTCTTCTGAATTGTAGAAATCGCTTGCATTATTGCTTTAAACAGCTCTAAACCTTTGATATTTTTATCGATAACCTGTCGCAAACCGTCCATTTCTTCTTTGAATGCTATCATATCTTCTTTAATACGTTCTGCTAACTTGGTACCCAACATTTGTTTATATTCAGCTGAATGGTCGCGAATTACATCCAGCAGTGGTCGTAAATTAACACGGATAGAACCAACATCAAAATAATTCTGATGTGTTTCGGCATAACTAATAATATCGCTATAGAATTGAAACTTGTGATCAAATACACTAATCAGGTATGTTTTAGCTACAAAACGCTCAATCATATATTCCTTTTCAAAGTTCCAAAGAAAATTGAATCGCTTCCAACGTTGTAGGTACATGTGCGCATCTGAAATGGCGTGTGCAATGGTATTCTGCAACTGTTGCATCACTTCATGCAAATCAACAATGTTTGTTAAATCATCATAAAACGAATATACGTATTGGTCTTCAGAGTTGGGCATTTGCTGTGGTGGGCACTCAATACAAGTAGAATACATCCATCTTGAAAATAATTTTAATTTATCAAGGCATTCACGCACACTCCGCGAGATAATGTTGAAAGTTTCCTGTTGGCTAGGCTTCAGGCCGACTGTCGACGATAACAAAATGGCATCCACTTGAAAAACCAACTCTTTCTTTTCGAACTCTTCATTAAAGTTTTCTATATTATGTATTATCATCTCGGCAAAACAATTAAACAAAGTCGCTTCCCATTTGTCATAATACATAATCATATACTTCGAATAACCTGTATTAGTATTCAAGGTTAACGCTTCTAGTTTTGTGATCAATGGACCAAAGGTACCATAGAGTTTAACCATTTGACAAACTTTTTCAGTGCGTACATCTCTCATAGCAATAAAAAAGTCTTTGCATGACAATCTCTCCTCGCATTCAGAACTTTTGACATACGTAAACAAATTGAAGTTCTTTAATTGGTTCAGATTGTCCATCATGAGTTGTTCGGTATGTTCGATTTGTTTGTTTATGGACACAAAATGTTTAATCTTCATGTTGCATTCATCAACATATTCTTTTATACTTAACGAAGTCCATTTGATGCGTGATAAACCAGGTTGCATATGTGCTTCAATGTCGCGAATTTGATCACGTAAAAAGTTCAATTTGGCTTGTGATAATTTTGATAGCGTGTCATTATAGGTATCAACCATTGTGCGCACCGATTCTACATCCGCTCGAAGACGAGATTTTTGCATGCTGGCATAGGTAATAGAGTCTGGGATATCGTATCCGGTGAGTTGAATTAATTCGGCGCCAGCGATGACATCGTAAATTTGCTCGTCAAAGTTTAGCACAAATCGCAGATTCTCTTCCGATAGAGTGTTGGTGCCAATCACGTCGATCCATGTTACGTTTTTTCCGCCCTTGATTTTGTTCATAAATTGTTGAACAGCTTTTTGGCCACCAATTTTTACAGCTTGGTAAAATAAAATTTGCGTTAATATTGTTTCAATGGAAATTTATAATTATTATATTATATTTTATGAGTGTGTCTAGACAGGTATAATATGCGCGGGGATTTAGAAAACCCTGAACTTATTGAGAGCAATAAATCATTTAATGTAGTGCAACCGCATTTTGGTGAAGACTGGGATTATTGAAGTAATTTTAATCTCTTAATCCTCTAATTATGGCACTATTGGTAGGTACCCTGGTGAATCTTGAGTGAGGTACTTTATGTTATCCAACAATTTGAAATAAAAAAGCAAAAATAATTTGAAGTAAAACCGGAAATTCATATGCAATTAGAAATATAATCTACTTTTCTTTGCTTTTAAAGAATTTTACATCCTACAAATATAAAAATTGCTGTGAAACAAAATAATATAAAAAACTTTACTTTGCAGATTATTTTCTAAGAAGTAATACAGAATAATAGTTAATCCGATTTTACATTGAATCTACATTGTAGGGAACATGAAATTAAAGTTATATAAATTGTATTCACAGATAGATAAGTGGGTGATATCACGGTAACTATTCTTTAATAGATGGAAACAAAAGAATTGATAGAATTGTCCGAATTCACAAATCCGTAATGTACGTATAACGGAATTTCCAAATCGGATGCGCAATGAATGGCGAAATGGGTACATTAACTCTACAACGTACATGCAATTTGTTACGTTGTTTTTCATATGAATATAAATTGTTATAATATCAAGTTACAGCATGCAATAAGAAAATAATTTCTGTTTAATATAGTATGTAGTATGACCCCCATTACCCTCTTTTACCCTATAGCAATGCTGTGAATTCAGAATTTTCTATATAGTAATTTCAGTCAGGCAGGAAGAAGAAGAAGAAGAAAAAAACTTCAGTTCAATCAAAAACAAACTTATACAATTCAATTCAAAAACTATGGATTAAACTGGTTGGACCCATGTATAGGTAGTATGGTTAATGTGTTAAATCAGTCAAGTTACTGAATAGCAAAATGACCTCAAAAGTTCTCACATCAAAAAATGCAATAAAATATCAAAGATAAATGCAAAAGAATTTCTTGAAATCAACAACACCGTGTACTTACTTCATCATTACACAGCTAATACCACAAAAACAATGTATTTCCAATATTCATTACAAACAACTAAAAGTACTAAATCAAAACAGAATTAAATCAAGTTAATTTATTTAAGATGATATTTATAGATGAGAGAGTATGAAGTTTGCTGGGTTTGCTAGTTATGATTGGAATAAAGTAAGGTCGTTTTTTGTTCAGAACAGTATTGCATGCTTTCAAAAATAAGCAGAGTTTTCATGAAAGTTGCTAAATCTTGATTAGCGCGAACTAATTTGTATCTTGGGAATTGCGTATCACTAGAAAACCACTGTCTATGTTGAGAAATTTTCAGCATGATGTAATTCCAAAACGAAGAAATATTAAATTGAGTGTAATATAAATCTACCATTTTTTTAATTAGAATGCATAAGGCTATTTCGTTCAAAGTAAAATATATACATCATTATACTCAGCTAAGGAAAAATTAATTTCCCATCTTATTATCCATCGAGTGTCATTTGAATGCGCATTATAAAAACACTGAAAAAGGTTACGTGTCTATTTTAAACTATATAATATTAAATTGTTTCAACATTTTATAAAAAATGAGCTAAGTGAACATTTGTAGCGTTTTTGAGATCAATTTTGATAACATTCTAATCAAGTAAATATTATTTTCATTTAAAAGCGCAGTTGGTAGAAAAATAATTTTTTCGATAAATCATATGTTTCAAATATATTTAAAATATTGCTAAACTCAAATATTGGAAATATATTGTTTTCCAAGAAAGTTGAAATAAATCCGAACGACGTATTTAAATCAGGTAGAAACTAAAGCTGACCTAATGAGTATTCGTTTATACCTCTTGGCCTATCACCTAGCTTAGAGTTAAGCGTACCTGAGGTACCTGCAACCACCACTAGTTAATCTATATCAAGCAAAGTGTTAACACAATCCCCACCCCTAATCAACCACCTTTAAATACGGTTGCAAAATCAAAAAATCCATCATTCACAGTTATTTCAACACCAAGTGATGATATCAGTCGGTTAAATGCTGATGTTCTCCAATTTGGTCGCCGAATTCGCTTCACACGTCGCCAAAAGCCAGTCAAGCAACAACATGAACCAGAACAAGACCAGAACCGTCTCTCAAGAAGTTCTCGAACGGCAAAGGCGTAAGAAATACTCAACATACGCTGTCAAACAAGATCAAAGTACCTCGTTGATCACGCCAAGGAAGATGACATCAGCCAACCACTGGAATCCATCCGGGAGACCATCGGAACGACGACCGGAACCACATTCATTCGTGAATACTACAACTACAAGAAAGTCCATGCCGTTGCCAAAGAAGTTACCAACATATCAACCACCCCAGGAAAAGAAGCGAATCGGTCAACAAAAAAGACACCTGGTCCAACTCCTAGATGATCTCAAGGAAGCCCTACTTCAAGAAGACGATGAAATGCAACCTCACGTTTCGACGCCTCATGCAAGTACTTACATCAAAAACATCATTCAAACCATGTCCAGCCGCAATGACTTGAGACCGGAACATGCTCACGTCAACCAAAGACAGCGTCTACCACAATCCGGAAGAATACAAACCGAACAACATCCCCAACAACACGTGCCAAGGATGCCACTTCAAAAACCAGTACAACAGCAACCTAGAAGAATGCCGAACGAAAGACGCAGTATGCCGCTGACGCAAGACACTTACTGCCAATGTGGTAGCCCACAACCGCCGCCGTCAATCAATCACCAGCTAGTAGATGAATTCGCCAAGTTTCTTCAATCTAAGCAGCAAGCCGGTGCAAGCATCAGCCCCATTCACTCGTCATCATCCGATACTTACGACAGTGACTACAAGACGAGTTCACCACTTTCAGAATCATCGGTTAGCATCAACTTGTCTCCACCAAGAAGAATCTATCGTTCTGAATTGAACATTGCCTTGATCCCAGCAAATAATGTTAGTATGGTATCTACAGCATCCACACAACCAAGAGCCGTAGATGAATTGGAATGGATTGCAGACGCCCACGCCAATTCCATGATGGATGATTATGAAGAAGATTCTTTCGGGGGAATGATGCAACATCTGCATACTGATATAGAAGATGAAGACGAAATTGCAAGAGAAATCATGAGCATGAGGAACTTCAACGACAACCACAACAAAGCCATTTTCAATAAGATGGAAGACCAACTCGCAGATATTTCCGCTGATCTCAGTGACTCTCTCAAATTGATCCAAAGATTGTCACTTAATAATTAGTATGTACTTGTAATAATTCTGCGCTTTAATTTTACTAGCTTTCTATTGCTAATTGACGCAATTTTATGCTTTTTATATGCAATCATAAATATAAATATTTTGTACTCACTTTTTGGTGTTTGATGTATTTCAATTTGTGAGTTACCCTTTGACCCCTTTGTTGTAGAAGCTGAATCAGTTGCAACTATTTTTGGCTTAGTGGGAGGTTTACCTTCAAAAAATTATTTATTTCAGTGTGAATTAATAAATAAATCTGCATTTTACTTTTAAACAAGGTGCTTTCTAATCTTAATACGTCCATTTTCAAAGTTTCCTTTGCAATCGGCTCTGAAATAGCTACCCATTCATGGTATTTCGACTCTTCATACTGTTTCAATGATTTGGCAAGTTTTACGTAAATATTGAATGCTTCCACCTTTAAAATTGAAGATTTCAACTCATCCACAAAACGAAACTTTAAAATTGGTTTCTTGACAGCTGCAAACATTTGTTGCACCCAGAAAATAGCACCGCCATGTTTCTGATGATTGCGACAAAGAATCGGATTACGTTTATTGCGTAAAAATAAATTCTCCATTGTGGCCAATTCTTTGATAAACTGATCCATAACAATCTCAAACTTGGACATTAGTTGTTCATGGATAATCTTACGTGTACGTAAATGTTTGAATTTTAAAAGTTTTTCAAGTGCACTTTCGGCCGATCGCAGAACTTTAAAACTTTGATCGATAAAAACCGTCGCGGTGCGTTCCAGACTCTTGACTTCTTTACCAAATTGTGTCATAATCTGTTGCCAATTTTCTTTAAACGACTCTTTAAATATATCAAAATCAGCCACCTCAATCGGATAAACCAATGAATCTAATTTTCGCACAACATCATCAATTTTTTGCGGATCTGTCATAATCGATTTCATTTCAGCTCCAAATATATTCGTAAATTGATCGATAATCTGTAACATAACCACAAATTCTAATATTACATAATTTATTAATAAATGATTGTTTTACTTACATCAGCGATGTTTTCAATATCTTTACAAACCAGTATAATATAATCCGATTCACCAAATAATTTCTTCTTATCAAATTCCCAGCGATTGGTTTTTCCCGACATTTCAATCTTTTCACGGGTATCCAGGTAGCACTCTTTCCAGGTCTTGAGCATTTCACGAGTTTCTTGCGCCAGTTTAGTAATCTCCTTAATCGGCCTTCGAAATAAGGTGCTATTATCTAAAGCAGCTCTGCTTTTCTCACATAATACGTAAGAGACACGCTCTAGTAGCGGTACCATTGTCTCATCAATACAATAATTATTCGACAACACCCACATTAGTTGAAGGCCATCATAAAGATGTGGTATTGCCTCCTTTGTGATTACAAAATCTTCACAGTATGTCATCGTTTTAAAATGTCGTAGGATTGTAAAAAGAAATTTTACGTTATCTCTAGCCAACGAGTACGCTTTACGCAAATCTTCGAAAAAGTTTTGGAAACCATTAATAATAGGTGAATCTGCTGCTTCCAAAATTTTTGTGATTCTGTGAAATACATTCTTCTTTAATGGTTCAAATAACACACTAAGGGCTGCTTCCCGTTCACGCCAATAATCATATTCCGCAATGGGGCCATTGCCATTTGGTTGCTTTGCATTGTACGTCTCAATTGTGCGCATAATCTGTTTCTCCCAATGAAAAATAACTCCTTCTAAAGCAGCAACTAACTTTTGATCTTTTATAATACTTTGATCACTGCGACTAAAAATATCAGGAAACTGTGCTACTGGCATAGAAGTATCATCTTCAATATGTTCCAAAGTCCAACGAATATTTTCCACCAACAATTGATAGTCCTTCAACAGCTCCTCTTTCATCTGTAGTTGCTCTTCATAATCCGCCTGAATATCTTCAATGTTTTGAACCATTGCAGAATTTGATGCGGTGCGATGCATACTCATTAATGATGTCGGGTCATTCCTCACACTGAAAGCGCTTGCATCTTTTGCGTCTTGTGCAAATGGAATCGAATCAGCTACAATTGTGGATCGTGTTGGCGAAGTAGAAACAACACTCTGTTCGCCAAAGATCTCGCTTGGACCTTGAGTACGCAAACGTGATCTAATCCGTGATACACTTCTTTTACCTACACTTTGACGACGTTCCTCCAAAGTAGGTATTTTATTTATTAGATTCCACTGAGCCTATAATTGTTATAAATTTGTTTTTATAGAAATAATTACGTAGAACTATAGATTACGTACATCAACCATATGTTGTAGTAATCCTTGCAGTTGTTTTCCATTACATGAGCCCATTACGAAATAACTACACATTTCCGCTTCTGCATCTTCTTTATAATCAAAATTTGGTATTCCTTGTTCGCCCAATCGTAAAACATAGATGTACTTCCGGTTATAGTATTCTTTGTCATCAGTCATGTCTCCGATTTTTCCTATTAGCGTATAATTTGTTTCAGTTTCCTGAACAATTTTCTGTAATCAATCAATTCATGAGTAAAAGATCAAAATATAATCAAAATATGTACTACCGTCACGGGAACATATTCAAATTCTGCTTCTACAGCTTGGGGTATCGAGTATTTAACACTTTTTTCCCTCTTCAAATTGGATGTTCTTTTTTTCTCTTTGTCCTTTTTACCCTTTTTACCTTTATTGCCTTTCTTTTTCTTTTTATCATCTTCTTCGGCCTCTTCCTCTTCACCTTCACCGTCTTCTTCGAATTCGGCATATGTTTCAGTATCTGCTACCGGCGAGATTGAAGACCCAGAGCGAATTGGCGAAACAGTACCAGAAACAGAAGACAAATTTCTATTTTCCGTTTCGGTCATACCTTGAACCATAGATTCTTCGGTCCAAGCCATACTCATGCCACCTTCTTCACCATCACCCCGAACTTGAGTTTCTCTTTCAAACTCATCTTCCTCGTATTCATCGAGATCATCGTTTACACCAGCTTTGAACATGGCACTGGAGCTTTTTTTCTTTTTGTGTTTTTTCTTTTTATCAAGATCTTCAAATCCACTAATTGATTTCTTTTTCTTACTTTTAACGTGGGCGTCAGTTAGCGGCACAATTGGGACCCGCTCCATGACTTGAATTTCAACGTCTACTAATCTTTCATATTTAATTTTGTAAACGTAGAAAAGACGACGTTCTGAGTCGACATCAGGTATTTCGTCGTCTAGTAGGGAGTTCATTTGGTCCTCGAGTTCGCCGTCGTTTGCTTCGAGCATGGCGTCGAAATACCGCCCTGAGTTGAGGCCAAAATACTCGGTGACTTTGTCTTTGATCCATTCTAAACGATAATCAGTCATTGAGATAAATCTCGTCAAAAATTGTACTAAACTTAAGCACAAAATAATTCGAGAAGTAATGACATGAAAGCAAAGCTTTTTGGGGGATTGTCTGTTTGTTTGAGAGTTTGTTTGCTTGATAAAGCGGATTTGTTTTTTGTCATGGTGACCAATGTGGAAGCTTGATCAAAATTTATTCAGTTTGTTACGCTCTGTAAGTTCGAACAACGAAAAGAGAAAACTAGTACAGGTAATAAAAAAATCAATTGAAACAAGGTTGTGAGCATGTTCATTTAATTTTAAATATAGTCATAACTCTGTTTCAAATGCCTACAATCAAAATAAAATCACGCAACGTGAAAATTACTGCGGTGTTTTAAAAAAATCATGTAAACCACATGGGTGAACATCGATCTGTTCTCCTCATGTGAGCTAGGCAACCCAAACAACTTTCATGTATTGTACTACAACTTGATTTAAAATTAACTCTTTGTATGTGAAGAAATTATAACCTATATGATCTGTGACAGTGACTGTCGGTAAATTTCTCGCTCGTTGTACGAAGTTGGTTGGAGGTCAGCTGTGCGGCATTAAGTTGTCGAACGTCGAAGTTGTCGTCGTTGGTGCTGTCAACCGTCAGCGGCGTCAGCGGCGAAGCGACCGATAGACAGCAAGCCATTTGATAAGCGATAAAGCCGACAGTCATCGGTTGACTGAGTAACGCATAAACACGTCGGTAGAGTGTAAGTGAAGTCGCAAACTCGTGAACATGGCCGATTCCATGGAACCACCCCCTTTGTTCGAAAACATCGACATCAAGCATCATGATGACGACGATGACGACCTGTTTGCGTCGGCGGTGCAGGTAACGCACATATTCGATATACGCCTACCATATCCACCCCTCGCCTTGAATCATCGTAAACTATAGTCCTATATACTCGCCCACTTATACTCACAAGAACTAATTAAATAAATGATCATATAATTCAACTGCTGATTTCATTATGTCTGCTGCTACTCAATTACAATCAGTAAAATTGATAACCTTAATTATCTTGTTTATACTATGTGTTGATTATTGTTGGCTCATGCAATGTTTTACAGTCTCTACCTCCAGTAAAAAATGAAGTGCACCTGGAAAATGACAATCATCAAGACCTGCTGAATGGTGACTCTGATCTACATGAAGATATGGGAAAAGTTCACTTGAATGATAGAGCTGAGATGGAAACAGTGCCAATTAATGTTCATTCAGTCACAACTCCAACTCTGGAAGAGGTTTGATTCAATTGAAATTATACCTACATTATATTAAAATATGACTTGTTGTTTACTCAAGGTGGAGGCAGAGGGTGGTGACCAATTCATTGAAATCACCATCACTGAGCCACAGAAGGTAGGCGACGGCATGGGCGCTTACATGGCATATCGCATTTCGACCAAGACCAACATGACGTTCTTCAAACGACGCGAGTTTGCTGTGATGAGGCGCTTCAGCGATTTTCTAGGCTTGCATGACAAACTGACTGAGAAGTATTTGAAAGTCGGCAGGATTATTCCGCCTGCGCCTGAGAAGAGCGTTATTGGTAATGCTAAGATGAAGATGGGTCAGGCTGAACAGGCGACCAATGGGAACGAGTTTATCGAACGTCGCCGCTCTTCATTAGAGCGCTATCTGCGTAGGACATGTCAGCATCCGGTATTGCTGGTAGATCCTGATTTTAGGGAGTTTTTGGAATCGGACGCAGAGTTGCCGAAGGCGACAAGTACATCTGCGTTAAGCGGAGCGGGTGTTATGCGTTTCATCAACAAAGTTGGTGAAACTGTTAATAAAATTACTTATAAAATGGATGAAACCGACCCGGTAGGTATTATTACATTAGCCGAAAATGTAGCTATGCTGATTTTGTGTTCCTTAGTGGTTCGAAGATAAGCTTGCGCATGTAGAAGCTTTAGAAATGCAACTTAAGAAATTACATACTAATGTTGAGGCGATGGTGTCATATCGTCGTGAATTGGCCAATTTGACAAATGGTGTTGCACGTTCGGCTGCACTTTTGAGCGCGTGTGAAGATCACAATTCTCTATCAAGAGCGCTCTCGCAACTTGCGGATACAGAGGAGAAGGTGGAAGCTTTACATATAGAGCAAGCCAACACCGACTTTTTCATTCTTTGCGAAATGCTTAAAGATTATTTAGGTTTATTGGGCGCTGTGCGTGATGCATTTCACGAACGCACCAAGCTCTTCCAGCTCTGGCAGCATTCGCAGCAGATGCTGACGCGAAAACGCGAAGCCAAAACTAAACTAGAACTGCAAGGACGTAGTGACAAGTTGGACCAAGCAGGCGTGGAAGTTATTGAATGGGAAGCGAAGGTTGAACGCGGACAGGAAGCATTTGACCGTATCTCGAAAATGATTAAATCTGAGATGGAACGCTTTGAAAAGTGTCGCATTCAGGACTTTAAAGCGACATTCATTAAGTATTTAGAGAATCATATGGAACACCAAGCTCAGGTATTTATTTTCTCGATAACATTATGTTTAAGAATCAATAAAAATGAGCCATTTTTAGTTGGTGAAATACTGGGATGCATTTTTACCCGAAGCCAAAGCAATTGCCTGACTAGACGAGTTAGAAAACGAATAGCAGGGTCGACATTCCAACTTCAAGTTCCCGCTGTTTTCGAACTGAAGCTACCAGTTAAAAAGTATATAATTTAATACATAAAAAATCAAATATGGAGACAAGGTATTGTATAAACTTGCAGTAAGACAGACATTGTCAACATACAACAAAAAAATACAAATGTGTAAAGAATGTGCAATCACCGACAATATTTTCCGTCGCTAAATGTTTGCTCTAGGAGACGATGAAATGAGAACTTGAATGCGCTGCCGCCCGGCATAAAATTCTCTATCTAGTTGTTAAGTATGTATAATTAATTGAATTGATTACTATTACTATATTATTATTATTATTATTACGTGGCTCAATCCATTCTTACAGAGTTTATTGTATTTTTTTACTCGTGTTCTTTTATGTATCTCTCGCGCTTGCATCCTAGCGCGTCTTGTGTTTGTCTGTTACTTTTTGTCGAGTAGAGTTTTCCAGCACACATGAACGAAAAATGTGATACGCATTCATTATCTTGTTAATTTTTATAAATTAGTAATTCGAGTCAGAGCGCCACTTTGGTTGCATGTCATGGACAGATAAGAATCAAGAAATCATCCCAACAAACGTGTATATATCATGCTTTTGTTTATACAATCGAAGATTATATGTGAGCATATATCATTGTATTGAATTTCAAAGACAAGGATTATATGATATATCTCTATCTAACTATGAAATAAGAATAGCTTCTAGGTGCATGCATTGCAAATATGTCTCTATAGATATGTACTGTGCTTCTCTTGAAACTATTAAAAATCGTATTTATACAATGAATTAATTGGCTTCCAAAAAGGTTCACGCAGTATTTGCGTGTTGTATTATTCCACTGCTAGTACAAGAATATTATTATCCCTCTTCTTTAATTGTAATTACGGGTTATAGGGCTTAAGCGGCGAAATATTGTCTACGTAGCGTCACTAACCATTTTTTAAATTCTAAATAAATGCGCGTTTCAAATATGAGTGAATAAGGCGAATTGCGCTTTATACCTATAAATAGGAAGATTGACTCGATGGATCGGCGCCATTTTGATAGTGACGATTGATTGCTTGCATTGCTAGTCAAAATTAGCTCGAGCGTTGGCCGACTTTCAATAAGAAATTCATCGAAATGCTAAGGACGACGCCAGTTAATCAGATCAACAATTGTATTTTTGTCACGCGCAATTGGGAACACAACAATGACGCCTTGGTGGCCGCTGGCGGTGTGTATTTTGCAAAAATTAACCTCGACACACGTTTAAGTAGTTTCAAGAAGGCCCACCCCCTCTACGCTCGCCCGCAGCAAAATAGTCTACTTGGCGAGGCACGCCGTCAAAACGTTTCATGCCATTTCCGTACACAAAGCGATTGATTCAGTATCGTTTTGATTAACGCCACCGCCGTTGATTGCAGGCGTGATTTTCGTGTGATCTCGTTCAGCCACCAACACCATCGTTCGCCATGCCTCTTAATTGTATGCTACAGATATGCAAAGTTACGAGGGCGAGCAAACTCTTCCAAAGGAACTATTATCTGCCGTTGATGCGACCGTTATCTCCAAAGGATGCTCTTCGGAGACATGTACTCACTGGGACAAATCTATTGGGTAAGAAAATGGACCATTACATCCCCGTGCTGGAAGAGGTAAAGGAAAGGCATCAGAGGAGGAAGACTATGATCAAAGGTCTTGGTAAAAAGCGACAGCGGAGGAAGACTAACATGAAGTATGTATCGCCTTTTTTTGATGAATATATGGACGGTCACGCAGAGGTGGAGAACATCGTTATCAGGAAACCCAAAGGACGTGGACAATGGTACACGTATTATATCCCTGATAAGGATTGTACGGTAGTGCTTGATCATCAGTTTGAAAAGGCAATTCGCGATAAAGATATTGTTGATGTGATCATTGCCCAAAGAAGTGAGAAAATCATCGTTAAACTAGCAACGGGAAGGAAGGTAGCAATACCGGTAGCTCCATGGGATGAGAGAGGTCCATTGTACAGAGGTGAAGGCTGGACCAGGAAGGAAATTGAAGAATACCATCATCATGGTCGTGAAACTATGGGTTTGGCGAGATTGTTTGAGGCTAGGGAAGCTGGTGTTGAGGAATGGGAAATTGCCCTCATGAAAATGGCTTCTAAGAGAAAGACCAAGCACCGCGCAGAACATAAACCAGAATTCAAACAGATTCTTAATGAAGTCGCTGAAAATATGGATTGGGAGAAATTTGAAGAAGAAGCAAAGGAGATTGTCGCAGAAGCTAACGAACCCGTAGAGGATGAACCTATTCCGATGAAAGTATATGATATGGAAATGACGAAGAATGTCAATGAAAAACTCAAAGAAGGTGGCGAGGATACACTTTCTATGCTACCCTTTTTAGAGGACATCCCAGAAATTACTAGGTTTATGCAAGATGGCGAGTTTACCGACATGTCTAATGTATCCGGTGCGTTGATTAGCCTCCCCATCACCGGAAAAGATGTATTCGTTGCAGGGCAAATGGTACAAGCTGACGATGGTGAGTATTTTATGCCTGGGCAAACCATCGAGGACGAAGAAAATGAAACTTCCGAATTCAAGCCGGGTATTACATGCATGATGGATGGCGAGCCTCAATTGGTACAGGGTTTGATCATGGGTGACGATCCACGGCATCCGATGTTTTTGCCAGGTGACTCTACTATTACAGAAAATGGCGAGCTGCAGTTTACTGAGACTGAGGAAGATCGTCCTTGGGGTGCCTGGGATGAACCAGAGGCAGAACCGGAAGCGGAAGTTGAAGAGGCCGAGTTGGAGGAGGAGCAGAACAGCGAGGAAGAAGCTGAGGAGATGAAACCACCTCCACCACCTCCTCCAAAGAAGGAGTTTATTTATGTACGACCCAAGAGATTAAAGTTGAATATCGACTGGGGTGTAAAGAGGAGAGAAAAAGCGCCTAAGAAGCCAATAATTTCTTTAGATAAAGAGAAAGCATTGGCTGATATTAAAGCCAGGCCTATTTCGGAAATTGAAGCGGTTGTTTTTGATATGACTTTGCCGACATTTGAAAAGGATATTCCTGAACAACGTAAGGAACGTATAGAAAAACGTACGGAGAAAAAGAGTATGGAAGAGTACGCAATCGATAAGAAGAAGAGAGAAATTAAAGAAAAGGTAAAGAAAACTATGGCGGAATTGCCACAAGTTGAGGAATACGTTCCTGGGGAGCCAGTGCGCAAGAGTGAGAAACTACACGAAATCGAACAACAAGTCAAAGAAGGCAGCTATCTCAATGACTATAAAAAATATATGGTTCCGGTGGAGAAGTCTACTAGATTCAATTGGAAAGATCCAGTGGAGTTTGAAATCTTGGGCAAATCTGTGGGTATTCTCAGACACAAAGTATGGCAGCGAGCGGGAACCATTAGGAAATATTAATTCATGATTAATTTTCTAATATTCAACACATATTTTTATTATAAATATTTAATGTGCATTGATTTGTTTTGTTTCAAATAAAGAGGAAAAAGATATTCAAGTTTTGGTTTATTTATTAGCTTTATTTATTATTATTATTATTAGTTCTAGTGATTGGCTTCTGACGCCATTTTGTTTTCTTTCCAAATAACTAAACTCGATAAGTCTATAGAAATGCTTACCATGCTTTAGATTATACAAGGAATATTGACTTTAGAGGCTTGTAAAACATTCTAGGAGTAGGTCGTGAAAGGTTCCAAAAGAGGCTGATCCCTGCCAGTGAATAATTCGTTTACCACGACCCGAATAACCTCAACAATCAGCCTTCTGCGGACCACCTCCCACCTTGCCACCCGCAATGGGCTACAATCCAATATAATAAAACCACTTTAATCAGTACGAACTGAGTAACCATCCCAACCGGACACAATCACAAGATGGCGACCGCACCCATCACGCCTAAGGCAATCAGAGTAGCGCCTGGTGGAAAACGTAAAGTGTACACCACGCTTTCAAAACCGCCCATGGAGGTAGGTCATCGCATGAAACACAAAGAAGCTAACTATCGCGATCCGTTGGATCTTCATGAAGGGCTTGGTGGACACACCGACTACGACCTATCAATTCCCACCTTTGAGAAGGATACCATCGAACAAGAAAAAGACCGTCTTGATAAAATCAAGAGTGGCCGCTCCAACAAGGATTGGGAACTGGAGAAGAAAAAAATGGAAATCAAGAAAATGGCACGAGAACTCACCAAGGAAAAACCCAGCACCAAGTATGAAGAGATGGAACCCGTCAAGAAGACCGACAAATTGCAAACAATGGAAAAGAACATCAAGAGTGGCAAGTTCTTCGACGTGGATCACAAACGGTTCTTGAAGACAGGACGCGGGCGTCCTACATCCTATGAAAAGTTTGATTATACCAGTACGGTTGTGTCAGTGGGCACTGCTGGACGTTCATATTGGAAGCCTTTGGACATACCACTTAAGAACTAAGAAATGTTTATTGTATTATTGTCATTATTGTAATTTAATTTATAGCGTGTGTATAGATTGAATAAAAATTTCAATACTTACATAACTTGGCTATGTTAGTGGATTGCATAGCAAGTTATGCATGTTTGGCGGTGTCCTAAATGCTAAGGACAATTCGTCCTGGTGAACCCATCCCAATTTAGATATCTTGGCTCGCATAATAAGATATGCGCCATTGAAATACATATATACAATTACATGTATATCACTATGTTTGATTGAGTTTAGAGTTTAAATAATTATTTAAGGTTATGAAAGACGCGTTACCTCATACTGTAAATTAGCAGATGAAATTGAAGGTTATGAAAGTATTGCTATTACAAAATGAGATTTGCTTTGTTGTCTATTGTTTCGAAAATAGTAGCAATTTGAAGGTTTTGGATTGCGTTGAGAGCACACGATTGGCAAGTCGTCAATAATGTAATTGCATCCAGCCGTGCTTCGGTCAATCAGAAGATTTATTAGTTTTGCGAATAGAACCAAGGGCAATCGCCAGATATCTGCAACGTGCAGCGTGCGAGCGCGTCGGACGCACTCACCGCGACATTAATAGCACTCTGGTTGAATTACGACATTTGCGATGACTTCCTATTGACCGTCAACTCCCACCCAATGTGCAAACAAGCAAATTCTATTTACAACAAATGCAGCTTAATTACACTTAGCCTTTCGCGTCGCTGACGCCCAGGCTACGCAAAACACGCTCGCGATTAATTACCGCGATTTCCCATCGAGTACGTGCTGAAAGACGCCAGCAAAACCAGCAAAATGCCGATCAATTTTATGCTGCAGATCTGCAAAGTGACGAGGGCAAGTAAACTATTCCAGAGGAACTTCTATCTGCCCTTGTTACGACCACTGTCACCCAAAGATGCACTCCGTAGACATATTATTACCGGTACAAATATTCTTGGTCAAAAGATGGAGCATTACATCCCTGTATTGGAGGAGTACAAGGAACGTGTGCAAAGGAGGAAGCATATGGTGAAAGGCGCGGGTAAGAAGCGGCAGAGACGAAAAAAAGATATGACATACGTGGCACCCTTCTTCGACGAAAATATGGAGAACCATTCAATGTTGGAGCAGTATATTCAGAGTAAGAAAAAGGGCAAAGGACAATGGTACACATATTATGTGCCTGATAAGAATTGCACCATCGTGTTGGATCATCAATTTGAAAGGGCCATCCGTGATAAGGATATTGTTGACATCATCATTGCACAAAGAAGTCAGAAGATTGTGGTAAAGCTAAAGAATGGTAAGAGAATTACGATGCCCATTGCACCATGGGATGAAAGAGGTGCGTTGTATAGAGGAGAAGGATGGACAAAGAAAGACATCGAGGAGACTCATCATCACGGTAGGGAAACTATGGGTCTGGCAAGATTGTTTGAGGCTAGGGAGGCGGGTGTAGAAGAATGGGAATTGGAACTGATGAGGATGGCATCCAAGAGGAAGACCAAGCATAAGGCTGAGCACAAACCCGAATTCAAAGAGATTCTTAATGTTGCTGCTGAAAATATGGACTGGGAGAAGTTTGAAGAAGATGCGAAGGAAATTGTGCAAGAGGCTAACGATCCGGTTGAAGATGAACCAATTCCGATGGCTATAGATAACATGGAAAAGACGAAAAATGTCAATGAAAAACTTAAGAACGCCGGAGAGGATGTGCTCTGTATGTTGCCTGAGATAACAGACATCAAGGAAATTCTGCAATTTATGCAAGATGGTGAGTTTACCGATATAGCTGAAGTTTCGGGTGTGGAGTTATCATTGCCACTGAGTGCAAAAGAGGTCTTCGTTCCTGGTCAAATGGTATCTGGCGAAGAAGGTGAAATTTTCATGCCTGGACAGACTGTCGATAAACTGGATGAAAACGGTGAATTTGAAGCCTCTGAGTTTACCCCAGGTATTACTGTTCTTATGGATGGTGAACCTACCTTACTGCCTGGTTTGGTCATGGGTGACGATCCATCCAAACCAATGTTCTTGCCAGGAGATTCCACCATTACAGAATCCGGTGAATTACAGTTCACAGAAACTGATGATGATCGTCCAAGAGGTGAAACTCCACCACCACCAGAGGATGAAGTCGAAGAAGAAGAACTCGTTGAAGAGCAAAACAGTGAAGATGAAGCTGAAGAAATGAGACCACCATCACCTGAGTACATTTTCAAGCCACGTAAGAAGCACATGAAAGCTCAACGTAAACCGCAAACAACATTGGACGATGTAACGTTGACAGGCGAAGGTAGACAGATTCTAGAAATTGAACCTGTTTTGTACGATATGACATTGCCCACATTTGAGAAAGATCTCATGGAGCAACAAAAGGAATGGGTTGAAAAGCTCACAGAAAAAAAATCTAAGGAAGAATATATGCTTCAAAAGAAAACCAGAGCAATGCGTGAACGTGCTAAGAACTTAGTTGAGAATCTTCCACAAAACGTTGAGTATGTTCCCCAGGAACCTGTTGAAAAGAGCAGTGAGCTTGTCGAACTAGAGAAGGATATCAAGGCCGGCAACTTCTTCGAGATCGATCACAGGCAATTCCTCGTGATGGAGAAAGCGCCGCGCCTCAATTGGCGCGAGGGGTACGATTACTCAAGCACGTTCGATTCGGTGGGGATATCGCGACAGAAGGTATGGCGATCGGTCTACCGAAAATAATTGCGCAGTTCTAATTAAAACAATTCAGCCGATAGCCGTCAATTAGTTGCAACATTATTCGCGTTAGCGAACGCATCGCGCGCAGAGCCAGGCGCACAAACACGTCGCGCGCCCGCCAAGCCGACCGAGTCCGCATAAGTCGCATTCCGTCCCCGGTCGCCCTGATTGCATCACCGGTCACCCAGCGACGATGCCGGTCAACGTGAAGATATCCTTGTGGACGATCTCGCAAGCGAGCAAACTCTTCCAGCGTAACTACTATCTGCCACTGCTACGGCCACTTAGCCCTAAGGATGCTGCCCGCCGCAAGAGCATCACCGGACAAAATGTGCTCGGAGCGCGAATTGAACACTACATCCCTGTATTGCAGAAGTATGAAGAGAAGATGAAAGAAAAGAAGCAGCGCAAGGGTGCTCCAATCATCAAAAAACGAATCAAACGTAAAGAGAATGAAAAATATGTGACACCTTTCTTTGATGAGCATATGGATGGACATCCGCGGCTGGAGATGCTCTTGTCGCGAAAGGGCAAAGACAATAAACACTTCTACCTCTATGAGGTGTTGGACAAAAAATGTACTCTGGTAATCAACAGTCAAATGGAGAAGGCCATCAAAGACAAAGATATTGTGGACATTATCATCGCTCAAAGGAGTGAAAAAATTGTCGTCAAAATGGCAGATGGTAACAAAGTAACATTACCATTGGCAAAGTTTGATGAACCAGGCGTGCTCTATAGAGGAAGCGGGTATACTAAATCTGTTGTTGAGGAACAGCACCATCATGGTAAAGGCACTTTCTTCATGGCTCGATTATTTGAAGCTAAAGAAGCAGGTGTAGAAGAATGGGAACTTGAGATGATGAGGATGGCCTCTAAGAGGAAGAAGAAGGTCAAGGGTGAAGAGTCCGGCGATTTTAAACTAGTAATGCAGGCCGCAGCAGAAAACATGGATTGGGACCAGTTTGAAGAAGATTCTAAGCAAATCCTTGAAGATGCTGATCAGATGGTTGATGATGAGAACATTCCCATGGCTGTGGACAGTATGGAAAAGACTAAGCATGTTAATCAAAAGCTTAAAGATGGTGGGGAGGATGTCATTGATCAATTACCTTTAATGAGGGAAATTCCGGAAGTTATGAAACAAATAGAAAATGGAATGTTGTCCGAGTTAGAGAATGTTTCCGGTATTGAAGTACTGATCAGCGGCGGACGTGTTGTATTCGTCCCCGGTCAAATGGTCAAGTCAGAAACCAGTGAGGTATTTGTCCCTGGTCAAACTATTGAGTTAGAAGATGGTACATGTGAATATACTCCAGGTGTAACCATCAAGGACGAAAACGACGAAATTATTTTAATGCCAGGTTTGATTTTTGGCGAAGAGGAACAAGAACCCACTTTCTTACCTGGGGAGTCTACCATTACCGAAGAGGGTCAATTACAGTTTGAGGCCACTGAAGATGATCGCCCAGCGAGAGAACCTAGTCCAACACCACCACCCAAATCACCAACACCTCCTCCCCCACCACCAAAAGAAAAATCCAAAACACCAGAATTATTTACAAGACAATTACCTACAAAAATGGATCCGATTGAAGCATATGAAATCAGGAAGAAGAAAGCTGAAGAAGAAGAAAGGAAGAGACGAATGGAACGCAGCGAATTGAAAGCTCTTAAAGACGAAGCCGAAATTGATAACATCCGACGTAAAATTCGCCAAAAACTCAACAACTTTAAGATAGTAAAACCCGACGAATACATACCACAAGAGCCCGTCTTAAAGAGTAAAAAATTAGAAGAACTGGAAAGGAGTGTTAATGACGGGTCTTTTGAAGATTTCCAGACCCGTATGATCTTGGAGAAGGTACGCAATGAATCACGTCGTGCCCGAGCAGAATTGCTGCTAAACGTGGTCGAACCTGAAGAATTCGGATCAAATTACGATCAGATCGGACATTATCCCAATCCAAAATTGCAACGTGACTTTTAATCTATCCAAACATAACCTACCATAACCTTAATAGTAATCTATTCTTTTCTGCCGACATCAAGGGACAGCCGGCATCTATTTGTGCATGTTTAGGTTTTGGGCCGGCAGCAACGTTGGAATTCAGCGAGGCTCGAGATGGAAACCGGATCGGTCGTTGTCCTACACGGCGCTTAAAAGCGTCGCGCCGCCGCGCGCCGCCTTCAGTCTGCGCTGAGCCGCATCGCAGCACGACGAGAGCTTACCGCTTGCCTCCGCATTATTTTGAACATTATGTTGTCTGCTAGCGTGCGCGAGTTTCTGTGCCCGGCTAAAAATACAGCGAACGAACTTTCAGTCGAATAAAATCAAATTTCAAATTGTAACTGCAATCAAACGTAGCTTTGTTCTCTGATAGTTTAATTTAATTTTTGTTGTTTTTTTCTGCTTTAAACCTGCAATCGAATTGAATTGTATCGATACTGTTATAATACTTATGGTGTAAAAAACGTTATTGTGCAAAACAATATTTAAAAACTTTAAAACAAAAAAAAATCGTAAAAGAAAAAAGAAAACGTCAAAATGATTATGAATTATGTGTTGTCGTTTTGTAAAATTACCGCTGCGAGTAGAATCTTTTCGCGTAATTTTTATTTGCCCTTATTAAAACCCATCACACCCAAAGATGCATTGCGCACGTTCAAGATCACCGGCAAGTGGTTGCTGGGTTCAAAAATTCAGCACTACATTCCTGTGTTGTACAATCATAAAAGAAAAAGGTCGAAGAGAATTAAAAACTTTGGAAAAGTGACACATAAGTACGACGATAGTTTCACGTACATGGGGCCTATGTTCGACGACGACAATGAAAGTCACCGCAAACTAAAAGGTATTATCGAAGCAAAACATCCAAATGGGGCAGAAGATTCTTGTTACATCTACACTGTTGATGACAAGATGACGAATATAGTGTTCCCAGGCAAGTTTGAGTTAGCTATCCAAGATGGTGATATCATTGACATTTTAATCTCACAAAGTGATGATAAAGTACTAGTCAAAATGAAAGATTTTAAAAAGATCCCTTTACCATTGCAATATTACGACAAAGACGATCTTAATGGTAATCTGGTCAAAGGTGAAGGTGCTACAACTGTAGAAGAGGAAAAATTTCACCATCACGGTAAAATGACAATGAAACTTGCGAAAATATTTGAAGCTAAAGAAATGGCTGAAGAATGGGAGCAAGAAATGATTAAAATTGTTGCTAAGAAGAAGAAACAGAAAGGAGAAGGTACCAAGGAATGGCAAGAGATGGTATCACAGACAATTGAGAATATTAACTGGCAGCAGTTTGAAGTAGAAGCCAAAAAAGTAATTGATCAGATTTGGGAACCTGCTCACGAAGAACACATTGGTATGGTTGTTGAAGATTTGGAAAAGACCCGCAATGTCCCAGAATTCTTCAACAAAGCCGGTAATGCACTTTTGTGTTGTTTACCTACTCTGACTGAGATACCAGACGTTGTTAAAAATATGGCCACCGCAGTTTATGAAGAATTAGAAGATGATACAGGTATGCATCGTGTAAGTGGTGTAAGGGTTACTTTGAGCAGTGGGAAGGAATGTTTTATAACTGGTCAAATGGTCAAAACTGACGAGGGAGATGTTTTCATCCCTGGACAAACAATTGAAAACGAATTTGGTTTATCTTATGCTCCTGGGATGACTGTCATGTTAGATGGTAAACCCCAGTTAATCAAAGGATTGATAATGGGTGAAGCAAGCGGAGAAAATGGTGGAGAGCAAAAACCAATGTTCCTACCAACAGAATCATCAATCACAACCGACGGGGCGTTAACTTTCTGTAGGAATCCGGAAGAGTTATCCATGGCACAACCGCACAAAATCTTCGTCAAAAGGAAGAACAAAAAGAAGAAGAAGAAGAAAACGAACGAAGTGAACGAACTAAATGGAGAACACAATGTTCCAGAAACTGACGTCCAGAAAACTGAGCAAATAAAACAAGAAACTGAGTTAGAGTTGCTCAAAGAAGTGGAAAGCTTCCAAGTCGTTGTAAATGATTTAGACGTGATCGCGGAAGGCGAGGAGCCCACCGACGAGCAAACAGATCAAAACGACGACGATCATTTAGCCTACGATATAATACCAGTGATTGAACCTATCATCACTGTAGAAGCCATCACAGACGCTGAAAAAACACAGTCCGAAGAAGATTTAGATGAGTTTATCAAAATGGAAAGATTAGTTGAGCTTCAAGAATTACAACAACTAGAATTAGAACAATCTAAAGTCCACGAGATTGAAGAAACACAACTTACAGAATCAACTAAAGCTGGAGAAGAGTTCAGTTTTAAGAATCCTGATGATGGTATGGAAAAACTAATTGGTAATCTAGAAGACAAAAAGTCAGAACTTCAAGAAAAACTCGAAGAACTGCGAAGACTCAGTGTAATTTTAGAAAATTCTGTTACTTACATTCAACCAGTTGACGCAGAAAACTTAGCAACACAAATAACATCCGATGAAGATCAACAGCACAAAATTGCAGAAATTCTGTTTACGTTATCAAGACGTGCGTACATGTTCCGAGAACGAATGAATGTGAATATCAAGAATATACATAACCTCAGTGTTTACTCTGACGCAGAGAATACCAAATCATCTTTTGCAGACATCGATGACAGGTTTGATCAAGCTTCAATAAAACTAAAGCGTACGTTAATGTCCGCTCTATTTGCTGCCAATGAAGTATTCAAAACTCGTCCAAAAGATCAACAGTTAGCTTTGAAGACCTTAGCAACAATCATACAGAATGAAATAGGCAATGATAAAGACATAGAGGAGTTATGTACTGTATGGATGGATAGAGATGAAGTTTGTTCAGCTGCTTTGAGTATGCTTACACAAAAGGTACGAGAATGTAAGGTTGACCTACTGAATCAACTTGCAGATGAGTTTGAAGCAGAAAAGTGTACGGATATTCTCGATTGTGGCAGCGTACTGGCGGTAGCGATCAAGAAACTGTCCAAAAATAGCCCGGAGGTGCGTGAAGCTCTTCAGCTGGAACTACAGACGAAAATAGACACGGTCAAGACTGAGTGTGATGCCAAGGAAGCTCTACAACTTTCCATACGTGACGCGTGCACTGCTTACGCTGAGGAATTGTTGATGCACTTTAACATTCATGATGAATTTGAATATGATGAGGTTACACAGGAAGCTATTGGATTAGCAGGTACCCTAGGGCTGTATGAAGTTCAAGAGGTGCTTGGCAATAGGAAGGAAGTTCTTAAGCTGTTAAAAAGAAAATCGGTCGGTTGTGATAAAGCGAGGGACTTTTTACAAAGATTCCTTTTGATTAGGGAATTATGTCATAAAGATTATTCTGTAAAATCTTCATTGGAACGCATTCGTAAACACCCGGAATGTGGTCGGAAAGATCCAAGAATAAGACAATTGTTGATTGAAAGCGCGTGTCTCATGTCAAAGCAACGTGATCTTCGAAGTTCGTTAGAAATACCGTTGCAATTGTTTAAAGAACAGAACTTTTTGGCAATTGAAGATAGTGTTTATCTACGTGCAAGAGTAGACGCCCCGATTGTCATCAGTCGTAAAGGGATCCAGTGTGTTGTGCCAAAGGAAGCAGCGAAGAATGTGTTGGCTGGACGGGTTGCCTATACACTCATCGACGAAAGCGGCGTAACCAACTTCAAGCCAATGCACATGTTCAAGATGGCACATGGTCGCAAGAATAAAAACTATGTAGGTGGCAGCACTGATGTAAGACGAAATTCATTGAGCGACGCACGTATGGCTGCCTAATTTAGAGCAATCATGACATTTGCACATGTTTGTAATACGTAATTACTTATAGTGTTTATCATTTAACGTTTACGGTGTTGAGTTTTGGATTTTCTTTGACTTTTATGCTGACTGTGGGCGATTAACCGTTCATTACTCATCGAGTACACATGCTACAAATGACAGACATCAATTATAAACGCCACCTCATGGACAGACTGTCAAAAAACTACAAACTACAAACGCACGACATATCTACCATATTTTCGAGGATGTGCAAGTGCGAGAATGAATCAACGGTGAGTTCAGTGTTTGTGTGAGACTGTGTAACTGTGAGTCATGCTGAGAACATTCTGATTTTCCACGATTTGCGTATCTGTGTGTCGCTTGGCCAAAATTTACGAAAATTATTTTCTATTTTTTGCACTCTAGAGATAAACTTATAAACTTGAATCGCGTTTGAAACGTGTTTATTTGCTTTATAGTAAATAACGAGTATATCTGTAATATTTTCATCTTGAGTGATGTTTTAACTCGAGTCCAAAGTAAACAAAGTTCCACAACGTCAAGAAAACACAAAACGCAAAAATATGGTGACATGGCGGAAGTAAAGAATGCATGTACTTCAAAATTAGCGTCAGATTTTGACGTTAATGCATTTTTTACACAATGCACACACAATTTGCAATATTTGCACGTTTTCCACTCACTCGTCCAAAGAAAATATAGGTATTTAAATAACTCACTTATTTAAAATGCAGACGCGTAAAACTAATGAATTTAATTTATGGAAATTTCTCATTGACTTTAATGTTAAAATTGAGCGTTCTAACGAAAGCAGGCAGTTTTATGTTCGTACATAGATTTATTTATGTAAGCTATATTTTACGATTACACTTTCATCGTCATGTAAACCGTAAAAATCGAAGCGAGCGAACGCAAATGGCGAATTAAAAAGCGCAGCTATACGTTTCCTATGCGCTTGCAGTTGCAATGTCTGTTTTTTCACCGTTTTTATATCTCCAGTGAGAGTTTTAAGGAAGCTTTTGACCAGATGTATGGCATATGTTGCTTAAATACCGTGCATACAAATTAGGAAATAAATACTTAACATTTCGACATTTGACACTAATGTTGATTTTATGTCGCGTTGAAAACTATTAGAAATTTTGCAGTGAGCAATGGATAAAGTGGTGTAATTAAAATTAATTGTGCGCGAAATATGTTTTGGTTTATGAATTTGCAGTTTTACGTTTATAACATAATTCAACATAACACTATTATTATTATTTGAAAGTTTTGTGTAACTTTTTTATTGGATAGTAAATAATGTTTATTATGAAGTATTTGCTTTTAAAACAAGTAAGTGAACCATTTGCCTAACTAAAACAGTCAGTTTAAGCACAAGAAGTGTGTACTGGTGTACTGATATCTCGATTGAAATGTCGAAGTAAAAATCAAATGTAAACGTGAAAAGTTCCAACCTCTGCACCGAAAAATTTTAGATTAATTTATATCTCATCTTAATGTACTTCACAAGAATTTCTATATACCAATAAATACCGAAATATTGATACTAATCTCAAAATTCACAACTCTACTTATCAGGCCAGTAATATTTCAATACATACAGTATAATTTACACAATTGTCAGCTTGTATATTTTCCAAGATAGAATAATGTAATTATTCAGTAGAAATATGTTTTCTCACTGGTAATAATTTATTTATTTATTCATAGTTCGTCTTGCCAATGACTGCCTTTGATCTTTTTTATTATAAAAGACTAGACAATAGGTATCGATTTCGTCAGTTCACGAGAATTCATTCATTAATATTCATGTCAGACGAAAGTTCTTGGACGTCCTATATCATCTATCGTAACGCGACCGATAATTATCGCTAATTATTCACGACCGCATGAAAAAGCCGTCTGCACGAATCCAATACACACACACGACTAAATACTTCTCTTCCTCTTCGAGTGAAAGATTTAAGATTTATGAATCGTAAATTCTTTCTTGTGACAAGAGATTTGCTGCGCAGTCGAACGCACGTGAAAAGTCACATTATACAATAATTGACAACTTTCCAACATTAATTATAATTATAAACCATCCTGATGGAGATAACGCGCGCGCACGTGTCTCACAAAACAACTTACAATTCACATATAATCTGATGTTTTAAAAATAGAAGTTTTGGGTGAAAAGAAAAAATAACATCAAGTTTAAAGAAAGATATTTTTGTAAAAAAAAGTTTGAATACGTTGTCCAGCGTCATTTCCTTCAACATTCGCCGCCAAAACGGAGAGTTAACGCCAACATATTTCGAATTTTCGAAAGCGTCATGCGTTTTTGAGCGTTTGCATGCGAACAGAAAAACCGCAAAATAGAATAGCAGTCAGAAAGGAGTCTTCAAGTTCATTACAAAAATAAATTTATTATTTAAAAGCTTTGAAGGTGCAGACGTTCTCTTAGACATTACATTAGTTGCACTAATTGCCAATTGCGAATGCAATCACGACACTTGAACATTGGCATAGTTTGGCATCGCAAATGAATCGATAAATGATGCCAAAAATCAATTAATTTAACTGCGTAGGCGTAGAAAACGATTAAAAGCTTTAAAATTTTATAGAAAAAATAGTTGCTTTTCGAATAAAACATTTTTTAAATTAATTATTATAATTTTTTATTACCTAAATAATAAAAAAAACGCAATAAAATTGATATTAAAAAGTTTTAAATTGTTTTTGAACACTCTGTATGTTATTGAAGGCTGTTAGAAGTAATTTATAGCCAACGCAATTAAATAATCATGAGTGTACACATCAGTCTCGCGTCTTATAGCCAAGTGAAACGTTAAAACTTATCAACACTCAAATCTGAACAAAACCACAAAAGAATAATGCATAATCGTTTACATGGACCGATTTATATGCATGGCGGACCTGCAAAACAAGCTCCTATTCCAATGCGTCCACCACCACCCCCTGAACCGGAACCCATCCGCTTACCAACGCCTGAACCAGAGGAAGAACCTGAAGAGGAAATACCAGTACTAGAACCGGAAGAAATCAACACCCATCTTCCGATTCTAATCTGTAATCTTGGTAATAAAATTGTGATTCCACATGAAGCGACAAGGGATGTAATGGCAGGACGCTGTCCGTATTATTTATGCGATGAAAATGGTATTGATATTTATAAACCAAAGCATATTTTTGCTGCGTTGAAGCTGGAGAAGAAAAAACGTGAGAAATATGAGGATTATCCATGTATCGGAGCACATCAGAGGTTTTTAGAGAAAAGAGGTAGACGCAGACGGGGACAGAAACATTTTTACATAAGCGATATTATGTTTCAACGAGGAGAATACGTAAGTAATGTTTATTAAGATTAATAAAAAAATGGTGAGCAACTGTGGTTGCATATAGTACTCTTGCTTGAAAAAAAATACTAAGTAAAATTTATTTATTTAACGAAGAATTATGGTTTAACACCATTATTTTGCACTGAAATGCAAAAAAGAGAGAGTATTATTTTAAATTTGAGGTATGAATTAATGGGTGCAAATTAGCTTTGGATGCCATTTTGACATCTTGGCCGCGAATCAAGACTGCTTTTGTCTTCTAACTGTATTCGTAATAAATGTATCGTCTCCTTGTAAAATTCGTGGTGTTTTTATCACTGTGGATAATAAGGTTGACCTATTTTGTATTATTACAGTGTGTACAAAAACATACTTCTAATTAAATGTTATAATCTGGCAAATAATTAGATTTTTGGCATTTTGAAAGGCATTCAAGTCATTTTTTTAGTTTTTTGATAAAACTCGGAAGCACAGCAGGTAAAATGCATAACGGCAGGTGTGAGACATGTGAGGCAGGTTTAGAGACTCCACTAACTCTACTAAATACATCATCGTCAACTTTTTTTAACTTTCTTCCTTCTTATTTCGACCTTCTTCTACGCTCGACGCCAGTAGACACAAAACACTGATACTGTTACATACACTACTAGTATCTTTAGTGAATAATTGGCTTTAGTCTTACCACAACACTCCATATTTTATATTTTTCATCATTTTATCGTCGTCTTGTTCTTGTTCTTGTTCTTCATTTCTGCTAGTTCCACATCTGTTGCGCCTTACGCTGTCTTCGTGAATTTACGCCGGTCTTCGGCACGCAGGTAACTTTACCTTCCACTCTGTAAGCTCTGTTCACCTTCCAGGTGAACGACGACTACGACGCATGCGGTCAGTGTCTGTCGGTCTTTCTAAGCGCGAAGAACCTGTACACATATCAATACGTGGTATCGTGTGGTTGCGTGCGGAGTGTCGCTGGGAGTGCGCGTCTAGTAAAACATTGCGTATTCAATAAAACAAACCGCATTAATTTCTCGCGCGCAAGAAGCGCGTGACGCGCGTCCGGTCTTTGCCGGATGATAACTGCTTAAAGAGTTACACTCAAAGTATAAGAAGTCGTCAACAGCAGAGTTACCACGTCGGAGAGCACATATTGTATTTGCATTAAAATTACATACGGCCGATTAAAAAACAAAATAGGATTGTGGCGTGCTACCACCTCGAAGTCAGGGAATAATTTTATACCTGTGGATGCTATTTTATACCAAAGGAATTTATCTTATAATTTTCAAGGTAAACAATAGTCTTTATGATCAAATATTAATTATATGAATAGAAATTGAATATGCAACTTTAACTACAACCATATTGGTTATCTGAGTAAAGTTAAGTAAACACTTACTGTACGTTATACCCTCACAATATCGTTAAAACGATATTTTACTAAATTATTGTAGTCAATGCGTAGTATTTGTCAAGCCTGATGTGGATAGCTATTTCGACCATTAGGCCATTTGGCCTAATGGCCATTGTAGACCATTTTCCACATCAGGCTTGACAAATACTTGCATTGACTTGCAATGGTTTAGTAAAAATATCGTTTTGGCGATATTGTGAGGGTATAGCGTACAGTAAGTGTTTACTTAACTTTACTCAGCTTATACTCACCCTCTCGTACTACCTACCATTGTATTTCCATATTGGTTATGTTTAGTTTCTCGAATAATTTGTGAAGTGTGATTTTCACATTTTCATAAAGTTATTCACGTTTACATGATTTTTGTACTTATCTGAGTATTTTTATTTAAATTTGTGTTTAATTGATAGTGGATTACCGAAAAGTTAGGTTAAAATATATAAAGTATGTTGAGATAGGTAATAATTGAAGTTAAAAACATTAAAACTTAATTTTGAATGTTTGAATCTGAATTGCTTTGGTTTATGCGTCGTCTATAACCAAATGTTGTTCCCATGCTCTCAGTTTGGGTGCGTTTAATGAAGGCAAATGCGCCGAAGAAGGAATTACGCTTCGGCGGCCTACGAAATCGCGATAACGCAGCGAGGAGCATTATTTCATGCTCGTCGCGCGTCTCCCAAGCTTCGAATACATATATCACTATCATTACACAATGCTGCAAATTGTTGATATTCATGTAATCAAAAACATACACAAATCATACTTTTCCAATATCATCGTAATTATAAAATTGTACAGTTAGCTATGTGACCAGAGGTGTTCTCACGATCTACGATTTTGTGCAGTAATATAAAAGGGACACCTCTGGCTCTGCGCCTCAGTTAATACTATCAACTCCGCATTCACGTCTACATATACGTTTACAGCAGTCGAGTGACAAACTTCGATCAAATCGTTTAAAGTTAAAATGTCATCGCGAACGTGTAAACATGATGCTGATGCATTTTGTTATATATGTGGTCAGTTTATAAATGTTCGAGACACAAAATTTAAACTGAAGACATCTCAGGTTCTCTGTGAAGCGTACGAAGCTTATTTTAATTTTCCTGTTCGCAATCAAGACAAGTCATGGGTCCCACATGTGGCTTGTAGTAGTTGTAAAAGATCTTTGGAAGGTAAGCAATTTTTAATTAAACAGTAATTCAAATGTAATAAAGATATCATTTGTTATTTCTACATGTTAGGTTGGTATCGAGGAGAGAAAAGATTTAGGAAATTTGCAGTACCAAGAATCTGGCGAGAACCGAAAGACCACGTTCATGACTGTTACTTTTGCGTTGTAAATCCAAATAAAAGACGTAGCGGAAACAATGGAAAACCTCTTGAATATCCTAATCTTGAGTCTTCTTCTGCTCCAATTGCACACGACCTGACACGACCAATTCCTTCACCACCAAAAAAATTATCTCCGAAAAGTAGCTCATCTCTTAGTTCCATTGAAATCACACCCAAAAAGCAAGTTGGATCAGTTTTAAAGCAGCAGTAACAGGATTCTTAGGAAATAACAAAGCTAAAAACTACGAAAAATTAGTTGAAGACATGTTGAAAAATTTTAAGGCCATGGGTTGCAGGATGTCATTGAAAGTACATATGCTACATGCGCACATAGATAAGTTTAAAAATAACATGGGGGCATATTCCGAAGAGCAAGGAGAACGTTTTCATCAGGGCATCAAGAACTTCGAACAACGATATCAAGGCCAATATAACGAAAATATGATGGGAGATTATATCTGGGGTTTATTGAGAGAAAGCACTTATGATCACAAAAGAAAGAGCAAAAATGTACACTTTTAAACTATATTTCACTTTTTTATAAGTTATTTTAATAATAAAATTTCATGAAAATGATAAATTAGGTTATTTGTATAGTTCTATCCTTAATTAAACATAAAAATCCCAAATTTTGAAAAATATTGTTAAATCTGAATTCTGAGTACAGAAGCAAACTTTTTTATGTCATATATTTTTTTTTTGTGTAGTTATGACCTAAATTATCGAAATTAAACCTTTAAACGAAAAGGCAAATTTTGTGTTGACCTGTGTAATCTTTACTTTTAATACATTTTTGAGATTTAAACTCCCTGCATATTTATTTATTTTATTTTTCTGACTCTATAAAGATTGATTTTTGCATTCACTCATCACTCAACCAGGTAATAAATAAGTAAATTACTTGCATTTAATGACCAAACAGTTACTGACCGCTCGAGAAATGTCATTAAAAACTCGTGGACACAGATACCAGTCTAGAATGCTGAAAGTTACGATTATGTTTGGGTCGGGTCTGGTTATTGCGATGGAAAAATATTATTTGCCGATTATTTTATGTTTTATACTTTCCGTCAATCTCTTTTTTTATTACTTACTTAATATTGGATTTTTTTATTATTGGCGAGAAAATAAAAATTCTGAACATATCACACAACAAAATCGTAAAATACGAAAAATATTATCTACATCGCCTCGCCCTTGAGCTTTAAAAAAATATTAACTTTGTATAAAAGTCAAAGTCAAGTTTTGCGCTTTAGACGTACAACAGGTGCAAGCTCGGCAACCATTCAAGTTCGACTCTTTGACCATCATCGACTCACTCAGTCATAATGTGACTGAAAGCCTGCACGTATTTTTATTTTTCATGTAGTTTTTATTTATTTTTTTCAACGATGCACGGTCAACAAACGCGAAACTTGTCAGGTTAGATGCTCTGAGCATGCGCACTAGTCCACGAAACTAGTCTTTCACTCATGTGCCTAAGAACGGCTGAGCTCGTTCATCGAAACAGAAGAATGAAGCAACATCTGTCGTTTAATTATCGTTTTGTGGATACCACGGCGATTGTGCGGCGGTAATTGAATCGACGGCATTTGGAAAAGTCGGAAAATAAAATGTATAAAAAAGGCAACAGCGGCTTGCCAACTTCAAATAGCAAAGGTTACGACTGCGACGCGTTTTAATGAAGGAATTCACCGACAAGCGCGTTTTGTAAACATGGCGCGCGCACCTAGTGATGATTCCGTTTGTTATTTTTGACGTTGTGCCATTGTTTTCATCATACAATCATTTTTATATAGTGCACTTGACTAAAAATTAAATTATTATTTTATATGAAAAAAATATTTTTTACTTTTCAAATTTTGATAGAATTAAATTGAGGTTGTGATAAAATAACATAATAATAAAATTGGTCAAATATTTTATTACAAATAATATTTTTCCTACTGAAATAAGGATTTCGCCTCGCCGCGAATTTTTTGGCAAGCAAATTACTTACATCGGATATTCATGACGTTCCGAGTGTGCCATGTGCTTCAACGATGAATAAGCGAGACATCGTTTGTGTCTTTCGATAGACAGGTGTTTTGGCCACTTGTGAGACACTTGATTAATTAAACGTTTTCACTCTGACCGAAAAAGAGAAAAACAAAAATGTTTATCGTCTCAAACGCTTCCAACCTCAAAATTTCACATTTTTTCAAAATTTTGTAATAGGGTTATGTTTTTCTTCTGGAATATTTCGTGACGTACGTGTCGTAGGTGAAATTGTGATTCATACCCAAATATTTAGGCTCTTCAAACAAATCAATGCGCACCACATTTCGTTTAATATTAGACATTCGACTTTTCCACACATTCCACATCCATTCACTCTTCACGCGCCCGGTTTATAAATAAGTCGATTGAAAAGGAAACCGTTTGGCTGCGTTTCGTATGACGAAAGAATTCTTCTCAGCATTGTGTATGTCTTTTGGTTTTCATAGAAGTTGCGCCACGTTAGTCCCGCACATGGCATATTATTATTTATTTATTGAATAACTTGCGAAGAGCAACACATTTAATCTCGCTGACATGATGGGACAATTATCCCATCGGGCGGCCATCTTGCGTTCACCCGATCGATTTCTACGGAGCAACGCACTTGGAAGACACGTCGAAGCTGCAGATATTGATAATTATTCTCTATTATGCGTGCGGTTATATGAATGATTTGTATTATGGTGTTATTAATGCCGTGGCATTTTGATTGTGAGCGCGCGATCGCTGTTATTAGAGATGATTAAAATTCAATTCGATTCTCATCAGCATGTCGCATTGCGAAACGTTACAATAACTCGTGGATGCGTTCATCTGCACTTTCACATCTTTATGATAAATAATAAATTACTTTGCATGATGAAAGGCGGAAAAATATTGAAATTGTTAGAAAGTGTTTTTATCATCGAAAATAATTACAAACAATTTGCGGTGTAAATTGAATAAAATTAAGTGTATGCAACACTGTATACGTATACGTATTTAAATAATATTATAGGTTATAGTATTTTATGTTCGTCAGTACTAAATCTTTTCGTATTAGGGCCGTAATCGTTAGTCATTAAAATTTATGCACCGGAATGCTTTAATCTGTAATAGTGTAATAATTTACAAGACGTTCAACCGCGTTCACCGAACGATGTCTGACCATTACGTTTGATTCCAGGAAAAATAACGATTTATTCCTGTTTGAGTCACACGCAGAGCGCATAAGTTAATACCTCAAAAAATTAGTTATGATATTAGCTTTTGGTATTTGGCTCGGGAAATGAAATAAATTTACCTGCTTACACTTAATTTGATTTTTTTAAGTAAAGACGTTTATCCAAAACACATTTGTTTCGTTGGCACCGAAGCTTAATGCTTAAGCTTAAATTTAAGTTCACATTTAAATGTAATCGTAAATACAAAAAGCAATGCAATTTGTTATTTTAATTTATTGATTTGCCCGAAACTTGCATAATTTTATTCGTATTCCAGATGTTAAAACTGAATTATTTATAAAGTCCTAGTAGGAAAATTTATATTCTATTTTAGTAGGTATGTAGGTACGTATTTGGATATTTTAGAAGATTTACGAGTATAGTAGTACGTTTTTGGTTGTTGTTAATTTCTGCTTGGAATGCTTCTCTTTTGCATATTGTGCGTGATTAAACGGGCTGCAGGTACTGCTCGCGTGACTTGAATTTTTACCTACTATAAAACACACTTTTTTGCATTTTTAATCGTCTTAAAAATTTCTACGACTCTTGAATGTACACGTTATGTATGTAAAAACAAATATATTTTCATTATGAAAAACATTTCGGTATAAATCATAATTTATCATCATAATTTCTTCATTATTTGCAAAATGTATGCAACTTTATTTGTTTGCACTTGCACTATACATATTGTTATAATATAATGTAATTAAACGCTGGAAATTGCATCATTTCACATTTAACACTGCAGAATGTACTACTTTTTATGCCTTTTTGATAACTCTTTTGATCATTTTCCTCATTCCGATATCTGCTGTCGTAGAAATCCCATAGGATGCATCTTACGCATCCGATGAATGTTATTAATAGTTTGTTGGTTCTTATTAGTGCGCCGGCGAGTTTCGTTAAACGTCCGTGCCCGTGCGATCTGCATAATTCGGTCCGCGGTACGGATGGCATAAATTAGCTAAGCGCAATTAATGTGAATACCGTAACGATAGTAAACTTGTGTTCTGGGAGGCGCGATGCATGCGTAATGAGACCTCGGCGTGCCCGACGACCATTTGCATTTTGCCAGTGCGGAAATTATTTGCGTCGTATTCATGCGTTGATGAATGGAGCAATAAACAACAATCAATAAAAATTTGTATTAATCTTTTAACAGACAGCAGTGAGTGTAAATGTAGTAAAAACAGAAAGTTTAAATGTAGTGTAGAGAATATAGATTTCCCCAATAATTATTGCACATATAAATAATTAAAGGGATGTTTCTAGAAGTATTTTACTATTAGTGTGATAGAAGAACTCTTATAAATATTATCTGTTATTTACCATTTTTGAAGATATAATATCACTACTATACTACATACAATTGCTCGTTGAGCTAATTTGAAAACTGCCTGAAATTTTTATCAAAATTCTTATAGGTGTCATACAGTTCATAGGGAACACACATATACATATCCATTTTTTTAATATTGATTATTTAATCAACAAGAGAAGAATGTAGATTGTTGTAAAATTTAAAATGAAACATATTTCTTAAAAAAATCATTATGATATTACTGATAGTTTAAAAGCTGTTAATTAAAATTAATAATAAATTTTTTGAGGCATATTTATTGCTAAATTAATGGGTGTTATTTTTACTTTTTACTTATTTTATTATTTTAATGACTTATTTAATAACTTGATAAGTCAATTTCCGACTTATGCATGAATGAATGATTAAAACGTTATCGGCGTGTGTTTTCGACTTCATCTTCTTGTTCTTATTTAATCTCACTTTGCAGCGACCGCGATAGCTCAAAGCCTCGATTGCGAGTTAATTAGCCCATATTCCGTATTCTACTTAATTATGCCATTTTAATAATCATTAGATGGTATTTCACGAAAATTCGAATGCGACTAACAAATTGATACAATAAAGTAATTTCAGATTCAATTTTAGTTAATATAAATATAGGTTATGTTTATATTTTATAGTAGCAATGATAAAATTTATACATGTTAAAAATCGACACGAATATTTACTTTTCTAGGTTACTAAGCTAATGGTACATAATGATACTTAACCAATATATTTTAATTGCCGTTAAGTTATTAAACTAGTAATTAATCACTGGTGTGTGGAAATATTTGAAAAATCATTGTTTGTCTTGTGTTTTGTATGATCCTCGACAGCTTTGATGTTTGGTTATGTTAATCAAGTGTGGCCAAAGTGGCATGTAACAAGTTATTTAACGCGCCTCGAAAATCAGACAGTGATTAATCGCATCCGTTGTCGTTTAACAAATCATTTTAATCGCTCGTGACCACATTGCATCGAAGCGATGAAGCAAGCGCGATTTCAAGCGATAATCTGGGTGTAAAGTGTGTTACTGATTTCACGCTCAAATTGCGCCTGTAAAAATAGTCGTAAAAATGTAAACTGGCGCAATCGACACTTGATCAAAGCGAATTTACAAACACGTGTCGCATGCAACACAAATTAAAAGTGCCAAGTGTTTTTACACTAAAAAACATAGTTATTATATGTAGTGAAATATTATACAACTTTAATTTCCTATTTTAGTTTATATTTTATCGCAAGTTTCTTTATAATTTCAAAGAGGTTGAGTACAAGTTTTAAACTTGCAGTGCAACTTCATCTTAGAGTTCCAAGGAATCAAAGTTATAAGTCAGTCATGAACGTCATGACACTGCATCTCTCAAGGCATCAGACATGTTCATCATGCACGTTTCGTGGCCGCCGATTTTTGCGCACAACTCGCGGACAAACTTGTGCAGTCACGAAATGTATTGTGGACATGATTTTGCCCTGCAGATGATCTCAATTTCTAAGAATTCACGAGTCACATCAGTTGAATTGTTGTATATTACCTCTGGAAGTAAATAAATCTGTTTCTTTTTGTA